TGGTGCCAGGATGGGAGATCCTGTTCTGCTGTAAGGGCAACCTCAAGATAGCCGCACAGTGCAAGCCTAGCAGAGGGAGAATCCAAAGAAATGAATAAGACTAACTACAATACATGAGAGAGCTGCTCACCTAGCAGAGGGAGAATCCAAAGAGAACAGGATGGGGATTCTCCATGCTAGGAAGCGGAGTATATACTGTAGTAGCGTGGGAGGAATGAAGGGTAACTGTACAGTACACCAGCCACAGGTCCGAACGAATATCACAAGGTACGAGGGGGCATGTGATAATGAAGTGGAAGGGGAATGTACAGGAGTCGTGCCAGCGACCTGGAGAAGTGGGGACCAGGAGTAATGAAGTGGGAAAGGAGGATAGAGGTAGCCCGGACGAGCCCCGAAGTGTATCTACGAGTCCGAGCGAGTCTGAAGCGTCCGAGCGAGTCCAAAGCGTCCGAGCGAGTCCAAAGCGTCCAAGCGAGTCCAAAGCGTCCGAGCGAGTCCGAGGCGAGTCCGAAGTGCGGGAAGACTTCGGAGTCACCGGACGGGGCTCGGATGCGAAGGGAGTGAACGGAAGGGAAGCGGAAAGGTAAGGGGACAAAAGGAAAGGAAAGGGGATGAAGGAAAGGGGAAAGGAACGAGGAGGAAGGGGGCGGGACAGGGGGAATAGGAGAAAATAGGAGTGTCCCCTTACAGCACTGTTGTTACGACTCGTTGAAGGGGTGACATGGCTGCACCACAGGACTTTCTCCACGATGTTTGCCAGCGCCATCTACTACTCCTCAGCATCCAGTATGGTGTCTACTCTTCCCCTAACCCTGCTACATTCTTTTGATGTGGTCATCGACCCAACTTTATTGGAGCGAAGCGGGCTTGTTTCAAACCCAATGAATATGTGCAACTCAAGCTTACCTCTCTTATTACCAGAGGCGCCACCGGCACGGTTCACGAAGGGATATTAGAGGTCTATCATGATGACAGGGAGCTGATAACTTACAGTGTTGTGGCCAAATTAGCCTTCAGAGACTCTCAGATTGCACGCATGAGGCACAAGGCAAACATCTATGAACACCTTACTAAGGCGGGCTGTTATGGTCCAACGTTTCTTTTCTTTCTACCTCTCCTTATCTTATCGGGCACATGATGTATTACCCAAGCATAGCTACTTACGATATGTTATTTACATCATCCGGGCCGTCTTGCTAACAGTCTCAGTCAGCGCCTTGCCGCTACTGCATGGGCGCAGTCAACAAGCGTCATACCTCATGCAGCTGAGCTAATCATTCCATGGAAAGATGGTAGGACACAGCATGTAGATAGACATGAGGACGTAGCATGTATAGTAGTATATAAGTACCCTAATAAACACCCAGAAATGATAACTCGTTCTCTTGGGAATACCACTAGTACTAGTGCCTAAGTCAGTGTCTTCGTTCTTGCTCCTCACCTCTTACCTCTCAAAATCTACTACTTCTCACTCTTATTCTTGTTGGGTCCGCGTACGCCCTTGTAGTGTATTAGCGTCGCTCTAACACGGGCGTTTGTGGGATCCCAAGATATTATGGGATATTCGAAGACTTGCATCATGGTCCTGTGGTACTGGTGATGAGCCATGAGGGATTCTGGCTATGCCACTGGATCCCTGAGGGTTCGGGGAGCAAGGTCCTGATGTTGTGGAGGTATGGAATTGCCCATACATACACGCCTTTTCATACTAATTTTTGCGAATATCCTAGGAAATGATTTCTTCTAGCGATGAAGGAGATACATCACGCGGCCGTTTGTCATAGAGATATTCGGCTGGAAAACCTCTTGGTTAATGCTGATGGGGTGGTTTGCATCATTGATTTCGACAAGGCCGACTTGACTTCTTCTGTGGGCGCTAGGAAACGGGAGTATGAGCACTTGGATGATCTCTTGGCGGGGAGCTACACCCCTCCGGGTTCATTCCCTAGTCCCAAAACCGCAAGTTCGGGGTTGGGTCTTTCTCCTTCGCCTATTCCTGGATCTGATTGACGTCAATAGTATGTACTATCCACGACGTTGCCGCCGAAGCGCTTTGCGATAGCTCTGGTTACCTACACGAAGATATCATCTTGCAGGCAGTGCATGCGTCCGAAATCAGAGTCGCGGCTAACTTTTGAACATCATCTCCAGGTTGTCTCGTATCGAGCGCCGCCAGAACCGAATCAACAGCCAGAACCTCACCTCACCTACAAGTACCAATCCTCACAATGAAATTATCTTCACTGTAATTGTACTCTCTTGCATACAGCAAAGCCATCTACGAGCCAGATATATTTCGCCCCACAGTGTCATGATCCGAGATTGCGAATCTACATAGCGTACTTCCTATAGCGGTCTTGCATCCAAAAAATGATGGCCAAATTTTCCTTTGAAATCCTTTCAGCAGCCATCCTCCTCTCCATTTGGCAGACCACCGACTTTTCTAGCCCAATTCTAGCCTACACGCGAGTTAACCACCGCCACTTGTGGTTTTCCTATGTCAACCGCAAAAGCATCTCTAACCATCACCCCAGCAGCGGAAGTCATGACGATGTTCCTCCTCGAATCTTGATATGTATGAGATCTGGGTTCACATTTGCCCATGTTCGATGTCAGCGTACAAGGTGGAGCACGGAAGTGCTAAAAGGCTGCCTAGCCCTCGTTGATGTGAGCCTTGTGAGTGTTTTCGCTCATCATATTTGCAAAGCTGACTTATCGGCGCACACAGACATTAATGAATACATGCAAGACCGTCGACTTGAATTAACAAGGTTTGGAGCTCTGTTTAAATGGAAGATGAATGTGAGGTTAGTTCGTTGCACTCATAACTTGACACACCGGAGGGTAAGGTTTTTTGGCGTAACCCCCCTCCCCTGGGGTTTCCGTGACTCCTGCTAGGCCGGATCAGTTTAAATTTCGAACACGATAATACCCCAATAAATTGCCCCTAGAATAACTGCAGAACTCACTATGTGATGTCTTGTTCGCTGCCTTGCTCTATCCTGGGGCCCCTTCTGACTATTCACTAATGTTTCATATATTTGTTGGATCTCAAGAGCTCGATGCACACACAACTTCCACCTCCATTTGAAACTGCACCTTTCCTTCCTTTTTAGACCATTGTGGTACACAGGAGTTATAATAATGCTAGTGACCTAGATGCGGGAGATGTCTATAGCCACAGTGAGTGACTGGATATCTGCATTTGCATTTGTCCAATACATTGTTATGGTCCGGTCTGTTCCGAATATTATCTTTCTCGATATCTTATCTAAACGCGCAGGACGCGCCTATTACTAATTCACATTACGGTACCTTAGTAAGATCCTTACACACAACACATGTCCGCAGTACATTACCAAGCACCCTCATGGAATCGGTGCGTGTTCCATGGAAAGACGGCTGCAGTAGGCATGTAGTAGTACATGAGGGTTACGCATGTATCTTAGTATTTAAGCACCAATAACAGGCCCTAGAACGCTAGCTCGTTCTCTTGGGATTTCCACTAGTAATAGTGAGAACTAAGTCAACTAAGCTACTTCGTCTATCTTTTGGGTTTTAGTATTCTTGTAGGAGCCACGTTAGTCTTTGACTAGTGTCGCCCTAACATACATGGTATCTTCAATTCTAGATCCATTGCTTCTAGCATCGCTTGGGAAGTTCTAATTATAATAGTATAACCATTTCCGTGGTCCTGGTTTCGCCCTCCCTCCGCAGCGTGCAGTTGCTGATGGCTGGTCTTCATGTTCAACATTCAGCACTTTGAGAGGCCTAGTTGGTTGTTTGCCTTTGGCTTAATCATGCCTAAAGATACGCGGCAGTAACCTTTGCCTGGGATTGCTATTTTCTGTGTCAGAGGATGTGCGGTAAGCAGCTTGAATCACTTGTCAGGGTTGTAGTTGATGACATTTTAGAAGAGAAGTTTAGCCCATCACTTCAGTATCAAATCACCGGCACCCCAGAAGATGGACATATTGAATGATATGTCAAATATTACCACTTTATCATCGGCACTGTTCTTCGTCCATATAACCATATTCGCCACCGCTGATTTGGTCAATCAGTCGTGTCGTCTCGCATAAAAGACAGGTATCTAAAGGCAATCACACTCTCCAACTCACACTGAGGTTTCTACTTCCAAGGTGAGCCTGTGGATCCCCATGTTGCCCGCTACCACTCACTACTCACACATGCCCCATCGCAGTTCTCTGCATTTTCAAAACACAAGCAAAACCATCATCTGCAGCTATGACCTGGGTGTCCAACTGATCTGGCAAGACTGCCAAAGTCGCTATAACTTCCAACAATACGTCTGGCGGGTACACCACACCCTACGAAATCTATACAGAGTCACAGGACGTGCTAGAGACTCGGGGAAATAATCACTGGCGCCAGGACGGCGTTGAAACTGCTAGCGTCACTTTTGAGAACAGTACTAACAAGTTCGAGACGGAGGTGAATTCACAAGACCTCCTCATCATTTATAGCAACGCGTATATTGTTATTCCTAACATGAAGGTCAGTTGCGTTTGTTTGTGATCAGCATCTGGATTTTGTTAACATGCATAAAGCTGCAGCAAACGTGGTTCAAATGAGCAGCAGCTTGGTTCGTCTATCCATCGGAGATGATGTATAGTGGTGACACTCTGCTGAGTTGGTGGATGGCTAGGAATAAATATAACTTGCGGGTTTGGTGTATATCAATAACTGAGTCTCACCGTTTCAACAAAGTATTGACAACGGATCCCAAACTAAAGCACTGTTTGTGTTTAGCCAAGTCAGATACAAGTTTTACACACAATACATTTGGATTATTTTGGCTTCGGCCTCTGTGATGTATAGACCTACCATGTATCATATTTGTTGGTCCGCTTCACAGATGTTAGGGGATCGTTTTGAATGTCTGAATAGACAGAAGATGTATATGCGTGTCTCTCTTACTCTTGTCAAAGCCATCCGAGGGTAATACGACTTGAGTGCCAATTCACATTGATCAGATGTTACTGATACACATCAAAAACCGTAGGTAGGAGGAACCAGTTGATGCCAGCCGTTGAAGCCTGCACTCAGGTAAAGTGCACTTGCTATGATTGCCACAGAGCGTTAGTTTCACAAACATCGGTGCGTCAGCACGTCTACTCACCTCCGCGGTCGGAACCCTGATGAACGTGTCAGAGTAGACCAGAAGCAGGTCATTTCCTTTGACATCATTGACTGTGAGGGTCTTGTTCTTGAACCGCACCACAACTGTCTCAGTAGCGTTTGCAACCTGGTTCCAGTGGTTCTTGTGCCAGGCCTCTAGCTCATGCTCGATTGCGTAGAAGCCAGTTGCACCACCACGGGACGGAGACATTGAGGCATGTGCCAGCTTGGTTGGAGACCCAGACCATGATTATACGTCAGATTCTAGAGGAGGCGGGTGTCAGTTGGGTTCAATTGGCTGCGTAGAAGGTTGAGTGATCGATAGAGTTTGGATCCACAGCTCACCTCTGGAGGCTGAGATACTGATGCAGGAAGCTCGAGCTTGGGGGTTGGACATTGTCCGCCTCTCCTTTTATATCGGCAAAGAAGAACACAACGGAATGGACATTCAGCTTGGACTACCTGTGCTGAAACAAAAAGTTACTAGAAATCCTTCCACAAGCACGAACTATTTCGCCAAGTAATGGACCGGCGTTGGGAGAACTCCTAGGAAAACAATAAAAGCGACCACCGTCAGGATGATCTTCCAAGGTCTCGAAGAAAAGCAGGGGCTATGGTCTAATATCTTTCAGCATTGCTTTTGATCTAGAATCATGGCTGGCTTGCCTAAGGTGCAGTGCGGGATCAAGCCCAAGCTTCCGAGACGTTGTCCTGAATCTAGGATGTCCATGACTCTCATCTCGTCGGGCAGTTTCTAGAATCCAGTTAGTGATTGGTTTTCCCGGTGTAGAGCATGTCAAACTAGTAGCGGATGTACAAAATGCTCCTCTTCACCTCTGAAATAGAATTCAAAGTTAGCCGACATCAAATGCATTGTGGATGGTATCTTGGTACATATATGGTGATTCAAGTTGAATTCCATAAATTATTTCTTGACCACTGGTCAATTCCAATTTTAACCTTATCGATCATGCGATCATGATTCAAAGGCGCGACCAGGGCTGACCAGGGCGTGATCGTCGCTGGCAAGGGTCGCTGGATCCCGGAGTCCCAACATTGGCAAGCCGCCACCAGCGCCTACTAAATTACACCTGTGGAAGTTTGAGTCCTTCCCTATCCCTCGTTCAAAGTTTTACAACTGCTTTGCACTACACGAACGCCCGAAACAGGGTATGGTTGCATTTTACATGTATATGTGCTTACTATGTCTAGTTTCTCTAGGTCCTTTGCTGATAATGATTGCGGCGGCCAATATTTAAAGGTTTTGAGTAGTCAGAAGACATACAAGATGGTCGACATCACAACGTCTTGACCAGCGTTGTTGAGAACCGGAGAAGAGACACGAACCGTGCATTTCTTTGCGTGGTGTTTTCAAGGAAATGACTTGTCATGGCGGCTTATTTACCCTTGAGGAAGAAATCAATGTTTCAGATTTGCGTGCTTGATCTCGGCAATGTCGTCTAATTGATACGCCGATTCGCGGAAAACCACTAGTAAGACTGGGGTGGAGAGCTTGACAACATGAGTTATCTTTCATCCTATTCACGTTGATTTGGCCGCCCATACAGGCCTGCCTCGTTCTACTGGATTATTCACGTTATATGTCTGCATTTATCTTCCCTTCATATCTCCCACCATCTCGGAAATATATTTTCCATGGCTTCGGTAGCAGACGAGAAGACATGCGGAGCTGCTTGCTGTCAGCCTTCGTAGAATAGTCATCCCCTTCACCGCGGCCTGGCTTACCAGATCACAGTGCTACACAGGAGTTATAGAACCACCGGCAATTTATGGCCCATGGAAGAGCGGTGTACTGCTCTCAATGATGGTGAGTGACTAGATGTCTTCATTCGCATTCGTCTCATATCCGATAGGCCCTTCGACTACGATATTTAGCGCCTTTATTAGAGGCCTGGTCAGTCCCTTACCTCCTACTTACTCGGCCCAGAAGGTAGACCATTGGTGGACCATGGCAGGTCTCGCATTACTTTGCTATTCTAGTTGATTGGCGAATGGTGCATTGAATCTTCGAAGCCCTTGACAGGATTGCAATTGAAGTTGTTGGTCATAGATCATGACCCTGGAAGGTCGTTGCTCCTATGTCACCACCGCCACGAGGTATAATATCGCCGACACCTAGATGATGGTCATGTTGAATGATATCGCCATATTATCAAGGCTTTCATCATCTGTTCTATTTATGTATTGAAAGCGGCATCCCCGGGCTGGGATGATGAACGGGTCGCGTTCTCGGGAAGGTCGTCTTAGAGTGGTGTTTCTAGCGGTAAGGGTTAGAGGAAAAGACAAGTGGTCTGGATTTTACCGAGCAACGTCTTACCACATATGATGATACGAACAGAAAGCATCGACAATAGGATCGTGAGTCGTCCTTCGAGCAGCCCGTCTGGGCATCCAATTGATCTGCTGACGATATCAGTCACCATCACCAATGAACCGGTGGAAAAGTTTACGTCTACCAAGTAACCCCTAAGGCCTAAGGCCTGAGGCTTTGCTCGTCGAGTCGCGGAGAAAGAACGACTGGAACCGCAGCGGGGCTGGAGCTCCCACCGTCACTTTCGTCAAAAGCCGCACCAAGTTCGAGACTGCTCCGAACGCGTTGGACGTCCTCGTCGTCTATGGCGACACTCACATCATCATCGTGCCAAGGTTAGTTACTTCGATTGTAGGAATGATCTCGACGTTGGGTTCGTAGGCGAATACAGCACCAGAGCTATCTTTAAGAAGCACAGGATGACTCGGGGGTGGCATTGTAAAGGTGCTTGCGGCAAGGATATGAGCGAAATAGTGATAATCGTTGTTGACGTGTGAAATATACTGTATGCTCATGTCCACCGTTCAACGTCCTCCGTAGTAGGGCCAGCAGGGTCGTCAGACGCAGCGAGATTACATTGATGGAACACGCGGACTTGATCTGCGTTGAGTGTACCGACGGCGGTGTGTATGACACCTCGGTTGTGAAATAGCATCAAATCCTTGTCTTTCCTACATTCGTTCAATCGCGGGTTCAAGACAGCAACGGACGAAAGTCCTCACCAATCATGGGGGTATATCAACTAGGTCGCTCGATAATTAGCCCGCCGAAGTAGATTCTAGCGATTTAAACGAGGCAACGGACCTCTGGTGCAATGCCTGGACGCTGCATCTTATGTAGCAAATCACGGATTTCTTTGAGATCTTTCAGGTGTGCTCCGTCTGCATACAAGGCACCTTCATGCTTGCTGCCTTCCGGCAAAGGGTCTACGAGTAATTCAGCGATAGCGCACGGATGCACTTGTAAGTGAAGCTCGCTGGTGCCAGGATTCTTCCACAACTATACGGGAAATGATGAGCGTCTCAGTGGTAACAAACGTGCTTAAGGATTACCATCGGGTAAACTTTTTGTTTAGATTCCTCCCAGGGAGGGAGTTCGCTGAGAGGTAGCTCAAGGCCCTCAGATTCTATACCAAGACCCGTCGGTGATGCTCGAGCGCGCGACATCCAAACTGTGGCGAGCGTGAGGACGGTCGCTTTTGCGATGGTCAATAGAAAGAAACTAACCGAATGGATGCGGAGCGTAAATCGCTCTAGATCGCACAGCAAGACTCTTCAGTTCCGGGGACAAGATGTCAAACATAGTCTTTCCCGAAACGAATGCAGTGGTCGCGAGTGGGGCGGATAGTTCATCGCCCGTGCCATCATCATACCGTACAACCTGATGCTCTCCTTTGGGTACCCTAACTCCGTACAAAGTGGTAACCTTCGGCGGGGCGTATTCGTAGAGCGCCGCGTCCATGTGCCAGCGATAGAAGCGAGTGAATCCTTTATCGCTATCCTCTTGCGATATGTGTGTAGCGTGAAACGTCGAATGGTTGGGATGTTTAGGCGCAACTTCAGGGATGCCTTCGTGGCCGTAAATTGATCCATTGCCTACTAGCTGAACCTGAGGCACTCTAGGGAACGATTTGATGACGGAACGGAGGATGGATTGTTTGGAATCATCAACTTTGTTGTTTCCGTGGCCGTAGGTTTCAGCTTCGGGGTCGAATGCCTGTAGCACGAGAGTAGTGAGTCGACGAGAAGTAGGGATTTAGGTGCAGCATATATCGCACCTTGGTGAGGGAGTATTGTTCCTCCAGCGTTAGTTCGACATCGCGGAAAGGCAAAACACCATACTATAGCAAGGAACCGTCAACCTCCTCGCGGCTATTCTGAGTAAGGAGCAGTTACCTTGTACAGGGCCCCCTCAACCTGCTTGAACTCTTCTGGGGAAAGCGCCCCCAAGTAGACTCCCTTGACTTCCCTTCCGAAGTCTTTGAGGATGATTGGATCGGCCGACGCTGGCAACGGTAGCGGAACTAGTTCTATCATCGCTCTCCCTTCAAGTTCCAAGCACCAATACCTCGTGGGGAACTACAGCGCAGTAGCAGCACACACGCTTGCCTCGGAGTCCAAGTACATCATACATCACGCTGGTCCTCAGGTCCTCATAAACCGAAATTGGAAGCAGCTAGAAGCAGCCCTCCCAGTCTCACGCCTACGCTCCACAACCGTAAACTAACGAGACCGCCACCGGAACTTAATCTACGTACTGGCATCTCAGTCGCCTCTGCGAACATAATGAGGAAGGGTGCTGGGGAAGACCCCCAAAAAATCAAGAGATTTACGCACCCGCCAGCTATCTGCTCCTGAGGATCGCTTCACAGGCGCCTCTGAGAGCGTAATCGGTAATTAGCCAGAAGACTTCATAGAAAAGATAGAAGACCCACACACCTTAATCAGCCGTTCACCAGCCATCCGCTTCTTCAGATAATGAAACATCCGCGAGATGTCATGGAACAAAAATATGGGCAACAGTATTCCCATCACCGGGAGGGAGATGATCCAGAAGCTATAATTAAGGTCACGTCATGAGGAGGATGAAGTCCTCCGGGGGACATACACAAGGTCGCTGTGATTCCGTAATGACCACATGAAGTCGAAATTCATGCCCTGAAGACGATCGTTACTGGTCAGAATACAACGGACTATGCATGCTGAATCGGATAAATGTACGTACGAAATATCCCGTCAGAAGAGTCAGGGGGAGAAATATGATTGTCGCCACCGTCAACCGCCGCCTTGAATAAACTATTGGTGGCATATCTATAGAAAAACTTAACACTCACATGGTCTCGTTCATTTCATACGATGCCATCTTCAAGCATAAAACACTGGTCAATCAACCATTCATTTCCGAAGTAGAGGAAAGGCACATGCATTGAAAGCGTAGTTGATGAGATTCTCAGATATCCCCGCAAACATGTCGAGGCTGGTCAGAACGAACTCCATATGGTCATAAACATCTGCCTAGTAAGATATGTGAGCCCAATGGAGAGTCTGAATAAGAGAGTATTACATACCAAGTAAGTCTTCGCCTTATAACTCATATAACCCTCTACCCGAACCGATTTATGGTGTGGCATTTGCAAGTTATGGACCGAATGTGTCTGCCATTCAGCTTTGTGCGAGTCTTCAGAGCCGTGCCGCGAAAGTGCTGGAGTGTCATGACCATTAGACGGTGAATACAAGCCCGGGCTAGGGAGAGGAAACGTCGCCTGCGGACGCAGCGAGCCGGCACTCATGTCGGCAAGCGCGATACATCGATCTAAATCGTATCTGCGCAGCCCGTAGATAACGGTTTTGATGGGGTCCAAGGTGCGTTTGTGGAGGATGAGGTCGCCGGATAGGATGTGCACTGCATGGTGAATATGACGTGTTAGCTTGACTAGATTCATAGAATTGTGGTCTGGGGCACGTACGGCTGCGAACGGTGTTCATAGTGGGCTTCAGCAGTATCTCGTTCTCAATCTGGTGTATCTTGTCCTGATACGCGTCGATGACTTCCAGTACCCGATCCACAACTTCCCGTCATTAAGGCATCATTAGCAATAGTTGGGAACGGCGAACGACTGTTGCAAGTTCAAACGCACCCAAGTCAAGGATACTCTCGACGAGAAGACTAGCGTCGTTCGACGTCCTGAGAACCGAATCATCCTGGTGAAGACGCGCTGTTATTGGTTGTGTAAAGTCCAAGTTTGGGGTAGGGTGCATAGTGATGACAGTGCCTGTGTGTCTGTCAGATAACGGAATCACCCAGAAGGAAGCCGTACGTACCATCACGAGAAAGGAACATGTACAGCGGAGCGACCTTAACATTCACGCGATCCCCCCGTTTAAGGGCTTGTAGTTTCAATAGCCGACGTTGCCGCGCCTGCAACAGAGGCGTTAATGTCGTTGATAGACTATCCAAAAGTTTGCCATCTAACCGCGTCGCGGAATCCCGTCAAGCCAGAGAACTTGTGCTTGAGGTCGCGCGGGCTCAAGTACGATCGTCGATTCTCGACATCCCCCCGACGACGGGTCAAGAAGCTGAATCTCGAGGGCTTCTCGGCGTCTTTTGGGTTGTCTTCAGTTGTATAGTCCAAGTTGAATGACGATGAAGAGACAGGGATGGGTGAGGCGGTTCGTGGAAAGGCTACGTTGTCGGGTAGAGCTGAGATATCCGCATCGTGCTCGTCGGTATCGCTAGCGAGAGAGTGGCATAGAATGCGCAGAAACAGGTGGTTCTGATAGTAGTCCGCTTTCGAGTGATTGTGACCCTGTTCCTGCAGCACGTCCTCAAGCGCCAGGGAGTGCAGATCTACTCGATAAATTCAGAGACACGCGCCGGCGCGCATGGACTATCACGTACCATACGCCACGGCCACAGAGCTCAGCACATCCCAACTCAAGCCCCCGATATTGATCCACCTCACCGTAGTCCACGGCTCCCGCGCGAACCGCGTCTTGTCCCGCAGCGCGTGGATGAACCCTGCATTGTCGTATACCGAGCTCGTTATCTTCTCGTTCGAGTAGTCGACGACCTCGATTTGCGAGGCCTGTTTGATGTGCCCGTACTCGGCGAATGCGGAGTCGCGTCGCGGGTTGATGCCTGGTTCAGCTCCAGCGCCGGCGTGGGTGTATGTGGCGTTCGAATACGTCCGACGACGGGGCCTCGAATGAGGCGAAGGCTCACTCTTCGATGCGACGAAGGGATCTGGGCGACGGGCACTGCCTTCGCTGCTCATAGCTGTTGCTGGTAAAGAGAGTGCATTATCAATTAGGCGCTGGTGGCACGCCGCCAGTGGAGAACGATCGGAGTTGCGTGAACTTCCGACCCGGCTGTCCACCGATCTCTCAACAACATAACATTAGCGCCCCCAGTCCCGATGAGGTAGACCCCCCAAATTCTCGATGATCATTGTCAGGTACCAATACATCGAGGACGAGGACGAAGACGGTACCACCAGCCAGCGCCCCTCGCACTTCCTCTAGCGCCTCCAAGAGCTCGTCCGCGAACGCATGCCCGCCTCCGCCACCCCCACACAGGTGCACGAGCAGACAACATACCGCCTCCAATGCGCCTTCGAGTCCGCCGAAGCGCACCTCTGCATGTTCACGCGCACGCTCGCGTACAACGCCACGCTCCTCGACCGCGCGTGAGTGGATGAGCAGCAGTCACATTGGAACAAGATCCATCAGGATGTGAAGAAGGAGACGCGGGTGAGCTTTATCGTGCCGCGTTTGCGCCTCAGGTGGCGCGCGCTGCAGGAGATTGAGACGGGGGTGCCGATCGAGGTGCTGGGGTTGACGTGCCACGCATGCGAGCAGCCGGCGGGGAAGCTGATTTGCAACTTGTACGTCCTCGTTTCTCTCTGCTATGCTTAGTCTTCCATGATAATCACCTCAATACTTCAGCTCCAAATCCGTGTAATATTGTGGGGAAGCATTCCCCGTCCCAGAATGGCTCCCCCACAAATCTGTCTGCAAACTTTCCAAACGCCTGCGCACGCACACCCTTGCTGACAAAAATTTCGGTGCATAAATAATACAACGGTCCAGCCCCCGCCGACTGAAGCGTACATACCTCGCATCGGCACAGTATTCTTCTTTCACGTTAACTCCAAATGCCACATCCAATTATGAGGAGACTTTGTTACTGAATAGGGAATGGGAATAGACTGGGCTCTAGGGGGGCTTGATGGGCTGATAGGAGGATGTCCGATTGTCTCCCCTCACTAGGGCTTAACTTACCTCCTGGTTCCTTCGATCGCTTCTACTTCAGTTGCTGAGCAACGTTCCTCGATAAACGTTCAACATCGATCAACAGCCGGCGCGCTTCCAGGAAGCTTCGCGCGAAGAAACTAGCGATGTCGCAGGCACAGAGCCTAAGAGAATATACCCCCGATGGCCGTCGTAATCATGAACGGGGACGCATTGAGGGTGCGATATTTTACTTCCGCAATTCACCCAATAGCGGAGTTCTCGCCCTCTCCGCAGAATCGGCGAGGTACCAACACCGAGAAACAACACAAGTAAAAGTCGTACAAGGTAGTAAGCGGGCAGGAACAAGTAACAAGTCTGTCAATGTCCTTACGCATAAGGTCTGCCCAGGTCAATCAGAAGGGGGGGACCACGCGTTCGTGCTTCAAGGGAGTTCAATGGGCTGGGGTATAAAATGTGGGTGTATTCTGCGAATGTGAAACGCTCCAAGGTCGAGACCAAAGCCCTATAGACATCCATACCATCAAGCACAACTAGGTAAGCGCCTCGTTATTTGTTCGCAATGATACGCCGTGATTGACAAACTCTGCTGCAGCGATGTCTGAGGATGAACGGGACGATACGATCATCTGGTTGCGACATGTCGGTGTCGACAAAAAAGAGGTGTACACCATACTCAACAAGGGCTGCAAGGAGAGCTTGGACTTCAGCTACGGAGAAACCGGCGTTAAAGCGCTTGCACAGTGGTTTCAAGCCGTCGGTGGGGGCCTGATGGCTTGGGAAGTGAGTACCACCCACTGCGTCCGAGCATATCCTATGCTGACGAGTACGTATACATGGAATTTCGATGAAACTTGACAGACGATGAAACATTACATCGAAGACGACAAGTTCATAGAAGGCGGCGTCGATTTCGAACGCTTCATGGGGCTGTTTCTGAGGAATATTGCACCTAAGGGGGACATCATTTTCCATGCTAGCGAAGCCGGGAAGACTTGCCTGCGGGATTGCATGACCGAGCTCGGGGCATTCCTTGAGAACAAAATGAAGTATCCGACTACGGAAGAGTAAAGGAATAGGGGAGCGAGTACCTGATGTGAGCGCAGTAATATGCAGCCGAAGTCATTCATTTCCACTGGTCGACTATAGGCAGTCGCTGGAGAAGCACATTGGCTGAATGGTGCTGTGGCGACTATCACTAACTAGTCCCCCTCCTACCGTGTTGCCTGTTAAGATACTTTGTCTTACATAGCGAAGTACAACACACATACAATCTACAACGATATAACATACTAGTGCTCCATGTTCCGAATGTGAACCTCGCCGTGATAAGTAACAGAAATGTCGGATTTGCTATCAGGCGAGAAAGCAATCGACCACAACTCCTCATTGAGATCATACACATCCAGTACTTCACCGGAGGATGCGTCCCATAGGCGAACTGTCCCGTCAGCAGACCCTGAGGCAATACGTCTTTGGTCAGGAATTCCAAAACCGAGGGGAATAGGGGAGAGTATAGGGAAATAGGAGTATATTCTTGATGTAAGCGCGGTGATGAATCCGAAGTCTCCCTTTCACCCCGTGGATGGCGAAGCACGTTGGCTGACTGGTGCTGTGGCGACTGTCGCTGTCCTCCCTAGGTTGTTAACTGTAATCTATGTTTAGCGCCCACAGCTGTCTCACCGATCCGTCCTGTTAGTCGGGCATTGTCATCTTCCAGTCACTGCGCACTGTATATACTATATTCCCTTTCATTGGGCAACGGTGGGCAAATGGGTGCTTCTCCGGAGTATCTGGAGCGTAAGAACGTTCCAGCGCCGTTAAAGAGCACCTCAAACGTGTGAGGACCTTCAAAATCGCATCAAAGTCCTCATATAGCCGACCAATTACGGGCAGTTCTGCTACAACGTCGGGGCTGGGACATCTCAACGGAGGACCGCCACGAGCCGCCACGGTCCCTGACCAGACCTTATCCGCTTCCCCCAATTGGTTCTCCATTCTTGTGTCATCAGCTTGACTCTGGTCCCTGCCTTATCAGGCTCGCCCATATAGCAGTCTCACATCATTATCCCTACTGACTCATATTAGACCATATCACTCTTCTCTCTTCACAACCTCAACTTGCTTCAGACCATTCATCATGTCGACTCTCGGAAACATCACCCTCTCCTCTTCCGCTTCCACCCCCAACGTGGTTGAACGTTCACCTGCTGAGGCTGCTGACCAGACCCTGTCCACCTCAACCGCGTCGCTGTCGTTCTACGCGGCCAGCTTGAACATGAAAGACCGTCGGGCCTATGAGCGGGAACGACAGCGTTCTAAGAAGACCGCAGAGCTCGTAAAGAACCGCGCGCTGAAGGAGCAGACACCCAGCCCTCCTGGAACACTCAGCGCGCCGCTCAGAGCTCTGTGGGCGCGTACGGTCTCAGGGAGACAACGCGAACACCCTCACGCCCAGCACGCCCAGCACGCCCAACCACAGGACTCGTCGACATGCGCACCATTCGCTGACAACGCTCCCAAGAGGGGCTTGTCATCGCTGTTCACAGCTGTGGATGATGACATGGTTACCGTGGACTCCCCCGGAGCACATCCGTCGCGTCCTCTATCTCCTCTACGCTCTGGCCGTAGCTCACCCAAACCTGAAGTGGCGCTTGTGGATCTCATCAACACGACATCCCGAGTGCCTCGGAAGTCACGGAAAGGCAAAGGTATGTTCTCTCCATCCGCATTTGCTCCACGACCCCCCACCCCATGCATTCGTCATTTCCCAAGTTCCGGGCTGATATATCCTTGTTGTAGATGGAGATTTCGAGTTCGTACCGCCTGTTCGCTCCGTCATAGCTTTGGACGACAGTGACGCCCGAGAGCTGGGCGACGACACGGCGCTCAATGAGCCTTGGGAGCATGTCTATTCGTCGGCAGGCGGGGATGGAGACTTGGAGCCTGAGGTCGACTCGGGTCCTTACAAGGTCCCATCCTACGCAGCCGTTCTGGCGACTAAGTGACACCGCAGCAACATCAGGGACTCTATACCCGTTTCTTCTTCCTTTCTTCTTGCCATCCTTGCATAACATCCCAGCCCGGAGCACCGTCGTCTTGCAGTAACGACTCTTCATAGATGAACTGCAACCATTCTCTTGGGACCATAAACCAAAGACTTCGCATATCTGTAAACCTATACACCATATCCCCCGTTAATGATTCCCCACGTATGCCTTCGCATTCACGTTTTGGTTACGAGCTTGTACTACCACTCCCACCTTCGTTTATACCTCTATAGAACCATGAAACTCAGTAAAGCCAACAGATGAACATTTACCCTCCGTCTGCCAATACAATATAGCATATTTAATATATAGTCGCACCTGGCTAGATGTCTGATAAATATGAGGTGAGCTTGATGCATCAGGAGAATCCCGTTGGGATTGTGGGATTGAAGATGGGTAAAGGGTGAGCCTGGTACCGTATCAGCAACGGAATGGCACGGAGATGAATATCAACACTGACCTCGGTGTTGAAGACATATTCTATATCCAGAAATCGAGTCAACTTCACACGCATAAATGGATGAATGGGACAGGCTCACTGTCGAGCGGCAGAATACTATCATCGGAGAATATCAAATATAGATACTTCAACGTCTCGCTCTACGAAATTTCCCGAGACGGCTAGAGTCAGCCCACGCCCATCGATAGAATAAGGAGGCTATGACGCGCACCAGGAAGAACGTCTCCATCTTATCTTCCTGCCGCGAGTTCAACTCATCCACATTCATGATGCTCGCGTAACCGCCGGTGTCGACTTTGCAGTGTTTATCTATCGCTTGGAAGATAGACCAAGCGGAGTCGCGGTAGCGCGGGTCCCCAGTGAGGCGATATGCTATGAACAGTGATTCAACAGTTTCCGGGCGTAGGATATAACGCGCATCGAATGCCGCCTCCTCTCCGGGTCTGACGGGTGGATATAAGTGGGTGATAGATGGCTGCATTCAATAAAGGGGGCGTACCGAGCACCTTTGATGTACCAATCCTCCGGTGCAAACTCTTGACCGTCCATTCCATCACTGGGGATGCGGAAATGCACCATTTCGGGAGCCAGCCCACTGTAAACACCGTTGAGTGACCGAAGTAAAGTACACGGCACTGCACTTACGTAGCGGTATCGTGAGTGCGCATACAAGTCTTGATAAGCTCAACTCCGGTTTTCCAATCTCTCCAACCCGTCAGTGTCAATTCGTCCGGCTTCGGAGGAATCGACACTGGCTGGACCAGGGCACCGGTGGTGGTGGCTCCCAGCATAAGGGAACCACCAAGGAAACAGACAAGGTGATCTTGTTTCGGTGTCAGACGCCAGGAACTCAAAGGATGACCTTAGTTAGGTCACAACCGTGGAATTGAAGTCCACATACACTTCGCCTTCATGGTTTTGTTCAGGAATAAGTTCGGAGGTGTAAAGAAGACCGGTTTTGTAACTCTTTTGGACAAGGTGATTGTGAATTGCTTGCATGGAATCGTCATACATCTGTTGAAAATTAAGAATGAAGCTAGCTGATGATGAAGAGATCTTACATCACGGTATACGAGCTCAGTTCGATTCTATATGTAGAGTAAGCCGGCGAATGAGAAAGAACGTGGCGAGGACATACGGTCTGTAGATACTGTTTACTGCGTGACGAATAAGCTGCGTTTCATTCGATCGTACATAGTACATCACGCACAGAAGATATTCATAGAACGAGTCTCCTCGAGAACCAAGGCGGATCGCAGAGGTGACGAATTGACCCGCATCTTGGCTAGTCCGTATGTCAGACCACGACTACTTGCCTGTGAGCGAACATGACAGACCTCATGAAGATCGATGCGAGGCCATGGGGCAATCGCGCAGTCTTAATGACTGACATGACCTACGCCGAAGCTGCCTTGGTATACTCTAATTGCATACAACACGAGTACGCACCTTCTCGGCTCTCTTCCAATATATATCATCTCCCGTGATTTCGCTTAGCTGCCTGAACTCTAGTTGGAGTGTTCCAGCCTCAGCCGTGCTGATTAAATCGGGGAACTCGGTATTCGGGGCGCCACGCTGCTGAGCAAGGTTGATTTGGGATGTCGGGAGACCAGAAGGAGTGTCGAAAACAGGTAGCATGAGGTTAGCTAGTTCGATAGCTTTGTCGAGGTAGAGACGATCGGGATGAGGGAACGTGGGTGCTAGGCTGCGCCAAGAAGGCGATGAGTGGGGAAGATAGGATGAGAGGTGAAATGCGGAGAGAAGGCCGCCCAAGACGCGAATGGTGGTCTAGACAACATTAATCAGTCAGGTTCAGCAACGAAGGCACTATATCTACTTCGAACGTATTGAAATTTGCATCACGATCGAAGGATAGCTTGGTGTCGACCCAGCGACGGGCACGAGAATATTCATCGGTCAACCCCATTATAAGCATGGTATCCAGAGAATCAATGACAGTGTAACCGATACCACCTGCAGCAGTGAGGTTGGTACCCTTCATGCTTATGGGGTGGTATTCATCGTCGCCCATTGCGTCTCGTTCTTTTCGTCCATTGCGTTAGTTGCGTTCTGGTGATGAGAATGCGACTCCATACCGTATGCCGACCAAGCGTGCTGAAATAGACTGAATGAGACCAAAGCAGTATGAAGCATGATTCAACGCACTCTAAATGCATTAACGACTGCCTGACGCTTGTCCTCATCAACTTGGAACTGAACAAAATCATCGGAGCTAGGCGTGGCGTCCCAGTGGTCAGACGAGCCTATCCACTCATCCAGAACGAGTTTTGCAGAGTCATAAATGATCGAAAAATTCTGTCAGAATAAGATAAGCCTCCGGCATGGTGAATTTGGGATGAATACTCACAAAGTACGACAATAACCCTATTCCAATGAACGCGAGGGTATACATGAGTTTGGCGCTGCCATGGGTATCCGTTCTGCGCGCATCCTAATCACAAATATGAGCCTGATATAGTCAAAAGATCAAGTGTAGCGGCACCTGATGCTGCGCAGACGAGCTCTCTGAAGGAGAGGCATCTTTCTTGCGCTTTCGTAGCCCAGCAGTCTGCGACATAGATGAAAGTTGATGGAAGAGAAATATGAGAACCCTAACCCTAATGTAGGGGCTTAACCCGTCAAAGTCCCGATTCACCTAAGTATCATATCGCGACAGCCATTTGGATGGATGGTAGTCAGATGAACTGCAAATTTTGATACACGCGTAAAATCTGAGAGGTGTAAATACAGAAACTCAATGTGGTCGCGCTTGGGAAACTAGTAGAAACTCACTCATCACTACCGAAGAGCGATGCGGAGCCTGAGTTTGTTTCGCCTTTATCTTTGTGACTGTTGAAGAGCTTGGACCATGCTTGAAAATGAAGCACCGCTCGGACAATGTTCGCTGAACAGGAGTGAGTCCTAGAGTTATATTGCAATATGTATAGGCCACATGTGCTTTGAGCTTCGGAATGCGTTGCATAGACTGACTACATATGAGAACTCATTGTTCTGCTTTACAGATACCAGGAGATCAGTTTGAATGTCTGAAGATGCATACTTGCGTCTCTCTTGCTTTGGTCGAAGCTATCTGAGGGTAATACGACCACTTGAGTGCCAATCCACATTGATCACATTGATCAGATGCTACTGATACACGTCAAAAACCGTTAATAGGAGGAACCGGTGTTGCCTGACGCTGGGCGATGCAGTAGTCGGAACCTACGCTCAGGCAAAGTGCACTTGCTATCATTGCCACGAAATCGGTGCGTCCAGTAAGTCTACTCACCACTATGTGTGGGCGGAGGAAACGGAGAGGCATGTGTCAGCTTGGTTGGAGACCCAGACCATGATTGTACGTCAGATTCTAGAGGAGGCGGGGTATCAGCTGGGTTCAATTGCGACAGAGTTTGGATTCACGACTCACATCAAGAGGATAAAGATACTGATGTAGGAAGCTCGAGTTTGGGGGTTGGGCATCCTCAGTCTCTCCTTTTATATCGGCAGAAAAGAACACAGCGGAATGGACATTCAGCTCGGATTGTCTATCACCGCAGAAACGAAAAGCTGCTAGAAATCCGTCCGCAAGCACGATGTATTGCGCCAATTAGTGGACCGGCGTTAGTAGAACTCTTAGGAAAGCAACGAAAGCGGTCGCCGTCATATCCGAAACTTCCATATTCTCGAAGGGAGGCGGGCGCTATGGTCTAATATCTGTGTTTGATCATGAATTGTCTAAGGTGCGGGCTCCATTGACCAAACCCCGAACTCTCCAGACGTTGTTCTGAATCCATATGTCCTGGACGTCTCACTTCGCCGGAACCGTCTCTTCTACAAGCTGGTAAGTAATTGGTGTTCCCGTTGTAGAGGGTGTCGGACTAACAGACGTACAAGCTGCACCTGTGCGAATTGTTCTGACTTCAAGGATCACTGTCGAACACATTGTTGATTAACACTTGCGGCAGGCGGTCCACTGCCTGTCAAGGTGATAAAGTTGACAGTGCATTGAATAAGTTAATGGCCGATGAATTGTGGGATTTCTTGATTGTTCACCGATCCCCTTTCTTTGCCCCTGGGCTTCATGGCCGACGTTGTCGACGTAGGGGCAATCGTCCGAGTCTGGTGCTTTTTTAAGTAGGTAGTGGGAGCTGCACTGGAGTATGTCCGGCTATGTAACAGGCGGCTCCGCACTTACCCAATGGCACCTCGCGTATCACTTCTTCCGCGAGCAAAGGAATGCGACCTATAATAAGCCTGGGGGTTTTCCATCTGACAAGGGTGAGATACGCCCTGAAGATCCTGGAGGCGGGATTCCTCCGAGCTGGGAGTGAATGCTGGCTTCTGTCTCCACATACCCCGCTTGCAAATTACCACAAGACCCGCTTTATATAGCACCGCGTACACGCGTCGAGAACCAGTTGGAAACAGGACGGGCCAGATCAGCGCCATGTTGGAATCAACGGCGCGTTCAAGGAGTGATGGTGAGTAAAAACCATCGAGTGATGAGATATCCACCGCGAGCGTGAATTCTGGCACCAAATCCGAGGGGGTCCATGTTCTGATGTCCTCGTTGACTCGGCATTGAGCATTACGCTTGGACCCTTGCTCGACGCCAACCCTGACCGGGACTACGGGGGCGAAGGTATGTCGGTGGCGCCACAACTCGGTCGAGGTGCATCGGTCGGCATGGCCCCCCCTCGCCATTGGCTGAAGCAGTTGAAACCTGGAACAAGGTGTCATCTGTCAAACGAATGATTTCTGGATCTCGGTTGTTGGTGAGAGACGATGCTTGCTAGAGGGGCTGTTGTTGTATACTTTCTCTTGTAAGCTTGTAGTTTTTTTGTAGAGTTTTGGTAGAATATCCACTGTAGAAACCACCGTCGACGTTGTCCTAGAGAGAGAACATTTTTTGTTTCGAACTTCGTGCAGGAGCTGGTCGCGCGGGGTGCACGTGCAATCAGGGACAAACAAGCCGGATTCTCGCCTTTTCGAATTTCGCCATCCTCCTCCCTCATCGTTCCCTCCACCGACGGTCTTGGTGAGTAGCCTGCTGTTCTCGACATTGCTTGAGACGATCTTGAACTTCGTCCAAAGTTTCAGGACGATTTGCTCGTCCCACACGCCCATCATGACACTCCTTGGAGGTTTGTTTTCGAAGAAATCAAAGCCCCGGTCGCCAGGTGCCTCGACGCACGCCGGAACGCCTTCTTCTCTCTACAGTTCAGCTGCGTCTGAGCTGGCGTCGTCTCATTCAAGCGCATCGGTCTCGCCGACAACAGAGTACGTTACCACAGACAAATCCTTACCCTCCAGTCCCAACGGAAAGCACGCTTTGCCTAGGAGCGTGTACCCGAGTGCAGCAGCATCCTCAAGCAAGCTGCGGCTTCCATTCAGCCGCAAAAAGACAGCGTCGAATGGGTCGCTGGCGGTGTCGCAGTACGAGGAATCGATGTCGCCCCCTCGGCCGTCATACGCTTCGCGAACGAGCACGGCTGCGTCGTCTGACACGGAGACGTCTACGATTGAGCGTCGGCATTTACGACCGCCGCCGTCTCGATCAGCCATCTTCGCGGCGTATGGCGGTGACCCGCGGGCGGCGCAGCAATCGACGCGATCACTACCAGACGAACGCAGAGCGAAGCCCCAGCCACCGTCACCCCCACTGCCGCCAGTACCGCAGAAACGATCATTATTCGGGTGGTACAAATCACAACCAAAGTCTACGAACGCGAGTCCCACTGCGACATCGGCAGAGGAATCGTTCAACCTCAAGTCTTTCCGCCACGTTCGACCGGGGTCACCCACGCACTCTAATATATCGACTGCTTCTATCTCTAACCTTCCGCCCCCACGGCCACGGCCACGGGGGACAAGCACAGCATCGGATTCTTCGCAGCGGATATCTGTTGCGGCGTTTCGCGAGGCGCAAGCTCGGCGTAGTCAAGCTGGGTCGCCTGCTCCTCCCGACCTACGATCTGCTAGCCCCCAAGCACCCCCTCTAGTCGGAAGCAAAAGCTACGGCGGGATAGAGAGTAACAGAAGCAGCTCAAACCTCTCACACTATTATCCGTCTTCGCAGCCCTCGCAGAATAATAGACTAACGCCCCGGAGGTCGTCTGTGTTCGCAGACGATTCGGATAGCACGGCGACGTCATCCGAGGAAGAAGAGTCAGATGATGGGGAGGTGCGGGATCGACGAGCCAAAGGTGCGGCTGGGGTTGGCCGCCGACGGACTGCTACACACCGCGGGGGCTCTGATAGGCCAGCTGCTGGGAAAGCTCGAGCCACGCGCTCGGAAATGGGACACAGTAGCGCATGGGCCGGAGATAAGACCAGTGGTAACTTGCCGGTTCCTCGTCTGCCGTCCTCGACACAACTCCAGCAGTCTCAGCAATCGCGGCAACGTGCCAGTGTATCGACGAGTGCGTCGATGCCCAATGCTGCGGCCAAACGTGCGAGCCTTCTGGCTGGCAACATTGCCCTAGCTGCTCCGGGTAAGAATCATGCCATCCTGCCTGCTTTTGTCGCTAACTCGCCGTGCTCTGCTGTTCTAGCTGTGAGCTCCCGACATGTCCGAGACTCTTCTGTGCACACAATCTCTGCCAGCAGAGCAGCGCCGTCCACAGCGCGTTCTGACACGGATTCCGACACGGATTCCGATTCTGACAATGCACCGCTGGCCTCGTTGGTGCCACCGCGCAGGCCTGGAAGCGCCATGTCCAGCGCTTCTGGGTCGAGGACCAACCTAAGTCGGCCTCATACCCCTGTCAGCCGGCCCGCGCCCCTCATTGACATCAAGTCACTTACCACAAAGAAGCCTGATGCAGCCTTCACTGCTCCCAAAGCGAAGGCAAACGACGAGGCCTTTACCGTTGGCCCTACCTTGATCTCGTCCCGCAGCTCGACCAGCCCGAATCTGAGAAAAGAGCGTGATGGGCCGTCCCCTCCTGCCAGCTTTATCCTTCCGCCACTGGAGCTTGACGATCATTCATCGCGCTTCGTGTCATCGCCCACGTCCATGATCTCATCCGTTAGCGCTGTGACGGCTTCCACCTCGTCCACGAGCAAGCCCAATACGGGACGCTCGGACACCGCTTCGAGCGAGAGGCTGTTCCCTCGCCGCATGGAGTCGCGGGAGAGCAATACCTCGCGGCAGGAAAGTGGCAACGAATCAGTTACCAGTCGACTGGGAAAGTCGGACACGAACACAAGCCCTACTATCCAGGAAAGGCGAAGAGAAGGGCTGTCGGATCGTCTTACGAAGGTCGTGCAGCAGGCTGCGCCTACTTCGACTACTCCGTCGATTTCCGCGCCATTTAAGGCTTCCACGCCCCCGCAACCTCAGCGCCACTCCCGGCGTGCATCATTCGATGTTGCGCAGCTCGGTGAAAACGAGGGCGATTACTTTTCAAGTGGCGGCAGCACCGGCATCCGCCTGGTCGGAGGCGTAGGTAATGCTAATGCTAATGCGCCCGTAGATAGCGGCGAGGAAAAGGAAAAAGGAAAGGAATCGAAGGAAGAACGAATAGCGCCTATTGTTATTAAACAACGTGTTCCGCCGTCATCGTTTGCTGTTACCTCACGCCCCCAGCATCAGAATGCAGGCTCTCTGGATACGACACGGCAGCGGAGCAGCACGCTCTTGCCATCGAATTCCCCTGCTCCGTTCTCAACGAATAAGGCTGCTGCAGTACCTCCATCGAGTTCTAGTTCTAGCTCCGGGAACACCTACAACTCCAATTCTTCTACGTCTAATCCGAACAACCATAACTCTTCTGGACGCAACAGTCCGTTGACACCGCCAGCCGCCCGGCCGAGAAGCTCGACTATGATGCCGCTAATGGCAGGCTCGCCTAATGTTTCCATATTTCCGATGCCTACGAAACCGTTTGCGAAGCGAACTGAGAGCCCTGCGAGCTCGACAGGTGACTCGAGCAGTGGGCGTGCACCGCTTACGCCCAGGGATGGCAGTGAGGTGGGAAGTTCGAATACCACTACTACTAGTCGCAACGGAGGAAGGAAGGAGGAGTGGGGGTCAGGTGTTAGTGGGCTCGGGCTCAACGGGGGCAAAGGCCATATGAAGCGGCAGAGTGTTACGTTTGAAGATCAGAGCGAGGTCGGTGGGAAGACTGGGAAGGGTGGGAAGAATGGGAAGGAGAAGTCGTCCGAGTCGCCCCCCAATGAGGAGCAGCGCAGGAAGGAGCGCAGGCGGAGCGAGGCGAAAGCTGCTATCGAGGTATGTTTGATCGTAGAAGTGAGTTGGCGGTAACTGACGTCCCCTGATAGCTCGGCAATGTCATTAATGGCCGTGGTCCGATCGTGGACGATGACGAAGACGACGATCAGCCTATCAATCAGGTATACGGCGCTCGTATGGGCATGAACCCTATGATGCCTGGGGGAATGCCCATGGGCATGGGAGGATTGCCGAATGGCTCTCCGGGGTGGAATAACAGCTGGCAGCAAGGTCAACTAATGCCCGGGCAGTTCATGCCTCCGCCGCCCACAGATCCTACGTTCTTGGTAGCCCATCAGCAAGCCATGATGTACGCGAAGCAGGCCTATCAGATGGCCGTGGCTCAGCAGGCAATGGCGGCGGCCGCCGACGAGTGGGAGAGGAGTTCGAATATCGGAGGCTTTGGGAGCGGTGGGAGCGTGTATGGCGGAAGCATGTATGGCGGATCGCCTTCTCTGCCTTCCATGGGCATGGGAATGGGTGGGTGGGGAAGTGGGATGATGTTCCCGCCCGGGCCTCGATCGATGTATGGCGGCGCGGCGCAGAGTGAGTATGGAGGGGGGATGGGAGGCGGCGGTGGGGGCTGGGGATCGAAAAGCGTGTACGGCGAATCATTTGGGCCGTCGAATACCAGGGAAAACAACCGGACGAGTCGGGGTAATTTGCTGCAAATGAAGCAGGGGTACGGACAGCAGCGTGACAGTACCTACTCGACAACGGCGAACCAACAGCAATCTAGTGCGACTCCACGTGGATCGTCACGCCCACGTACGACGAGCACGCCGGCCAGTCCTGCGCGGGCACCCGGCATGCGCAAGGCGCCCCCACCTTCGAGCTGGAAAGCGAGCGGTTGAAATTCGACGTATGTGATCTCGGACATTCGTCTGCATGTCTTCCGAGGGGCAGCCATCGGGTGTGGCTCATTCCATGTGGCTCCTCCGCGCCGCGAACGTTTAGACAATGACTGCACCGTCTGCTGGATTGTGCATCGGCCTGGTCAGTTTCTATGATCTTTAATCACACACTCGTTTGCATTTCTTGAACTTCCTACTCATGCGGACGCTATGTGAATTCAATTATTATCTTCCTTTCTTCAATCCTTACGGTAGAAATTCAATCATTCCTCTTGCACGGGATAAACACTATCAGTTATTAATCTCCCCGTCATTGTATACTTGTGCTGCACTCATTTCTCTACTATGATACCTCACCCATCTTTTGATCTTTTAGTGGCCCAGCATTCCTTTGCGTAGTATTATATAGAACCGAAAGCCAACATTGTACCATCTCTGATACGACGCACTTATCAGATGTTGAAACGTAGGGCCATGCTGGGTGCGCCACTACCTGGCAGCAGCGCCACCAGCGAGTGACCGACCAAGCCCGGCCGAATCTGGTCCCTTATCGAGCGGCGTTGCTTGCTTGCATCCTTGAATGGTTTGGTTCCGCCAAATCAGATTCCGCCCTGCGTGAACCCTGGATTCAAGCCGTGAGGCGAGTAATTACTGTTCTGCACTTCCTATGAGCTCTATTAACCCACTCTCTTATTGTTATAGTGGATGAAATTAAATCTTGCAGGCGCAACGAGGCTGGAGTTTGTGCTCACTGTACGGTGCTTCGAGAACGCTGAAAATTTCTGCGAAAGCACTCACGTCAGATGCTCACGGTATGTCTCTTGGAACGGCTATTATTACCGATCCAGACTGATGCCATGAAGACAGCGTGGTGGGTCCAGCTTGCCATTCGTGGATGGGACTGTATCAGGAACACCGGCCCTCTTGAAGTGAGCCTTGATTGGGGCAATGTCCCGATTATAAAGTCCTGAAGGGATTATCCCACCTCGTGTTCCCCCTCTGCGATACCTTGTCCCCCAAAGTCCCTACCCTCCCTAAGACGCCCACAATCTGCATCGTGCACTTCACAATGCCTGCTGAAAGAACTAGAGGATCGAGGCGCAGTGATGCCGATGGTGAGTTCGATCGATTGTGGGCCTTCACATACGGTGATTGACGATGGTATGATGTTGCGTTGGGTCGAACCTTACAGGCAGCCAGCTGGTGTGGACGTTGCCTATGATCGAGCCGGCGCCTGCCACTGGAATTACATTCGCTACCAACATCACTCCCGGTACCTTCAATGACCCGCCGCCTCTCGTTGATGCACCCCCCTTCCACTACGGCGAGGCAATCCTCTTCCCGCCCCCCGATGAGGCCAATGCTGCTCGTCGCTCTGGACATACCAAGAAGAAACCAGAGAACCACATCCCCCGACCTCCCAACGCGTTCATCCTCTTCCGATCCTCCTTCATCAAGTCCCAGCACGTCTCGACAGAGGTCGAGACCAACCACAGCACCCTTTCCAAGATTATCGGCCTCACCTGGCAAAACTTGCCCGATGAGGAGCGCCAGGTCTGGCACGCAAAGGCAAAGGCTGCTCTTGATGAGCACAAGCGCAAGTTCCCTCAGTACACGTTTAAACCGTTACATAGTAAGTCTAAAGGGGGGACAGAGAAACGGAAAGTGCGAGAAGTGGGGCCGAAGGACCTGAAGCGGTGTGCAAAGATAGCGGAATTACTCGTTGAGGGCAAGAAAGGACACGAACTCGACGTCGCCATCCAGGAATTTGATAAAACCCACGTCCCGGAGGTCATCACAAGGTTCGAAGCCCCCATTACCGCGAAGGCCTACCGACGCTCGAGTTCTGCACCAATCCCAGAGAGCGCGGAACCCCAGCCATTCCTTTCTTCCTCGCCAGCGCTCAAACGCAAGAGTAGGGCTGCGAGCACCCAGCCTAGCCGAAACCCATCTCCTTCGCCTGTGTCGTCTGTACAGACACCGAGTTTGCAGGCCGCCACCATCACCCAACCCTGCAATTCCGCACAGTTCTTTGGCGAAGAGAGTTTCGGATCGTTTGGTTTCCCTCCAAGGGAAGACTCTCCCTTCGTAAGTCCCCACCTAACGCCCCGTTCCCATATGCTAATCCCGGGTTTTCTCGCAGGACTTCAACACTTTCTCATTCGACAATACTTCCTCGCCGTCGCCGGCGTTTGAATGCGATCCGCTGGCTCCTCCTCCCTGCAGTGCGCCCGCCGGACTTCACATGTTCACACTTCCCCCACTTGACAACTCACCGGCGTCTACGGGCTCTAGCAGCAAAGGGAGAGGCCTTTCGATCGACATGTCCTTCCTATCGTCAAGCTTGGTTTCTACACCCAGCTGCCCTTCCCCCTCATTCTCCGCATCCTCGAATGAGTGCAGCACCCCTGGCACGCCATCATTTGACCGCGGTTCTCCTGTCTACATGCCTAGTACGCCCCACTACTCCGGGAATACCCATCTCAACCTCGCTATGTTCGACCCGCCGAAGCTCTCCCAGTCTTTTGACGAGCAATCGCTGACCAAATCTCTGGAGGCATTCCACGAGTACCAACAGACCGGCGCCCCCTTCTTCGAGCAATGCAATCCCACATACGGCTACGACCAGGTAATCAACTTCGGGTATACATCATTCGACAGCGTACCGCAATATACCGTCTGAACACCTACATTCACCCTCGTTCCTTGTCATTCGCTTGACACCCCTCCCTCCTTTATTCTTCTCTTTTTCGCTCCTCCTCAGGCACTTAATGGCCTTGCGGACAAAACTCGTTGGCTCACGGAACACGAATTCAAACCCCTCAAGCTATTTATCTGTGTCCTCCTACTGTATTACTAGCTCTCTCTCCTCTCTCTCGCTCCTCGTTTATTGCTTAATTTCATTTTCGCAGTCGAGCCGTGTGCGTACTCCCCAATTAGCGGGGTCGTACTCTTCCTTTCCGTCCCTCCCACCTTCTTCCCACCCACCAACAACCTCGACCTCGTGTCCACGAACGTACGTATTTGTCCTTCCCTCGACACTATCACCTCTTTGCCCCATTTCCTATTGCGACTCCCACCTCCTTATCTCCGCGCCCGAAACCAACCCTTATCATTATTCATTGTATATACTCTTTATCCCATTCATCGTCTTCGTTCATGATTATCTGATCCAGATTATATTTTGTGCTGTATACGCATATGCGCTTGATCGTGCTATGCCCGGAGGAATCTTGTACATAGAATGTCTGTTGTGCTGTCGTCTAGAGAACCCTACATCATCTCCGAAGGAAAAGGACAACGGATTCTAGGATGTTGGTTGACGTTGCTGTTGTTGCTGATTCCATAATGTATCATAGTAGTTTTCCCTACAGTTCTAGCCTTTCGTCCGTCCAATTACATTGAACGACTCCTCATGATATGATGATCATTATCTTCTTTTTTTCATGATGAACCGAATTGCTGTGACCAGCTGACCGTCTGGGAAAGAAAAAATAAATCGATATAAGAGCAGCGCCCACAATTTAAGACCGGATTTACGACATGGGTTTTCCATGGAATGTCTAGAAGAATGCTCGCTCGGTATATTGCTTTACGTACCGTGACGGGACGTCTCCTCTCGGGCATTGAAAAACGTTCGACGTCGGTTCTGGGCTTGATTTGTGGCAAACAAGGGTCCCTCCCATATTGCTTCTAAAGCCAAGCTTCAAGCTCGAGTCAAGCTGCACTATCAGAGTTATCCGCTCAATGGAGTTCGTGGTAGTGATGATAAGCATTGAGTATATTGCTGCTAGTAGGTCCCAGTCATCCATTACCAGAGCGGGGCCTCCGTCAATTGCGATTACGAGCCCACTGGAGACTTCGGTGATATGAGAACGCCTGGTATCCATATCCGGATAGATGAGGTGTTGTTAAATTCTCATCTGCTAGGTGCAGGGACGACGACAAGGGGTAAGGAACTGTAAGGTTCTGTCGGAGCAGCGAGAAAGCGGACGTTCAGGCCGGCACGGAGGTGGTGCCGGATCACACCTTCCACGAAGATAAGACCTATCAAATACAACAGCAAAGACGAATGCCTTGGAGTTTAAGTTGATTGTTAGCCTGGTGGTAAGCAAACCCATCGGCAAACACGAGAGCTACTGCTGGGGCGCTATTGATGTTACCTTATTAGTCGGCCTGGGTAGTGGCCTTTAAACTTCCTTGACGTATACCGGCGGCGTGTAAATGGGAGAAGGTCCACGCGGTTAAAGAAGCTTGATGCTGCGAATGTGAGCGAATGGCGTGGTAGACCATGTGCTTCGGGATGTGCAGCGGATATACTCAACCTTACGGCCAAACTTTGGGCGTAGGGCTCGGGGGATCAGGTGGGAGACTTGTGGGACACGGTATGCGAACATTAGGTTGTGGAGAGGTAAGAAGCACGACGATGAGAACACCCGCTCGTTGGGTTTAACCGGATTTTTTGAGCAACCCCATCTATCAAGTGAAAATACTCAGTGATACGTACCCATGCTGTACTGAATTCGTGGAGTTTGGGCCGCGGTCAGCTGTGTATTCATGAATGTATTTCGAGACAAGTGCTCACCATGTTGAGATGAATGAAAGCCCCCACGCTAAGAAGCCCGACAGTCCGTTATCTCGCTCGCACCATCGTTAATGGCCGCACGCGGCGATCCCATATGGCATCACGCGAGACCCGTTGAATGAGCCTTGGAAGTCCAGTAGATGCCAACGCCGGTAACCCAGACGATAGCGCTAGCACGAAATCAACAACATGCCAGTGGAATCTGCCAAAATTGGTGGAGTTGCAATGGAGAGCATAGCATCTCCTGGTACAATCCTGCAGGGAGGCTAATAGAGTGGGCTAAGATGGGTTGATATTCGATGACGCTCGGTGGCTTGATCCCTGCGCTGGTGGTCCTGCATGAATGTTTAACGCATGAAACACGGTAAGGTTTAGGGCATTCGCCTGCGTCCGAATCCGAATTGTCACCAGGGGGATATCCAGCTGAAGAACAAGAGAATACAAGAAGCCCATGGCGATCCGATCGACTATCCCCAGTTCCTGATGGTAGGTAGATTAGATACTCAACAGCAGGTAAGGTCAAAAACAAGACTCACCATTAGCGGTTGCAGAAAACAGGACCCTGACGAGGTAGTCAAACTAGTACAGGCAATAGCACCACCTAAAAGATACGTTTCAGTTAAGGGAACAAGGCCAGCGGAAAATCATCTTCGAAAAGAGAACAAGGGCGCAACAGAGTCGAGCTTTGACTGCGGCGCCAATAGAGTAGTGCGTCTGGCCATGTTTCTAAGCAGATATGTGTAGTTCTGGAGGTACCTGGCTGCTGGTTGAGCCAATTTGGCGAATTGACCATCAGGAACGTAGACGTTGTGGCCAAGAGTGAGCACCTCTCAGTGAGCAGCGTGGGCAACTAGCGCCGGAAACCATCACAAGTACAAACAGCCTTACTTCCATGATCCATTAATGCAATTCCAACTTCGTTCCAAACATTGACAATACTAATACTAAGTACTACAAGCCAAGGAGACCATCCGTCTGATGCGTACTGAGAGCAGTTTACTGACCATTCCAGACGGCTAGTGCACCATAAGCGTTAGCACACTACACGCAATTGTCAGCGATACAGTGAAGACTCACGGGGTCCAGGAACTTTGTAGGTGGTCGTTGAGGCTGCTTCAGTCGTGTAGATGTTGATGTTGATGCTAGGGTCGGATGCGCTGTATCCACCTGGGAATTTGACCAAGTAGGAACCACTTGGGGTCTTCGTTCCACTGCCCGTAACGGTAAGTTGAGCACCTGGTTTATTTCACGATATTCAGTAAAGCTGAGGGACGCTGAAGGCAGGAGAAAGCATACATTCTGGGTAGAATTGAGGGGTGTTGGCCTGGTGGAGTGCGAGGAGCTCGTGCTGCGTTACAACAATATTAGTGAGTTGTCAACAAAAACCTAAGATCTTTAAGTTTCTTACCCTGATCAGGTATTCACCAGGTGCGAGGGAAGAGGGAATCGAAGTTGTGTATGAAAGCGTGTCCATGACTTGTCCTGTTCCCCATACACCGCTGGGCAAGGTGCCGGAGATCAAACCTACAGCACAGATATTCAAGTTGCTGTGAGCCACGTTTCCCAACGTCGGAAAAGTTTAGTGAGTTTACTCACCGGTCTCAGCGATCTTGAACCAATCAAGGGTGGCGCTGTTAGCTGCTGTGCACGAGCCTGGGCATTTGGCCATGTAAACCATAACGGGGCCTTGAGCGTGGGTCCATTGACTAGGGCAGACGTTAAGTACGGGCACTTGGAACGCCGAAGAAGGTTAGCGCACCTCCAGTGGGCGACGATCTGTGTCCCTGCTGGAACAGATGTGGTGAGTTGATGGGCGCTAGCCTGACCGTTGTTGTTGCAACTAATCGTCTGTTGTACCGAGGGTGAGTTGTGAAACGGTGCAAGATGGCGGGATGGGCTTACCGAAGCCGTGGCGCTCAGGATACTAGATAGGGGTTTAGTATAGCAGCAATAAGCAGGGAGAAAGCTCATACGGGTCATATGAGCCTTTCAGAGAATCAATATATAAACACATTTGGGAAGAGGTGGCTAGCTTACTGTAAGGGCGTTCAATGGACGACTGGCTAGAAGGGTCGTTATACGGCTGCCATCCCGTGAAGGTTTGGCCTGTGTCGAGCGCTCAATAAATGGTTCGTTAGCTTGATGCGTGAGTCCAACGTACCACCAATGGTATATGAGACTACACCACCATGGGCAAGAACTTGCGATACAAGGCAAGTGGCGAGAACGATGAGGGCAGAGAAGGCCATTGTCGATATCGACGAGAATCGGAATTCCTGGCTAACCTTTGAACAAACCTCGACTCTTTATACCTCAACAGTTCGCTAATAGCACGGTGAAACATTCAACGATCCTATGAGGCAATGCATCAGCGTACTGAGCATATTTCGCCGACTCCATAACGCCTCTACCCTGGAAACCCCACCGCCGGATCTTTAGTAGTCCAAAGTTCTGACCTATTCCGAGATTTAAGCAAGTCGGTGGAAGAGAAGCCTGGGCGGAGTTGCAACGCACGTCGTTAACGTGGAAAGAAGAGAGACCGTCAATGGATAAAGTATTTGGACATAAGTATCGTCGCAGAGGGAGGAGGAGGTCAGATAGTGGAACCGTCCGAGGTTGTTTGAAGCAATTACTGATAAGATGGCGATCCGACGTGATACCGTGCGTCAACCAGCATAATGGTATTTCGGTGGTATGTCCGCTCCTCTCGATAGATTGCCCATATCGGAAGCTCTTGGAATATCCGAAAAGAAGAGGCATCGAAGTGAGTTATTCTGCTGGTTATCGGTCTGCTTGTTTACCGCTCGTGAATTTATCCAGTTATTTCGGCCTTTAGCAATTTCTCCGCAATACTTTCGGTTAACCGACACGACACCTGACCTTGCATGTCGGACATTGGTCTTGCAGACTAACAGACCTGAAGTTTGTACGGTGAACGTGACTAGTGCAGATTGAACGAAGTGTTTTGCAGCGTGGGACGCCGTGAAGTGAGATGGTGTACATGCACAACTTGTAAAACAACTATGTAATACATGGTCAGTTTAGCAGGCGTGCATCTGGAGCGCAGGATGCGGGGAAACGTAGTTGACCACATACAAAAAAAAATAAAGGTACATCCTCGAAGCAGGTAGAATTTCTCCCTTCGCCGTGACAACCATTTTACATGGGTTTTGCTGGTAACTGCGTCAGCAGCACACCGTAACGTTTTTTCAAGGTAACTCGATGCCTCGAGAACTTGTCATCAGGTGAGAACCGGGCTACAAAACATATTTCAGTGGATGCCGCGAAAACATCGCTGAAACCAATCACCAGGATGTGCAGACTTGGTGATATGTCCTGCGTCGGTGACCTTCTGTGGGTTTGGTATCAGATCCTTGCGCCACTCGCGCTGAACTGAGATACGCACTTTCAGAGTATACACTCTGTTTCCACTCTCATCTAATGTGTACATCAAATGCATTGCGAATCACCGTGTTGAAGTCGATTGAGAGGGTTTTTTGAATTGAGCGCCTATCTCGCAGGCAATCTATTTTGAGCGCTTCGCATTATTCCCACCATGATCATCCAACCCCTTTCCCCGTACCAACCGCTTGCCAACCGCGCCCGGACTCTGCAGACTCGCTACTCAATGGATCGACCGGGCCCAGTCGCTGCTCCGTGATGCCTGGTTATAAACTTTCCACACGGCTATGCCTTGGACTGACAATCAAGCACGAAATCCTTGGTCAGGCGCCCACGTGATACGCTCACTAAGATATCTTGCACGATGATTTGACCGTGATGGAGCTGCAGGCTGTACAGCGCTAGGGCAGGGTATATAAGGCCCCATTTTGTTTGTCTGGCCATCATCATCCCCTCCCCGAACAACCACTTCAATCGCCATGCCAGTCAAAGTTCTATCCAAGTTCGATGAGTTCCAGACAATCGTGAGTGTCTACGGACTTCCGATCGTCTGCCTAAGGTCTAATCGCCGATATGGATGATAGATCAACAGTGGGGAACCAGTCGTTATCGATTTCTGGGCCACTTGGTGTGGACCATGCAGAATGATCTCCCCGATCTTGGAACAGCTCTCAGACAACCCAGACGTGTCTAAAGTTCAATTCTACAAAGTTGATGTAGATGAGGCAGATGAGATAGCTAAAGATCAGCAGATCAAAGCCGTAAGTCCCTCTGATGTTACTAAGATCAAGCGCTAATGTACGTTCAACGGGTAGATGCCGACCTTCCGCCTTTACAAGGATGGCAAAATCGTCAAGGAGCTCGTTGGTGCCAACCCAGGAGCCCTTCAAGTGAGTCCATCCGTAACGACCATTTTGGCAGATTGCTCATCGCTCATGTAGGGGTTGGTTTCTGAAGGAGCGTTGCTTGTTTAATATTTTCATGTCGGCTTATTACCGAAATGTTGTACTTGTAAAATGCCAGTCTCGAAATCGCCTAGCGTTACATTTCAGGATAAGGTTTATTAAGGACAACTTGCGAGTTGACATTAAATAGCAGATGCTAATGATAAAGGAAAGGCGAGCAATGCAACGTCGAGTGTAGTAGGGATATATATCGTGAATAAGCGTGATGGAGGGGAGAGAGGAGAGAGAGCCAGAGGTCCATTCGATGTAAGAGCAACAAGCTAGTAGGCAGGAAAGGATGCAGTCATATGAACATGAACGAAGTTGTTGTCCGTCCGAGGCTAAAATAGTAGAGACAGCGGCTAGGTTTTGGCGGGGGTAGGTACTGTACGCTGCGAGAGCCAACACGTAGTCCGTAAACGAGAAAAGGTATGCAACAGGAGATTGCTATATGACGTTCATTAGGCCATAAAAGTACTGTGTATTTGCGTGATGAAAACAGAAGAGAGACCGAAGAAAATTCGCCGAGAGAAAGGTTAATTGTAGCCACCGTGGTATGGTTGGGGCGGCGCAGCGCCTGGCGGGAGGTTGTACGCACTAGAGTTACGCGAATATCGATTCTGGGCAGGCGCTTGCGTAGATTGCCGTCTTCCGGTGGCTTTGGATACTCTTCGAACACCTTCAGGACCGGGAACAGGGCCGCTATCCGTAAGGGTTATTCCTCTATAACCTTGATTCACGGGTGCTCCCCCTGCGCCTACACCAGCGAACCCGCTGACTTCCTCCGTTTCAGCACTGTATGCACTACTCTCCTCGTACCCTCCAGGCGACTGAACCAGACTGCCGCCGCTGGAGCCCCCGAATGGGTTGTATCCCTCCGTCGCATATCCTGTTTGCACGGGGGCAGTTCGGATGTTGACGTTAGGAGGCATTCGTGGAATGGGAGATTCATAATGTGGTGATGAAGAGTATCGTACGGGCGTGCCAACACTTCCGGAGACGGTAGATTCCATTGAGTCGCTGTACTGGTCGCCGGACTTCGGGCTGGGGACAAGGCGTTGATGGGAGGTCGACCCGACGTCGGACTGGTAGGTCTGATCTTCACTTGATCGTGAAGGAACAGACGCTGTCGACGACATAACTGGTCTACTGACAGACAATGGAGTGGGAAGCATTAGCAACGCGTTGCTGTCATGTCGTGATCGTTGTCCGCTAACGTTCCCCGTTGTAGAGTCCACAGTGCTGGTATCGAAACCGTTGGATGGAGGATGCCAAGTATCCGAATTCGAAGCCAGAGAATAGCGGTTGCTATCAGCCCTAACACTCTTATCAGCGCCATATACTCATACTGAGGCCTTATTACTCACTTCCTTTCATAGAAGGTCGAATCCCTGGACTGGGTGCCACTCTTCCACCTTCTATCTCGCTCAAACTCTGCCCACCTCTTCATGACGATGTGCGTCGAGTCGAATTCTCCTTCCTTATCGCCATGGTTCTCTTTGTCCTCTCCAGCAACCTGCCTCGTCTGACCCCACGAGAAATCATCGAAGTGCCAGAATGCGTACGCGGGCAGTATACCGTTCCAGATGGGCAAGGAGAGGAGGTACACCAACATCCAACCAATGTAGGCGATCTTCCGCGAAGTGACTACGATAAGGAGACCCGGCAGACCAAGAACGACGGCAAGCAGTACGAGTGGAATGGTTGTATCTGTACCACCCGGAATGATGGAAACGATGATCAAGTACAACGTGAATGCGATAGCGGCCGGTAGGACAAGCGTTCCGGCCAACTCCATGCCTACTACGAACTGCATCGAGAAACAGAACGTGCCGCACAGGTCTCGAACCAGTAACAACTCAGCCAAATTGTGGATAGTGGAGTTGATCCATCGTCGTCGTTGAGAGAGAAGGACGCGGAACGTATCGGGGACAACTGTCTTGCAAACAGCCTGCGGACAGAACATGTTCTTGCGTTTGGGGAAGGTCTTGAGCATGAGAGTCGTGAGGTACCGATCTTCACCGAGGAGCAGAAGATTCTTCTTATGCAATGTGTCGACGACGTTCTCTGAATAGTGCTCGACGATGTCGGGATTTGCGAGAATTGGCACCCAGTAGCCGTCGTCGCCCTTCGGAGCTTTGATACGGTACATGCTAAAACAACCAGGCAAACAAGTCACACCACCGAACATTGATTCGAAGGCTTTTGTCATGTGGTGCGAGATGTAGTATTCGAAGACTGGGCAGAGGATGAGTAACAGCGTCCTAGGTAAGTTCTATAATCCAGCATACCTTGCATCATGGTAACAAAGGTCTCCGCCTTATTGGCAATCTTCGTCTCTCCACAAAGACCCATGATCTCTTCATCGTGAACCATGCAGCTGACCATCCTCGTCAAGGAATCCGGGAAAACCTTGGTATCGGCATCGACACACAGAACCAACTCATATCGATCCGGACTAACACCCGTGGCCCTCCATATCGAGTTGAAGAACTCATACTCGAACGTCGTCATCCGTTCGTCAAACATAACTTTCTGCAAGAATCCCATAAGGACGATCTGGCTATCCCGCTTTCCTCTGTTTCCAGGTTTCGAGTCGTTGGCTTCGAGTGGATTACCGCACTTGGCGACGAGCACCACTGGAACACGTTGTTGCTTCGATCTCTCCACCGTTGCGTTGTCGTAATCGTAAAATCCAGCATATACCTTCGCCATGTTGTGTCTTTTGTGTCCGTCTGCAATGGCGACATACGAGTGGGGTTCGACCTCGTTCGGTGCAATGACAAATTCCTTCATCATGGTCAGGCAAATTTCTGGAGTCGTCAAGTTATTACCGGCACCCTTGACCATACCGTCAGCGATGATGAGGATCAACTTGTGGCTATTGGGGTAGTCGGTGGTCGCAAGTGAGTCGAGAGTTGTTCTCAACCCTTCCACGGATTCTGAGTAGGCCGTCACGAGGCAAATTGTATGGGCAAGAGGGAAGTTGAATGGCTCGAAGTCTGGTGGTGGCTGGGGGACGACATTGTGCAATGGGAAAGGACAAGGGTTGTCCAAAAATCCTCCTTTCGCAGAATCGCCGAACGAAGTAGTGCTTCTGGAATATCGACTTGGAGAGTCGGCACCTTTTTGCCCACCTTTCGCCGATGCAGCATACATGGTAGACCGCTTCCAGTTGGACGAAGACGAATCCAACATACCATAGGTGGTAGCCGGACGCCCTGGCTTCAAGTTCTCCGATGGTGTAAAACGCGAGCGGCTAGGAAGGAACTTCTTCCTGCTACGAAGTCCATTCTTGCCTACGTTAGGGCGATACTCGCTCGGCGCCGGGCGATAAATGTCGCTTGTCCAGTTCTCAATTTCTGCCGACCTTGCCATCCGTTGCTCATAAGTTTCGCGAGGGAAGTTGCCCAGTTTCCAAGAGAAGAACCATTGAAACATGACGGCCATGATGAATCGAATGGCGACGACGCCGATGATGAAAACGAGGGAGATGTAAAGCACGACTGATGATGCGACGCAGCCGATGCTGTTGGTATCAATGAAGCCCACGCGAACAATGTCCTCCAAGCAGCGTCCCAAATTCGCTTGATTCGTACGCATGAAAAGCATTGTAAGATCTTTGTTGTTGTACGTGCCACTCGCTGTCTTCATTTCATCAAAAATTGCAGGATAGTCAACTTGCACCCTGCTGAGCCACTTAAGCAGGTCAAGGTCGAGCACCGAACTATGGGTAGTGTCAATAACCATTGTGAGCAGGAGATCACGACGCGTACGATTCAAAAACGGCCAGATTACGGTTTGGGTTGTTCACGTCGTCCCAAGTATAGAAAACCTCTCCTTCGGGCTCAATTTGGTCCAAAAGTTGCCTGGAGTTGGACGTCAAATGACAGTTCGTTGGACGTTCGTAATTCGACAGATTCGTGCGGGGAGTGTTGTCGTGGATGTTGCAAGGAAAGTACCAGTCCAAGTTGTTGCCGCTACCCGTAATAGTAGACGTGCTGGCCTTCGTGATCATCCCGAGACAGTGCTGATTCGTTTTCTGAAACAAAAAGGATGCATCGTTGCCAGCAAGGTCCCAGCCGCCTTGAATGAGAGGGTTAGTCTGGCCGTTGAACGTGCCTCCCGTATTCGGGTGCTTGAAGTCGGAGAAGTCGTAGTCGTATCCATGAATGACAATGGAACTGTTCCCTATTTCATTTCCGTGGAATCGATTGGGTGGCTTGCCGCAAACACTCTCCGTGAAGCCGAACGTCAAGAAGCCGACGCCAGCCATTAGAGACAATATAATCGAAAGAAGGCCCATTTTCTCTCGCCAGGCGCGTTGCTGCTCGGGGCTCCGGATACCTGGCAGATCGGTAATATGTCACCGCGAATTTACAATTCGGAATGCGGGCATCACTCACCACAGGATCGGAGTAGGAAAGGAGGGACACAGCAGGTAAGTAGCCAGCAGTAGATCATCCATGGGCCTTTGGGACCAGGAGCAATATTGTCGAAGCAAGAGCGTCGGGGCTCGGGAGCGCTTTCGGCAGCGGACTGTGGGCGCTTTCGGCGAAGGGTGTTGCGCTTGAACAAAGCAAGGCCCGACTCGTGTACATCTTCCTCGCGTCCCAGAAGTGACTTCCCTCTCCTCAACACGCCTCTCTGCGAAGGATAATTTCCAGTAGCTACCTCGCTGTTTAGCCCGGCAAAGAAAGGCGAAATAAAGAAAAGGAAGGGTGTACGAACCTGACGGCAGCACCCCGAATCTACTATTTGAATCACTTTCCAATTGAGCTGCAGCGTGGTTGCGATAATGCCATTGCCTATGCCCTGGGTCTATCTTCTCTCTGTCGGGCCTGACCAGACTCTTCTTCCTCCCCACTCTTGAGGGATCCAGGGCTTCTGGATCGTTGGAATAGTATGCTCGCTGGCGCTGTTGATCCGCTGAAGGGTGTGCGCCGGCTCGCTCGTCGACTTGAAATGATACATTTGTGTGATGATGGGGTATTTGGGGACGGCCAGGCGAAGAGGATCTATCGGGGTACTGTATCGTGGGCGGTGAGAGTGGGGGTTGGTTCTGTTGCTGTTGCCTAGGACGAGGGGCCCGGGGAGGGCGCTGCTCTCGATAGTCCATCTTCCGACGTCAAATGAGAGGCGACAAGTTGAGTGTGCGTGAAGGAAAGTCGCCAGCAACAAACGAAAGTGGGGAGGAGGAGAAGGGAGCGCGAGGACAAAGTTACTCACACTCCAAATTTGGAATGACAAATGAAACAGAAACTTACAAAATTCTCAGTTTTTTGTGAGGAAATTGGCACGTGCTGATTTCGAGGGACCCCTGTCAACCTTGCCACTGCTCGCTCCCTCTTCATGTGTCCATTACTGAAAAAGAGGCGTGGATAGCGCCAGTAAAAGCGATCAAAATATAGACATTTTACGCCATTTCTCCCGCTATTTTTACAAGTTATCAAACATCACTTAGTCGCTGATTTCATCACCGTGACTACATGGTCTAAGGTCTTGCTGAAAAAAAAACTCGTCACCACTGAGATCATTCACATCCGAGCCCTCCACCGCCTGGCAACGGGCGTGCAGGCACCGTGAAACTGTAGTTTATTAATCAACATGCTTACCAGGGTCTGCAGCCGAGCAAGCAAACATGGTTGGGGCCATATGGATCAGACGTTTTGCTGCGGCACAGTGCATGTATATTGTAAGTCTGCAATACCGCCATCACAGTTTGGCACGCATTCCCAGGTCGATGTGCAAAGTGTCCCAAAAGTGGTATTGTCTCCTCGCAAAAACCGACTTCCGGTTCCAGGCGCCGGGCCTGCGACAGAGGATGTATTTTTGGGACGGCAGAATGCCAAGCGCAACCTCGATATGTCTAAGAGTGTGAGAGTAGCGAGTCGTGGTTGCGGCTGCTGGCACTGACGCCCGTTGATGATCAGGATTGCTACCATTGCCTGGGATGTGTTCCACATTGTTTGGACAAACAAGGCAGAAAACATTGTGAGGAAATGACAGCGGCGCATCGTGCTGCCCATCTCTTGTCACCGAATACACCAGCGCGACATACGAATGTATTGTCACTGCTCCACTTAGTCGAGTTCCAAGGACACTCAACTTAGTTGGTGACCAAATAAAACGGAAAAGAAATGACAATCGTCGGACTATCCGTTGCATGTCATCGTGAACACGAACCCGACGTCACCGCGGTACTTGTATCCGGATTCCGAGTCGGGCGTCGGTCAAGAGGCGACCAAGAAAAACCCCGAGCACCGATATTTCTCCAGACATACATCGTACAACAGTCGACTACTCACATTATTTAGATAATACATCTTCTAGATATCTTCTACTTTCTGAAACAGCAAACAACGACATCGGTAAGTAGCACAACAATTAGTCGCACGAAGATAGTGATTCAAGAGAAAGGTAACCTCAAGTACTCAGCTCTCTGGGGAGGTCGATCCTCTGCTCATCCTGCGGCTCTTCGAGGGACACCTCGGCCATCTTCTCGACCACCTCCGGCGTGACCTGCCCCGAGCTCAGACTCGAGTCATTGGATGGATCTGACGATGATGCGGGGGAAGGTTGCGAAGAGGGGGGAGAAGGCGCCTCGGCACCCTGGTGTTGTGAGGTGGTGGTCATACCGCTTACACGCGTACCGTCCGGAGCGATGCCACACGCCCTTAAATTAGAACAGGCACGTCAATACGCGCAGGCGGGATAGGATAGGATAGGACGCTCACTCGACGATCTGCCGCCAGTAGCTCTTCGACTCGAACTCGAAGTTGTAGTCACCTCCGAAATCAGCGTCGAGCTGCGACTTGGGTATGAGCTCGAGGAGGTCGGGGTTGAATCTCATCTACATAGCATTATCAACATCAGCATTGACATTAAACCTAATTATGGTCAAGCGCATGGGGGAATGATGCCTAACCTTATCCCGCGTGACGGGGTCGAGAAATGGCGAGATGCCCTTGTAGAAGAAGCTGAGGATGTACGGGAGGTTCACGACGATCGCGCGGCCGAGCGTCTCGACGTAGTGCTGCTGCAGGATGTGTAGGACCTTTCGCGCGATGGAGATGGAGGGGTTCGTGCGGAGGGTGGTGCTCTTGTAGTCGACGACGATGACTAGAGATTCCTGGCCGGGAGGCATCAGGTCCTTCGCGCGTTCTCTACGAGCGGTAAGGTGAGGGAAGGGAAAGTGAGTATAGTGTAGAAATTGAAGGGAAGGTGGAGCTTACAGCCACCAAACGAGATGCCGCAATTGTCGGTCGCTGCGCTCCGTGTTCTCCCTCCCGGGTCGCATGTATATGATCGGCCGTCCATCCTTGTCGAATCCCGTCAAGATACTGCACGACACCCAATCCCAAACCACCATCAGCACCCATGCATCCACGTGTTATCATTCGAGCCTAGCTCAATTACTCACATTTTCCCGGTCTCGCTCTCAACCTCCACGTCGTCCGGCACGATGAGGTCAGGCTTGAAGTCGCGCCGCCACTCGAGCGTCCCCTTTATCCGCTTCTGCGCATCCGCGTAGTGCCACTTCGCCGCGCGCATGTACCGGGGAATGGTATCGGGCTTGCTCAACCACCGCTTCTCCCATTGGTGGTACGAGTCGGATTCGGGGAGAAGTAATGAATCTGCGTACTTCGCAAGCGAGTCAGCGAATGGTCCTTTGATGAAGTAATGCTCCGAAAGGAAGACTCCAATTAAAGTGCATGTACCACTCACTTCCTTTAAGTCCTTTATCAGCGCCTGCTGCTCCTCCGTGTACTCATGGATAGGGCTCACGACCGTCTCGGGTGCGGGCTTTATGAAAACCTTCGTCGTTCGTTCTGAGTTTTCCGACATTTTGGGGCGTTCCGAGAATGAAAGGGAAGTGGAAAGAGAGGTCGGATAGGGATATAACGGACAAACGGCTTATTGTACCAATCATTGATGACAGGGGGCTGACTCATACGCCTTACGTTAAGCGCGCATCACACGTCACGCACGTGTTCTTCTATCCCGCCGTCGCTAAGTCAATTGAGGCGGGATGGCGGTTATTATCATGCGGGAGACATAGCATACCTCACTTTGTGCAGTCTGAAGCTCTGAAGTCTAACTGTCGGGGTGCACCGATTTGTCCTTCAGGGAGCTCCTAACTCCTGATACTTGATGAGATTAGCGCGCGTTCAATGCTAGTACGGCACGGCTAATAGTGATGGGACAGCCTGACCCTGATATTTCGGACTTGACATCAAAACTACGTATCTCAAAGATGCTAGAGATTTCACCTCTGATGTTGACTCACATGCACGACTCTATCAGCAAGTTATCGAGATTCCCGGGAGTAATACGACCATCTGAGTGCCGATTCACATTGATCAGATGCTACTGCTACACATCAATGAGCCGTAAAGAGGACTGCCATGCGCTTGTCGCCAGTCGGAAGCAACGCGGCGTACTTAGACGAAGTGCCCTTGCTATCATTGCCATCGCAGACAGTCAGCTCCCACTCTCGCGCCCACCCAAACAACTTGAACTCATAACTCACCAGCACGTCCGGGACTTTAAGCCACGTGTTCCCGAAGATCACGAGGAGGTCGTTCCCCTTCACATCCGTGATCGTCGCGGTCGTGTTCCGCAGGTGCACGACGGCGGTCTCGCTGGGTGCCGCCGCCCGGTGCCAGTGGTTCACAGCCCAGTTCTCCAGCTCGTGCTCGACGGGAAAGAAGCCAGGGTTGCCGCCGGAGGTGTGCGCGGAGGAGATGGAGACGTTGAGGCATGTGCCGGATTGGTTGGACACCCAGACCATGGTGCGCTATGCTTGAGATTCTAGAGGGATGGGGCGTCAGTTGGGCTCGATTGGTGGGTGGTGAGCGCGGGGTATAGTCAAAGGAACTGGGAGTCATGGCTCACCTCGAGAGGCTGAGATGCTGATGCAGGAAGCTCGAGCTTGAAGGTTGGGAGTGCGCAGACTCTCGTTTTATACCGGCAGATGTCCTCAAAGCAGCCTTGACACGCAGACTGGGTCGCCTATGCGGACATGAAACGCTGCTGGGAATCTGTCTGCGAGCGCGAGCTATTCCATTGATTAGTGACCGGCGTTTGGAGAACTCCTAGGAAACGACGATGTTCACTGTGAACTTCCATATTATCAAAGACACGCGAATCAGATTCGTGGATGACCTAGGACGACTGGCCTAGCAAAAGTGCAGACTTGCAGGATTCAGCCCAAAGTTCTAATTACTGAATCGCCTCCCCTGTTGCTCACCTAGCCTTCACAGACACTCCCATTGTCAATTCGTGAGTTGTAGCGCCACCATTGTGCGAACGGGCTCACCTGCAACTGTTCAGAATCGTTGATCCCCTTCATTAGTATCTCATCCACGACGTATGTCCATATATAGCCTTGCTTCCGCTTCTCGCTCAATTTAAACCCATAAGAGCGACCTTCCCAATTCATGCATCCATACCAGTCTTGGTGTTCTCAGTGTTGGCACAGGAGTTACAGAACCGCCGGCAACCTACAATCAATCGATCCATGGAAGGATACTCTGACTCGGCCCGTCGTGGCTAGTGTTACATTCCCCTGCGCACTCTGGTCTCAGCGTTGCCGCCCTAGTGCGTGATCAACTTCATCTAAGCTGGCGTATTCGTTGTCGTCCTGTTTGGCGTTGACGGTTCTTTGTAGCTTGGAGGCCTGTACTCGTCGGGGTAGCGATTCTGCTCGCAACCGATGCCCTCTATCCCCCTCACCAACAATACGTCTATGCCAGTGCCTCCGTCGTGCGCTCCAAATAATCACGTCGACACGTAGGATGGGTGTGCACGCTCTCCACCAGCCGCTGCTAGATCGCAATGGCTCTGAATCCCCTTACCCTCTCCTTCCTCGCACACGCCCCAAAACACGACCTGGTGTACCCAGAGAGTCAACCAAAGGGTCGATCACAGAGGCGATCAGAGCCACCGTGACAGAGAAGGCACAACTGCCTTAAACTATCCCGTACATATAAGCGATCGAAGTAGCTTTCCTTGAGGACCGCGGAAGGGCATTTTGGTCACTGCCACTGCCATGATTACGGATGCAAGACACGGACCGGGGGGTTGCTTTCCAGACTTGTGGCGACTCAGGCATTGGTTTATACCGTCTACGTCGGGTATGCAAGTTTGATCTTGGAGTCTCTTTGAGAATTATGGTGGCACTGTCGGACAAGACGTCGTTGTAGCGCACGATCTGTCCTAGCCTGCTGGAATGGGCGATCGTTAGGACTCCAAGGTGACCTTCTCGTGGCCGGAATCTGACTGGATGGTACAGTCGCCCGCGATAGGCGCCGTCTTAAGAAAAGCAGGAAAAATGGCGAAGGTTGGGGAGGGCGTTCCGACCATTCCGTTCGGCCATCAACGATAACTAAGGTCGAAATCAATGAAGGGTATGGTTGGGGAGAAGGGCGTTGCCCAAAAAAACTTAACGGTGATGGGTTCCTGGAAACAACAGTGCATTCAGCTAGACTGATTCGAGATACACGAAAATATCACGGAAATCGGCGGGCGAGTCATTGAGCGTACTCAAATGGGTTCTACTTGAAGCAGATATCAGAACCCATTCCCGAGTGTCTTCGTGTGTCCCTAGACGTACTGAGTCACCGCGCAGGTTTCTAGTTGTCATCCTCCCACTTTCATCGACTGAAGCGGCACGTTAGCGGGATATGGCCCATTCTAAGTGTTACTTCTTGAATGCCGCCGAATATATGATTAAATAGATAACAAATGCGTAGGATGTGTCCGTTACTGGATATGATAAATTAAGGGTATCCCGTCAAACCATACAGCGTCGATTCCGGCCTTGGTATCAGTCTCGGCCCGCGATAATACCAGCGTCTTCGTTTCCTCTTCTTCGTAGTCAAGAGCCGGGTCTTGGTACTGTGCATCGCTCCACGCTTTCACAAAGCATTTGACAGCGTCAACCGACACATTGAAGCATTCTATGACCTCGAAGATGGAAACCAGCGAGTAAAAGAATGGCTGGGATAGCATTTTGATGGATGTATCCGTGAACCCAGGGCACGCCACCACCGCTACGTGACTGCCGTTCCAGCACCTCAGGAATTCGGAAATATCCTGATCTTCGGGCATTTCCTGCAGAGTCAGGGAGCAGGACGAAAGCGATGCTAGTTCCGGAAGGCCGCATCGTGATAAACGTATAGATTCTATACCGCCGCCGCTAAAGTCGATGTTACGGAGTAAGCAGGCCACAGTTTGTGCAGACAGATCCTCGAGAATCAGAGTCTCCACGTGTATGGAATATGGTGTATTGGTCGAGGCGGAGCAGTCCAAGTTCATTTCACGTATGGTCAGCGACGAATCCTCGCGGATGGTAGAAAGGGCGTGGAGAATCGTGTCAGCTTCTTCTATAGCTTCGCGTTCATTGTTAGGTGGTGAATAGTTGTACAGGGTCCAATTTGTTGCCATGAGCGAGGCAAGCCACCCGGAACGGCAGGCAATTATAACATTAGGACCACCAAGTATCAAGGTTTCGAGTTTTGGGCATGAAAAAGGGATCATGATAGAGGGGTCGAGGTTCCCCATTCGAGAAGCTTGACAACCAAGCTCGAGGGTCTTCACTGACGGCGCTGCAGTACCAGAAAGGAGTGGGAGCACCGGCAACGCCCGGAGATCAAACCGCAATGCGGTGCAGCGATGAGCAAAAGAAGGTAGAATCCTCATGATCGAAACCACTCTCGCAGATTCCACGTCGGGTGAGATGACGGCGTTTACATTGCGCGAAGCTACCACGCTCAGATCTATCGGCAATTCCTTGGACCATTGGATTTCTTCGGCCAGCGTAGAAATATCCCAAGAAGGTTCGTCAATGCAGACGCAGATACGCGTCCAGTATCCCGAGTTCAGTGCTAGTAAGGCTCGCCATTCGTCGCAAACAGCCGCCAAAGCATAGGGAAACCAGAAGCTAGGCGGTTGCGAGTTCGTCGTTATACTGAAACAGTCCTGGTTGTCGCCACTTCTCGAGTCGCGGTAAAGATGGTCGAATATGATGAGGAGCAATTCGGGAGGCAAATCGTAGATAGATGTGGTCCCTTCGGAGCTACCAAGACCGTAGCAAAGGCGGTTGGTTTGCATGGAAAGGATAAAGGATGGAAATTAGATACGTCTGAAGCCTGCAGAGTGCGATGTTGGTGGAAGAAGCAAAGAAGTTTGTTGTTAGGTACTGATTAAAATTTGGCGGAGCCCGTCTGTCACGTGGGCGCGAACTCCGATCACAAAGGGGCGGGCCCGATGTGAGGATAGATGAAATTTATCCACGGTCTATCTACGAGTGCACGTGAGACCCCTGTTCCCCTATCTCTCCCTTTGAGTATCTGCGCCTTTGTCTTTGCGCGCACGTATATATAGCACGATCTCCCGCTTTAGCTTCTCATCTTCTTACGTTCACGCTCGATAGGTAAACTAATCTATTATTACCTTACCAGCGCATCTTCTTACGTTCACGCTCGATAGTACATCGAGTTGTTCACTTCTTTTTCAGGACGCCTCCACGGAAAGCCCGCGCCTCTGCTCGCCCGCGCGACGCAACCGGCCGCTTCCTCTCGTCGTCTTCCAGAGCCACTCCACCAGCTGCCTCAGCCACTCCGCTTTCTTCACCACCAGACTCCCCAACCATCCCGCCCACTCGGCCTTTGTCCCCGGAACCAGATATGGCCGGAGAAGGAAGCAACCAGGACGCTAACCCCCTCGAGGCACGCGTCGTCGGGTTAGAAACAAACGTTAACGAGATCCTAGAACTACTTCGCAACGCAGCAAGTAATCCTCCCCCCCCTCCTCCCCCTGTTCCTCCTGTTGCACCAGCTATCCCAGCCGCGCAGGCTGCCCCGGCCGCGCCACTCGTTCAAGGGGTCCCCCCCTTTGTCCCCTACATTCCCCCTCCAACAGCTAACTCGTCTATCGGTACGTTGTCCATTCCTGACTTCTTTCCCGACGTCGAGGCCGCAATCGTGGTCTCGATTGGCAAGCATGAGTTCAAGCCGCAGCAGCTTGGCAAGCTCATCCCCAGCGTCAACTCGAAGGCCACCACAACGACCTACGCTCTTGAGGACGGCGCATTACGCGCCACAGAGACGGCTCCCATCAAAGACCTTCCGGACTTCTCATCCTTCATGCGCGCCCTGGGAGTCTACTTCCAAATCCTTTACAGATACGTAGGGACCACAGGGAGCATACAGGCCGTCACGGACGTCGCCGTCTTCACCCAGAGCTACTCCAACCTCCTGCACGAGTACTCGCGCTACTTCGCCTATCCCGCCATCCTCACCTATCACATTGCGCACCACTCCCGCCGCATTAGGGAAATGCTCAGGGGCGACTACTCCTTATGGGGTGACAAAGATCGCGCTCTTGTCGGCCCGCTTCACCGATCAAACATGTTCCAAGAAGTAAAGCCCACCTCCGCATCTAGATCCAAAGCCTCATCACCTGCAACACCTCCCCGCGACGTCTCCACCCAAACCTGCAATCGATTCAACGATGGCAAGTGTCCCACCACACCATGCAAATCAGGACGTATCCACAAATGCTCAACCTGCGGCTCCACGGCGCACGGCAAGGTCACTTGCACTCAGGCCCCTCCCGTCGCTTGAAAGCCTGGCAGGACGAGGGACACAAACCCCGAATCCTCCCCTCGTCCTTGCCTACAGGATGAGCAGCTCGTTCCCGTCCCATCTCTTCCTCCACCACTGCCTACATCTATAATCGCACCTCCCCTAATCACGACACCCCTGTCCCTATTTCCCCCTGGTCCTATACCTCCTACTCGCCCTAACACAGACCCTCGCTGTAATCGCACGTCGCTCCGTACTTCTGATGACATACCCGTTAAATCGACACTAGTCTATTCACAGTGGGCTCATTACTTAGCGGACTACCCCGATTCCGAATATGTACAGGCTCTTTTACACATAATACAATATGGTGCTGCTATCGGATTTGCTGGTGAAGACAAACCTCAGGCGTGTCGCAACCTCAAAACGGCCATAGACCATCCCGACATCATCAACAACGACATGAACGTACTTCGTGCCAATGCCAGGATACATGGTCCCCTCGTCTCACCTCCCCACCCCGCATTTCGCGCGTCTCCTCTTGGAACCGTTACGCGGAAACGATTCCCTAATAAATTCCGGGTGATAAACCACCTATCCTGGCCTCCTGGCAATTCTGTCAACGACGGTATCCCGGATAGCGAAGGACACATCGTCTATGAAGCCGTATTCCAAGCAATCCGCACGATTCGTCGTCTCGGGCGTGGCTCACTACTAGCCAAACTCGACCTCAAGGACGCCTTCCATCATATCCCACTTCGCGCCTCGGATTATCATCTAATTGGCTGCTTCTGGGACAACGCATTCTACGAATACATGGTCCTGATATTCGGGCTCAAGTCTGCGCCATACATATTCAATCTTTTCGCTGAAGCACTACACTGGATAATCCAACACCACATCCCCGCTGAGCTAAAGCACTACCTCGACGACTTCCTCCCTATCTTCTCCCCTGACACCCCGCTTTCACTCGCAAACGACGCCGTCTCTTGGATGCAAGCTCTGGGCAACTCGTTGGGGCTCACATTCCAACCAGAGAAGACAGTGTGGCCTACCACTCGTCTGGAGTTCCTCGGGATCGAGCTGCACACCGACACCATGGAAGCACGCCTACCAGAAGATAAATTAACCTATCTGAAGGAACTACTCTCCCTCTGGTCCACCAAGGCAAGCTGCAACCTTCACGAGCTCCAGGAGCTAACTGGATTCCTCCACTTCACGTCCCAAGTAATCCCCTACTCGCGTGCCTTCCTCCCTCGTCTCATACAATTCTCAACGACGTTCTCCACCCCTCACTCACGCCGCCACGTTCCACGATACGCTCGGAGCGACTTACGCTGGTGGTCTACTTACGCATCATCCTGGAACGGCGTTACCCTCATTGATCCCCCATCGTCTCAGCATCACCTATTCACAGACGCTAGCGGTACCAAGGGGCTAGGGGGCATCTACAACAATCACTGGTTCAGCACCAGAGTCCCTCGCCGCTTCAGGGGCTCGAAACACAACATCCAATTCAAGGAACTATACGCTGTCCTCCAAGCTATACTACGCTGGGGCCACCTCTGGCGCCATTCCCATGTCCATTTCCACGTCGATAACCAGGCCGTCGTTGCTGCGCTATCCGACCATACTAATCGCTCCCCCCATCTTGTCAAGCTGCTGCAGCTCATACTCATGCTTGCCGCTACTTTGGAATTCTCTTTCTCTTCTTCTTGGCTTTCTTCCGCTGATAATGCACTTGCTGACGCTGCCTCTCGGTTCCAATATACTCGACTATTCTCTCTTGCTCCCAATCTTGACAAGCAGCCATTCTCAGTCAACCCCCAGACTCTTGGTATCAAACGAACCCTCAGCACTCAAGAATCGTTGCGTTCTATCTCTGGTACGGTCTCGCGTCCAGCACCAGGTCCACTTACGGCGCTGGTCAGAAATCATTCCTCGAATTCGTCAGAGCTCGCCCTGCCCTTGTCAACAGCGACGGCTCCTGCATCCCAGCCACCCAACGCAGTATCATGGAATGGATCGCCCACCTTGGGACACGTCGTCTTCAGCCAAAGACGATTAAATCCTACCTCACCGCCGTTCGTTCCCTCCACCTCGAAGCGGACGCCCCCTTTGCCGTTTGCGAAGCCCCTATCGTGCAACGTCTCATCAGAGGCATCAAACGATACCACGGTGAACGCGAGCGCAATCCCAAACTACCCATTACATTCCCCATTTTATTCAAACTTACTTCCCTCCCATACACCTCCTTCGACGATATCGTCTTCATAACAGCAGCGAAACTCGCTTACGCGGGTTTCCTCCGTTGTGGGGAATTCACCATTGACAAACCCAACTCCTTTGACCCCAACATTCATGTTACACGTTCCTCCATTCGTTTCATGCCTTCTTTAATTCAGCCTGACCATATTATCTTAACTCTTCCTGCTTCCAAAACCGATCCCTTTCGAAAAGGCGTTACAATCTATATAGCTTCTGCCCTTAATTCCCCCTCCACCTGCCCCGTCTCTGCTTTACTTCATTTATTTACACTTGACCCTCGCCCCCTTAATTCCCCCTTATTCATCACCTCTGATCACTCCCCGCTCACGCGCTCTCGCTTCATCGCTCGCCTCCGGCTCGCACTGCTTGACATTGGGCTCCAACCACAAGGATATTCTGGCCACAGCTTTCGCAGAGGCGCTGCTTCTGCCGCTGCTGCCGCAGGACTCCTTGACCACGAAATCCAACAATTGGGACGCTGGCGCAGCGACGCATATCGCCTGTACATCGATACTCCCAAGGATCGTATTCTCAACCTTTCCTCGCGTCTCCACATGGCCGATCCTCATGCTTCATCTTTCGAACCTCCGGCTCTTCCCTTCGCACCTTCCTTGGCTTGAGTTCGGCCCCTGTTAGGGGGTTCTCCTATCTCAGGAGTTCGTCTGTGTCCCACTCCCGGGTTCCATCCGTTCCCGGGCCGTGGACCAGTCGCTGAACGAGAGAGCTTTTGGCGACAACGAATACACTCTTCGTTATCCCAAAACGAGTTGGATGGATGTGAGGATAGATGAAATTTATCCACGGTCTATCTACGAGTGCACGTGAGACCCCTGTTCCCCTATCTCTCCCTTTGAGTATCTGCGCCTTTGTCTTTGCGCGCACGTATATATAGCACGATCTCCCGCTTTAGCTTCTCATCTTCTTACGTTCACGCTCGATAGGTAAACTAATCTATTATTACCTTACCAGCGCATCTTCTTACGTTCACGCTCGATAGTACATCGAGTTGTTCACTTCTTTTTCCCCACCCATATCGCTTACCCTTCTTTCCACATCGATTTATTTCACTTCTTCGAACTTAAAACATTACATCGATTCCATCTACTACATAGAATTCGCTACGTCTACGTACTTACATACTTCGCCTAGGCCGGCTTGAGTTCGGCCCCTGTTAGGGGGTTCTCCTATCTCAGGAGTTCGTCTGTGTCCCACTCCCGGGTTCCATCCGTTCCCGGGCCGTGGACCAGTCGCTGAACGAGAGAGCTTTTGGCGACAACGAATACACTCTTCGTTATCCCAAAACGAGTTGGATGGACGCCTGTCCTTCATCGTTGCTAGCGTGGATACAAGTTATACTACTTTACAACGGACTTCAGTATCAAGAAGTTTTCGCAATACAAGGAAGGTGATTCTAGCACCCAAGCATACCTAGGTGACTCATCGTCCGCTCGTAAAAGCAGAAGCTGGCGATCCAGCTCCAATTAAACGCGTCTAAGATACGGTTTAAGCTCCCTCGGGAGCTCGATGTCAGGGAGGCGCCTGGATGGGTCTAATTTAGAGAGCCTTCCCCGAGAAATAGGATCGGCTGGATTCTTCTCCGTCGAGATGTACTCCAGTTGCAACTGGTTATTGAGTGCAAGCAAGCAGGCACCCGCGCGCTGTATCGAGAGGTTTATTTGGATGTTCCTACTCGACCCTTTGTTGAACGCCCCAATTACGCCTTGATTGTCGGAGTGGATGATGACATGGGTGTTTTCGACACCCATGACTTCTAAAAGGTAAGCCGCTAGTTCGACAGCAACCCCTTCAAGCCACCCAATCTTGCGACCAGGGGTGTCCCAACCTGGAAGACTCTTCCAAGCCGCCCACTTCCTTCTCCAAGTAATCCCGATGCCCCAGTCTCCTGACGCGTCGACGCTGATGCCGAGATTCTGCGCTTCGCCTCGAGGTACGACGCTCCGGCTGAAGTAAGGATCCTCTAAGGTATTCCACCACCATGCAATATCTTCCTTGACACCTTTTCGAAGAGACTTGAACTCGTTGTCTTCAAAGGAGGAGATAAAGTGAGTTAAGTACGCGAGGCGTGCCCGACCTTCCGAATAGACATATATTATATGAGCAAGTATTCCCTGTATCTCCATCGCGTCCTCACGTGAAGTGGAACCGCAATGGTAAAATGATCGCAGCTTCTTGCGAATAGCGACGCGTTTCCGTGAGGGTAACGCCACCGTCTTGTGGCCCAAGTCCCAAACGAAGCCAACATATGTAAATGAGTGCGAAAAATCTTGACCCTTGTCGGGATGCCAGGGAATTCCAAGGGACTCGATCCTCCTTAATGCTTCCTCGCGGTCGTAAGCGTAGACCAATTTCCTGTTAGACCGACGGCGAGGGAAGCGAAACACGACCATGTCGTCCGCCCATTTGCAAATAGGGCCAACGCCAAGCTCCTCCCAGATTGCAAGGGCAGCGTTCGCGATCTCTCCCGAGTTCCCCTCGGAGGCCTTCGCTCCAAATGGACATGCATGTTGTATGTAGAATCGGCCCTTCCGAGCTTGCATTACGAACCAGCGTTTATGGGCAGGGCATAGAGGCGTGCGTCGGTGGAACTTTGAAATATCCAAAGTCATAGCTTGGGCCCCAGTTGGAGCCTCTGCAACCTACGGCGTACGAAAGACACATATGAGCACTAAATACATAGGCAGGCGAAGAGTGACCTACTATCTGGGCAACTCGCAGGGCTGAATCGAACTTCGTTGGGAAGTCGCGTATGTCTGAGTACTCGTTGGTGGCGGGATACGAGTGAGTACCCCTCGACAGATCGACACATACTCGCAACTTAGGTTCTTCTCCCGAATTTTGCGGCTGAATGTTGACTGTGATTGGCGAACATTGGAAAGGCCCGCCGAGAATCTGTTCGACCTGTCTTTGGGAATATGGACCACTCAATCTGCCCTCCTCAACCTCTTCTTCAAAATACTCATCAACAAAGGACCGGTATTCTCTGATCGATTTACTGTTCGGCCAAATGATGGTCCTGTCAAGGGCGGGGAATTCGCCCATGGGGAAGCCATTTCGCAGCTTCAGTATTAGGTTGGGGAATTGCTCTCGAAGGTGTGGGAATTTGCGGAAGAATCTCTTGAACGCATCGGCGTTGTACGGTGTTTCGATATGTAGTAGCGTGTCCGGGTCTGATGAGTATCTCGCTAAACGGTCGGGGGGAGGGGGTAGCATGAGCAGCGGCGGGATATCAGTTGACATGTCAAGAGACTAGCTATTCTTTGGTTGAAATCTCGGACTTGAACTCTTCATACTAGGCATGCTGATCGAGAAGGAGAACTGATCGCGTGGAGATACATTCTTCGAGTTTCTATCTTTCATCTGCCATCTCCCTCCTGTCAATATCAACCTTCCGCAGTTGTGAGAAGAAGGTGGCCGCCCGTATAGAATCGGATGGAAGGCTAACGGAAGGTTGTGAAATAGTGAGATGGTCTTGTGCCAGCTACTCAAAGTGATATCCCTAAAGTGGATACATTCAACTTTGAGAGTATTTTAATGTTCATAACCGGCTTCAGTGAATAGCGTGTAGGAACACGCACAATGACAATTTCTGTAGCGTACTTCGTCCTTGGTCGATCGGATAGAATACTTAGATTTATTCGTAGGAAATCATACTCAGACATTATTTGATGCAGTTCGAAGAAGAAAAGGAGTATTCGGCGTGTTCCTCCATCGTGGATGTTGGGTATGCACTTGCATTTAAACTTGTAAACTTGTTATAACTCTTGGGATACACTGCGCCTGCGACTGCGAGCCAGATGTTCAGTCCGAGGAGAGGACTCATCCTGCGCACTACGAAGGGGCCCTTGCTTAGGGTTCCGGATCCACGAAACACAGTCGAGCTGATTGCGCAGGCACGACTTGCAAGGGCCTGTGTCCGAATCAAATTCACACTTGATCTTTCCCTTCCGGCAGGAGTGACATCGTCTTGAAGAATATCTAATCAGTTCATGTCTCCTCAAAGGTTACCAATATAACTTACGCACGACGGTGCTTCTGGCTTGCTGCTGCGTCTCTGCCTTGTGGCGTTGTACGTGCCCTTTTCTTTCCTCTTTCTCCGTTGTCTACCAAAGGTATCGTAGTTGAGATGGACCGCTTACTGCCATTGTCCGGCTGGATTGGATCGGGCGAAACAGCATCTGGAGAGTGATCTATAAGGTCCCGAGATATCAGAACTCGTGTGCTAGGTATGAGAGAAAGTCATGGAGTGCGCACTAAAGGAGCAACGATGCTGTAAACGGAGCAAAAGCTCATCATCAGTTGGCCGTGACCGATCATCCTACGAAAAGAGCTACAATGAGATGAGTGCATTTGAGAAAAAAGAGGATGTACCTCGTCAATCAAGCCAATCCAATCATCATCATGAGTAATGGCCACTTCTGCATTAGGATACTGAGGCAGTTAGAATTTCGGCGGCGGCGACAGCAAAATTAACACCTACTTTCTCCAACATGAAATTGTTAATCAATACAGAAGGGTGACAGTCCTGATAAGGCGCGGCTCTTCAATTCGCAACGAAGAATCAGTGCATCGGCATCCTCACCTCGAATGGACCAGGAAGCTCTTCAAGACGTATGTCGCCCTCGTCTGACGGTGAATCATCTCCAAGTTCCTCACTCCATTCCCCGCTTGAATCTCGACCATCTCCGACGGCTTTCGTATTGCCTTTGCTGTACCAAGCGGGAGACTGCGCAGTGCTAGAGAAGGAGTTTCGCTGAATATCTCCTTCCGTAGCATCTTCAATGGAGGAGATCTGGGTTGTAGTCGTGGGCCCTCCCAAAATACGGCGCAAAACATCTCTCCTCAAAGTGATCTTATACCCCCGTATGAAAGCGCATTGGTTGCTCCCTTGGGGAGCATCTGTGGCGAATATGTCGTTGTCCCGTTCCAAAGCATCGGGATCTTCATCCCATGCAGTCGTCTGATCAACCGACGGGCCGACGCGTTGAATAGCTGGACTCGATGTAGCCCACGAGTAGTTATATGACAGCTGCCCCTCCAACAGTCCGGCAACACTCAGCTGGAGGATGGCTTGCGATCCAGAGGAACAGTCGGAGAAGGCGCCAACCATCCAAGAGCTCGTTTTGTCGCATCCGGTAATGAGGTACAGCGAACCGTTGGCAACATCGGAGCATTCAAATGCGAACTTGTACCAGTTCTTTGCATGTCGCATGGCTTGCTCACGAAAAATGCTCTTCGTTGCAGTGATACGCGAGGCACCCTTGGGTAAGTGCAGAATAGCCCCTTCTGTAGATGACCAGACATACTCCAATGCGGCGCCAGCTCCCACTATTGGCCTAGACCAGCGCTGGATCTAGCAATCATATACAGCGGCATTAGAGTAGTACTCACTGCGCCTGGGTCACAGAGAAACCTGCGTCCAACGACCTTTGCTTCGCGGATGTACTAGTGACTGCGCTGTTTGAGTGGTGGAAATTCGGGAGATGGACAACGTCGTGAACATGTAGGTGGACTTCTTGAAAGCCATTTGGAACGCCTCGGCGATTGATGGGATCGTTGGGGGAAGCGCGAATATTGAACAGTGTCTCGAAGCCACCGTCTTGAGTGACATATCCGACATCTCCAATGCGAACACCTTTCGTCCTGTAGATCGGAGAATGTCCATACGGTTCCGGAATCCACAGAGGATAGCCATGCCGTTTCACAAGAAGCTGTCTAGCATATATCTGGGAGTCGGCCATGGAGAGAAGACGATGCCACTAGTATCTTGTCCGGGGGTTTTTATCTCGCGGCGGTAATATTTTACAGCTCTGACCGACCACGAGGGAACAGACAAGCGTCTCATATCCACTTTGAGATAACATATTTTCTAGAATCACTGCGGAGGGCATAGCCTGGGACAGCCCATGGTTGCAGGCGCGACGACCAATTATGGAAATGCGGGCGGGTTGACATGTTGAGGCGCCGGCGCCTATCTAATCACTTCTTCTCAAGCCAATCTCAAGCTCCAAAGTTCAATGAACTCTGCTAACGACTTTGATCTTGAATCGCTGGTGCACCTAGAGCAAACGTACATATCTTACGCAAATTCTCAGGATTTATATGCTAAATCCCCCTGCCACCGTTGGGTTCATTTCGGATAGATTTTATGATGACGGCTACAAAGATGGCTTCGACCACGGACGCATACACGGACTTATTGAAGGTCGCGCCCTTGGACGCGAAAAAGGGTTCGAGATGTGGGAGGAACTCGGATTCTATGAGGGCTTTGCCGTGCTGTGGAAGATGATTTGTGCGAGACGCGTCGGCGATTCCAACGAGTGAGTGCTCAACAGCGTTCATTTCATGGCGCTGACCGTTTTGTAATTTACGATGGCGTTGAAGGCGAATCATGAATCACATCAACCAGCTTCTGCAACTAATATCTCAGTTCCCTCGCGTGAACCCTTCGTTGACGTCCTCGTCGGCGGATGTTGATATACCGAAGCTTTTTCGACAGATTCGTTCGAGGTACAAAATTCTCTGCTCGACATTGGGCGTCAAGCCAAGCCTGCGATCTGCTGATGGTGCCCCATCAGAAGAAGATTTTCAAGAGGACAGCAATCCTTCTACACGGCAGCCTGTGTGGAAAGTAGATGAACAATCTCGGGTAGCGACAGGGCAGTCCTTGGAATTTTAGAGATGCTTGGTGTGAGATTGCCGCTGCTCATGGATGATAGTATTGTTTCAAGACCCAATAATGGTACAGCGTTATATGAAGCGCAGTAAATTATAGATCGCATCAATTGCAACATCCAGAGGAGCTCGCCCCATTCGCGAAAGCAGGTTTACTCAAAGGATCTTTGACCCCGGGGACGTCCATGCTGGGGTTGACCTTGAAGAAACTATTCGGTTTGAACGTCAAATGCAGCGTTTCAACGGGCATAACTGGCCAGTCCTCGGGGCGGGGTATGTGCGTCGTACCTGTTGAATTCGTTGGTGTCATCAAGATCCATATTAGTGGAGATGTAGGATGCACCTACCGACGACGACATATACCAAAATATCCTCGTTCTCGATATTTTCCTCCCCTTCGACCCACTTTGAAATGGAGTCCTCTGGCTCCTCCCTTGTTTGCGGTACATACTTACCGCTGGGCCACATCCTCGAGCCCTTCTCGCCTTCGACATCCTTGCAGACCCAAACAGCGTTGTCCAAGAAGGAAGCCCTCTTCACCGTCCAGCTGTCTTTCTTCGCCATCATCGGCGTGACGCCGCCCTTCACACCAAGGGAATATCCTACGTCCTTTCCTGACGCGTAATGCTTCCTCGATGGGTTGACGATCCTCCAGCGGCGCTCCTTTGCGAAGTCATATGGACGGCCCGTCTCTGTCTTCAAGGGGTTGTCTATAGATATGAACGCATTACCAGCGAAATTCGTAGTGGATCCCATCGGTTCTGGCAAAGGAAGGATATCAGACTCGATGACTGAATTATTCAGTCCGTCAACCATGGGGTCGACGCGGACACAGAACAAATGTTGGTGATAATGTGCGTTGACATTCGGCGCCACGGTTGTACCGTGGGGATTAGGTTCGCCGTCAGCAGAGACGTAGACTTGGAGGATACCCGACAGCCGGATTTCGAACTCGATAGTGCCGTCTTGGTAGAAGTGGTAGTTCCAAATATACTCTGCCCAAAGATTAGACTGATCGTTAAGGATGGAGGTGAATCATTTTACCGTAGTTTGCAAGCGTGCAGACCATGCTGACGACGAGTCTTCGCCTCCGTACGGTTTGTGAGCGGCCGTCAGGTCGGTAGTCGGTATGCTTCCAAAGAACACCAGCATCCTCCTCGTGGATGCAGATAACGTTCTTAATGACGATCGCAGTTCCTGCATGCGACACGAATGCACCGGGCTGCGAAAGAAGGTTAGTACCTCCATTGCCCCCTCATGATGAACGTACTAAATAATGGATTTGTCCAAGACAGTCGCATCCTAAGGACAATTCATTTGCCATCGTTCCCATTCCGTACTCGCCACTGGACAGTTCATTAATCATTGGCTGTGATGTAGGGCACGCGCTTACGAATCAAATGCAAATTTCCTTGGATGCGGATATTCTGGCGCACCGTAAGGTACAACCATCTCCGCGAGGGACAAGCGGTAAAAAATTGGCCTCACTTCACCATGATCGTTATAGGTGATAGTCGAAAGAACCAAGCCTTCCCTGTGGCTGAATGCTGTCGTACATCGGTTCATCATTCCGCAAGAACCATAGAGGCGTTTCTCACCAATGTGCATCTTCCAATTCTGCCACTCAAGCTCATGGCCGTTCATCTTGAAACTCACGCCCTCGGGCTGCACAACATGCAGGGGCTTGATATCGTCTCGCGGTTTAAACTCTGGGTCATTCTCCTTCATCAAATCCGGCAAGAAGTCGAATTTCCGAGCTGGAGGAGGAATCCGATCCCTACTTGCGAAGGCGAAGGCATCCCCTGGCTTGGGTAGTGGAGTAGGAGGTGCGGTTGATTTCACGGATAACACAGGACCGTTGGGCGAAGACTTCCATACTGGTGGAAAGTCGATATGAAGTACCTCCTCCGTATTGGCGTCAATGACGGGCACGAAGTCCTAATCACGTTGGATATCGGTGGAGACGGTCTGGTGAGTGAGGAACATACCATGGGGTGGGCGTATAGGTTCTCGTGCTGCCCATATCTAGCGAACACCAGTGCCTGCTGCACCCGCCTACTCTGAGGGAACCGTTCGTCGTAGCCAATCGACCAACCGTCGCAACAAATTTGATCTGGCAGAACTCCTTTGATCGACGTTAGTGCGAAGTTACCCCAAAGCGAGGTCAAGTGATTGCTCACCAACTTTGGCGGCCAGCTCCTGCACATATTTATCTTTTCGAACAACTTGCTCGCATGCAATCAGCTCCTCAACCGAAATTTGAGGCTGAACACCTTCGGCAAGCTTTTCAAGGGATGTGACAGTCCACACTCGATCGCCGAGGGAAAGGATGGCATTGTATGAGTGTCTGAATGTACTGAAGTGAATATTTGCCTGAATAGTGGCTGGTTGCCGAACACGCACCCGTTAATTACGTCCAAGAACTAAACTAGGGGATTAGGGGTTGTCAGGATATGGTGGACTGCAACCGACTCACATCTACTTCGGCCTTTCTCACTATGGTGCCAGCAGTCTCTGGCTTCGCGCCTGGTGCAAGGGGGATCCCAAGCGCAGCGAGAACCAGCTTCTTGGGCGGCGGTAGAAGATAACAGGTAATGAACTTGATGGCCTTGATATTCCCCTCTTTCGCGATATGGTGGCGTACAGCCAAAGAAACTGCCGCAATCTACGAAATCAGGATCTAATTGTCAGAGAGATTGCAAACATAGCTGCCGCGATGCAGTTATATGACTGACTTCGTCCGGAGTCAGTGGATCTAATGGGTGATTGAACGAAGATGGAACATTGTCGGGTGAACCCTTGACTGTTTCGGTAGCGGTTCCTGGCGTCTCGATGCTCGGGTCGTTTGCCATTGTAATAATATCCTTGGGTGAGGCAGATGCGCCAACGGATTATCTGAGTTCTGCGCTTTATAAGAGGCCTCATGTATTTCAAACATCGTTATCTTTGCGCACGTGTGGTATGATCAGCTGATGATGGATCCTAAATAACATTAGTCAACGAGGCACTTTATCAAGGACAGAAAGAAGAAACTGCATGAGAGAGACTGCATGTAGTGGCTGTCAAATTGTGGTATTTGGTTCCGTGGAGGACCCGGATTCAAATCCCATTGTGGCGAAGGCGAACCTGAGGCCGGGAGTACAACAATCTTCGGATTTAGATTCACTGCTACTAATGGAATATATACACAATACTGTGAAGCTACAAGACTATGAAGCTGCTACGCATACTTTCGAACGGCGGGCTTATCAACCCGAATCTCCCAATGCAAGCAAAGGGGGGATGTATGATATCTAACTGTTCATCCCAGGGTCATATAACGCGCACAGCGGGTCAAGGAAAGAAATGCAGCCACAAAGAAGATGGGAAACCACAGGCAACGTGCATGAGATAAAGATAGCGGTCAAAGGATGCAAGAATGAATAGAACCATTTCAGGTTGAACGATGGAAACAGCAAGAGCGAAAACAGGACAAAAACGCGAAGGCAAAATAAGTGCGTTGTGTTATGGATGTAGTACAATACTTTGTGTTCGTTGAGACGAAGTGCGGAATGCGGAATGTTGGTGATGGGTGTGTACATATATATAGAATATCGTAACGGTCGTGAAAGGTCGTAAGTGGTAGAAACCCCTCCCTCTGGAGGACACAATACCCGCACAAATAGAATACAGGAGAAAAATGAAGTGTTTAATGGTATGGGACGAACCCACCAGGCAAATAATCATACACTGAACCGGCACGGGCGTAGGGAGAGTTCGGCATGCTCATATATCCAGGCACTTGGACCGGGGAGCCTGTGTGCGCGAAGCCTGGCATCTGGCCGGTTTGAACGGGAGGGCTCATAGGCATTGACACGATTGAAGGTTGAACAGCGGGGACATAGGATGCGTAGGACGGAGCATAAGAAGCAGTCGACGGGGGACCACGGGGATAACCATTGAGGGATGTAGCAGAGCCCACGAGACCGGGCATATCAACGGGCGTGACATAGGGACTGTGGTAGGAATACACAGAACTGGCCATGCTTCTCGACCCGTTACTGAGGCTCCTGTCGAGAGGCCGGAGGGTCACGGGCTTTTCCCCCGATTGCTCTGGGGGGAGTAAGCCCTCGTTGATCAGATAGGACTTTATCGGGTAGGCCGGTACAACCGGGAACGATGGGTACGCCGGGCCTTTCCAATTATCGTCACCTTCAAAATCATCTTCGTCGGATGATGACGGAGACAAGGACGAAGAGTCATCGGTTTGCATCGAGTGCCTGCGGAGCGGTCTGATCCCCCTACGCGACGGGCGGCGATAGGTCACTTTATTCGCAGCAACCAATGGTCCGAGCCAGGGAGAGTACCGTTCGCCCGAGGCGGTGCGTGTAGAAGACTTAGTGCTCTTCCGAGTAAGCTTGCGTTCAAGTCTGCAATCCGAGAAGGACGATAATTCAACACAAGGTTCTTAATCACAAAATGAACGGAACGTACCCGTGCCAAGTATGATCGCTCTTTTCGTCAACCAGAACAATCAAGATTTCAGAAGACTTGTCATCTTTAGGAGCCGTCGGAGACTTATTCGTAGGCGAGGCTCTGTGTTTGCGTGAGGATTTTTCAGACTTCTCAGTCTTGGAGCTGTCTTCGCTTGAAGGCTCAGACGGCGATCGTGAGACTGCCAATGGTGAAGATCGTTTTGGTCTGAAGCGAGGAGGAAATGAAACAGTCAGTTGACTTGATACATCGATAATCAAATGAAACCAATAGAAGTAAGGCTCACTTGTATCGATCGACTGAACTTGAACTCTCTTCAAACGGTGAGGGGTAAGATGTCCTTGGTGAGGCGTAGCTACAAAGATCATGAGGGGAACACGGGCTTACCTGGTGTCTTGGGCCGAGTCAACGCCTCAGTAACAGCCTCGGAGAGGTCCTTTCCTTGTCCGCCGGCGTCTACGATTGAACCGCGAACAGAAGCTTATCAAAGGGAACGTGTATCAGTACTGCAGGCACCGGAAATAGTTAAAACCGCTCATACATGTTGTGGAACTAGACGGGGAAATGCGGTGTGTCAGCAGTGCCGTCGAGAACCCACGGGAAATCTCTAACCTTGCTGGATCGGGGTTCGTTACATACAGCGGGACTGTAAATAGAATATATCGTCATCGGCATGAAGGAAACATAAGATTGTGATATAGACCGAACGTACGTCGATTTCCCAGAGGGACGCCACGAATCATGTTTAGCAGTGGTAGAGATACCACGCTTGACGCACTCAGACTGTTTGATTGATCAGTCACGCGTAGCAGATGAAAAGACAATGATCCTCACCGCGCGGGTTCTACAGTGTCGCTAGGTTTGGGAGGGTTTACTATGCATCAGTTAGGTAAAGCCGTTCATTTGGTAGCATGTGCGTAATCTTACTCGGCGGGGGGATATGCTTGGCCGGTGAAGCGGACTCCACGGTAGGTAGTTCATTAACCACTTCGAGAGCTTGAGGCGTCACCGGGGGTAGCTGAGAGGTCTGCTGAGGGAGGAGGTTGGGAGGTTCCATGCTGAGAACCCTATAAAGTGGTAAGTTTAATAAAAGGAGCGTGAAGTTTGTGGTAGAGAGCATACGAGAGGCGTTTATACTCCTTGTCGAGAGTCTCCGTAACGCGGTTAAATTCTTCATCTAAAAAGCCGCTTTTACGCTCTGGTCCTATGACAAGAGTTAGATGGCACTGTACGGGCATTGGTCGGCTATGCCTACCTTTAAGCTGTCGTGTTCCCTATTGCGAGTTAGCACCGGCGGAGGTAGGAAGAGAATGGTGCGTACCGTCTTTCCTTTCCAAGTCATATAATAATCAACGACTTTCCGCGCGCCATCAGATGCAGTGAAGGCGAAGACTATCGGCTGCTGCTGTGGTGTCTTAACAGTGTCGGCATGGTTATGTTTATTCTCGTCTCTGGACGAGGCGCGTTCTTTCTTCTCTCTGAGGGCACAGAGACATCAGAATTGGATGCGAGAGAGATAAGTGTCTGCTCACTCGACATAGTTCTCCAAGATTGACATAGCTTCAGACCCCGTCACCAGCTTGAACTTTCCTCCGCCTGTGGCGTCCGTCGTATCATCGCTCAAGCCCTTCTCAGCGAGCTGCTTCAAAAACTCGGGGCCATACGTTGAGCGACGGACTTGCTCGTGTGTATGTTCAGCAGCATCTGCCTTATTATCTTCCTTCCGCGAGGAGCTAGAATGAGTCGAGTGTCTCTTGTGTGGAGCCTTGCGTCCCTGGTCGCTCGTATCCACTTTGATGTCTATAACGTGCTTTGAGGAAGCGGTGGAGTGTCTCTTATGACGAGATGATCTGCTCTCTCCAGTGGTTGTCACGGTAGGCGATATGGACTTGACAGACTTCCGGTCAGAGTCTCTCGAAGCGGGATCAGAGGCCGCGTTGGCGTTGTTGGCTTGGCTGGAGTACGATGGTGGTGGGTCCGACACCGTCGACGACGCTGAGGACATAACGAGGGTTGGAGAAGAAGGAAGGTGTGGTCGAGTGGTCGAGGAATTCTACAGTTATGATATATAGGTCCTTCTTTTTCGGTCGAAGGGATCCAAATCGAGATTTGTGCTGCCTCGAGGCGTCCACAAGGCTTCTCGGGCTTTCAAGATCAGCGAGAATGTCAAATATGAATCTCGGTGGATGGAAAGAGTTCTGGTGGAAGTGGAGATGGTGGTGGTACGAGGGCAAGAGGTGGTAGTCAGTCACGATTGATGGTCGGTCGCGAACGCTTTCCGAGAACAAGGATTTCAGATTTCTGACATCACAAATTCACACAATACAATAATAGCGTCCCAAATGATGTCGAAGCTGGCTGAGTGATAATCGATGCTGTTTCAGGCTTTCGAATCCTAAACGCCCACACAGCACATCACATTGTTACAGAACCAACTACGGAACAGAGGAAGTAAGGGGAATCAGATGGCTATCCGGTAAGCCTGTATTGTGCTGGGCGTTCATTCATGATAGGGTATCCACGCGGCGAACAGCAGTCGTGACGCCGAGAAGGTTAAAAGGGATTGCGGCGAAACTTATTCCGAAAGAAAGCAACGAACACAACAAAGCAGCCCGACATTAGAATACTCGATATTAATCTGTGTATCACACCTGCGCCCACAGAAGTACGAGTAAGCCTCGTATCGAACAATAGCAAAAACAAAGGAATACCCACCAAGCTCAGCTCCAGTGTCCAGACTCTTCGCGCCCACAGTTTGACCGTTTTGGCAGGCTGCCCTTCTGATTCGGGCAGCTCAACGTCAATCCCATCCCACCAGCACTTGCGCTAGATCAGACAACATTAGGACCGTAGAACACATAGGAGGGCATATTACGTACTGCGGGTTTCCGCCAAAAGAGCAGCAACTTTTGCGCAGTCGCCATTTGGCTATAGTCGACTGTTACAGGTCTCTCCCCATTGGAAGCCGGAGGATGATGCATAATTCCCGTCTTGAGCAGCACTAGTGCGATAGACGAAATACAGCATCTCGAAGGCTCCAGTGCTCGATAGCCCCACTCATCTTCGCGATCGAAGCCACTGTTTGTGAAATCAGTATTACAGCACGTCCAGGCGCGAGGTAAGGGGTGGTGAATGAGCACAAAGATCGGACGCTAGCCGAGAGAACGACACCCTCGGGATTCATGAATAGGTTGCATAAGCGGCTGGCTGCTTCCACACCACATTTCCCAAATGTGTGAGGTACATAAGCAGTGAAAGGACGCTCATGTCGATGCCATCGAACTTTGTTCTCCTTTGCGTCGCCGCGTGCTTAACAGCTGCCATGGAGCTACCGGAAGCAGCTGCAGGGATTACGCAGCTCTAACCGACATAGACACCCAATTACAAAGGCACCAGAACTTGCAAATGATGCGGAAGTGGATGCACGCACCTCATGCAAAGCATATCAATCAGATGCTGCTCAGCAAGATTATTCTCCTTGTTGACGTTTCTCTGAAGCGCGGTAAATATATTCCTCTTCTCCATCAAGTATTCGCCACACTTCCTCTTCAGACCCAGCAGTATGTCGTTCGCGATGCCGTTCTGGTCGGTCGCCGCGTCACTCTCCTTGGGAGGGATAGAGAAGTATTCCAGCTCCTCACGCAGTACGATTATAGCTTGCTTGGACAGTAAGGGATTTTGTGAGGTCGCGGACCCGAATTCGCTCGGTGGTGACCCATCAAGAAGGTGCTGCTGGGCACTTAAGAGACCAGGGGAGGTAGCAGTTCCGTAGAACGCTTCTGAGGATGTGCGAAAGAAGGTGAGGACGTATTGAAAGCATTCTGGATCGAACTGGGGCCTGCATTAGCTGCTGAACTGTACATGGAGCGAAATTCGAACTCTGCACTGACATCGACGCCATAGACCTCTTCTTCCTCCTCACCATCCCCGCCGTCCGATAAGGCCACACTCTGCCTGCTGAGAACCAGACCATTGGGGAAAAGGCACAGCAGCACCGACTCAGGCAGGTTCATAATCGTCTCCCGGTCCACTTCAAAGCGACGGCCACGGAGGTCCAGCAGAAGGCGCGTCAGCAATTGCGGCTGCAAGTTTGTATGTGTCGGGGTCTGAGAGACCTGGGTTATAGGCGACGAGGAGATATTGACGGTCGCCATTGTCGTTGTCGTCGTCGGTGTTGAGGAAATCGTTGTCTCCAGCAGCTCAAGCGCTTGCAGCCTTGAGGAGTTCACGTGCACCAATTACCCCTAGATCCCCCTAATACTTCACTAGTACCCCCCATCCTTTTCACGGACTGACGAAGGGCCATATCGTTACGGTGTTGGTATATAGGTGGCGTATAGTGTATAAGTACTCGTAATAAACAGCAAACAATAGCACGATAGCGAGGACTAATTACAGCGGGGAGAAAGGAAAATGTACCCGATAACTTGTATTCCAACTACTCATCCGGAATCTTATCCACTTGCTCCGCAAAATACTTGAACATAAAGCTCCGGGGCGCGACTGAAGAAGGCGGTGGCTCGGCAAATGCCTTGGGTTGAGAGAGCTGGGACTCGGACAAGCCTTTGGGATTGTACAAGACTACCCATGAGCTCAAGATCCCGGAGGTCAGAGCATCCTTCGGTAGGGGAACGAGATTGTCAAACTCTAGTTGATCCGCTTCTTTGGCCTGTCCCGTGTTTGACACAGGTGCCTGAGTGGGAATCTGAAGTGCAATCGCAGGCTTCTTCGACGGGGAAGCGGATGGGGTATGTGCAACTGGAGGTTTACGCGACGGCGATCCGTGTGCCAGGGCCCTGCGTGCTCGCCGTACCGGCGCTACTGTAGTAAGGCAAACAGGAGTTATGCCTTTAGGAAGCCTTGGTGGAGGTGTAGGCGCGGGCTGAAAGGGTGGTCCAGGCGGGCGTACAGAAGCTAACACTATGTGAATTTCCAAATACGAACTCGTGGAAAATGCCGCATTACCTTTAAAGGAAGCAGATGATGGAGCGGATGCCAGTCCACCCTCTAATGCACTTTCCTCCTTTTCCTCTGCACTACAGCTGGATGCTCGGCTAGACTCCCCTCCAGGGGAAGCTGCTTGGTGGGCTAGCTCATGGAAAAGTACTTTTGTCTTTGCTCTTCCCCTCTCTGCAGCATGACGAGATGAACCATGTCGTCTTTTATGCTGCAAACTCGAAATCACTTTGAGACAGCTGCTTTCTGGGGCCATCTCATACATCTAGAACAAAGATTAGAGGCAGAGTTTGTCTGGAGCTAGGATTCAATGGCTATAAAACATACCAAAAATACCAGAGGCAAGCTGAGGTTCTGTGGCCTGTGTGGTGGATGCCTGGAGCCACAACTTGCTTGGCAGAAAGGCCTGCTACCTGAAGCTGCAGCTATGATGAAAATCCTACCTGAAAATGAATGCTGCACCTTCAAGATGGTGGCCTTCTGGTATCTGGCTGTTTGCATTTATTTACATATATTTACTAGCAAGACCATCTAGATCTCAGGCATCGATGCTCCCTGTAATACATACAACCTTGGTTCGTGGGATATACATCTGTTATTATCTACGAAGTACCTATGAAAGACTATAATGGCTCCTTCACAAGTAAAGTAGCTGCTATATTCTGTTTTGAAATAGGAGCCCAATAATGTTTCCTGCTTCCGTTTTAAGCCAGGAGTCATGATTTGCTCATGACTGTCACAAGCGAGTCATCATCATGCATCAGTACGAACAGTTGGAGCTTTAAAGAACAAATCCCGGAAACACTACAGAGCCAATAAGAAATCATAATTATTCAATGCAATATATAGTCCTAAGTGAATGTGTCTAGCTAACGAGTGGCTACAAACTGAGACATGTACGAGTAAATATCAGAAGTCCATGAGGATGCTCGAAGTGCGAATAATCCAGTTGTTAAATTATCAGGAGAACATGTGTCTCCCGAATGCAATGCAATGCTAATGTCCCAAAGTCAAGTCTGAGCCCAGAGAGCTTTCAAAACCTAGAGATGACGCCGAAGGTCCCAATGAAGGCACCAACAACTCCGAGGATTAATGTGGGGAGAATATCCAGTGATACTGATGGAAGAGCATTGTTGAAGGGGACATATGTTGTGGACGAAGATGCAGGATCTTCGAATGTCCCCGTACCGCCGCCAGTGAGGTTGGCGCCATTAGGCTAGAGCGCGCACAAAAATCAGAATGTCATTTTGGAAGAGCATCAAAGAACCGTACCCCAATCGGTCTTGAATCGTCGGCGAAGGCACACGTGCTGGACGTGCAGATGCACTCGCCTTTAATCGGGTCCCAGAAAGGCGTTGAACAATTTTGAGGAACTAAACAGCAGAGACAGTCAGTACGAGTCACGGCATTAGTGTAGAAGACATACGGCGGAATCGTGCTTGCTGCCCATCAGCCACTTGCTGAGGCGGGTTAGGCTTCTCGACAGTTGGGTGGTCCTGAGGACAGCCATACTGCCAGAAATTCATGCATGTCAATAATAGCAAGTTAGAATTGAATAGAATACGGGCGTACGCAAGTGTAGAAGGGGAAATCAGGGAAAGCGCAGTGTTGGATCAGACCTGCTTGACTCGATGGCATGCCGTTGCAGATCTTGGCGTCAACCTGGGGAGTGGAGCATTTGAGGGAGCTCAATTGATCGAGTTGGGAGACGGGGGTGGGGTGCTGGACCCAGTCAAGCAGCTGTTCGCTGGATATGATCCATACTAGTGTTCCATACGTGGTCAATAACTACGTCGCCAGCTACGTTGAAAAGGACTTACCATTCTGTTGGTTCTGCGCCCAGTCCAAGAAAGCATTGATCATATTAATAGTAGAATTTGACGCCGTAGAGCCGGGAACGGAGCGCTATCGATACCCAAGTCTAGAAGTCCATTCACAGATACTGAAAGGAGATACTCACGGAAACGTGGATAGGATGGGTGTAGAGTCCGATTGGCTGTCGGTTGCCGTTGTAGTGTGCCGTAAAGGTGTTTTTCATATATTCGAGGGTGGCCGTGTCGTTGATGGCGCTTGCTCCGTTGGCGTTGTCACTAATCACAAGGTCAGAATGCGGCATAAGTAGACAATATCGTGAGAGCTCACAGCCAAGGATCCATCAAATGGGGTCCGGCGACACCAAGATTGTCGAAAAAGGCGTACATGGGGATTTCCCAGAAGCCAGGGAGCTTCGGTTCGCCTTTGCAGCTTCCAGGAACTTCCAAACAGTCATTCGCCATACCATAGTCCAATGTATACGGCCAAAACGCATCACTATTAGGATCTGTGACGGGAACGGAGGCGGAAGCAGAAGAGTCGTAAGTGAATTTGGATTCATAACTACCAAAATAGATTCAGCTTCTTGGAAACCAATGATATGGAGTTCACACTCACAGCCTCTTAAGAGTATCGACGGAGTAGTTCAAGAAAGGTGCGCGGAAGCCTTTGATGGAGGCAAGCGGAATGCCCGCCAAGGCATTCAGGGCAATAAGGTTGCCGTTGATCTCTCCAGCAGATGGGTCGCCGACATGGTTGACACTGAAGCAGGGATTAATGTCGTACAAAAAGCTAAAAATATAAGAATATAACGCACGTATGATCGGCAATTTCGTTACCGGCAACAAACCAATCTGAAGTGGGTTTAGACGATGAAGCAATCAATTTTTCTTTGCAGCGCACCAGTGACAAGACTGTAATTCGTGTAGCCCAGGGACGTATAGTAGGTCATCTTTGGAGCGCAGCCATTTGGATTCTTTCTGTGCGCCAAGAATTGATTCACAGCATCAAGGGTGTATGACTGAATGGCATCATCTGCAGTGAATACGATGAATTGGGGGACATCGCTCTAGAAAATCGACAAGAGCGGTTGAGCATACTTACTGCATGCGGCCTTTAATAACAGTAACTCACCGGTTGCAGGCCACCAGGCGGTTTCACGCTGGCACAATTGCAATTTGGAAGCTGGCACTTGGAAGCGTCGCAGGAGTATCCGGCCGCCTCAGCACTGGTCGTTGGACCCGAGATGGTCCCTTCGGGCGACTGGGCCGCCACGAGCAAAGGCACGAGCAAAGCGAATAGAGCGCAGGGCAGCATCGTCGATGATTTGAAATGAACCCTGGAAGAGGTAGGGGACCCTTCGTCCGCAAAGTGTGGGGAGGAAATTAGAGGGAGAACCCAAGGAGACTGTAAGGTGGTGAGTGGACTGAAGAAAAGAGCGAACGGTGTAGCCTTGCCGCTAAAAAGTTTGATTCCCATGATTCCTCCAGCTCGCGCGTGCTTAGTCATATGTTCCACCCAACCTGGATCATTGCTGGCCCATTCTGCACACGCTGATTCCTCCTTTCGCCCAGATTTCGTCGTTTTGACGCCGCGACAGATGGTCTTGTGCTCAAACTGGCCGCCGATCAAAGTCCAGGCTTCGGCAGAGCCGTCTGCATGGTCCCCCCATGCCCCCCCCGGCCAGGAGCGTGCATTTCAGTGCATGGGGCGGCGCTCTTCATCGAACGGTCAATAAATTACCAAGTAGATGTTAGACGTTTAGTATGCACGGTAGGCTGCTAAACATAGTTCCATGGATGGTTCTGATTCCGTAAACAGCTCTCTCCCTATAACCAAAATGAACGTGGCGAAATGGGCGGCTGTTTTTAGTACGGAGACCAGCGACCAGTCAGGACTCAGAAGAAGCCTTGTCGCTGCCGAAAATACACACCATCTTCACAAGGCCCGGTGCGTAGGGCATTGTCACGCAGCATTATCGACTATCACAGCCAAATCACAGCTATCACATCCCTGTCACTGGTTGGGAGACCAACTTGGTCGTTGCTGCAATCTCTGGAATGGTCGAACCCCCTAGCGGCATCATATAGATCTGATAGCGACAGTCTCCAGCGACATACATAGAAATCAATTCAGTTGTGTCTTGCTATATAGCTGTGGCAAGCACTCGAGACGTCCGATCCAGACTTTGCTTAATGATGAGCCCTCAAAGAACCTCGATCCCACCGAATGACCTAGCCAGTTTGTCTAGATGGTCATCCCGAACGACACTCGTTTCCCTTTCGACAAATCGACGTTCTATGAAATCTGCGGCTGCAAAGTTGAAGGAAGAGGACAAATCCTACACGGAGAAGCCGTCATCGAGTACTGCGCACGGCTCTCACCCTCTCAAACAAACACAGAAGAGCCACGCTATCAGGCTACTCAAGGCATGTCAATCAACCTCAATTCAGGGAATTAGCTTGCGAGTACCGGAGGGCAAGGGAGTTACCAAGGTAGTTTCAGTTTGGTGCCGTCGCCGACAATCAATCTGACTCCGTTTGGCTGTGCAGGGTGCAGAGGGTGGCAGGCCGCTGGCGAAGATAAAAACTAAGTTCTTAGCCATGATAACTTGCATTTGTGGGAAGGACGTGATCAACGGGGACGAGTTGCCGAGGGCGACTCCAGTAGAGGGTGACCCCAATATATCAGATCCATGGAATTACCAGGTCTGTCTCTTCTGTCTCTGCTGTATTTCGATCGACTCAACGAAACCGACGGCGAATTGCAGCACAACGTCCACTTAGACCCAATGTGCGCCTCGCATTCCATGGAATTGATCGTAGCGTTTCTAATTCTGCCTATCTAGTGACTATGGTATTCCCCTGAATTGGGCCAACCACATAGACATACAATCATACCTAAGCGAGGCACAGCTAGACTATACGGAAACTACGATTTCCGATTACATGCTGTTCAAGCAGGAACCTCCGATCGTCGCATTGAAGCGCCTGCGTTCGTGGGGGATACGCCCTCATCTCGACGAGACTCATTTAAGGCATCTAGAGCAGGTAATGCAAGCAGGTACCACCGCACATCGTCGAAGACTGGAGCCATCCAGCACCACCGCAACTGCTCCCTCGCCACAGTCACTGAAGGAAGAAGTCAATGAAGAGGAACCACCGGCGTACTCTTGCTAAGGTATGCCGCAGGCCTTCCGGTGGTGGTACATAGTGCTCCAAAATATATTAGACATATGCCAGTCCGTTCATAGGTCATTCGACGTAGGCGACCTATTTGTGCGCCTACCAATAGTCTGTGTGTACTTGTACTATTTATCACTTCGTAGCTTTCCCATTGCATGTCTAGTTATTTAAATAGACGAGTACGATATTAAATGGCATTAAACTATTATTTTGTTTTTATATCTACGTCTATAAGATGTATCGCAAATAACATGCAGTGGAAGTTAGGTACGCACCAGTGCACCAGTGACTAGGTTCTTATCTAGAAAGCCACGCCATCCCACACGTTGACGGCAAGGGGGGGCACCATCTGCGGCAAGGTTGTTATACAGCTGAGCTGCGTCAGTGCCAGGGTGGTACCTGAGGCCTGAATTGTTTGTCGCGAGGGTGGTCTATTGGTTCGGGTCATACGAAGTAAGTGGGGCCGCTATAATTCAAGAGAACTTGAAAGACATGAGGATTGAGTACTGAGTAGTATAAGAGATGGGGGATGAAGGGAAGGGACTCACCCCTAGCTGCTGTCCCCTCTGGGAGCCAAGGGAAAAGATCGTAGAGGAAGAGGGTGATGCCCTTATACGAAATACTAGTCGTCCTGCGATGAAGCATCTTTGGTTGAGCGATTTGGAAACATACCTCAGACCCACGGATAGCATTGGTCATGGCATGGATGGGTGTTCCCTTTTTACTAATCCAACGGTGTATAATTACAACTACAAGCTAAGGTCCATGGCGAGATATCAACAAAAGCCAGATCGAAAGCGGTGGTATCCTAAATAACAAGATATAATATAATGTAGCAATACTCGTAGTAGAAGCGTGAACGAAGGTGGTGAGCCTCATGGTCATGAATCGACATGAGGTGGTCGGATACCTGCGAGCCCGAAGGCCGTCATTTAATGGACCGGGCCAGAAGGAGAAGGATAAAACGACGCACTATGATTTCATTGTCAAAACACTTTGACTATAATATTTATCAGCATTCATGTCGGTAAACGTCCCGACCCGGGTTGTCCTGACGGTTATTTGAGGTTGTGGACCGGTTGATTTCTTCGCTGACTTGATGTCCGCCAGTTCCACATCAGAAGCGTACATCCGTCTATTGTACTCGATATCTTGTTGGTTGTCTTGTTCTTCTTCATAAGCGGGTTCGAGATCGACAATCAGCTCGCCTTCGTGGGCACCGTGTCGCCAACGAACGCGCGACAGTTCTACGTTGTTGAGCAGCCACGCGGTGTCCGACCCAAGCTTCGCAGCCAGTGATTGAATGGAGAGCATAATCCTCGAAACACAGACCGATGTGATGCCCAATACAAAACTGAAGGCGCGAGGACAGGTGGTGAAGGCGAGTGATGCGATCAGTGAAACGTAACGCGTGTTGGGGAATGGTTATTTTTGTGTGTAGAGCGCGTGTAAGTGGGACAAAGCCAAGATTCAGAAGTTCGGGAAGAATGGAACTGTCGATGAGCGGTGAAAAGCGCGGGTTTAAGAGGGAATACGCACTTCGAGAAGATGGCAGGGATGTTCAGCTGCAGCCCATTGTTAGCTGGACTTTCTCGGCATGTCGTACTCGGCAAAACTTACGTGAGGGGTTTTCTCCATGAAGGCACCTATGGCGGTGAATCCGACAGAAACTGGACAGAATCAGGTCAAAAAATCAACTGAGGTCGTCTCACGGCCTTCTCACCGAAAGTAATCAAGTAGAAGAATCCACCGCTGGGAACATGGGTTAACGTTCTTCAGTCGCCAGTGATGATGGGAACGCCTCACTCTTTTAGTATCCTCTGCATAACTGGGCTTTTCTTCAACATTTGCCTGTTGCTGACTGCTCGCAGAACAGTGAACATATACAGTAGCGTGTGGAGGACCAGTGGTGGGAGGTAGAGTCGCCAGAAACCTTGAGGCCGCTCAGCGCGACAGCCTCGGATACCAAATGCAACCAGGGTCTGGAGAGGGCGAAGGTTGATTGATGCCGTGCATGCGAATGCCAGCGATATGCTGACGGAGACTATGAAGCATGCAATCACGATATTCTGAACGAGCCTCGAGTTTGAGAATAAATAATACACTCGTAGAACGAGGATGGCTAGAGAGAAGGGCTCGTTGGAACGGCGTCGTGGGTGTGGTCGAAACACTGACCTTGAACTATGCCCAGCACTAAAACGGTTAAAATAAAGCAGGCTTTTATCGCGCGGAGGCAACTAGATGTCGCGGAATCAGTAAGGCGAGTCTCTGCATCTGGATGCTTGCTTACAACTAAAATATACGACTGTCAGTACTGTGAAAGCGATATAGTGACGAATCTACTCACCACAGTTGTAGGAGTTGTAGTCTGAAAACCTGGAGGGAGAGGAACTATCAGAAACGGGTAATAATGTCATAGCACAGGACTTGCAATACAACGGAAATCTGAGTGAAAGAGGTTAATGGTGGACGGAATGGAGGAGTTAAATTGCGTACAAAATGATGATCGGCGTCATATACCGATTCTACAGCGAGATCAGACTTGGTGGCATAGGACGATTCGATATGAGGGCTCACTGCCAAAAAGAGCATCCGGGACTTCGACCAACCTCCCCTCCAGAAACACTGAATCTAAGAAGGGTGGGATCAATGTGGGGAAGGGGTATAATACGGATCCGCACTCTACTCACTTCGCTATCTAGCGTGATGAACCATTCATAAACTAAAAGCGCGAACGTAGCGATCGTCAGAAGTCGGGCGGCCTCAGCCCCCTCAAGGGACTGAAGAATTAGAGGATCTCTGTAGTCCTCCATCGCATGTCGCGGCGAGAGAAAGAAAGTGAGATGTCGTGGGGAAGTGTTCGCAAGATAGAGTCCTGCCTGAGTCTGCAGGGGCCCGGGAGATGAGAACGAGCGTCAGAAAGCGTAAATCAGTAGGAACACACCCTCGAAGAAAGAAAGACGAGACGAATCTCTCGTCACATATAAACTCGTCGCAGGGTTCAAAGAGACTGGCAGCCGTCACGGGCTGGCCATAAGGGTCCTTCTACCGGAACCAATCAGGTGGTGTTGACAGGTACGATCTGGTGATGAGAAGGGTTTTTTGATTTGTGAGTCCCGTAAAACCAAACATTGATCGAGGGCAACCACATCATTCAAAAGCTTCTCCGAGATCAAGTACAAGGGCGTCGAGGTCGTAACGTTTCAAGTAATTAGTTCACCGTGGGCTGTGCACTGCTGGGAGGTGCCAGTAAATTTGCTGTGAAAGTGAATGAATATAGATCGTCGTCGTGTGTGCAGACTCACAGACCAGTGATCATGAAAGTTTATGTCCGAAACTGATAAGCAGCATGGAAAGCAGCATCAGGGTGCTCGATACTTAGGCGACGAACTTTTCCGGTCACCCTTCAGTGTTCATCCCGACCCTCTTATGGGTATATTATGGAGCGAGGTGTAGCTGTTGTACATGCTGTAGCTATTGAATGAAATGGATCCATTTGCTGCGCCATTGACAATAGGAGTTCAGCAGTTCAGTGCTTCAGCTTTATGCCTTACACCGTGATAGTCTCGAGGCTCACGCACCGACACGTTTTCCCCATCGATCTCTTGGCCAACCTTGGTACAACCTCTCGGCGTCGATCCAGGTCAGAGTTCAGAGGCCCTTGATCCCGCCTGCGCCACGGTGGCGAGCCTATATGATAAGATGTCAGAGTCCTGAAGATGTGATTGAAACGCCCGAGTCAACCTGTACTGTCACTAACGGATCCCTGCTGTTGCATGTAGCAAGATACTAACTAAACATAATATGCATCAGCTCATACATATTGGGAAGAACTGGCATACCGGTGCATCCAAGAACCTAGAGGTGACGTGGATCAGAGGTAAGGTCAAAATAAATCGACGATATCATAACGTCGGTGCTGCAGGAATTGGCGGAATGCTGGTTGGAGCCCCTGTGTCGATAAATGATATTATTTCCTAGTATTGCCTAGTGTTAAAACTACATGAACATAGTGTATATGTGCCTGGGGTATCTTGTAGATGCAGAGGATGAAACGAGATCTAAGGAGCGCGGAATTGGAAATCGAGAAAGAGATAGGGAGTCGATAACATAAACGTAGCGGAACGATGCTGACCTTCCGCGTTACAGCCCCATAATTTGATGTGGGGTTGACCGTCGACTACGCAATCGCGCTAGCTTTGTCTAAAAGCCCGCGAACCCTCCGACTCAACCTCTCAGCTTCCAGTTTCCTTTCAAGCACTTGATGTGCCGGAGTCTTCTTCCTAGGCATCCAGAACTTCCCAACAGCGTGTTTGCCTTCGTTGTCCTCGTCACCTCTTTCAACCTCCTTTGTTTGAGCCCTAAGAAGTGCTTCAGCCCTTCGCTTGTTCACATCGGATAAATCCACAACGCGTGGCGAAGATGAGAACCGCAGAACATCCCTGTAGAGAACCTTTGTCTCCGTTGTTAGTGAACGTAATGTTGGACGCTGTAAGCGGCGTGCATCTTCGTCGTCAGAATCGGAGTCTAGGTCCGACGCCCGCGATGGGTCCAATTCTGGTGTAGGCTGTCGAGTGATGGGTTCTGGGAGAGGAGGAAGCGATTGGATGTCTCGCACGAGATCTTGTCCTTTCAGGTATGCATTCTCCGTGCGCAGATAACGAACTGTACCACGTAGTGCTTCGATCTGTGCACCATTGTTTAACCCATGCTTTAAACACGGCGGGGAAGTTACGTACTTGTTCTAATAGATGTGATGTCTCCAAATTTCCTTCCACGACGATGGCCTCGGCCTCAACGGCAGGAGCAGGCCCTAGAGACCATGTGAGTATGTGAATGGTTTGCGCGCAATTATATCCGCACCTGGTCGATCTTGACCAGCAGTCATAGCCCTCAATTGAGCGTTCTCCCTCGTATACTGGTCTACATCGGCCTGGAGCTGTGTCATCTCTTCAAACAGGTCCCGTTCTTTCTTTTGTGCTTTGCTGACTTCGTCCTCGAGCTCGGAGATACGATCAGCCTGCTTCTTCAGGCCTTCCATTCTACGCTCCATTAGCTCAATCTTGACGACCTTCTCTTGGATGTTCTGATCCCTCGACTTTATTGACCGCGCGAGCCCTTGTATCTCATCGTTAAGGGAGGCAACTTTACGTTCCGCTTCAACGTTGATAGCGAGAGCGGCCTTGATATCGTCTACCCTAATCACCCAGGGTGCGACCCCAGTCACTACACAATAAAATCAAATGTCAACATGAGCGTCAACGGCATTAACATGGAGAGAAACGTACACTTGACGACATTCTCCTGTTCTGATATCAGGGGCAGCAATTTGCTGACATCGTGATTGAGCAAGCTGATGCGGTTGGTGACGGCTTCCCACCACGTCTCTCCTGGTTTAGCATCATTGAGCACTATGGCTCCAGCGGACTGTTTAGCATAAGATAGGACAGTTGCCAACTGGAACGAGGATTTAGCGCCCCTCGCATCATTGCGATGTGAAAGGATTAATTGAGCGAGCTAGCACATCATCTTAGTGGTATAGCGCGGTTTAAAATAGGGCACCTACTGAGATACCGAAATTGAGGAGCTCAGTCAGCATGTCCGTCGATGACTTGAAGCGAGGTATCAAACGAGGGTTGAGTGCAGCGGAGTCTTGGAGGAGATCTTCTAGGCGCTTCGTGATTTTCCTGGGGTATATACAAGTTAGCAAGGTACAAGGATCGAAGGTATTGGGTGTACCTGGATAGCGTCTTCGGGCCCTTACATTGCTCAAGGATGTTTTGCATGGGTTGGAAGAATTCAACGTCAGGATCAAATCCACCCATATCCAGCACTACATCTGATAGTATCGAAAATAAATGAATGTGTCTCAAAATCTCAAAAGAGGACCATGATGCTCACCTGGATCCTTCAAGATCTCCGACACAGCCGTCTTGCTCAATCCGACAGAGGCAACGAACGAATCCAAATCGTTCTCCAGCATAAGCGCGTGCCCCAGCTCAGTCTCGCCCATATCCAGCTGTTCGTATCCACTGAAGTACGCTTCTGCAAGATGTTCAAACTGCGCCTGTATCTTCGCCACATCCGACACGCATTCCATTTCCCGGAACTCATCGCGTCGAAGCAGCTCGATGTGCATGTCGATACGCTTTTCCAGGGGCGCGATCTCTGGGTAGAGCCGACCGAGAGATAGGAATGAATCCACGTCGCATCGTCGCAGAATGGCAGCGAATCGCTTGCAGAGGGTCGACAGGTTGGCAAGATTCCCTCGCATCTATGTAGGTTGTGGATTAGACAAGGTAAACGGAGCAACGGAGGCGCTCACATCACAGATACCCATGAGGACCTCGGTAACAGGTCCATTGCATGAATCCGGGAGACCATGAGCCTGTGCCGCGATGGAACTGATGAGATCGGCCTTCCCGGCCAACCGTTGGAAGAAGAGGTAGCAGCTAGTCGCATCGCTGTCAGACTCAACGTATAGTTGGGGTAGATACGGCTGACGGTGGGGATCGTGGTCAATATCTACCCGAGTACCCCGTTAATAGAAGCGTAGGCAAACCTGAACGATTGCCAGCAATTCCTTTGCCTCCCTTGCTTCAAGCTTGCCGAGTTCAACCTCGAGGAGACGAGCTTGATTCTTGGACGCAGAAGACTGGAGCTTGAGGTTCATAGCTATCATAGCAGCGTTCTGGGAGGCCGCCCTATCGGACTCGGATTGGGCGGTCTGCGTCTGCGTTCGAAGGCCATCGAGCTCACTGTATAGAAAATTGATACGTCTGGCCGTTGGAATATGGCTGAACAACTTACGATTGCAGTTGTAGCACCAGCTCCCTGAATTGTGCTATGGTGCCTTCTAGATCCAGGCACGCCTCCTCCAAGCCCTCAATCTTGCGAAGATACTCACGTATTTCTGCGTCCTTCGCGTCTGTGCAGATGCTGTGCGTAAGCAAATATACCTGCGTAGAGAACGGGTCAATCGTTACCAAGGTCCTCCTGCAACGCTTTCTCCGTCTCGATATGATTCTCTTCCAGTTCATCGTTGAGTTCTTTAAGTGACTCGAGGTCCTCAATGGTGATTTGCATTTCATGGATTTTCTAAGGCCAACGGCGATCAGCACCCCATGAACCAAGTTTCAATGAGGACGTAGCTTCCGTACCTCATCGAGAATGTCATTACGATCCGTGAGCTGCAGGAGCAATTCGTCGGCAGCTGCGGTAGCATCCAACTGAGCCTTCAGCTCGTCGATGAGGATTTCCGCGTTGGTTAACTGCCCAAGAGTCGACTCATATTGACCTAGATGATCCCATTCAGACATATGCCGACGATGAAGCAGTGAGGCCCACCTTGTATTTCATCAAAGCCGTCGACATCTTTCTCGAGTTCTGCAATACGCCGGCGGTGTTCGCGTTCATTCTCTTGGGATATATCGCGTAGCCTAACCCCACCAGTTTATGATATACAACATAGGTCGCGGAAGGACAACATACCTTATGAGAGCTTCCTTCATCCTCTCGTTCTGCTTCTCAAGTTGTATATACGCTAAACTGTTCTTGCCCGTGTCAACGGTGGCACCAGCCTCGTCGGATTGCTCCCCAGTAGCTCCACCTCCCCTTAGCACGCCTAGTTCGACCTCCAGAACCGCTACCCTCTCTTTCAACTCCCTACATTCCTCCATCGCAGTCTCAGCTTTCTCCTCAGCCACCTCTCTGTCCAGCATGACCATCTCCAACTGCTCCGTCAAATCCTCAATCCGCGAGTCGAACGCCTCCTTCTCCTCCCTCGCATCCTCGCTCTCCTTCCGCGTCTCTGCCATCTCTGCCTTCAGCTGCGTAATCGTCGACGTCAGCGCCGCGATCGTGCTCTGCTGCTGCGTCAGCTTCCCCGTCAGCTTTGGCCGAATCGTGTTGAGCACTTTCTCCGTCTCCGTGAGCTTCGTTTGGAGCGCTTGGATGGTGTGTTGATCGGATGCGGACTTGGATTCGAGGAGACGGACTTTGGAGAGGAGGGTCGCGTTGCTATTTCCTGAGCCAGAAACGGCGCTATCATGAGAGACGGAGGGTCGCAGCTCGGAGACAGGTGCAGCTAAGTGGTCATCAGGCGTGTCGTGCACAGGGGCAGGCTCGGACTCGGATTCATCTCCAGCTGGTAGCTCGGGAGTGGAAGCGAGGGGAGGTGGTGGCGGTTTAATAGAAATCGATGCTGTTCTTTGTAATCTAACGAGCTGAGGCGCACTTATGGCGAGCGGCGAAGACGTCCTTCGTGACTGGAGCGTACCTGGCGATATATTGCGGTTACGGGTGCGAGTCGGCGAGTCGGCCAACGAAATAGAGGCGTTTAGAATATTGGGGGAGGTAGAATCCTGAGAATGAGCAGAGGAACTAGATGATTGGCGAAGGCCGAGAGAGCGTCTTGACTGGAGGGCTGGGGTCAGAGACGATGATGCTTTGATCACAGGAGTGCGTTTCGTAGGAGATCCTTGCGTGCTTCGGGAGACAGCTGTCCTCGAAGACGAAGCAGACGAAGAGGGTTTCCCGGGACTCAGCGAACGAGGGGACGAGGGAACCGTCGACGACCGTAGAGAATTGGTCCTCTGGTGCCCCAATGTTGGGCGCGTAGAAGCCATTCGCTATGATAGATCAGAAACATCCCCTCGACAAAATATGTTCTGCTCACTGGTTCTTCCACTTTCTCCATCCCAAAGTTCGCTTTGACCTGGCTGGGTCTGACGAACATCCCATATCCCGGCTTGCACGGAAAGTATGCTTCGCCGTTGACCGTTCCATCATTCTTGCCCTTCTGTTCATATAATTCGACACCGATCCAGTTGCCTGGAGAGAACTTTGTGGACCCAACGAAACGAACGACGCCGCGGCCGGCGGGGATTTCGACGACGCTTCCTACGACGGGCCCCGAGCTCATTTTCGCGTGTTCAAAACGTTAGTTTCGCGTAAAATACGGCCGGGACTCGCAGCATGTTCTAAGTGCAATAATGAATGATGAGGACAGGCGACGCGCATTTAGGCGCTCCATTAGGCGCCCAAATATCTTCTCTGGCACCCTGCAACATGCGATACGAGAAGGTAGTGAAAGAAGAAGAAAGCTAGACCATCGAAACTCGGGCGTACGTCGACAGACTTGTCATCTGTGGGTGAAAGATATGTCGTTCGTCGACCGATGCTGACCATCTAACCTTTAGCACCCAGCGACCCAGCGCTCACATCCTAACTCCTCAGATATTACGCCCATGCATTATCCTGTTTCGCCTCCGACAATAATGGCTGGTCTCCCAGTCCCGGCACCGTAGCCCACGTTTGCAGCACGTACACCCATCTAAAGGATACAGAATAGAGTGGATCTCGACTCGTAAGACGCCAACTAGATGCGGTAGAAACGAGTTCTCCCAAATCTGAGGCACGGGGCAGACTATCAAAACGTGAACGCACATGCCTTGCGCAGTGAATCACCTAGCTCACTCACAGTATCACAGAACCCTTAAACAAATATTCAAAAGACACGATGCCGCTACGCAGTGTACTACTTTTGTCGCTGCCGTCCAGACATCACTCGAGTACTCTCACAGTGAGCATCTCCCTCGTTCACAATGTTCTCCCAGCTTTCCATATGACTGTGTATGTCCAACTTCTGAACTTCTCTAAACTATGTATGACTGATAGCCTCCGAGGGGAGAAAGCAAATGAAAGATAGAAACTGGGAGAATGTACGACCGCAGCAAGTCTCCTTCGCGACCCATACACATGACATGGATATCGCAGAATTCCTTGCCGTGTGGACCGGTCATCGAACCTTAAGGCGCTTCTCCATCTGCATACAAATAGGCTGTTAACTACTGAAGACTTCATCATTCGGTATCGAACTGACTTTAACCCAAGCCTCAAAATACCGAGTCCCTTACCATGTCAACCGATATCGCGCCGCTGCTCATGCTACCCCCTCCCGCTCCGAAGAATTCATCGTATCCGGACATTCTCCTGCGCATCAAAACACCCTACAACGCTGACGCGTTCGAAAATTTCTTCCAGAGGTTCCCTCATCTTCGACAACAATACCCTAACCTCGTACTGAAGCTGCGCAATGGCTTCCCCATGGGCGAATTCCCCGCTCTTGACAAAACGGTCACTTGGCCAAACGGTCAAGCAGTCGAAAAGCATCGGTCCTTCGTGGATGAATACTTCGTAGAGGAGGTCAGGGAGGGTAGATTGAGCGGGCCGTATTCTCAGGAGACGACCGAACGTATTCTCGGTGGACCTTTTCAATGCTCGCCGATCACGGTCAAAATTCAGCCGCAAAACCCAGGAGAAGAACCCAAGCTGCGCGTCTGTATCGATCTTTCGAGGGGTACTCATTCCTACCCCGCAACGAACGAGTACTCGGATATACGTGATTTCCCTACGAAGTTCGATTCAGCGCTACAAGTTGCCGAGATTGTAAGGCATTCTCCTCCTCGCTGCTGCTTTAGTGCTGACATATATCTTCCATAGGTTGCATCAGCTCCAAATGGAGCACAAGCTATGACTTTGGACGTCTCGAAATTCCACCGCCGCACGCCTCTATGCCCCGCCCACAAACGCTGGTTTGTTATACAAGGTCGACCCGGACAATTCTACGTTCAGCATGCCTGCCCGTTTGGGTCGAAGGCCTCCGAAGGAAATTCGGGGGAGATAGCCAACGCCGCTCTCGCAATTTGGAAGGAACTTGGCGTAGGCCCTATTTGCAAATGGGCCGACGATATGGTTGTCTTCCGCTTCCCCTTATCCCCGTACTCTCCCAGAAGCTTCTCTTATGACCGCGTAGGAGCCCTAGGCAAGATTGCCTCTCTTGGAATCCCCTGGCATCCCGAAAAGGGGCAAGACTTCTCGCACTCCTTCACATACGTCGGCTTCCTTTGGGATTTGAGCCACAAGACGGTGGCACTACCACCTGCCAAGCGCTTAGCTTTTCGCGAGAAGCTGTATAAATTTTACCATTCAACCGCAATTTCACGAGAGGACGCGATGGCGGTGCAAGGAACACTTGCCCATATTATATATGTCTACCCACTTGGTCGGACACGCCTCGCATTCTTGATTCAGTTCATCTCGTCTTTTGAAGGCAATGAAACGAGGCGCCTCCCCGAGAACGTTCGGCAAGATGTTGCATGGTGGTGGAATACATTGGGGGACGTGAACTTCAGCCGAAGTGTCGTTCCTCGAGGAGCAGCGCAGAATCTCGGCATCAGCGTTGACGCGTCAGGAGATTGGGGCATCGGAATTCTGTGGGGGAAGCAGTGGGCGGCCTGGAAGAGCCTCCCCGGCTGGGAATCCACTGGTCGCAAGATTGGGTGGCTCGAAGGGGTCGCTGTCGAACTCGCGGCTTACCTCTTAGAAGCCAAAGGTGTCAGAAACACCCACGTCCTCATTCACTCTGACAATCAGGGCGTAATTGGGGCGTTCAATAAGGGCTCGAGCGCGAACATCCAAGTCAATCTCTCGATCCAGCGCGTAGGGGCCTGCTTGCTTGCGCTCAATAATCAGTTGAAGCTGGAGTATATCTCAACGGAGAAGAATCCAGCCGACCCAATCTCTCGCGGGGCACTCTCTAACTTGGATCCCACCATGCGTCTCCCCGACATCGAGCTCCCTCAGGAACTCAGACCTTATCTCAAACGTGTTTAGTTATGATCTATATCTGGGAATCGTTAGTCTGTAAACTGAGGTCCTGTGCCATAAATCATGGTTCTATGACCTTAAAGGCCCTAGTGCCTCATGAATAGTACTTTTCTCTTTCTCGTGAGTCGTTACGCGAGTCCACAGAGTTTTGGCCTTCTCAAGATAATTGGGCATCACGCCTTCCTTTCGACACCCAAGGTCTTTTCGTAAGTGGGTGATACCCAACACACCAATCATTTCTTCCCCATGGTCCGCCCTAATTCTGAATCGCGGACTTGAATTTTTGCATTTACATTCAGGACTGTCACCCTTCCACGTTGAACAACAGCTTCCTGTTGAAGAAAGTGAGTATCTTCTTCCCCATGGGCTGCTCTTGACTTGTGGACTGAATTTCATGGAAGGCAAGGTCTGAGTGGGGAATGGGAGTCAGGAAGGAGCGGAAATGGGTAGAACAGTGGCTGTAGCAGAGGTAGATCTCCATGTTGGGCATGTCCTCTAAGCGCCAAGGGGCAAATGGTCTTCGAGATCAAAGTCAAGAATAGCTCGGCGGTATACCTCCATGTCGAAAGCATTCACCCACGATATCCCAAGTTCACCGCATGGCGCAGTAAGACCATACACAGCCTGCCGACTTCGCTCATCCTCATGCTATTTGCTTGACCTTGACATTTCTCAAGTTCGTTTGTCGCGCACAGGTTCGGCACGCAGGTTAGCTCACCATGGCGGGGCTCTTCTGGAGGCAATTTGGGATCTTGTTCTGGAAGAATTGGATCGTTCTGTCTAAACATCCTGTTGTGCGTGCTGCCTTTATTCGCGACGGTTGGAGTCTGACTTTCTCTAGCTCAATCTAGTGCGATGCTTCATCCTGCCGGTGGCTTATGGCATCTTCCTGGCGACCGCCCAATTGTTCTTGATCAAGCCCAACAATGTATGTCGCATCTGACCACGACACATTCATGTACCCACGCACGTATGTAGAACGGCCTCGGGACAGCCGTGCCTATCCCGACGCTGAGGGACACCTACGATGCCTCCCTGGCCTTCGTCTGGGCCGACGGAACCAACGGCACGAACTCTCCGACACCAGAGGAAATCATGGCGCGCGTTACGGCTGGCTTCAGCGATAAGCAACTCGGCAGCGTGAAGAAAGCAGCATCCGTTGCAGACATACCCAAGCTATGTCCCCAGAACTTCAACTTGTTCTCCGAGTGTTTTGTGGCCATTGCTTTCAATGATATACCGGAAGGTCTCAATGACCCCGTCAACTACACTATCAGAGCAGATGCTGGCTTGTTTCATATTGATGTTGAACGTCACACGAGTGACTTTGAGCAGAGGATACTACCTCTGCAATGGGCTGTGGATGAGGTATGAAGCAGAGATTGACTCATGTTCTTACTGATCAGTTGGGCTGCAGGCCATCATACAACTGAGAACCGGTATACAAACTCCCGTGCCAATGGAATGGCCGTTTACGCAAGCCACTAATGAGGAACAATCTCGGGATATTCGACTAAGTGTGTTATGAGGACCTCTTACTCCAGCATGGTTACTCAATGACGTGCACCTTAGGTTATATTAGAGGCCTACGGACATTATTAGTTCTGGCATTGTGAGCCTTCCACGGTTGGTTTACGATGCAAGTCCCAACACCTTTACAGGTTTATTTGTTTTGTCGGCATCGCATATCAACTCCCCGGATCCGTGGCCAGTGAAAGGGCGGAAATGCTGACTGCCCATCTCAAGGCTATGGGACTCATGGATTCAGCCCGGATACTGTGCGAGCTCGCCATTCATTTACACTCGCTTCGACACTGACGTACGCCTCTAGTTCATGGCATGTCAGTATCTCATTAGCCTACCTCCCTGCGTGGATCATCGTTGGGCTGATCTGGCATTACCGCATCTTCACCGCGTCCAACGCAGGCCTTATTCTCGTCGTCCACCTGCTTCTCGGCGTCTCCCTGGCCAGCTGGTCGTTCTTCGTCGCGGCGCCTTTCGGGAAGAGCCCGCAACTAGCGGCGGTAGTGACGACGTTTCTGTCGATACTCCTCGCGATATTAGCGCTTGTATTCGGTCGAGCGAGCAGTGGTGCGGCGTTCGTATTCAGCGTCGTATTCCCGCCTGGGTACTACATCTTTGCCATCCGCGCCATCTGCGGCTTCGAGAACCATCTACGCCCCGCCAATCTCCTAGAACCGGATCCCGATAATCAGCTCCGCCTTCTGCCACTGATCATCGCAGCCATCGTACGTGCCTTGCAGTCGCAGTTCTGGTCGTGTTGACTCGCGACACATTCTGTAGATCGACGTATTCATTTGGCCGTACTTTGCGGTCCTCCTTGAGCGCCGGCTCTACGACCCCCGTGAGCCCACGAACTCCTGGCGGTTCTGGAGGCGCCGCGCCCGCGGGCCCGTCGAGCCCCCAGCGGAGGGCATCGCGATATCCATCAAAAACCTGCAGAAGACGTTCTCCACCTCGATGTTCGGGAAGGGAAACACAGTCACTGCCATAAAGGACCTCAGCTTCGCCGTGCCGAAGTACGGCATCTACGTCCTGCTGGGATCGAATGGGTGAGGCTCGTGTCTATTGTGTAATGGGTTGCCAGCGACGTTGACGCTGAGCTGATTTAGCGCGGGCAAGTCGACGGCGCTGTCTGTTATTGGGGGCCTCGCTGGACGGACGGGCGGGTCCGTGACGTTCGAGGGCGCCCTGGCGCGCCCGCCTCGAGGCACGCTCGGGATCGTCCCGCAGAAGAATGTGCTGTTCCCCGAGCTAACGTGTCTTCAGACCCTCCGCGTGTGGAGGGCCGTCAAGCGGTCGGACGGCGCACCGAAGGACGAGGACTTGGAGCAGCTGCTGCGCGATTGTGATCTCGAGAGCAAGATGCACGCTCGCTCGGTCGCGATGTCGGGTGGTCAGAAGAGGAAGCTGCAGCTGGCGATTGGCCTCGTCGGTGGATCCAAGGGTGAGTGATTATGATCAGAGTATGGTTTGTGTTATGTGGGTGCTTGTGTTGATCTGCCGTGTCCCGCCATTGATAGTTCTTCTCGTCGACGAGGTGGGTGTCTTACTCTCTTACGACGACATCTAGCTCAATATGTGGGCGATCGTAGTGTACCTCCGGCGTCGACCCCCTATCCCGTCGGGCTCTATGGAAGACATTGACCTCGGTGCGAAATGAGAGGACGGTCATTTTCACCACACATGTAAGATTAATAAGTAGCACGCTCCCCGAAGATCTAGCTTCTGACGCAAGATCTGCCGCTAGTTCCTCGACGAAGCCGATCTCCTGGCCGATCGCATTGCTATTCTGGCCGCGCCAGGCAAGCTTGTTGCGGAGGGCACGCCTGTCGCTCTGAAGCGCGAACTGGGCGAAGGGTACAGCGTGCAAGTGCACTTCTCCGCCTCGCTGCCCGCAGAAAAGCTGCAGGCGTCGTGTGCTGAACTCCTGGACCGCGTGCGCTCGATAGCTGCAGCAACATATCTTACGACGTCCTCTCCCTTTCTGGTCTGTTTTCATCTGAAAACTAGGGATCCCGCTGCGGTCGAGCAGGTGCTTCGATTGCTGGAAGAAGAGAAGCAAGTTTCGGGGATCGCTTCCTACGAAGTGCTCGGGACATCTGTCGAAGACATCTTCTTGGACCTGATGGCGCGTCACGACGATCATCCGGGGATGGCAGAAAAGGCGTCTCTATCTAGCAGCTCGTCACCGGGAAAGCCGAATACGCAGGGCTTGGAACTCGCCCCAGGCCGCAGCGTGTCGCCGCTACACCAGGCGTTCACGATATTCCGCAAACGGGCGCTCGTCGCACGGCGCAGCTGGCTCTCCCCGCTCCTCGCCGTTCTCATCGCTATCGCCGGCTCGACGATCCCCCTGGTGTTCATCACCAACCGCGAGCAAACGTGCACCGTCCGCTTTCGCAACTCGACCAACATCGCGCTGTTCCTCCCAGAGTCCTCGCTCATTCCGTTTGGGTTCGGCAATGGCTCGCGCGTGGTCGTTTCGCCGCCGGCGATTGTCTCAGGTCTCGGAAACGCTACGAGGTTTTTGCGCGTGAATGATGTTGCGGATAACGCCTCGTTTGTGGCGACTATCGAGCAGAGCTATAGAAATCTTTCCTTGGGCGGTGTTTCTCTCGACGTTGAGTCGTCCAACTCGCTGGTCGCCTGGGAAGCCAGTTCCCCCGGGCTGATGGGGCCCGCCATGCTGAACCTTGCCTCGAATATTCTTTACAATCGAGCACTCAATTCTTCCGGGAACTCGGCGGGCACGCCGAATATAATTCAGGCAAGCTATGAAGCCTTTCCTGCTATCAACGCTGGGACTCTAGTGGCCTTGAAATGGGTCGCATTCTTCGGTGCTGCCATGGTACGCCCTTGCTTTCTTGGTAGACTGTTGGTAGATCATCGATCAGTGCTGAATGTCTCATATCTACAGGCGGTGTATCCGGCGTTCTTTTCGTTGTATGTTTGCAGGGAGCGCAGATCAGCCGTACAGGCTATGCAGTTCTCGAACGGACTGTCCAATCCTGTGGGCTTGTGGATCGGGCATCTGCTCTTTGATTCTATTTGCGGGGTCATCATCGCCACAGTAGTTGTGATTGTCTTTGTCGCCGCCTCTAATCAATTTCATGGCTTGGGCCTGCTCGTAAGATCTCTCTACTGATATCTTGGGGCGTCGTTGGCTGATATTTGTGTGGAGTGGCTGGTGCTCGTACTCTACGGCATCGTTGGCGCGCTGTTCGCGTATTCTGTAGCCCTCTTCATGCCGTCACCCCTCGCTGCTTTCGCCGCCGTCGCGGGGTATCAAATCATCATGTTCATAGTGAGCAGTCACTTTGGCATCCGCTTTGCCGCGCTAACTCACCGTCAAGTTATACCTCGCTGGCTATCTCTTGACCTTGACGTACGCTAAAAACTCCGAAGCAGGCCGCATCATCACGATCATACACTTTACGTTGTCGATACTGTCTCCTGTCGCCAGTGTGGTATGCGTTATCTGTTTGCTTGTCGTCGCGTAGCACTTCGGCTGATGGATCGTGCAGATGCGGGCGGCGTTGGTATCCGTGAATCTCTTCTCTTTGCTATGCGATGGCTCGTCGCCGGTGACGACGGCGTCCATGGGCGTTATCACCAGATTTGGAGGCCCTATACTCTACCTCATTGTCTACGGCTTCGTCCTTCTTGGCGTCTTGGTCTGGGTGGACTCGGGCTCTATCTTTTCAAGGCATAGTCGCAGGGCTCACTCATCCGTGGCTCCAAACTCAGACCCTACGAAGTTAGACGTAGCCCAAGAGGCCCACGCCGCGTTGAACTCGCAGGATATCCTACGGGTCCAGCATATGTCGAAATCATTTGGGAGCAACAAGGTAGTCGACGACGTGAGCTTTGGTGTTTCCCGGGACGTTATCTTCGCTCTGCTCGGACCCAACGGTGCCGGTAAAACCACCACCTTTAACGTAATACGTGCGCTTCCGTTGTCTTTCCATACGCTGACACACGCTGAATTAATCTGACAACAGGTGGAGATGTGATACCCGACTCAGGAGATGTCCTGATCAACGGGATTTCCGTGGTCGATAGCCCACAGCTTGCCCGGCTTAATATTGGCGTCTGCCCACAGTTCACCGCCATCGATTCACAGCTGACAGTTCAGGAGCATCTCTTGACTTACGGGCGATTGAAAGGCCTAGGGAAGCAGGAGCTCCAAGTGACCATCGACTCGCTCCTTGGTGCCACAGGCCTAGATGTATATTCAGACCGTCTAGCCAGCAAACTGTCAGGTGGAAACCAGCGAAAATTATCCTTGGCCATTGCCATGATGGGTATGTTCGATTACTCCCTTCGTCTGGTACTAAATATTGAGCGTTTGTAATTAGGAAATCCTAGTGTGATCCTCATTGATGAATTTTCCACTGGCGTCGACGCCAAGATGAAAAGGGATATGTGGGGTACTCTTCGCAATGTCGCCCGGGGCAAAGCGGTCATCATCACCACTCGTGCGTCCTTCTTCTCAAATCCTGCTCGTGGGATCCACCTAACAATGTTACTCTCAGATTCAATGGAAGAGGCCTCTGCTCTGGCCAGTAAAGTTGGCATCATCGCTAAGCGGATGCTAGGTTAGTCCTTGGTTATCTGCGAGATTGTCACCGATTGACCTGGTGCGTTTCAAAGCGGTCGATACAACTAGCGCGCTCTCCGCTCGGTACGCACTGTATGAAGTTCACTTTTCGTGTCACTCGAGGGAAGATGTCCTCAAAGCGCAGCAAGTTATGGCGCACATACCCGGCTCCCGTCTGGCTGAAGATGTCGCGACTCGATTCGAAGTCCCAATAGCAAAGGAGAACGGGTTATCGTTGCCCGATCTCTTCCATACTTTGTCTAGCAACAGCGACTTCTCCGAATACACGGTGGAGAAGGCAACCCTTGAAAGCGTGTTCTTGAAGGTAATTCGGGCGAACAATATAGCAGAGGATGATCAGATGCATTCAACAAAAAGATTTTGGTGTTGCTAGACTTGTTCGATTTGATTTCAATATACATAGTAAAAATCCAGGATCTAAAGCAGATAAGAGATGTTATTCCACAACGAATGGCCAATTAGAAAAGCTAATCTAATAGTTGGTGAGAGGCTTCGAAAGCAGTGCGAAGATAATGGCGTCCCTAGTCGCGGACTGGGAGGGGACCATGGAAGTAAATAACGTTTATAGTAATAAAGGAGTGTGGTAAGATAGTTCGGTGGCTTCCATAGGTGGATAACAAGAAATGTGTACATGATGACGGACAGCAAAATCGACCCAGAGTACAAAGAAGGGAAATACCGAGTGTGAAGACAGAAGCTAGCGAGGCGAGGAGAATATAGAGAACACCTTCTCTGCATTTTCCTTGTATTTCTTCAACTTCTTGTTCTTTTGTTTCTCTGGTTCCTCGGGAAGAGCTTTAACGGTATCATGATTGGGGTCTGGCGTTGGCGCTTCGCTGCCAGATAAGGATGATGACATGCTTTGGTCCCCAACGGACATGGCCGATTCCTTTGATTTCAGAGATGGAGACGCAAGCAGTGAGCCACCGACAGAGGTGGATGGTGTCAACAATCCTGCACTGGACGAGGTAGATGCGGCAGACAAAGTTGCAGATCCAGATGTGGCTAGAGATCTTGCCACGGTATTGGTCTTGGACGAGAAGCTCGATGGAGGCGATTTCGGTCGTAAGAACTGTCGAGGATGACGCCGGAAAGTGAGGCCAGGATTGCGGCCACGGCGTTGTGATGGTGTCGGTGAATCGCCAGTATCGGTTGTCTGAGAGACTTGTGATGTACCAGATACTGACCGTGCGGTTGAGCGATGAGGGGTGGAAGCCTTTCGGAATACCGCAAGTCGGTATCGATCTACAACGCCCCTTGCGAAAAGGCTCGTGCCTTTGGCACCGTTGCGATCTTCACCATCGGCAGCTTCGATGAAGTCCCAGTCATCATCCTCGTCATCTTCTCGTTCTGTCGTCGCACCGTGGTCTTCATCAGCAGTATCAGATAGATATTTATCCAAGGCTGGAACTCCTGATTTCTCTCGGCGAGGACGGTGACCACGACTAGTAGTTGGTTTCGGGGCAACAGTCTTAGTGGGCTGGACGACCTTGACCTCCTTGAGTTTCTCGGGAACGGACGTGTCGTGGGTGATGGGTGGTGGCGGCGGCACGTCTTTGCTTGGGAGCGTCGGCTCGGGCGTAGCGGGTTTGGCTTCAGCTGGCTCAGTATCAAGTTTCGTCGGGATTGCAGGGGGTTCGGCGGTGGCTGGTGTCTTGGGCTCGGGCTCAAGGTCGACCTCGGGGAGAGGCTGAGGACGAGCCTCCGGAGTCTTAGGCTCTGGCGCCTCCTCTACGTCTTGTAGCTGTGGTTGGGCAGTTGCTGGCGTCTGGACTTCACCATCCTCTTCGCTCTCCATCTCTGATGATTCCTCAGATTCCTCTTCATCGTCCAGTAATACCGAATGGCGTCCTTTAAAGGAGTAGCCATCGAAGACGTCGACAGAATCATCGGCAACTATCGGCTGCGAGGGTTGCGGTGGTATAGACGAGCTCCGCGACTGGGAGGGCGTAGTATTTGATTCTTCTCCGTCGGTGCGATCAGCGTCAGTTTGCGGCTCTTGGTCAGTATCTGTTTGTTCGTTCTCATTGAACTCGTCGAGTACGGGTTCCATATCTAGGAAGGTGTCGTCGAAATTCTGCGTATCGCTTGCATTCGACGGGTCGATAGGGGGTATGTAAGGGGCTGATAATACTGCATCAGGAAAGCGAAGCAACATGTTGGGGACCAAACCACTTACGGATATATCGCTTGTAATATACATGCGACCAGTCTCTGTATTAGTAAAAACTGGTAAGATCGCGTGGATCAACAAGAAGAGGAAGACGTACATCATTGAAAAGTAGGGATGTCGTTTTATGCGTGGCTCGCATATCCGGAGAGCAGGATTCCGTTGGAGTAGCTGCATGCGGTGGATCAATAAGTAAGGTCGCAGAGAAATATGAAGCTCGCTACGTACCCCACGTATCAAGCTCTTCGTGTCTTGGTCCATGGCTCTGTCATCAGGGAACTGCAGCTCATTCTGAAGAACGCGCATGTACATCTCTGAATGGTTGTTTGCCCAGAAGGGAGTCTAGATTCGTCCATCAGTTAGATACCTGGAACAGCCTAGGAGATGTCGATCAAAAGACTCACGATTCCTGTAAGCATTTCGTAGAGCATAGTGCCAAAACTCCACCAATCGACTTCGTAGCTGTAGGGCAAGCCCTGGATCACCTCGGGCGCCAGATACTCTGCAGTTCCGCAGAACGTGCTCGTGGAGTCGCTGTGCCCAACGGGTTGACCAGGCCACCCAGCCGCGAGTTCCCCTCCTTTCTCACCCTTCATCCAAGGGGGCGTGGCAGGCTGTGACAATCCTGGGTAGAAGTCTCCTCCGCCACGCATCCCGGATGGCGTTGATGGTACAGTGGTAGCTGCCGTTTTGCGGGGGAACTCCTTTGACAGACCAAAGTCAGTGAGAACAATGTGGCCATCCGAGCCGATCAAGATATTTTCTGGCTTGAGATCTCGGTATATGACACCGGCGGCGTGCAAGCCTTCTACTCCCTCGACGATTTCAGCGGCATAAAATCTTGCTCGATCGCGGCCTAGCCGTCCCCAGCGAGCCAGTTGTGTCGCAAGATCTCCGCCAGGGTGGAAGTCCTTTATAGTCCATGTTTTCAGGCCATTCAACATAAGATAGAAGAGCATATACCATAACCAAGAATAGATTCTCCTTATCGTGGAAACTCCACCAAAGCTTGACAACGAACGGATCTTTGCTTTCAGCTGCCATCCGTTTGAGAACCGCTTGCTCTGTCAGTGTGTGTTGCAGCTCTTGATGAGCAAGCACGTGACGCTTCGTGATGGCCTTGAGCGCGAACAAGTCCGACGTTGGTTTGTGCCGTACTAGCAACACCTTGCCAGCACACCCCTTCCCAAGCACCCGTAGCATCTCGAAGTCGTCGATCACCACCTTTCTCTGCGACTTCCGCTCTTCTTTCTTCTTCTTCTCCTTATTGGGATCGACAGACTTGGATCGCTTCTTCCTCTTGGTCCTTCCGGTGGTCGATAATGAAGAGTCGTCTTCCGTTTGTGAAGAGGCTGGATCTTGTGATAGAGAAGCCGATGAAGAGAATGCTCGCGAGAGCCTGGTGATGACATTATCTGGGTCAGCCGACTTCGAACGGTGGATTCGACTCCCGGCTGGAGCATCGGGAGCAACAGGGGTGGCTGGTACCTCTTCTTCAACAAGAGGGGTAGGTTCATCATCGGCCGGAGATGGTGGGATGGTAGCCGCGTCGACAACGGCCGAGGCACCTTCGGGAGCGGGTAGGCCATTTATTTCAGGACTTGTCGACGTAGTAGCACCATGCGGGGCATCTTCGACACCTTCGGAGGTGCTAATATCTGCATCTGGTGACAGATCTTGATCGGCTTGCTCCTCCTGTGTCTCGTCTCCCCTGCTAACGGCCTGCAGCAAGCCTGGATCGATGATGGGCTCCTCTTGCTCCCTAGACACCTTAGACTTTGCTTCATCTCCGTCGACTTCACGGACTTCGACGTGACCATCACCCTTGACCTCCTTCACTTCGTGAACACTGCTCCGCTCGTGGATATTCACGCCGCCGTCCTCGTCTGCGTCATTCTCAGGCAGCGGCGTGGCCGCAGCTTGGCTCAGGCCTACGTGGGCAGCGAGGTCGGAGCGCACACGCTTAATTGCACGCTCGACTCGCACACTTTCGAGATCATCGGTACGCACGCGGACAAAGCGTTTCCATACCCGTGCTTGGCGCAAGGATGGAGTATTGGATACAATGGTAAGATAACTAGCGATCGAGGTGCTGACAGCAGACGGCGGGGGGTGCACGCTGGTGGGGGAGGTTTCGCCGTTGATGGCGGTAAAGCTAGAGAATGGATCGCTGACTTCGCCCGACGGTGACGTCAAGGGGGTTGGTAGACCAGAAGAAAATATATTGGTTGTGTTGTTCAGACGACGACCAGACGCCGAGCGGCTTGTCCGCGATGATGTCGGCGATGCTAAGCGCGATAGAGTGTTGAGGAAGGTAGATTTTCGCTTCGGTGGAGGGGGCAGTGATGCGATGTCGATGGGAAGAGGGGGAAAGTTGGCGCCAGGTTGGACGTCACGGAGCTTCTGGTCGAGCTCGACGATTTCCATGGCGGTGCGGGTGAGGGTAAGGTTGTGAGTTGGAGCTGGATGCGTAATGATCAGTTATGTATAAATTGAAACAAGGTTCGGACACGGGGAACGCAGTTGGCAGTCACAGGATTGGGAGTAGACTTGCACCAAAAGGGAATGCAACTCACTCTTGATATAAAGACTGTACGTCTGCGCGTTGTGTGGTGTCTCAGCGACGCTTATACTCCATGGACCATCTTGATCGACATGGACAGGCTGTCGCCGCGACGAAGTTCGCGAATCGGTCACTTCGATGGCCTGCATGTTGCTGGTAGGTGGATTGACGGTTGATGACTGCGTTTGGGCGATATCAACGGCTTTCGGTGCAAAGAATGAAGGATCGGCAATGCTGGAGCTACCAGGGGTGTGCCTCCGAGTAGTCTTGAGGCTCGTCGCAGCGTCGAAGCTCTTACGCGCAAAAGCCAAGTTACGACCTAGAGACGAGAAATTTGATGTCTCCTCAGCGGTGGCGTCTGTCTCTGCGTCTTTGAAGACGGCACCAAATCCAAGAACGGTGCGGAATTTCTTCTTCGATGGTACGGGCGGCGTCTGGCTTGCAGTCGACCGTACAGTGCTTGGCATGCGAGTTTGTTGGGAACTAGTGTGAATCAGCCGTCGAGATGTGCACGACGAGGTTGATGTTCCACTTCAAGTCGATGGGTGAATTAATTGATCTGTAGACAAAAAGAAAGGACTAAGGGATGCAGGCGAGGCGTGTTCTGGCAAAAGCCGTTTGCCTGCTCGTTGCCTCGAGGCGCGGTCAAACAAATCTTCTATAGACTTCGTTCGTTGGATTCTGGCCTCCGGGGTGCGCTCTACGGTGACCACGACGGTCGGAAATAAGGAGTGGTTGGGTTAGACGACGACGAGCTTCAAAAGTAAGAGAACGACGAGCAATAACGAACTTGGCTAAGTATGAGGACAAAACCTGTAGCCCTTAGCATAGCATTTCCCACGAACATATGTATTTATTGTCTAACGGAAAATACATAAAATGATCTTATCGCAACGCCTTAGTTTGGGCGACAGAGTCGATGCGCTGGTCGCATAGATCTGAGCCCTGAAATTTACAGAGCCTCGCGCCAGCCCCTATCGCTGATCCTGTAGAGGTATCAAACAAGCACCTCGACACTGAGACACTTCTTGAGTGCACAGACAGCTCTAGGAATACATCACATCACCATTCGAGCAGTTTCGCGCGCAGCATCAGGAAGTTTCCGGTCAGTTCCAATCTTCAGTGTACATACCAGAGCGAGCGTGTTCTCGCGATCCCCTCTCGGTGGAGACGCAGTGTATGTGAAATTGGCTGATGGCGCCTTATCCTATCAAGGTCATCAGTCTTGGTAAACCATTCGTCGGTTACGTACCATAACATCATAGCCAGCATCATGAGTGCGCTCATCCATTCTTCTTGCGGCATACACGGTCGACGGGTAATGCTATGGGTGAGAAACATGGAAGGCGGGCTTCCTTGTGATCCCCCATGGGTGCACGAGAACGAGGATATGTGTGGCGCTGATGGGCGGAAAGCAGTGGCCATCTGCTTCTTCTGAGCATCACGGATCACTCCTTGTTTGTTCGACGAGGTAGTAGGGCTGATTGACGCGATCCCTGCGCTGCAAGTTCGACCGATGTGGATTGCAACAGCTTCGCATGAGGACCCCGGACAATCCCTAGTACACCCAGGCATGGGAACGGACACCAGAAGACATCTGCTGTCAGAAGTGGCTCGGAAAAGCCCTTTTGTGAAGCGCTCCAGCTAAAGGATGAGCGACGGTGAATCCTATGACATCAGATGACGGTTGAAAGGACAAATTAAGAGTACTTTTGAGGCCTGTTTGCTATCCCGGACGCTTTGGAACTTGTTTTGGGCCTGTCGGATTTCGAGGACATTTTAGGCCGATTTGCTGACCTAGGACAATTGAGTAGCATCCGCCCAGACAGGCCTTTACAAACATTGTCCGGGGTCCTTTCGCGTGTCGCCTGTGAGAAAGCTGACAATTCTCAAGGCAGAACGAAACATACAAGTATGGTGTGAATTTTCTGTTTGGTACGGGCCTGGCAACCAGAACCTATTGTTAGCAATAAACAGGGAGCGGGCATCAGTGAGCCTCAGTAGGCACTGTCGTCAAGGCTTTATGGGTGACCGTCGAAGAATCTGGTAAGAAGTTCAGGAGGCTAGAGGAGACCGCGACCTCACGCGACGCGTGTAGTACTGGAGCCTAAAGTCACGAGCGCCGGAATCAGATTCACGTGATCGCTCAAGCGATAGGGGGTAGCCTTAGCGCTCTCCCCTTGGGTCAACATTTCTCACCGGACTCGGAACTGCTCCCCAACAATCATCTAAGACCACTCGAAGCCCGCACGAAGTGTTCCCCTTCCCCCCACAGCAATCCCGGCCGTTCCCCTGAGTCCCAATCCCCCACAAGTGAAAAGCCGCTACTAGTTCGCGCTCAACTTTGTTGACTTCGAGGATCGAATTCCCTGTCGAGGGATAACCTGTTAAGCGCAGAGTACATCACAAATGGGCGGCCCAGAAGAGACAAGACCTCTCGCTCAGGCTTCGGAGCCAGCGCCGGAGCCAGAGGAAGTTGCAGAACAGGGGCTAGAGGTCGACGAAGAAGGCGAGGAAAGTGATGAGTATGACGTTGAGGTGGGCGTCTGCCTTGCTCTGGACACGTCGGACAGAGCAGTACTAATTCCACTCGTATTTTTAGGACGACGAAGCGGGCCCCCTTGCCGTAGAGGATAACGTACACGATGAGCAGGAGGAGGAGGAAGAAGAAGAAGACGAAGACGAAGAGGGGGAGGAAGACGAAGTACGTTGTGCATGCCAATAAGCCTTGTTCCCCACCCCTCACGACGACTTTACAGAGACAAGAGAATCTCACTGCGTACTTACTCTCCAACGTACGTTGCTCTGAGTTCGTTACCGCCGCCCGCCTACCCCCTCCTGCACATTAATCTCTTGACGTGGCGCCCATATTGTAAAATTTCGTATCTAACGTGTTGTCGCTTCTTAGGGGACCAATGGACGACCTCAAGAAGAGGAAGAAGAGGGTGACGACGAAGATGATGACGAGGAGTACGCAGAACCTCCCGAAATTCCTCCGCTCACCAAGGGATCAAAGAGATCTCTGGACGAGACGGAAGAAGCCGACCAGGTGGTCGGCAACGGTGCAGGGACTCAGGCAAAGAAAGTCAAAGTGTAATGTTGTTTTCGGACAGAGCTTGCTGTCTGCACATTTCTTGTGCAATTTTATTGTGAAGTGCTTTGTGTATAACATAGGCTTATATATATTATAGATAGGAGAAATTGTACTCGTATATTATTGGATAGCAGAGCATGACGGTCCACTTAAGTTACTGCTTCTAGAGTATCCCTAGTGCCAGTCAGTAACCATCCGGCGCTGCGTTAAAACTCAAGATTACTGGAGATGCGAAGGCCGTAAGTCACAAAGACGAACGGCGCTCGTTGCGATTATTCTAGTCGGAGTGCCAACTAGTTATTGATAATGTCTTCACCGACACCGATCGTTTATTCTGCTGGCTCAAATGCTCGTGGCCAGCTTGCGAGCGGAAACTGCGATGACTTGCATTCCTTCGACATCTGTCAATTTACTTCTGAGGATCTTACAAACAGTATCCAAGATATCGTCTCGATTTCGGGTGGTGCGAATCACACAGTCGTCCTCCTTCGAACCCAATCATTGGTCGAACTATGGGGTTGTGGCGATGGTGGTAAAGGACAGCTAGGCCCTTCATACCATCAAAACATACTCGAAGAATCTGCAAAGTCTCGGCTGCAACTCCTCGACATACCTAGTCAACATAGTGCGCTTCGGAATGCATCACCCCGACTCGTTGCTGCTGCTTGGGAAACAACTTACATCGTATTCACCACCTCGAGTGGAAACGATGTACTTGTTTCACTTGGTGCGAATGACTACGGGGACCTAGGGGTCGGAACTACATCTGATTCAATCAACATGATCAGTTTCGCCGGCATATTTTCACCTCTTGACCTCGTCCGGCTGCGGATTGAAGACCTGGCAACCGGGCCTCATCACGTCATTGTATATCTTCTCGCGACTCTATCAGATGGTTCTGAACGTAGGGTAGTTGCCGGTTGGGGCGCCGCCCGCCATGGCCAACTGGGCGAAATAAACGCGTCTGACGGAAAGATACAACCTATTCAGGCCACACCCCGTCTTATTCTGGACTTGGGGGAAATGGACCACGTAGCATCCATTGGAGTAGGCAATCAGCATTCGGTGATCCTGCTGCGCTCTGGTCGGATCCACGCCTTCGGCTCCGATCGCAAAAACCAGCTTGCAGGAGTTCAGTCTCTTGTCAATATTCAGAGGGTTGTCTGTACATGGAACAACACGTACGCCGTTCGTGCAGACAAGATCCTCTCTGTAGGAAATAACGCAAAGGGCCAGCTTGGACGCTTGACCCATGATCCAAACCTACCTGCGGCGGTTCAGTTATCAGGGGGCGAGGTGAAGAACATCGCATGTGGGAGTGAACACGTACTGGTGTGGTTGGAGACTGGCGATGGTTCAGAAGTTTGGGGCTGGGGATGGAATGAGCATGGGAACATTGGTATCGGTTCCACCGACGATGTCATGTTCCCAGTCAAAATATGGCCTACATCAAAATTTGTGTCTGCTCAGGTGGTAGGGATATGGGCGGGTTGTGGCACCAGCTGGATCGCTGTCAGAAAATAACGGAAGTCGGACTCAAGAACATCTCTATGCACCCATCCCGGCCTGGTGCATTTTCAATCGCGATTCGTCGCACATGGTCTTGCGTACCTTGCATGGTGAATAAGGTATGCCGGCTGTCTCATTGCACATATCAGTATTTTGAGCGCATATATGTACCTTCGGTACTTCTAATATATCTGAAATGACCATGGATGAAGTAGTCAACGATTTATCTGAGAAACGCTTACGTTCAAATCGTATCATCCAGCAGGTCTCTCCTTGATTATTCCATGTCGAGAAGCCCCAAACTTTCGTGAACTTCTCGAACGGTCATATCCCTCAAGCTGGCAAGCTATATGAGTCGTGAGTGATCCTTCTATTGACCCCAGAACTGGCACTTACTCTCCCTATTAGCACCTAGTGCTCTTGCTCGTCAGCATATTTCAGGCATATATGCAGTCAAATGCGCGACGCACCTGGGCGGCGTCCTTCGCTTCGTTGTACTCGTGGAGAAGCTTGATGTGTTGCTTTACTACTTTTTCAGCATCGACGCTTCTGATATAGGCTTGATCAGTTATAGTCCCAAAATTAAAATCAGCTTATTGATCTCTTGCCCTAGTTGTTGTTGCAACCTGTCTGCCTCCGCCTGGAGCTCTGCAGTCCGAGCCTCTTGTCTCTGAAGAGGATCACTCAGATTGTATCAGCTTGCTCGCAATCAGGGACTGCAATTGACCTTCTCGCAAACAGCGCTATGCATTCTAGAATGTGGACGGTGCGCGGATGATGTGGTGGACGAGATGCAACGAACCTAGAGGTAAATGCGTGCGCTAAACTACTTATTTGGTGATATTACGTCAGCATCATCATACGCTATGGGCGCTTAATCTATGCACCTTCACTGCTTCCCGAACCCAGACTCTATTCACTACCATCGAGATTGCTCGCCCACCGGTTCCAGGAAACGTTCCTCAGTGTCGAGAGCGGTAGAAATAGCCACTCAGAGATGGCTCGCCTAGACACGGCCGCGTCGGTGGGTAGATCACACTTCTGTGGCATTCTCACTCATTATCCGAACGTTTCATTTGGAAGCAGGCAAGCGATGTCAGAAAGGAGGCTACCCAGAGAAGGGTAGCTATAAAAAACAAGACCCCTTCTTCCTCCGGCACATGGCCATGCACCATGAACGGGTGCAACAAGCAGTTTGCGCGGGAGGCAGATCTGAAGAGGCATCAAAGAACTACCAAGTCACATTCGAATCCAGGCTTGTAGGTCAACTTCGAGAATTGACTTTGTGTCTGGGGCTAATCAATGGGACCCGGGTGATATAGTGCGTGCCCACAATGTGACGCAGCTTTTACACGGGTGGGTAATTGTCTTTCCGTCAAACACGCCACATTGCTGAGCAAGAGTTAGATGGATGCACTCAGGCGACATCAGAGATCAAGGTGCGTCGTATAACTTTCAAAGAGCTTATCGGCTTTCACAATCTCACCCCATGTTCTCAGACACAACGGCGTCGTGATAGACATGCTGGAACCTACAAGTTCTCAAGAACGACTGGAGCCACCATCGGAATCCCGAAGTAGCAGTGCTACGCCATCCCTGAAGGGAAAGGAACGCGCTGATGTTACCTACGAAGGCCCAGCCTACTATCGCCCTTACCCGTCTTCAGCAAACCGTATGCGTTTCGAAACTCATTCTTCGTCTATTCGAACCTAATGTCATAAATTTTCCCTTAGCATCAACCACTCGTTTGCCACCAATCTTTACAACACCGCCAATCGGCCTCCCCACATCTGCAACGCGATTTGGTGAATCTACTTCCGTAAGCTACCATTCCGTTCACGGTCACGACCAAAGTTATTACTCGACTTCGCAATATCGGCTGCGGCCAAGTGAGTCTGCCACTAGACGCGACCACGATCGCTCCGATAGCGTCTCTTCTTCGGATACGTCCCGACCTCCTACACCTCCAGCTGATGGATACGTAAACGGCCAAAATGGAGCAGACAGGTTTTCCCGTGCGCCTCCAGTTATCGATCCTTCTCTCGAGAGTCACAATGAAGTATCTTCATCTACACAAGCCTACAGAGTCCCATATAGCGGGCGTGACAGCCGTTCCCCCTCCCGCGAGGATCCTATGAAGGGGCGAAAATGCGCTTACAAGCGTCAAGAAATATCAGATAGTTCGGATGAATCAGATGACGACGTGCCCCCGTCATCAAGCAAGTATATACGACACAAAATCTCCCCAGGCCGTGCGGCGATGGAGAATATCTACACCGAAGATGGCCAGCCGATGCTTAACCCAGGTTAGCATGACCAACGTTTAATGTATACCACGCATCTTCCTCATGAATGTGCTGTTCTACAGCGGAGCTTTTAACCCAGGTCAGCCTAGATTGTATCCTATACCGTCTATCGTCGTTGATGGAAGGCTTCTTCACTTAGGAGTCTTTGGCTTCCCCTTAATTCTTATCGCGTACTCTTTGATCGGACATCAACAACCCTTTCCCTTTCGGACATTAGCAAGTTAGCAATAGCAGGTCCTCCACCTCCACCACATCACAGCCGTCATGTTAGTTTGGACGGGAATTCTATACACACAGATTCGCATATGTATCGGAGTCAGGGAGTTAGGGGAAGCCCCTGTCAGGGCATAAGGAGCCCATTTGGCAATTGATATTTCGTTAGTACAAGGTCTAGTCAGCTACAACATAAAGTCCAGGCTCTTCTGCTACAATTTTTTTACTTCTTAAGGAGGGCGGGAGGGGTGTGGCCAGCGGACAGGCCCTTGTCGCCAGCGAAGGAAGCATCAGGGAGTTCCTCCCTAATGGAAGGCGTTAATTAGATTAGATACTTGGGTGGAAGACTTACTCAATGCGGAGGAGAGCGTTGTATTTAGCGACACGTTCGCTGCGAGCAGGGGCTCCGGTCTTGATTTGGCCGACACCAAGAGCAACAGCGAGATCAGCAATGACAGTGTTTTCGGTTTCACCGCTACGGTGCGAGATCATCACTCCCCAACCATCTGATTGGGCGAGCTGAGCACTGCATACAATCGAAGTTCCTATGAACATTTCCGCAGAAGAGCTGAATCAATAAGGCTTACGCTTGAATGGACTCTGAGATGGTGCCGATCTGGTTGACCTTGAGGAGCAGACCGTTGCAAGCCTTCTTTTCGATGGCGGTCTTGATTCGGAGGGGGTTGGTGACAGTCAAATCGTCACCAACAATTTGGATGCCGCTGTTGGCGTTGAAGTGGGTCCAAGCTTCCCAGTCATCTTGATCGAATGGATCTTCAATGGATACAATGGGATATTTCTTAATGTAGCCGAGGTAGAGGTCGGCGAGTTCAACACCAGAGATCCACTTAGTTGGGTCGGAGTTAGGGTTCTTGAAATCAAGATCGTATTTCCCCTCCTTGTAGAATTCGGAAGACGCGACATCCAAAGCGATTTTGATTTTACCCTCATAGCCAGCCTTCTTGATAGCCTCAGAGAGAAGTTCAAGGGATTCGTCAGCACCAGAAACGTTGGGAGCAAAGCCACCCTCGTCACCGACGTTGACGGCTACAAATCATCCCGTCAGACCGGAAACCAACCAATCAACGAATAGACCGACCATCGATGCCGTATTTTGCGCTGATAACCTTCTTGAGGGTGTGGTAGGTCTCGGTACCAATCTTCATTGCCTCCGTGAACGAAGTTGCGCCGGTCGGAAGAAGCATGAACTCTTGGAACGCCAGCTTATTTCCGGCATGGGATCCACCGTTGATAACGTTGAATGCAGGGCAGGGGAGAACGAAAGGCGGCTTGACGCCTGCAAGATCGGCCAGGTGCTGATAGAGCGGGACTCCCTTCTCGGCCGCTGCTGCCTCCGCTACCGCGATAGATACACCAAGGATGGCGTTAGCACCAAGCTTCCCCTTGTTAGGTGTTCCGTCGAGCTTGATAAGGAAGTCGTCGATGTCCTTCTGGGAAGTAACCTTGATGCCCGACTTGATGAGCTCTGGCGCGATCGTGTCGTTAACGTTAGCGACGGCTTTAAGAACACCTGCGGTATATTTGTGAGATCAGGTACGCCGATAAGAATAAGCGATGCCAGACGCACCTTTGCCGACATAGTTGGATTTGTCGCCATCACGAAGCTCGACGGCCTCATGGATTCCGGTGGAAGCACCTGAGGGAACTGCAGCTCTGAAGCGGCCTAATCCGAAGTAAATGCGCCTTTAGATCTCAGCATCTCTATATCTCGACAACTTGCGTACCCTTGTCGGTGTAGACGTCAACCTCGACGGTGGGGTTTCCACGAGAATCAAAGATCTGATGATATTCGTGTCACTGGGATGCTGAACTCGAAGAACAAGGGAGCTTTCCTGACGGGCGTGAACTTTGGTGATGGACATAATGGTTGAAAAGAAAGCACTCTGGACAAGGAATCGACTGGAAGCTGGAGCCATTTATATTCCTTGATCTAATCTGTTCCCACGATTCCGTCCCGCCGCATGAATCCGATCAGCTACGAGCCTCCATACCAGCGGTGCACCGAGCGTTGTCGCTACGCGTGCCTTATCTGAAGTCCAGAGAAATATCGCCATGATACGAGCCACTTGGATGCCTTCAAACGCCGCATGCAGAGATTGCGATCAGTGTTCAGGGGTGCCCCTAGTACTGGCCACATCTCCATCCGAGAAAGCGGAAACAAATGTGGAAAGCAATAGTCATTAGTACAATCAATCAATACAAACACATCTTGACACTGCTGTCAAAGTTCAACGAGCCTCCGAATCACCCTTATTTCCTCTGGGGTCATCTGATCTACCATGGCCGAGAAATTGCTAGTATTTCGCGCAGCACATTCGGTGAAGAATGTCTTCAAGTGCGCCTGTAATAGCTCATTCAGTAAATTTATCCGCGGCAACGAAGTATAGAGCTAACCTGCAAGTCCAGTGTTGAAATATCGTCGTTCTTCAGATCCTCGTCATCGCTGTCATCAAGGACATCGTCGTTATCGAATGCCATGCCTTTTGGCCCGATTAATTCCGACAGGAAAGCAAACTCGTCGTCCCTTGGAGGTCCTTGTCCACCTTCGTCTTGCCAACCCTCATCCTGACAGCCGTTAGATTTATATAGAACAGGGATGGACTGGCCACATACTCCATCGTCAGAATCAACGTCGTACGCTTCATTGTCGGTGGGCGCGAAGGTGGCGGCTTCTCCCCCAGAATGGACGTCGTGTAAGATGATCTTCAACGCCTTCACAGGGAAAGGTACTGAAGTAAACTCTTGGGGGACTGAAATGCAGTAAGCGGTTAGTCAGGGGTCCACCTCCTCTACATCGCGGTGATCCGTACTTTGCTTCGTTCGAGACCTCGTCATGATGACTAGGTATGGGGAATATGTACACTGTGTGATGCTGCAACCGTCACCAAGGACTCACCATTTTTTGTTTCTGGCTTGATGATGATATCGCCCTTGACGATGAGGTTCTGCAGGCTAGGTCGTTCTGACACAAATAGTTGTGTTAACGCGATTGTACTGAGGCGGGATGGCCAGAAGCCCTGGAATGTTTCGGCGTTTTCACACCAAGTCTGTATGAAGATGTCCAAGCCTGACCGTCCGTTGATATTTGTCGATTCCAACAACGATAGGACCGTATCCCGTTGTTTGTAGATGAGATACGTAAATGGTACCACAAGCGACTTCGGGGCGATATATATATGTATATTAGGTGCATCCCGCAAATTATGGACGGTCAAACGTACCTGCAAGAATGTAGCCGTTTTGGCGCTTGTCATTCGAGCCAGCATAGCTTGTAATAGCTCGGGTAACACAGGGAGTATAGCGTCGCCAGTATTTCGAAGAAGGTGGATGATAAGGTCACCAATAACTAGGCCCCCTGATTCATCTTCATTTTGTAGCAATTTGGCAACGACGACGAGAACATGTTCCAAGCCTTGGCGACCACTTCCATCGCTCCAAGTGAGGAGCTGGTTGCAATCTTTACGGACGATGAGAGTCAAACACGAGACACCGTTCTGGTGGTCCTTTGAATGGAAGGCAAACTTTTCCAAGTGGATTTATTTACGCACCTGTAGAACATCTCTGTCTTCGGCTTCCACGAGACAACTGAATAACGAAGGCGCCAGTAGTGCGAAGAATCCTTCGCCGAGTCCACTCTGCGGGGACCCCTCGACAAGACTGCTAACAAGCTCGATCGCAGAGCTTGCTACCCAAGATTCCTCGGGCTTTGCTGTAGCAATTGCACTGCAAAGCGTAGGAAGCGCCTGCTTGACGACGGTCGGATAGACTTCGGGGACGGTGGAGGATGCAAGGTGCTCCATGATGTCGGTGAACATGGATACGAATATAGGATCTAAGATAGTAGTTGTTGATTTTAGGATCGGAGAAAAAAGGATGATACTAACCTTTGTTGTTCTTCGACCATACCTCAATCATAGCAATTACGATGCTATCAGCAAGCTCTGGTGTCACCCAACTACCCTTTGCGACTTGCAGTATCACCGACAAGGTTTCTAATACTAAGGTTAAGGTATCTTCGGAAGTCATCATCAAGAAGGGCCCCAGATCCTTCGCTATTCTCACGACAAATGGCTCAATAGCGGATTCTTCTCCTCCTTGGCAGAAACTATCAACGGGAAATTAGTAGTTTCCGCGAATGAGAATTGACACCTTCGTACTTATGAATGGCCTTCACCGCAGAAATCTTCACGGGGATTCCAGGTTCGGAAGCTTCAATGACGTGGATTGCAGCCTCGAGGTATTGCCCGGCCAACTGCAAAGGAAGCAACTTCGCATATTGACTGGCGAAGACGAACGCTCGGCCTTGCAAGAAAGGGTATTCTATATAGATATAGATCATGTTCAGCGCCCGAGCTGATAACGTCAACTTAGACATTACCTGCGAGTTGAAGCACGGATGGGATAACATTGACAAGCAGGGCTTCGATATCCACTGGCTTCTCTCTTCCAGAGTCTTGTTCGTCTTCAATGCAATCCAAAATGGACTCCGCTTGAGAACCGAAAGCAGCCAAAGCAGCTTCCAGAAAACGCCACCAATCTTGATTCCCGGATTCCCTGGATTGAGTAGATGCTCGGACAACTTCCTGCATCACAGCCTGGAAAACCTTGACGGTCCGCGCTGGGTCGTTGTCGATCAAAGACTAGAAGACAAATGAGCCATTGGTTCCCTGTTCGTATTGACGCCACTTACACCCAGCAGATCAAAGCCTGCTACACGAACGCTGTATGCTGTTTCGTCATCTTCTTGCGCAACGAATGCATTCGCGTTCGAAGCCCACGTATCTTCCTAGAGCCGTGATAAGGGATTGCTATGGGCACAAGGTGAAGAAAGTGAGGATACCTCTTCTGTCGTCATCTGTGTTATGGTGAACACCGCAGAAACCAACATAGTCGTATTGGTCTCGTCGAACCATTTTCTCGCTTTGCCGCCCCTCGTGACGGCACCTACGAAATCCAGGATCGGACATATTAACTGCGATAAGTCAATGGATTCGTCTTCGGATGTCCCCGGCACCGGGTCAGCGTCCGAGGATAGATAATATTGTGTAAAGGGGGCTGATAGCTTATGAAGATGGTCGACCGAAATACTGAGCAGGTCGGGTAAATAGGGAGTCAGCACTTTGGGGAATGAGGTGTGGAGGATGTCCAGAGTTCTATAGACTTGGATGCGTACGGAAAGGCCGTCCCAGGTGGGTGATGAGAGATCTTGTGCAGGATCGATAGAGAGAAGGACCTTGAACGCCTCGAGCCATACGGGGAGAACGGATGCGGTGGCTTCTTTAACAGCTTGTGGGTGCTGGTCCTTGACCATGAATAGCGCGGATGTACATTGCCGAAATACAGACACTGTCCGTGAACGAGTTAGCGGGGTATGGCTCTGGATGAACGGTGAGTGACGCGTCATGTTGCACAACACAGGACGCACCTCTGTCGAGCCCAGGATAGAAAGCAAGACAGGGAGAAGTTGGCGCAATATGGGAAGGATTTGGTCTTCGGTCAAGTCTGACTTGATGAATTCAGTGAAAACCTGCATGGCACCATGAATCGCGTCAGTCGCTCCGGACGATAACAGAGTCAAAATGTTGTCGAGGAGATCAGGGTATTCGTCAGGCCAGTCGCAATGAGCGATGAGGGATAGAGTGACCGCCTGATGGGCACGTTAGGTTGAGGTCTCGAAAGGCACGAATGACGCACGCAAAGGGACCGAATCTTTCGACTTGGGTCAGAAAGGCCTTGGAAGATAGCTTGTCGTAGCTGCGCCTTGATCTATCATTTGATCAGACCTCGTCTTCATCCGCCTCCAGCTCGAAAGGGCCTACCTCCACTGGAGGAGCAGAACCCTTGAATGTTCCAAAATACGGTGACCATCGTTCGGTAACATACCTCTTGAGGAGGACGCTGGCAGAGTGCTATCACGGAAGTCATCAAGATTCTGGTGTAGTTGCCTGACAGTGCACAAATGACTTATCTGACGGAGAGAGAGATCTACATCCTGGCCAAGTACGATCTGTGACAAGGCCAGAGCCGACTCTGATTGAGGTTAGATATATCATCAGTGCGCTATGCAGAAGCACAGTTTACCTGGCTGTGTGAGATCTTGAGCGAGCTTGAGCTCGGCAGACATTCTCGTATTTGCATCAGTGCTCAGCGTCGCCCTCAGACTTTCGGCAATGATTTCTGGGGCCGTCATGACCAGAAACGGGGGATATGATGATAGTGGTCGGGAAAAAAGCGCGTTGTTTACGCAAGTTGACGCGTTTTCAGCGCGTGCGCGCAATTCGATTCACCAATTACTTATTATTTCTCCACTGTAAAGCAGGATGCAAGGTCGAATAATCATTGTAGAATATGAAGCAGCCAACAGGTCAAATGACTAATTCCCCTTCAACGCTCTCCGGTTCCAGAGCTAGCCTCTCGAGGAGTGCGTCGTAGCGATCTCGGTTGGAATGTTTCAAATACTTAAGTATCTTCGCGCGCTGATGAACGAGCTTCCTGAGACCTCGGCGATTGCCAACATCTCGCTTGAACGTCGTGAGATGGCTCCAAAGGTTGCGGATCTTGTACGTGAGCAACGCCGCTACAGTTACTGGTATCAGGACATAGTCATGGCGGGAGTGAGATCTGCGTACCTTGGACTTCTGTTCGTCCTGGATCAAAGGGATTCTCCGGAGTAGAGAACTCTGCAATAATCCGTCGCCGGTTTTCGAATGCAATACCGGCCGCGTTTGCATTTCGCAAATCCACCACCTTCGCAAAGAGATTGGCTTTCTGCAACTCCCTTTCTACACCTTCTTCCAGTTTCCCCTTAGCCATCTCCGGCGAATGTCGGGAAAGACTTTCCACTGCAGCTGCTGACGAGAGATACGGAAGGTGGCCGAAAAGTTGCTCCTGCACTTCGCCGCTGATTCCATAGTTCATTACTTTGGGTATGTTGACACGGCCAATCGTAAGGTCCACCGGTGCCACCGGTTCGGAAGTCGCGAGGTCGGATTCCTTCACTATGACCTTCGCGAGGTCGCAATTCTGCCACTTCGCCTCGTCCCCCGGACGAGTACCTAGCACAGGACTAGGTTTGTGGAGGTTTGCCTCATGCTGGCGTTGATCTTTCTTTGCAATATTTTGTTTCTTGATAACGCGAGACGCCTGCTTCCTGGAGGCTTCCGCTTGGAGAATTGAGGAACTATGGAGGGCCGCACATCTTCGGCTGCTGGCAAGTACAACCCGGGAAGCTGTGGGGGTTTAGAATGGATGAGTGTTCAGAAATAGTGTACTCACTCGATGCTAAGGTAGTGTGAAGCATCCCTCTTCTATGTTGAATTCACGCAACTGTGGTCGCAGGACCAAGGAAAGTTGAGGCAAGTCGGGATTCTGCACAGCCACAGCACGTGAGGCCAAATATACCACACTTTCTTATGCTCCAAGGACCAAGGTCTAGTATTTTGTCTTTTAATGTAACAGATAGATGTATAACCGCGTTCGACTGAATCGCTGAAGTAGCGTACACAATAATCAGGCGGTGCAGTGCTCTTATCCTCTTTTTCGGTCTGTACGTTTTCCAACAGGGAGAGATCTAAGCGTAGCTGCTTTTGCCCTATTCTTATTCTTCACATTGGCTGAACTGTAGAAGTTCTGTGCCTTTTTCTATTAGAAGGGCGTGAGTGCAAGAATAAATAACAATCACACGGAAGGCTTACTTTATTTGTCTTCATTCTCGCCTCTTTCTTCGCTTCGGTCTTGTCAGCTTCTCCGTCAGAGGGCGCTGGAGTTACGAGTGAGTAATGCCTGCTGTGATAAGGATGAGGGGACAAACCTTTGCTTGGCGAAGCTTCCTCTTTCGATGAGACACCAGTGAAGACATCATTCCATGACAACTCCTCCGCTTCTTCCTCTCCGCCCGACGGAGCGTCATCCCCTTCGCCTTCTTCGCCTTCGTCTGCATTGTCGCTTGCCTCACCAGTAAATTCATCTTCCAACGGCTTCACGTCCTCCGGAACGAACGTATTCTTTTGCATGATCGAACCCAGATTCTGCTTCACACTCGGCACCCGCTCCTCTCGAGCCTTGCTTTTGCCCTTAACATCAGTTTTCGACTTTATCTTCGCCTCTCGAGCCTCAGCGACGTTAAGCTCCTCCGTGCGGTCAGGTGGATTCACGAAGAAAGGTATACGCCCGCGCACCCAGTCGCTTAGCACAATCTTTGCTACGGAATCCATATCTGGCTCCCCGTGTTTCAGCAACCGTCCTTTCATCCTGGCTAGGCGGTCCAGGAAGACCTCTGGTTCCCAGCATTCGGATGCGTCGGAGGGATTGGGAAGCGGGAGGCCGTATGTGCGAGAGAGATAAATGGGTTTGACGCGTTGGAGAAGGGCGGGGATGTGTTCAGATGGCGTAGGGAGGGCTTCGACACGGACGACGCCTTTTAGGACCGTGGAGGTTTGGTCATCTTGCGCAGAGGTGGGGACAATCCCAGGACAATCGATCAAATATATTCGACGGGTGAGAGTGATGTATTGCCAGACCTATACCAATCAAAGTCAGCGGTCATACCACACACCTCAAGGAAGAGAGAAACTACCTTCGTTTCTCCTGGGATCGGAGCAACACGACACACTTTGCTGCTTTTTATGGTATTGATTACACTACTTTTACCAACATTCGGATATCCGACCAGACCGACCGAAATCTGTTTTTTATCCGAGTGGAGCTGAGCAAACTGTCGAAGCAACTGGATTAAGGATCCCTTCCCAAAGGAGTGGTTGGGGGAGGCATGGAACGCGATGGTAGGGTATCGAGGGGTCAAATGTTGGATGTATCGAGCAGTCACCCAGCTGGGGACTAGATCACATTTATTGATTACAAGCACGACTTGCTTGTGCGCTTTCTCCTTTTTCAGGTATTCCAGAACGGACTCGCACATGGTGCCCATGGGATCTCTGGCGTCCAAAACGTGCAGGACAACGTCTGACGAGTCGATGACCTTGTACAGTTCTCCGTATATCCGCCTCGATGTCCCTTTGGCGTATATAGGTTCGAAGTAGTCGGCATGGGTCTGGGGTTCTATTACCGTAGATGCGAGGGGCTCTATTGAGGCGTGAGGGATGCGCAAGGAGCGCGATCGCTGGGAGACGCACCGATTATACGAGTCCCCGAGGTCGTTGCCTCCTCCTCAGCCTGCTCCGCCGCCGCCGCACCTATTTTACTGAGTTCTTCAAAGGTGCCTGCGTCAACTCGGGGACGTTTGCGTTGAGCCTTGGGACCAAATGTCTCGGCGAACGGCTCCGTTTCCACGATATGCGTCCGCTATAACACAGGTGAATATCTCTATGAATTCACTGTAGGTGGTAGATAATTTACTTTACGGTTGTTGGGATTCGCAGCATCGTCGAGGAGGGACATCGGTAGTTTATTACGGCGCAGCAAGACCGAGTAGGGATCATCCTTCTTGGATGCTAGACTTGTGCGGAAGTGGTCCAGCGCCGTCTGGGAGATCACTCGAGTATTTCCTAGTCGATCGTTCAGTTCCTCGCGCAATGGGTGATAATCCACGAAACGCACCGAACCAGCGACGATCTGGCTGGACACGGCCGGGCTTTGTCTCATCCTCTCCCTTCTGAAAGGCAGCAGCCTGGATTATCTTCCCGTCTTTATCTCGAACTGGCTTTCCCCCGTTCAGCATCTTCAGCCTGGCTACTTGTTTCGCATTTCGATAGAAGTTTTCTCCCTTGACTCTCTTCAGTGACACCGACGATGAGGAGGACGTCGACGACTTCGTTTTCGAGGCTGTAGTGCCTTTTTTGAGAGGCGCCATTTCGTAGACGAGAGCTTCAAGATACGCCTCTGCACTGCAGAAATTTCGATGTAAGATAACAAACACGCGCAAATAGAGTTTCGGGCATGGCACAAGGCTGGCAAACAGTCTCTAGTTCCACTCCGTGAGCTCGACGAGCAGCCTCTTCGGACGCGTATATGGGGTATGTAGGAAACTCTTATCTGTGGGGGAGTTCTCAAGAATGCCCACACCATCCAGATTCCAGAAGAAAGTCCGGATTTCAACGCAGTGCTTCTAATTGGGAACGAGAATGGCCAACCATCACGCGCGGGACGGGCCAAGATTTGCTACGGGTGAGTCTTTATCCTTTCCGGTCTGGTCAGATTCACGAACTTCAGCCGCAGGTGCCGGACCTTGGTCGAGCAGGGACAACAGAAGTTCAGATTCTTCAACCGAGCGCGATTACCAAAATTCCGACCCCTCATCTTATGCGCATTCCAACCCGCCATCCAACTCGAACTCGCGATCCATCCGTGAGCGCAATGACAGCCCCGATACTCGCTTGAATGGCTCCATCGAGACGTCTCAGGAGGACATGGCCCCGCCCATGGCGTATTGGCAGGCCAAGCGGCATTTGACCTGCGGAAACCCATCTCCAACTCCACCTTGGTTATCAAAGCCCCCACCATGGCGAGGCCATTCGCCGGGAAAGCTCAAGACAGCAAACGCAGCGCTGGTCATATGTCTCAACATCGATGTCGACCCCCCTGACGTAGTCAAGACAAATCCTTGCGCTATAATGGAAACATGGATCGACCCGCACACCATGCCGTCCCACAAGGCGCTGGAAGCGATAGGAACGAACTTGCAGCATCAATTCGAAGGTTTGAGCAATAAAATGGTATACAAGCCCATTCTGGACCCGTGCTTCGAGGATTTGAGCCGGTTCTGTCGGGCGCTGCGCAAGTCTGCGAAAGAGGACGCGGTTTTATTCTACTATAACGGACATGGCGTTCCGAAACCGACAGCGAGTGGCGAGCTGTGGTGTTTCAATAAGAGCTACACCCAGTACATCCCCGTCTCTTTGTCCGAGGTTCAGACATGGCTCGGGTCACCAGGCGTGTATATTTGGGATTGTTCGGCAGCAGGTAATCTGCTGACAAATTTCAATATCTTTGCGGAAAGGAGGGACAGGGAAATCCTTTCGAGTAACGGCATTAGGACTGATGGGTCGGTTATCCAGCCCTACATGAGTTCCGTGCAACTAGCGGCTTGCATGTCGAACGAAACACTGCCTACATGCCCCGAACTACCCGCCGACCTCTTCACCTCCTGCCTCACGGCTCCCATCGACACCGCACTCCGGTATTTCCTCTTGACCGTAGACCTTCCCGCTGGCGTTACCCCAAGCATGGTCATGCAGATTCCTGGAGATCTTAAAGACAGACGCACACCATTGGGGGAGCTGAACTGGATATTTACCGCGATCACAGACACTATTGCGTGGACAACGTTCTCCCGCGAACTCTTCACGCGTTTATATAGGTGCGATCTGCTAATCGCGTCGCTGTTCCGAAACTTCCTACTTGCAGAGCGGATTATGAAGAGCTACGGCTGTACGCCTCACACACATCCTCCGTTGCCTCCGACCAACACGCACAATATGTGGACCGCCTGGGATCTGGCTTTAGATACTTGTATTCGACAACTGCCCAAACTCTTAAACAAACAAGTCGACATTCCTGTTTCACTCACACCGACGCCTGCACCTGCTCCGTTCCCTACCATGTCCCTTGGGCTTAGAACAGGCCGAGTGGGTTCAAACCCGGTGAACCCCGATTCATCCAAGCCATACACCTACGTAAACAATAAGTTCTTCACTGACCAGTTGAAGGCATTCAAGGTGTGGATTTCTAAAGGTGGCTCTGCTCTTACTCGTCGCGGCCGCGCTGGATTGCCTACTTCAAATGACGTACCGAAAGACTTGAGCGACAACGGGATGGTCGACGACCAGGATCTACAACAATACTCCCGCTTTGTTTGGAGCTCAGAGCATCTGGTTCCTCGGAAGCCCCCCGACCAATTACCCATCGTCCTACAGGTCCTACTATCTCAACCTCACAGATTACAGGCACTTATCCTTCTTTCCCAATTCGTCGATCTCGGTCCCTGGGCAGTCCACTTAGTACTTTCCATCGGTATTTTCCCGTATATACTGAAGCTGCTTGGAGCGGCTGGGACGGAGCTCAGACCCGTGCTTATCTTTATCTGGGCGCGTATCCTCGCAGTCGATCACACCGTCCAGCAAGACCTCGTCACGACTCCAAGCTACCTATACTTTACGAAGGTACTATCCCTTAAGGACGATGACACGAGCTCTCAAGCCGCCCTCCCCAACTCCTCTGAACACAAAGCCATGTGCGCGTTCATTCTCAGTGCGATTGCTCGTGGATTCCCCCACGGGCAGAGTGTCGTTTTCAATGAACACGTCTTCGATTATTGTCATGATCGGCTCGACTCGGAAGACTTCCTGCTTCGTCAATGGGCCGCATTGTGTATTGCCCAAATTTGGTGCGGAAACGACGAGGCAAAAATCTACGGCGTTGATCGCGGCTCGCAAGACACGTTCCTTTCCATGCTAACCGATGACGCGTGCGAGGTTCGGTGTGCTGCCTTGTATGCCCTTGGGACTTTTATGGGGGCGAGTGGGCGCCGACTTGAAGGACCTGACGATCTTGGTGGAGGTGGGGGTGGGACTGGCTCAATGCACCATTTGGATGAGGTTATACATTTCAGAATGGAGGTGGCGGTGGTTACCGGTGCCTCGCTAGCCATTCAAGACGATGCCAGCCCAATGTGTCGAAAGGAGTTAGTAGTGTTGATTAGCTGTCTGGTAAAGGAATGGCGGGGTTGGTTTGTTGTTTGCGCGTGGGTATACTGGGAAGAAGACAGGCGATGGCGTGCAGGTGCTATGGGTCATCACGACGACGATATCACCGGTCAAGCAGTCTCCGAGTGGTTAGACAGCGTCAGCGACGACAATGAAACAATCAGGGAGGAATATCGCCTCGTCGTGACATCAGTCTTCACCATCTATGCCGTCCTCCTCGATCTTGCCGTCGATCCATACCACGAGGTCGCTACCAATGCGCAAACGGTGGTAGACTACGTAACTGCGCTTCTGTTGGAGTCGCCCTTCACAAGATTGGAAGGATCTACCTTGGACACGCCACCCATTGATGTGAACACCAGAGCAGCGACCGGTTCCTCACCACAACTTGGTCCTCGCGCTAGAGTCATGTCAACTACGCGCGCAGGCTCCCATCTTGCCACGAACCCCCCTTCTCCGAACCCGGCGAGGCCTGCACTATCGAGGAGCGAAACAATGACATCTACAATTTCTTCCGGCGTGTCAAACACCATAAAGCGAACGTCATCGTTCGCTAATGTGCTGAAGAACCTAGCTGGAGGCATTGCATTCCCATCAACTGAGGAGCCAGCCCCGAATTCGCCGAATGCTACACTTGTGAACACAACGGCGGGGAACCCCATCACCAATGGCACCTTCCACGGATTGAGGGATAACTTCGACGTCTCGAGGCCACCTTCGCCCAATCTCAACTTCGCGCAATATACATCACCGTATCCCCGATCTTCGACACCCCCGATGCGCCACTCCTCGCCTTCTGTGCGATCGTTGTCGAGCGAAGTCCCTCATTCTCCGGTGGACATATCCGCTTGTGATGTGATGGATGCCCTATTTGAGGACGACATGGAGCGCTTACGTGCGCGTCGTAGGGCTGCTCGCAAAGCTGCCGAGAAGCATCATCACCACACCAGCCACTCTAACCATAGCAACGGCTCATCGAGTCCATGTAACAGTACATTTTCTCAAGACTCTGGGAGCAGCGTCATCCTGGGGCTTGGCTATGGTGCGGGCATCAAGGACATACTTCCCCTCAGAAGTGCATTCTACGATTGGTGTTGTGAATATTTCACAGAGCCGCAGATGAGAGTAAGTTTCTATGATTTTGATGGTTGCAGTCGTATAACGTTGGTTACTATCCAGCAAACGGAGGCCGATGAACCTGGAAGTATACAATATAACTACCAAGTATGGCGACAGCAACGGAATGAGAATATCATCGATGAAACGACGAGGCAAGCTGCGATTGCTGGTAAATATGACTGATGTTGGCACTGCGTTCAGTTACTTACTTTGTATACACAGAGAAGTGCCGATGGGACCGCCCAGTGGCTAGTTTGCATATACAAGGTCACCCGCTCACTATGGCGTTCCATGCCTACGACCAACACCTGATCATCGCAAACGAGGCTGATTCGGTGACGTAAGGCTGCATTCTTTTAGTGCCCTTGTAGCCGTGCTGACCGTTGCTCAGTGTCTGGGACTGGTCTCAGAAGACGAAGCTTAGCCAGTTCTGTAACGGTAATCCCAAGGGCACCAGCATAACTTCTTTGCATATAGTAAATCAAGACGTTGGTGGTCTCATTTTGACTGGGACTTGTATGCCCTCCTTTTACCTGCGTGCTTTCTGTATCACTGAAGATTATTGCAGCCGACGGTGTTGTTCGCCTGTATCGCAACTATGACCCCACTATGGACCAAGCTCCTGTGCAGATGGTCAGCTCGTTTAGAGGCTTGCAAGATATACTGCAGGTCCCTCAAGGAAGCGGCATGGTCACGGAATGGCGTCAGTCGGGAGCGTTCTTGTTCGCAGGCGGGGATTCGAAATCCATTCGAATTTGGGATGTCCATATGGAATCGCATCATGCTGTAAGTAAATCACCTTCGCCAGTCACAAGAACTAACATACGCGGAATCTCCCTCAAAGGATATCAGCACCGAGGCAGATAGCCCAACGACTTCAATTGTCTCCGACCGCGGTACGGCCCACGTTTTCGCCGCCAGTTTCGCGGATGGAAGCGTTAGGATATTTGACCGCCGGATGGCGTTCGATAACGCTGTCGTCAGACAGTATTCTGAACATACATCATGGGCGCAAAACGTCCGGTGGCATCCAACCTCTGGCGGACAATTCTTTTCGGCCAGGTGGGTTTCTGTTCTTTTCTTTGGTATGGTGACCTAAGACTTCGCCTTAGCCTGGATGGGGAGGTCAAACTTTGGGATTTGCGAGGCTCGACATCCTCTTTGAAGACATGGAATCTGTTGCCTAATGGCATATCAGCTTTCGACGTGCATCCGCATACCCATGTCTTTGCAGCGTACGTTACCGTGCTTTTCATCATCAGCTGTCTGGAAGTTCACCTACTTTCTGTAGCACATCTGCTGTCACACCGGTATACTGGAAGTCGCAGCGCACTGTGGTTCATTCGTTCGACCGGGAACTCTCCAAGTTCAACGTTTCAACTGGCTTGAACGTGTATCCACCGCGACCTCTTCCCAGCGCGTACATTCCACGCTCGACTTCCTTGGTTTTCCATCCCACTGAGATGTTGTATGGTCTCGGGGAACCGGATGGAACGGGTATGCCTTCAATGTCTTTTCACATGTGCCCTACTCATATTATCTTTTCGCCCAGTCCGCATCATTGGCTGCAAACTGAGCCAAACCTAAAATTTAGCTGCTATACAGTCTCCCCATCTAGTTCTTTGCGCTATGTATATTGCTGTGTACTATCAACCTAATGCCTAATACGATATGCTTTCTGTACACATGTATGAGGATTCAGCAATTTTCTTTAGCATCCTTCAAGCATCTGTGTGCATCGCGTTCGGCCGTGGCGGGTTTGTAGTCAAACCGTCCATTCCCAACGTGTCGTCCTCAGTTCATGGAGCGAGATAGAGCAAATTGATTTATTGATACCAAGAGGTTCGAATGAAGGTATGTACCAGCAAAAAATCGACATGCCGCAGCCTGGACAATGGCACCACAACACTTCCTACACTGGAATAGATCTCGAGAGAGCAGAGGACCTCTATAGAGGCCCTACTGGCACTGTCATCGGCGGTGGAAAAGATCTAACGTCGCGCAGCGTGGCATTTCTCTCTTGGAGAGAAGAAAAAAGGGAGCGAGCTGAGAACGGTTTATATATATCTTCTTTACATTCACACGGTCACGCAGCATTCGGACTAGGGGCACTTCCAAGAAGGTTCGCCAAGGTTTGTCTGTGGCTGTCTCGCGACGTCCAGTGCCTTGAGTAGGGCAGAGCAATTTGTATCAGGTATGACTCCGCGTTTTGATTCAATTGGCTTGGAAACTCATTCAACACCCATCAGCAGCTATGCTAGCAATTCTGCTGCCATTTCATGTTGGATTTCAAACCTTTTTGACCACTACAAGAAGTTCATAAAGGGCTTTCTTTCGTATCCCCATCAGTCTTTAAGGTCAGTAGTGTAGAGTGAGTCATGTAGAAATATGACTGAATCGGGACCACACTATTTGACGATTGACTCAACAGCGCCGGTCGGGGGGCGGCTGTCCGCGAACTCTCGCCCAAACAGCGCTCGTGGTTGAGTGCTTGGCCTATAAAAGGCGCTATATAGTCTTGTTTTTCGAACAAAGATCCAAAGCAACGCGGCGCATGGCTATCTCATTGCAGAAGACTCGCGGTTTTCTCGGTTTGTTGGGCCCACCAATCGATGACATCGCCCAGAGCGCTCTGGAGAGCCTACGCGCAACGAATTCCTCACTGACACCCACCCAGACACCGTATCACATCACCGTTGCTTCGAAGGCTGAACTGCGCAATGTGACCACCCCTCTAGATCTATCTGCCATACAAGTCGACGGTCGACAAATCCACTCCGCTGGCGTAGGAGGAAACCCACACAATGGCGTATTCTTCGTGGTGATAATATGGGCTGCTGGTCAGCAAATCCGGAAACAACTTGGGTTGCCCCCGAAGCAGTTCCACGTCACCTTATCTGCGACAGACGACCATGTCATGGACAAGGGGATTGATTCACTACTAGCCAATCAGATGCCAGACAATCCCTCCCTCAACTTCCTAGATCACCTTTGCTTCACTCTCCACGCGCTCCAAGAATTCCCCAAGCAACAACCATTCTGCTTGCAGCTTATCAAGAGGTGGCCGGACTCCCACCAAGGGTACCTCAGGCTTGCAGACGCCGCTATACGTATGGAGCAGTATAAACTAGCTATGCTCTCTTATGCGTGTGCGTTTGAACGCGCGGAAGAAGGCAAGCTGCGCGAATATTGTATAAAGAAACTGTCGGAATGCTCCAAACACACAGAATGGGGGCACGTCTTCCTTACGCAAGAAATGGCCCAGATTCCCGATGGTGTCATGTCTTCTCTGCTCAGGCCATGGCCTGCGGACCTTCGCTCTCGTCTGAGCGAGGGGAACATATTTCCTACGCTCTGCTTGTTACCAAGAGAGAGTCTGTTTATCCCAGGACACGACGCAATACCCCTTCATCCGGGCAGGAAGCTACCTCGCTTCTTTCGTTGGCTCGTTCCATTCCAAATCGCCGTTATGTCCACGCCGAAGAACGAAGAAGACATCTTTTCTCTGAGTTCTGTCTATCTTGGTATCCGACATGTTCTGACTCTTACCAAGGAAACGCCCCTACAAAGCTCATGGTTCGCTGAGGGGACTATCAGAAACACTTTTCTTCCAATCACCAATGAACACCCGCCATCCATCGAGCAGATGGACTTGGTCATGCGTCTCGTTCAAGATGAATCAAATCGGCCCCTCCTCATCCATTGTGGAGGTGGCAAAGGGCGAGCTGGAACTGTCGCGGCCTGCTACCTCGCAGCCTACGGCTTCAACCCTCCTAATCCTACTCAGACACAACCAGAGATGTCCGCCGAGGCTGCAGTCTCCTCCCTTCGTGCAATTCGACCAGGTAGTATCGAAACCGATCGTCAGAAGATCTTCGTCTCTAAGTGGTGTAGCACCATCTGGAAACGTCAGTCTGTACTTCCTGACCTCCCATCTGAACCTCCGCCATGCGACCTCGAAGTAGAAGGCACCTTGGATGATACCAACGACCTCTTCGTCCTCGTCGGGCTTCCTGGTTCCGGGAAGTCGTGGTTCTCTCGTTGTCTCATTGCCCGTAATGCGAAGAGCTGGATGCGCATATCACAGGACGACACGGGGAGTAGAGCAAGTTGTGAAACCGCCATCGGTCATGCAAAATCTCGTGTATTGCTGGACAGATGCAATCCAGACGCCGGTGACCGCAAAGCGTGGCTAGCGCTTGCGTCAAGCTGGGCCCGTTCCCCGGTGTGCGTTTGGTTTGACTATGACCACGAGCTCTGTACGTCCCGTGCTCAATCCCGACCAGATCATCCGACATTGCCACCAGGCAGCAGAGTTCGAAATGCAATCGAACAGATGCGCAAGATGCTTGTACCTCCTTCGCTCAAAGAGGGGTTCAAAGCCATTGCTATCATTCGCTCCTTCGCGGCGGCGGATCAGCTGGTCCGTCGATTATCCCCACCCGTTGCCATAATCAAGTTCCCTCGTACACCCCATCTATTGAACCTCGGTGCCGCGACCGATGACGATGTTCATATCGATGTGGCAACGCTTCCAGTGACCCAAGATGCCCATGTTGTCGTCACGGAGAAGATAGATGGTGCCAATATGGGATTTTCTCTCTCCGAAGATGGCTCCAACATCGTTGTCCAGAATCGCTCTCACTATGTCAATTCCTCAACCCACGAACAATTCAAGAAATTGGGGCTTTGGGTAGAAAGGCACGAAAGCGATCTTCGCCATATTTTGCAGCGAGACGCTTGCTTTCCTGAGCGCTTTATTCTGTTTGGTGAATGGATGTACGCGACACATTCTATCCCATATACCGATCTTCCAGATAGTTTTGTGGCCTTCGACCTCTACGACAGGAGCACGGGTTCGTTTACCGATTCTAAATCTCTCGTCGGCCTCCTGGCTGGAACATCCTTATCATTGGTTCCTACAGTCCATGAAGGGAGTATGCCTTCACAAGCAGAGCTCCGGGATATGGTGCAGAGACCATCAATGTTCTATGATGGGCGTGTCGAGGGTGTATATGTAAAGGTAGAGAGGTTCGGAAGGGTAGTCCTTCGTGGCAAGGTGGTGCGCGGCGATTTCATATCCGGAAACGAGCATTGGACCAGAGGGAATATACGCGTCAATGGCACCAGGTTACCCGACGAGCACACGAACTAGCCTTCTCATTTATCACTATAGTGTGTTAATGTTCACCACAAGAGTTTGAGATTGGTAACGTTGTGATGATTTGGGTAATTTCGAAATAGATAGCTAAGGCGCGATTTTAAACCTTGGGTATACTAAACTGTAGTATTATGCCATCCATTGATTACGAGTGGGGTAAGATGGCAGTGTGTCCCTTATAGACATTGAGAGTACTAACGGAATTAAATTATGAGCTATCGTCTTGTCCCATGAGAGAGATAACGTACGTAGTCATTGAGCTTAGTGCAAGTGAAAGGAGAGACACATGTGGTTGCTCCGCTCCAGCTAACACGTCGTCAGCCGTTAATGAATAATTTACCAAACATATTCGCTCACCCAATGCCGCCGCATTGTGCGTACTGAGCAGCTCCGCCGCCGCCACCACCACCAGGCGTAGTGGTTGTAGTGGGGGTTGAGGGAGCAGATGATGATGAGCTCGAAGGCGTTGATGGCCCTGCCGTAACAGTTGGGAGACCACTGCCGTCATGGCGCGAGCATCCTGAGATGGAAGTGAGTGCTGAAGGGCACTGAACTTCGCGGAAAGAGATGCTTGGGTTATCGGCACCCTGGAACCAGTCTGGCTATGCCATCAGTATATTGTACAGGGAAATCAACAATATAAAACTGACCGAAGCGCCATTGGCAACCTGCTTGAACAGCTACGGGTATTGACGTTCAAAATTAGATTCAGGGCGACGGAGTCAAAATCCAGGACGTACCTGATGGGAGGTTGCTGCATTCGCTTCTCGAGGAGACACCGCCGTATTGGGCACCCTTCAAACAGCAATGAATGAGAAAGGCAAGGGTGGATAGCAAGGTATGACTTACACCGTTCCACGAACCGAACTGAGCTGGGCAACCATTGAAAATGCCAACACCTCCACCAGGCATAAGGATATCGAAATGATTACTGCCCAAATCACCGCCAGTGTTTGTAGCTTGTACGACCATTCTCTTGCCAGCAACCGGGCCAGAGGTGAATGTTAATTCTACCGACTTGGGTTAGCGAAGAAGGTCGCAGACAACAAGCATAGCATACCGTAGCATGCACAGCACCACCTCTGTATTTGGGGTATCAGTCTCACAAGAAAGATGATAACAAAGGCATCCTCACGCTTTCAGTGCTGCCAGAGATGCTAACAGCGGCAAAGCCGTAAGCGAGGTTGTCGTTCACCGCCCATGGAGAGTTGTTTGTGCAAGTAAAGGCGGAGCCTCCATCGCAGCCACTCTTCACATCGGGGTCGGTAAGGGTACTTCCTTGCGCATTGCAAGTAAGAACCGGTTGCGTCACATCAGCCTAATATCAAGAAAATTAGCAATTGGACCGATGAGGCCGAACTATGCAACTCGCCTTGCCGGACCAAGCGCAGGATGGCTTGCAGCAATCCCTAAGCGACAACGTCGACTGTTGGAATCAAGTACCCGAAAATCAGGAGAACATACCAATAACGGGTGGTTTGACCCGTCTGCTGAGCGAGGGCAGTCGCAGCGAAGACGAAAGACAAGAGGCTGAAGGATTTGAACATGTTGGTGAGGAAAGATTGCCAGCAATAGTGAGCGGTATTTATACGTTCTTCGAGTAATTCTCCGACCTTTTTGGATGATGCGCCGATTATCCTTAGAGACCGAGGAGGGTCACCAAGGACTACCGAGAACCACGCGTTTCTATGAACGTACCCCGCTAAAGGCACCGTCATCTATGGGTGATTTAGCAGAGCGATAACAAGATTGATTTCATTATATTACCTAGATCGCTGAGACTGCAGTGATATTCTTCTATACTCACAAGTCAAAGGTGCGTCAAGAGCCTTCCGACCTTAATGCATGATGCATCATATGCTGTGGCGGAAAAACTAGACGCTAATGACTTCCGTCAGATGATACGTCTGGGAAGAGCGCAAAACTACCGGGATAAGACCGTCACATACAATCCTGCATAGTCGCCTCCGAAAAACGCCCACGGATCTATATATTTGCCTCTGCAGGGCGCCTTGGACAGAGCTATGCCTATTCCTGTCTCTCTTCCTGCCCAGAATTTAGAAGGTCGTGGCCACAGCGACTGTTCCGAAGGCTTACCCACTTCAATTTGTACACAGGCTCCGGTTTTACCTGATTCTTTCTCTCAACGCCGCTTTCGGGGTAAAAACAATACGGGAGTAAAGGAGGTTCATGGTGTAGGTATATGGACTTCTATGTCATGACCCAAGCCACGTTCAAGTTGTCATCATGGAGATAAACGGAGATACTTAGCCCAAAATTGGCTTCCAAAATCGTTCTCAGTATGTCGGTTGCTCAACGGTCCAAGAAACCAGGACTTTGGACAGAGAGAGATGAAGGCTAAGTGCTACCTACCGAACGAGAGGCACGCTTTCCGGAGCATTGTCACTATTGTGTTTAGTGAATGGACGTACGTGACGCACTTTCCTAGACAGGGTCACAGGTTCGTTTGTCGGCGGCAAAGCCTCTCTTCAGTGCCTACGTTCTATGAAGGGAGGTAGCCTTCACGAAACAGAACTCCGGGATATGGTGCAAAGTCCGTTCTATGATGGTCGGAGAGGGTAGTCCTTCGAGTGCGCAGCAACTTTATCTCTGGGAACGAGCACTTGACCAGAGGACATATTTGGTGCTCGGATGAATATGCAAACTAATTTCCGTGTACCACTGTTGCATGTTTGATGTTCACCACCTCGTAGAGGTTGGAATATGTAATAAGAAATGGAACCTGCCCATCAAACGAACGACACTATGTAGGTAAAATCCGAATAAAGATCTAAGGAGTGTGGTTAGTTGGGTATATCATTTCATCTCCCGGTTGAAAGCAAGGTATAAAAAAACCGCGGGGAAGCATTATAGACATTGATAATACTAGGTGGGATATCAGCCATGGTTCAAAATATTCGGGGGAGAAAAAGATAGCGCACCCAGTCATTGCCCTTGATGCAAGTGAAAGGAGGAGCACAGGTCGTTGGTCCGCCCCAGCTAAGTCATCATCAGCCACAGTGCCGAATCATTCATCGAATTCCCTTACCCAATTCCACCGCATTGTCCCCACTGAGGAGCACCTCCGCTGGTACCGTCCGAGCTTGTGGTGGGAGGTGATGACGATCTACAGGATGTAGACGTGGAGGCGGTGATAGATGGCGATTTCGATGATGTAGGCGCGGAGGCGGTGATAGATGGCGACTTCGAGGATGTAGGCGTGGACAAACTTGAAGACGCTGGCGTTGATGGTCCTGCTGCAACGGCTGGCAGACCGCTGCCATCACGACGCGAGCATCCAGTGATGTCCGTGAGCGCGGCAGGACACTGAACTTCGCGGAACGAGATGCTCGGGTTGTCGGCACCCTTGAACCAGTCTATATATATCTCAGTATGCTGAACTAGGGAGGCTCATGGAAGTCTTACCGAAGCGCCAATGGCAACCAGCTTGAACAGCTGCAGATGTCGACACAGAGTCAGATTCAAAGTAACGAAAGGCGTCATAGGATATACCTGCTGGGAGATTGCTACATTCGCTTCTTGACGAGACACCGCCATATTGAGCACCCTTCACACGACAATGAGAAGGGCAAGAGTAGATGGTAACAATGTACGACTTACGCCGTTCCACGAGCCGAATTGAGCTGGGCAACCATTGAATATACCAACACCACCGCCTGGCATGAGGAGATCGAAATGGTTGCTGCCCAAATCGCCACCAGTGTTTGTAGCTTGAACGACCATTCTCTTGCCAGCAACCGGCCCAGAAGTGAATGTTAATTCTATTGACTAGGATCAGCACGTAAAGTCATACAAGACAACGACAGCATACCATAACATCCACAGCACCATTTCTTCGATCGTAAAGCGTAAGTCTCTCGATAAAGATAGAAACAGAGGCACCCTTACGCTTTCGGAGCTGCCGGAGAGGCTGACAGCGGCAAAGCCATAAGCAAGGTCATCATTGACCGCCCACGGGGAGTTGCTTGTGCAAGTAAAGGCAGAACCTCCATCGCAGCCACTCCTCACATTGGGATCGGTAAGGGTACTTCCTTGCGCGTTGCAAGTAAGAACCGGTCGCGTCACATCAGCCTAAAAAAGAGTAGATTAGCAATTGGACCGAGGAAGTCGCGCTATGTAAACTCGCCTTGCCAGACCAGCTGCATGATGGCTTGCAGCAATCCCTAATCGTAAGACACGGATTAATTCCAGTTTTATCTCCGTTGAGAGGAGAAACATACCAATAACGGGTGGTTTTGCCCGTCTGCTGAGCGAGGGCAGTCGCAGCGAAGACGAGGGACAAGAGGCTGAAGGATTTGAACATTTTGATGAGGAAAATAGTCAGTGAAAGTAAGGTATTTATATGTTCCTCGAGCCTATTTCCCTGACCTTTGTAGATGATGAGTTTCCTTAGAGACCGAGGAGGGCCACCAGGGACTACCAAGAACCGCGCGTTTCTATGAAAGCAACTTGCTAAAGGCACCGTTATGGACGGGCAATTTAGCAGCAATATCAAAATTGATTTCATATATTACCTCCGCCTCCGGAATGTGCAGCGAGAGACTTCCGGCGGTAATTCTTCTGAACACTAAGCTTACTGTTACTTACAGGTCAGAGGGAGCCTTTCGACTTTGATGCATGGTATAGATGCAGATGCTAAGGAGGAGAAACTGGACGCCAATGACTCCTGTCTGATCTTTTCTCTGCGAAGAGCGCAAAAAACTACCAGGTTTACACTGTTACACAGAATCTTGCGCACTCACCTCCAAGAAACGCTCACAGTATATGTATTTGCGTCTGCACTGAGGGCGCCTTGGACTGAGCCATGCCTATTCTTGTCTCTCAGAGTCTATGATTATAACATATAGTAGGTTCAGAGTAGGTTGCGACTATAGTGACTCCGGATTAGTTGTCCCGAGGGCTTGACCTACTTGTATACAGAGGCCGATATTGCCTGCCTCAAGTAAGGTACGCGTGAGCGTGGCCGCTGGTGTACCTTTCTCACTCTTTTTCAGCACTGCTCTCAAAAAAGATGTTCAAGGTAGCTTAGCGACGCAATCAAAGATAAGTAGTTGGTACGTACTCATTTCGTCCGTTTAAAAGTTAACATCGCAAACCAATCACAAATCCATTCTGCTTGAATTTGTAGTGCGCTTGGGCTACTTATCTTCACCTCACCTCCAGCTCCACGATTCGCAAGTCTTCGAATAGAGTAACTCTGGAACGACCTGTGAACGCTCAGTAAAGCCTGGCAATCCTAGACGCATTTCGGGTCCATGGAGAAGTTCCGGGCCTCCTGTTGAGCGCAAGAGAGATCGGCTAGCAACCCCGACAGCACGGATTCACTCATAGGAGCCTACGAAAGGACCGCGTCGATGCTAGCTGAACGACAGCGGTGAACGTTTAAACGACGAAGAGGCCTGTCACTTTAGCGCCCATGCAACCCTGGCCAACCTTGGTCCCCTATCCACACCGATCATCGATGTCGATACCCAGGTATGATTTGAACTCTGTCAAATACTCCGGTCCAAACTGAACTATATTTCAAAAGCATTCTCCGAAGCTGTGATCATTTAGCACTCGTCGGGCACCCTAAACTATCTTCACCGCCATGGCCTCGTACTCTTTGTTCTGCTTGGGAAACCCCCTTCTCGATATCCAGGTGACTAGCGATGAGGTCCTCAAAAAATATGAGTTGAAGGCGAACGATGCTATCCTAGCCGAGGAGAAGCATCTGCCCATGTAAGAGCTGCCGTCTCCTCGCACCTACGGTCATTTGGCTCAACGATCTCTGCAGCTATGAAGACCTTGTGAAAAACCACAAGGTCACATATGTCGCCGGTGGTGCTTCCCAGAATGCTGCTCGTGGTGCTGCTGTAAGCTTGTCACTTCGATCAACCGATCAACGGAATTTTAACGCGTCCACTTCCTAGTACGTCTTGCCTCCGAAATCCGTTGTTTACACGGGATGCGTTGGCAAGGACGAGTTGGCCGAGCAACTCAAGGCCGCTAACAAGCGTGAAGGGCTTGATGAGGTTTACCAGGTGAAGGAAGACGAAAAGACCGGAGCTTGTGCGGTCGTTATTACTGGCCACCACAGGTACATTTCTTCCCATGTAATTAAGACGCGGACCAGAGGACTGATATGTCGGATTTTTATTCAGATCACTAGTCACCACACTCCGCGCGGCGGAGAAGTTTGACAAGTCACATCTCAGTTCCGCCGCAGTCGCACCATTGGTTGAAGCGGCCAAGGTCTACTACGTCGAAGGCTACTTCTTGACGCACGGTACTGAGACCGTCCTCGAGCTTAGCCAGAAATCCGCCGCTGCTGGAAAGGTACGTTCGTTCACTTCCCTCTATTTCCCTCGAAACTAACAACCTTTCCCCGATATTCAGACATTCGCCCTCAACTTCTCCGCCCCCTTCATTCCTCAATTCTTCGGCGCTCAGCTACAGCAAGTCCTCCCCTACTGTGACATCATCATCGGTAATGAAGCTGAGGCTGAGGCCTATGCCACCGCGAACGGTCTCCCCGACCCCAAGGATCTGCCCGCCATTGCCAAGTACATCGCCCTCCTCCCCAAATCCAATGCATCGAAACCACGCACTGTCATATTCACCCAGGGTGCGGAATCAACCGTATACGTTACCTCCACCGCTCCAGATAGCCCGAAGGTGGTAGCTGTCCATGCCTTGACTGATGCGGAGATCGTCGACACTAACGGTGCTGGTGACGCGTTCGCTGGTGGATTCTTGGGAGCGTACGTCGCCGGCAAGGAACTCGATGAGTGCGTTGAAGTTGGCCACAAACTGGGCAGCATGTGCGTGCAACAGGTAAGATAACTCCCATCGTTACTTAGTGGTTACTTGATAACTGACAACACGAAACAGGTTGGCCCGCAATACAAATGGCCGAAAGTCCAAGTACTATAGACGAATGCATGACCAATTGTATACTATTATAATCGTTGTAATGTATTTCGCTTCAACAGTGAGGCAAGACTGGTAAATGGGCGAACGTATGATTCTCAGCGAACGTTCCTGCTCAATAGTATCTGTGTATTGGCTTCCTGTACTTCGGAGGTTCTGCCCTCCGATACCCCGGCGGTGTTGGTTTAGCTTCGTTCTGGTCGCTGTCTTCTGTGGGCAATGCGGCGACAAGAAACGCGGACAACGCGAGGATGAGATACGCGGCTCGCATGACTCTGGAGCTGATGTCCGTTAGTGACTGTTTATCACAGATATTGAGGACATGGGTCGACTCACGTTGGAGGAGTCGATGGGAATGCCCTACGCTTATGTCTGCAAACCCGTGCTTTATACGAATTTCTCACTTTTATCCCGAGCAACGCCCGAGGCCAAAGGGTGTCCCTGCGCAACTAAGAGCGTTAGATAGTCTTAAGTAGTGTGGACTATGCCATACAAGAATGTGTACGTGGTGGTATCGATAAATATAATGGTTCCGTGCCAATAATACAAGATGTATGTCAATAAACTAGCAAGAGAAAGGGATGGATCGGAATAGGCAATAGCAACACACCTCGTCTAGCAAAATATGCAAAATAAACACACTCTAGAAACCCTGTTTCCCTACATCCCACTCCCTAACAGACCCCCGTTTCTTATACTCGATCCCCATAATATTATCCCCCGCCGACCACCGCTCGTCCATAGCTGACGACCCGCCTAAAGACTTCTGATTGTTAGGCTTGGTCGCTTTTGGGATAGATATCCCAAGCCTTTCCATGCGCTTGCGCTCGTCTTTGTCTTCTTTCCGTTGTCGAAGGAGATCCAACATGGCATCCCATCCTTCATACTCCGCGTTATTAATCAAACCAGTTGCTGGGACCTTGGGCGCTGAGAGGGGGGCGACATCAAGACGTGGGTCGTAAGACTCTTCGAAATACTTGTCCATCTTCGAAGGGAGCTGGGGCAGTGGATCGGGTCCTGGTGTAGAGGCTCGAGAACCAGGTTCGCTAATGGACATCGTGGTCTCCGAAGAGGACCGTTTCCTCGACCCCATCGGAGGGGAAGTAGCTTTCTGTTTCCCTTTGAGTGCACGCCGTAGCTCTGCTTCGCGATCGCTAGGTAATGGCGACGGCTGGCGAGAACAAGAGTCTGACCCACGGACGTGGATTCGTGGTGATCTTGCGTCGTCGTGCGTATGGCCGCGAGTACGACCTCTAGAGGACGTGTCTGACGCGCCGGCAGGTGAGTCGTCACGGCGAGACGTCCGCTTCGCCGTGTCCAGAGAATGGCTTCGAGAACGGTGTCGTTTGTGTTCGTCTTCGTACTTTGACCGCTTCCTCGAGTCCCTGTGTCGTTTTCTATCCCTCGTTCGAGAAGTTCGCCGACGTTTCCGGTCCTGACCATCACTGCGATCGCTTTCATCTCCGTCCCATGTCTCCCAATCTCGCGATATCCTCTTCCTTTCAGCTCTCCTTCCATCCCAACGATCCCAACTTTCATCTTCGCCCTTTCTCTTATCTTTATCTTCCCTTCTGTGCCTGCTCCGCCGCCGACTGCCGCTGCTGCTGCTACCTTCGCCCCTTGATCGTCTCATCTTCTCCGCAGCGACAGCCTCCTCAGCCCTGGCCCTTCTCTCCTTGCGTTCAGCATCCAAGCGAGCCTGCTTCACCTCCTCCGCAGCCAAAGCCTGAGCCCTCAGCACCGTCTTGTTGTGGTCGTCCGTACTCCGTATAATAGACGTCAGAAATCGTTTGTTCGTCTTGGGCGCATTGCTGTCTACGCTGCATTTCAATTAGTCCACATTCCAGTCAGTAGAGAATTTCGAGCGCTCACTTACATATTGTTGCGGAGGTATGCACGAATACCGTGTTGGCTGTACTTTTCGGCTTTCTTCTTAGCTTCCTTCAAAATAAGCTCAGCCACATGTCGGTCGAGGTCGTCGTCTGTCACTGTGCTTGAAACAGAGCTGCCTAGTTGCGCTCTGACGAGATTGGAGACCACGGAGGACAGCGACGACATAGTCAGGAACCAAGTTCAGAAATTCTCAGCAAAGTGACTTTGACGCCGAGTACTTAAAGAACACGTGAAGAATTTGATGAATACAGGCGCTTAAATTAATCTTCGACCAAGTCACCAAGACTTGAAGAAGGCGAAACGTATTCTCGAAACAGCGGACTGGCCCGCCAGGTTAGGAGACCTTGTATCACAATAGGACTTGCACGCCAACCTCGAAATAAAGGTGCCAGCACCAGGCCGCCGAATGTTTAGGGATGAAGCCGGAGATTGTTACATCCCGGAAGAATGTTGGGAGGATAAGACGGACTTGCCTACCCGGGCTCGATTATATAGTCGTAAATTCGGTATGTCCCGCTGATTGGTGTACAATAACGAGCGAAGAGCTAATGGATCTACCCAGAAGTTTACCCTTGAGTGATCTTATAGAATGCTGCCATGTTTTCCACACAAGCCGTCGCGTCCGAAACGGATGTTCCTTATCGTAAATGACAGGTTTACATCGGCGGTTAGCGCTTGCATACAAGACGAACAGCCAAAACACTTCAACTTTGTGACGATCAGGGAATAACCTCAGATAACGTCCAAGCGTAAGGCATTCTGAACCCAAGAGGAGGGTTGTCACAGAGGGAGTGGAGGAGGCAAACATGGAGACGTACTCAGAGGGAGGACCAGGGAGGACCCCGGGGGAGAACTAACGACGAGGGACGAGAGGGAACGTGTACGAGGCAGTAGACGTACTAAGTGACAGGTGGCATGATCTATCCCGAGTCTCTGCACGGCGGAGGAAAGAGCCAGGGACGAGCGATCCGTTCAAACTCCAGGACGACCGCCTGTAGAAGACGTACGAGCAGGCTCAACGTTGTATCGCCTTCGCCCTCTTGGATACCGGCCTCGAAACGGACAACGATTAATGAACGCCTAAATGCCTAATATGAGCATGGACATCCTTTTGATGTGGTACGACTATGGCCTCTTTGACCATTCCAAAGTCTATGTAGTACCATGACCCAAAGCAAAAGGTGTATCAATCAACGGTACTAGAATCCCCGTGAAGTCCCAAAGGGCATGTGGCGCCCTTTCTCTTCGTGGTTATTGGGCTCTTCTCTGGGAGCACGCGTTATGAACTGGGTCCGGCCAAGGAAATTTGCGTTCTTTGCGCTTCTTCTGTCATTCTGTAAGTGGTCATCATCGAAGGATGTCGATATCAATGAAACACGGTCTCACAAGGCCATTGTTCTCCTCTAGGATTTCTCGTAGAATGAAATTGCGGCGGAACATTCTTTTCATTTCTTAAATTGCTCGCCTTAGAAATGTTTGATTTGCATGCGGTGCAGACACTTGTCGAACAAACAACCTGCATCAGAAGCGGAATCGAAGGAGCAGGGCTGACCCGTACTCTTGGTCTGGCAATTCGGCGACTTGAGCGTCCTCAAAGCCTCATGGGAGTGGCTCAAGGTTGGCTAGAACGAGGCTTCGAAGGACTTCGATCACGTTCAATCATAGTCTCTGTCATACTGAGCTCGAGGTTCGATCGTGATCATGAATCAATGATCATTGCATCCACGCAGTGCGATATGCATTCCCTTCCATTCCTACGCATTTCCGAGTCATAGAGGAGCGCGCACTGCCCAAGAAAGTTCGTGGATCGTGCTAGCAGACGTCAACTTACGCAAACCACGAAACCCCCATCCTCCGAATTGTTGGCCCGGCTCCAAAATACGCGAGCCTAGTGATCATTTCGGCGAGGCCGTAATAATTCACTGCATATTCGCTTCCACCATGCATACAAGGCGATCGCCTTCTTTTTCTCCTATACCGGGAATGCGTACGTAGCGCAAGTACGTCGTCTACCGTCCTATTTGCTAATTCATAAACGGCGGCACTTGTGGACCGTTCACGACCGACGAGTGAATCGGTGACCCTGCCTATAATCCTAGGGTCGCAGAGAACAAAGCGTCCATAACGCGTACACAAGCATCCACAACATATACCTACTTCCGACATGCATGATCCCCGTTCGATCACCGCAGTTGAGTCAAATATCATCATTTCGAGATGACTCAGGGATGCGATCACGCCTAGTTGAAGCAGCATTCTACGTCAGAGTCAACTTGAAGCAGAACAAAAAGAATAGAGCATCGCATGACCCCTCGGATTGGAGCCATGGAAATATCACAGACATCATCATTTCAAGCCCTCATCAAATATAATTTCGTGATGTTATTGTCCGAACGGAACATACCACGGATCATGTGCCATGGTACTTCTTTGACGGTGGCCGTGCAAAGCCCTCCGAGTCAGCCAGAGACAAAGCAGTTCACCAATACCGGAAGCAGTTTATTTCCATTTCAAAGTCGGCTACGTAGCCCCGGATATCTCGCAGTAACTTCCGTACGGTGCCAATAAGATCTCGGTGCGCAGACCGAAGAACAATAATGATTAATCGAAAGTAAGTTGCTCGGAAAAACGGGTTATCCCGCTTCCCAATAGGTGGAGGAAGGACTAAGAATGGAGCACGTAGAGTAAGAGTGCGTGTAGTATAGTAGTGGTAAGTAAGTACAAGTGGTTCTGTGGTGTCTGCGTCAAGCTACGCGGAGGTAGGTGGCGGGATACGTGATGGATTAGAGAACATTGTACCGTGAGGCAGGGGAGAATGGGTGAGAACACCTATTGGGAGAATACAAATCGAATAATGGGTGTAAAATGTATGATGGTGCGATGATGATGATATACAGATGTCAATGTAACTCGTGAGATATAGGGTCATGAAAGGAATGAAGTGGACGTTAAAGGGTAGTGGAGAGCTCTGGACGTTATGCTGGACGTGAGAGGAAGGCTAGGAAGGCGTGGACTATGATACAGCATTTGCCTTAGCAGATGGACGTGATTAGCAGCGCATGTAGTTCAAGTTCTCGATTGATCGGACGCGGGGGAAGGTGCCGTTATTAGGTACTGGATCTCCCCTCTAAAGAACGCCAAGGAAAGGAATCAGGAATCAGAACGGAGAGAAGGGAGATGAATTACTCACAGTCAATGCTCGGAACACTTGGATGTCTCTGGTGGTCTGCAATTCAATGCCTCGATACGCGCAGGCGATCTTGAGCGCCGGTAGCTGCGGGTGAAGCTCGCCGCCTTTCCAGACGTGTACGGTGACTGCACGCAGGTTGGGTCGAGCCTTGACAATATCGAGGATGGGTTGGAGGGCAGTGTCCCTGTCGAGACCGAATGCAACGTGCTGAATCTCTTCGGGGATTTTCTTGTAGACCATCGGCGAAACCCACTGGCTCTCTATTTTCAGCTCTCGGAGCTGCTGACATTGTTGTACGGCTAATGCATGCTCGTGGGACCCGCATGCGGGAAGGGAAAGCGAGTGGAGAGCATGACCGTGAGTAGCGACGAGGAAATCGAGCTGCTCCGCGGACGGTTCACGCTCAAGCTCGAGGATGCGTAGCGAGTCAGTAGAATTGTGGAGCAACCATTTCATGAAATCGAAGGATGGTGACGTTTGGAAATTCATGCGTAGTTCTTCGAGAGAGCATTGAAGGGGTTCCGATGAGGACGAAGGAAGTTGAGGGGGAGTGCCGCTAATGACGAGGGATTTGACAGATGGCCAGACGTCGAGAAGTTGGGATAATGATTGCCGATTCTCGGACCAGTTGCAGAAGGTCAGAGCGCGAACTGCAGGACCGGACTTGAGCAATTCAAGGGTATCGTCTTCGAACGACGGTGCTGGCCGACTCATCCGTGAAACATCTGGTGCCCCTACCACATCCTCCCCTGGGGCGCCGCAGCCATAAACTGACAGATTGAGCTCGTATAGATTTGGACACAAAGTTACCGCTCTGGCAAACGATGTTTGCAATAGATGGGATGGTTGGTTATGATCTAAAACCGCCCGCATACGGATGACAGATTCTCCGAGCATGCGACCGCGTTCGGAGGAAGGGTTGACGGCGCTCGTAAAGGCGCTGCATGCGCGTTCGGTTCGAAGCTTCACGTTGCTGAACAAAAGCTTCTGCGCAGGGACAGACCAGCTCCTGCATACAAGCGCGCAATCCTTGAGAAGCCTGTCGTTCGCTTGCAAGTTATCGTCGTAATACGCCGCCTCGAGGATGGTCAATACGACTTCCATGGGCATGTGCACCGGCGTCGGGATTTTGACGATTCGACGCGCTGGTTGTCTTCGTGGGGGATAAGCGGTGGTCAAGTCGATTGACACGCTGTGCTCGACGGCCTAGATATAGGAAATTCAAGACAATTACTATAAAGTCGGTGAGACATGCAGGGAACGCACACTGAAACCCGAGGACAGGTCGAGCAGATTGAAGAAACCCATTGTTCGTGGTCGTCGTGGGGAACGGTGAGCACGATGGTGAGGAGGGGCGGGAGACGGGAGGAGCAGAGGGCAAGAGCATCTGCAGCGCAACGCGAGGTATTTATACGGAGAGCGGTGACTCTGTCAGATCAAAACAGGTTGCCGCATCGCAGATCTCGATTTGCCGATGAAACAAAAGAATGGGAAAAGAGGCCGTCCCAAGAATTACATTGATCGTGGGAATCCCATTGTTTCGGCGCGCTCTTTCCCACAATGCTTTGTCCCATTATTTTTGGCATTTTCACAGATTTATTCGTCCAGCCAGTGTCCTCGGCCTGGGTGGCGCTCAGGTCACCGTCTCCTGGTAAGTACTGGCCCATGCTCCATGTTCTCTGCTGAATTTCCATCCACAGAGCTAGTTTGAAAGGCGTGCGGCTCTTACGTTCACGCTCTGTGGCTGAAATATCGCAAAGTTCGCAGGAGCCATGCCCCCAACGCGTGTTGCTTTCACAGCAACTGGTTCTGCCTGCTGGCTCCTTCGAAACGGTGCATTGCAGTGGTAGCAAGGCATCGCGGGGGCAGAGGTTCCATGCTGTTCACGACGACGCTTTGTCCACTCGCTTTTCGAATTCTCGACAACGTGGCAGAAGCGCCCGAATACGACTCAGCGAACAGCAAATCTGAGGTCAGAAATGGCCCGGTCATCATGCTAATGGGCATCGGCGCGAAACCCCGGTCAAGCTCCCCAAATGCCGGCTGGAACGCTGCAAGTACATAACTATCATAGACGCACCACCTTCGAATACCGTAAAATAAGTTTCTTGGAACCATCGAATCGAAGGCACGTCGCTGCAGCACCATGGGGAAACCGGGAATTCATCTCTCTAATACCAACCAATGGGAAGAACTTCGAACTACTATTTACGGTGTTTTGCGCAGTCGTCTCTACTGCTCAGTCGGACTCGGAGCTTTGTTCTCGACGGATAACGTACCTCTAGCGGCTACTGCCTACACGTTGGACGGCCAAGGGTTATATTGGGAGCTCAGCCAATCATCTCGACGTACGCCCAAATTTCGCTGATGCATTTCGAACACTACCCCATTCTCGTCCTGTGGTCTGGGATGTTCTGTAGAATCCTTGACCCGAATGACGGAGATTAGTTAATCCAGGTTCTTTGTAACAATATTTGGAATCCTGCTCTATGGGCTGAATGGATGAATCAGTTAGCTTTGTGGGCACGCGGACGAAGAACGCTTTCTAATTCCAAGTATCGCTTTTCTTGGTATTTGACTACCTTCTCTAGCGACATAGCGGTACTAAGCTTTTCATCTCACAGACCAAATTGACCCTATGCATCCACGCTCGTCTTCCCGAACTCTAGCAAACAGACCCCGATTCAATTGGGACCCTCATAGAACAACCAGAACCATTAACCGAAACAAATGACATCGGCCTAGCCCCGTCCCATGCTAATCGAACTCTGCAAATTCGTTAGAACAGTCATTGAATATACTATCCCAAGCGATCCAGGACCTAACGTACCGATCCGAGGATAAAGTTCATCCCCTCGAGATTTGATCCACAATATATCTTTTCATGCTGCGACAATCATACTCAACATTAGAGTGATAACGAGATTCTACGAATAGCACTTCGGTGCACAGGGTCGTACAGCTCCACCACAAGATTCGTCCTCCAATTGTTCATCTCGGTGAGCTTGTGCGTTGGATCGGCTGCGTGTAACCTCATTCCCCTTTGACCGACTTATGTCCATCCCCAATCGTTCGTTATGTTCTCACCAGACCTCTTATGTTATTAATTTACTGACCATGCGGTTAGGGGTACTCCTGGCAGCGCGGAACAACTCCCGCGGTCCCCTATCATAACTGCAGCTGATGCTCGCAACGACAAATAGCATTTCTGTTACCCATACCTCGTTGCGCAGTTGATGCAGAGCTGTACCGAAACAGCCACAATATCCGTTATCGATGCATCGATGACGCCCTTACCGAGATGATCCAGAATGCACAATAACGGTCACATCATATCGTTCTGGCCGTTCATAACTGGCCATGCGCACCACTCATTCATTCACGGCAGCGATCATGATCCAGTCGCTTGTAAAAAGCTTAGTAGGACGCCGTCCAAAATCTGCCGTGGTTCTGGAATCTTCAATCAGACTTCACATACGACATCGAACATACTTTGTGCACCAAGTCACACTCTTAAGGCTATTTACCCAGTAACTGGAGATCCCAGGGTTTGATCGACGCTGCTAAACTAAAAGAGCAGGAGATCGCAGCTCAAGCAGGAGATGTACGTATGTCGGACGCATGCTGGACGACTCGGACGCCCAAACGAACAGGCGCCACGGGCGGCGCTCCTGGATGCTTCCCGCTCGTACCCACACACATCACACATCTCGGCTCCGTGCTTTCATGGAAAATGCCGAGCTCGCTGCCTGCCGAGGACATCAATCACCGCTCAGCCTCCGTCCTTCGGGTTTGTTAGCTGTCTTGCTAAGTCTTGGGTAGTTAAATATCGCACTGTCGCCGTTCGCAACGTCAGGAATGTAAATAATTGCTAAGCCCATCTGTATCTGCTATGTATACACCACCATGGTATTTCAACGCGGCGACGGTAGCTATGACCTAGTCCTATTGTTCCTCCCGACCCTAATGGTATACCCAGGGATTCTCCACGAGATATGAGTGGCTGAACCATTCACTCTGATTCAGTGACGGCTGTATTGAAGATCTCGAAACCTACATCTAATACCTTGTCCAAATGGTTCCGCATACCGCGAGAATCGCGTTGCCAGCGACGCCATCGCAATTTTATAGCATGTACGAATGGAGCACTCGTATGAGTTGTGTTGCGTAGGGGCGTATGTATTGGCATTTTCACTTTACACCTAGGATATATCTTAATCTGGATCTAACACCACTTTCCCTGCGCAGGAAGGGCCGTGTTGGGCTAGATATTGCTCGGTACGTCGCGTTGACTGTTTCAGGTTTCGAAAATATTCAGTGCTAGATTTGGTGTAGATCTCCGTCACGCCTTCATTCAGGGCAGCCAGCGAACAATGGCCTCGAAATGTTGGTACTCACGCGAACTCACGCATTATTGGATAAGTGATGACTCCTGATGACTCTGGCTTTCTGCATGGTACGGAGCATCCTAATTTAAAAGCATATATCAACTCGCGGAATGATGAAGCGAATCAAATCATATTCCGGGGCGTTGGCGGCTGTACCCAGTGGCCCGGCACTGCGAATGTGCCATCGGACTACACTAATTATGAGGAGTTCCCCAATTAACGCTTACGACAATCTGCGGGTGCCACTACCCGTGCTTTTCGACTCGAGCTAGTCAATGCGGGACATAGCTTTCGGCGGTACTATCGGGAGTTCCCCTCATCACAGGAGCCCAAAGGTCTGGTTTGGCATGCGTACAGCGTCACCCGGAAGTACGGACGACAAATCACGATTCAACTACATCGGGAGGAAGCCTGAGTACGGTAGGACCCGACACGGTTGCGCACAGCGTCATTTCGTCGGCCAATGGCGAAGGCGTATCACGGGCGTTGCACGGGCGTATCAAAGGTCCCCCTCCGAAATGACAGTGGGTCGTTCCAGGTCATTCCGTAACTTCCGTTTCACCTGTCGATAAATATATCATGACACTGCGTGCTACTGCGTGACGGGAGGTGACTGGCGCGCGATAAACAATGGGAAACCAATGCCGGCGGTAACTCGCGGAAACAAATTTCGGTCTCAGGTACAGGCGCTTTACCGACTAGTTCAAGTGAAAGAGCACGCGCTCATCTGCACCATGTAATTTCGGTATGCATGTGCAGCACTCAGTAGTGTTCCCTTGCTCACCTTGTGCTCCGAAATGACATGCAGGCTGATATGTAGATGACGTGCTCACATCCATGTTGCGTCTGATTAGGACGGCCTCATGACGGATGGTACAAGGTTAATGAAGCTTGTTGCAGCCAGGAGGTAAATGCATCCGCGTCAGGTTCGACATAACGGTGCCGTCTACAGCAATGAAATCACAGGTACACAGGCACACCAGCGGCAAAGCAAAGACAGCATGTATAGGTTACTTGGCAGTGGATGGAACCGCGCCCGGTAGAATCAGAAGGGGATTAAAGTCGTGGCTTTAAGGCAGTAACGTCGTTGCATCACATCAACCATTAGCTTTGAGTTTCTATACAAAATTTGAACGAGGAACGAGAAGACGGATAATACACATACATTCACGATGCTCGGAGCAGCTCTACTAGCTCTTCCCTCGTACCCAGGCTGTCACTTTCTCCACCCAGCGACGAAAAACGTCACCGAAAGGTAGTGCATCCGCATTTTCTTCACCCCAATTTCTATTGCTTCCGCCCTTCTCCTCCTCGTCCCCTCCTCGGGTTCGACCTCCCAGAACCGAGAGCTTCTTTCGTTCCTCGAGGCCTTGTAATATATCCTCTCCACTCTCCTTGTACGCTCTCTCTAACTCGGCCTCTCGCGTGTAGAGAGGACGCCGCACTGCATAAGGCGCAACAGTGTTGTATTTGCGAACCAGCGCGTTTATTTCTGCTATCGCAGCCGTGTGATAACTAAATTCCCGTTTCTCCCAATTGTCGTCGCGTAAAGCTTGAAGTTCCACAAGAGTGCGCCGATGGGCACCCGGATATGAATGAAAGCCAACTGTCAGCGAGCGGAGGGCATGCCTAGTCCAAGCCTGGCGAAGAATCCCGCGGAAGGAATTGATAGCTGATTCAACCTCTAGTATCGGGATTTATGTAACTGAATATTGACAAGCACGAGGTACAGACATACGTACCCTGTTGTACTTCCACCCAAGGAGGTGCAGCGCCATTCTTTTGAACTATCCGATTCATCAGAAATTCTTCTCTAGCGATGAATGGGTTGTGCTCATCCGAAGCCCGAGCTATAGGCTGTCCGCGACCTTTGATATTAGTGAAAAGTCCCTTGAGTCTTGCTTTCTATTACGAGAACCGTGAGCGCCCGACATAAGCAGCACAGTATACATATACCAACTTCGATTCTCTCTTCGACTAAACTAGCCCAGGCCCTAATATTAACAGGATTAGGGCGTAATCCATGGTGTTGGGCAGATGCTTGAGACGATTGGGCGCCCTTAATTCCTAAACGATAATCCAATGTAGATTCTCTCGCGTGCGCGACTCTCCCAGCAAGTTCTTTGCGCTTTTGTGTCTTTCGGTCGAGCGTCTGCGCAGCAGAACGACCGTCAATGGCGATTGTAGGGGGTCTATTGGGCCGTGGGGGTATAGAAGCGACTTTGACGGATGGTGCGTCATGTGAGGGAGCTTTGAACGTCGTGTGCCACGGTCTGTGACCCTCGATTGAAGGTATCAGTTGCTCGGTCGCCCAAGAGCCACTTGACGGGCTGGAACCTATCGAGTTCACGGTGGCGGTGATAGCCTCAGCCCCTGTTGCTGATTCTCCTCCACCAGGTCGCTGGCCATTTCCAACAGTACCAGCGTTGATGACATGCGGATTACGCTTCAGCTCCTGCTCGGCCGACTGTATAGTTCCCGTCCGCAGGGGTTTATACTTGTCCACTAGCATGCGAAGAACCGCATCTTGAACACGCTCATCGCCAGTCCAGTTCTCTTCTTGGCTCTCCAGCAGCTGAAGCCTTTGCGACTTCTTTACCTGATTCGAGGAAGATTCCTCCTTCTCGGCATCGGCAAAGAGCTTAGCACTGCCAGAGGTGCCTGACGATGAGCTAGCAGCTTGACAATAGGCGGCTTGAGACGAGAAGTAAGCATTTATTGTGCTCCGTGGCGCTGAGCAAGTGATTCTCGGATACAGAGTATATTGCAGAGGAGAAGGCCTGAGGAACATGGACGATAGATTCAAAGTTAGTGACCGCGCCGAGGCGGGCCGCCTTCCACGTTCGGTTAAAGACAGGGGCTGCTGGAGCAGGCTTCATCTTACCTTTATACAATCAAGACAATGTCCGAGATCCCACCCATCGACCTCACCTCGATACTAGATTTTACTATCTCACTTGCTCGGGACGCAGGCGATCTTATCTTAGAAGGCTCGGAAGCCATTCAGCGCGCTGCTGGAGATGAAAGTCAGAGCACTGTCGGCGAGAAGAAGAACTCCGTAGATCTGGTAACCGAATACGACGTGCGAGTAGAGGAACTCGTAAAGAAGAAGATTTTCCAAAAGTACCCTCATTTCAAATTGTACGAGAACCTTTTTATTGCATGGAGGTTGTTTGATAATTGTTTGATAGCATCGGAGAAGAATCGTATTCAGCTGGATCGCGTCCCCCTCTGACAGATGAACCGACATTCTGCGTTGATCCTATAGGTGAGCTCCTACGAAGCTTAGCTATCTCGACATAGAAGTTGATGACGCGCTAATGATCGAATTTTTGTGATTAGATGGAACAACTAACTTCGTGCACGGCTTCCCATTCGCTTGTATTTCGCTTGGTCTGATTTACAAGCGGAGGCCGGTACTTGGGGTCATATATAACCCATTTCTCAACTACTTAGTGGGTGTTTCATCCGGTCAACCCTGGCGTAAACAGGAAGTGATGCTGTGACAGTACCATGGAATTAAAGGCCACGGTTCTTTTCTCATTCGAAACGGCGGGGAGCCAAAGCGTCTTCCTCTATATCCACCAAAGCATCTCGCATCACTGTCGCAGGCTGTCTTAGGTATGGCGCCATCATTTTCCTTCCAGTGTCAGTGCTAACTACGTTCTAATCATCAGCCGTTGAGTGGGGATCTGATCGTGGATCCACAACTATTGCCTCCAAAGGTAGCTCATTCATGTGCCTGGCTGGGGATCCTGCCAAGGGGGTTGAAGGCGGTAGAATGGCCCATTCTCTCCGTTCTATGGGCAGCGCGGCACTAAACTACGCGATGGTTGCTCAAGGTGGACTTGATATGTACTGGTGCGTGTGCTTCCAAGCCACATCTCATCGCTTCTTATATTGCTGTGTCTTATGCGATAAAATTCTAGGGAAATCGGATGTTGGCCTTGGGACGTTTGTGCCGGCATCGTCATCGCTGAGGAGGCAGGTTGTGTCGTGACAGGATCACACACCGCCTTCTCGGCCTCCGTTTCTACGCCCGCATTTGGGGATGTAACAGAAGAAATTCTCACTGGGAGAAAGTACCTAGTTATTCGTGCAATTGCAGATACGAAGGTGAGTGGACCCGTTTCAAATCTCAAAGGCGGAGCTGCGCTCACAGATCGTTGTTTGATGAATGCAGGCTGAGAAGGGATCTGAAGCACAGAAGAGGCTCATCAAAGATTTCTATGATACTGTTGTAGATGTCGACGCGAACTGAACGTTATGCTCATACTGTTGGTGTGAAAGCAGTCGAGATGGAATATACCTCAAGTTGACATATCAACAAATTTGAGGTTGCGATCATGGTCTTCGCTAGTATATCGGTTAGTACACGCGCCTGTCACGCGCGAAAGCTGGGTTCGACTCCCAGGCGAAGAGTTTTTGGTTATCTTTTATTTTATCATCAAATGCATACGACTACTTATGATTGTGGTAGAGCAGGAAAGCTACTTGTCCATGTATCCCAATTCCGTCTCACCTCGGCCAGCTCGCCACTGTGGCCCTCATTACTCTCGCCCGCTTTACTACTATACACGCCCTCCACCAACGCCCTCTTCACAAACGGCGCGAACACTCCGAAATATACCTCACCGCAGGAACGCACTATATTGATCTCCGCTTCCTCCAACTTTTCATCGGCACCTACTGCTTCAGCAAACCGCAGCAATGCCTGCCCGCCATTGACCATCTCCTCGTCCATGACACGTTTGAGAGCGTCTTTAACGTGCAATGGAGCGAGCAGACGTAGACCATTTAGTGTTGTCAGAAGAGCATTCGTGAATACCGCGAGCGGGGGATAGGAAGCTAAAAGTGGCGGAGGAATATGGGCTGGGGTTGAGGTCCCGCTGGGCAGAGGTGGAGAAGCAACGAGCGAAGGAGATATAAGCCATTTTGAAGGTACACGGTTGACTTTGACACCAGATTTACTACCCGAGCTTTTGGACCTCGACATGGTCATACCGGTCTTGCCATCATCAATTTCCTCAGGCTCATAGCTCTTCAACAGCTCCTGTGCCCATACATTCCCTGCTGCTTGGATATCTCGGCGTACTGCAGCTACCACGGATTTCCCCATTATGTCGGCGAGGAGTCCACGGAAATCGAGGCCTACCCTCCCGAAGGCGGATGCACAATAGGTAAGTTGAGTAAGAAGCGAAGGCAGGGCGGGCGGGGCAAGTAGAGGCAAAGCTGAAGATAGGGTAGCGACAAGGTGTTTCGTGAGACTATGCGTGGCGTAAGTAGAGAGAAGGGAATGGAGGGAACTGTGTAGCTCTCGAAGTTGTTGTTTAGTAGGGGGAGGGTTAGAGGGCAAGGGCGAGCGTTCCAGGAAGATGGTAGAATATTGAGTGACGATGTCGTATACCGCCTCTCTCCAAGTATCGATGTACTTTTTGAGATAACGAGCAATATCCTCTAGCTCCCGTTCCTCGAGTTGTCGCGTACCCTCACCTGGTGTTGCTTGGAGCTCACGTATAACACCTTGGATACTTCTGCCGCAACCGTCTAGCGAGGCCACAAGGCATGTTTCCCTGCCGGATAGGAAGGCCAACGCCAGTTGTTGTTCTGCTCGTATTGTCTCATCGGCGCTCGCTCCATGGTGAGTATGCCCTGATGCAAGGTCAGAGCCTTTACCGTTGACTTTGGTAGCTACAGGCGAATGTATGGGAATGGTAGGGGAGGTGCTATTGGCAGCACCTCCGAATACATTCATTCGGCGCAGAAAATTCACAGCTTTGAATAGGGCAGGCAGCTTCCGGTGTGGTTCGTGGAGTGTGGCCAGGAGAGAAACGAGCATCTGGGTAATGCTTTGGTCGACTTCGGCAAGAATCGATGATAACAACACCGGAGGCGACTGGGCTGGTTGGTCCAGATGGTTGAGTGCGTACTATCCGCATAGTTGAAATGGAATTCGCACCTCCTTGTTTGCCCTTGTCGCCTAAATCATCGTTGTCAAAGAGTGTAGCCAGAGACCTCGCATGGGCAGCGAGGGACAGAGCCTCTCCGAAGTACCCATTCCGCACGCACGTATCAATCAGGAGGGGAATATCCAGTAGGTCCCTCAGCTTTTCATGCTGTTCGAGCACCACCCTAGCGCGTTTCCTCTCCTTGAGCACGCTTTCTGTCCGATTCTTCCAGTCACTAGCACATTGTTCCAGCGCAGGCAGACTGTCCGAGACCAACGTGTCCAGGGATGTGGATAATGTCTTGAGAGATAAGTTCAGCGCTGCATTAGATTGGTGCACGGCCAAAAAAGTCGGATATGATGTGTGCGCTAGAGTGACCAGCGAGGAAGTGAGATAGTGGGCCTGTGTCTGGAGAAGGGTCGGCTCTGCAAGGAGATCAGGGAGGGGAAGGGTCGTCAAATGCTTCAAATATCCTTCAGAGGCGGGCGTCGACGGCGCGCCCACAACGTCGGCCAGTGTGTGAATGTCGCCAGACATTGTCAGTCACGGTCGCGGCGAACTTCCATCAAGCGCTCGTAGGATTGCATATACGCGCAAGTTCTCACGGTCACAAACAGAGAATCAAGTTAGTCGACGCGCGTCCATTGCAGTCCTTTTCCACAACTCCTTCAATATGTTTGTGACGCGTTCAGAATATGGTCTGTACTTGAATTGGGTCGCTGGATTCTTCTTGGGTGCTGATTGTACTTAGATCGGGGTGTCAATACCTTCTCGCCTGAGGGTCGTCTATTCCAAGGTAAATAGTGTTGCGCGTAATGGCTTCGACGGAGGTTTGATCAGAACTACCATAGTCGAATATGCGATTGAGGCCATAAAGGTTGGAACATCCAGTGTTTCCCCTTTACTTGTATTGAGGTCTCTCATTAGCTCGGATCGACGACGGTTGGCGTCAGCACGCCGCACGGGGTCGTTCTTGCCATCGAGAAGCGTGTCCAATCACCCCTGCTGGAATCAAGCTCGATAGAGAAGATAATGGAGATTGACCGACACCTTGGCTGCGCAATGTCTGGCCTCGTCGCCGACGCACGAACGATGATCGATCATGCGCGAGTGACAGCCCAAAACCACGCATTCACGTATGACGAAAACATCAAGGTGGAGAGCGTCACACAGGCGGTTTGTGATCTGGCCCTGCGGTTTGGAGAGAGTGTACACGACGAGGAGGCTATGATGAGTCGACCATTCGGTGTTGCATTGTTGATTGCTGGGATTGATGAGAAGGGCCCACAATTGTGAGTTCTTTACCTGTAATCGAGTCAAAGACGCAAATTAGATTTCTGCATGCATCATAGGTATCATACAGACCCGTCAGGGACATTCATGCGATATGACGCGAAAGCTATAGGATCTGGATCAGAGGCCGCGCAGAGCGAACTCCAAGATAAATGGCACTCGGTATGGAACAGCGCGTTTCACCGTCTTTAGTGATAGAGCTCATGCCCCCTGGTGTAGCAAATGACCCTTCAGGAAGCCCAGGTCTTAACACTGCGGGTACTGAAGCAAGTAATGGAGGAGAAGCTGGACCATCATAATGTTCAGGTAGCTCAGGTGAGTAATACAGAACTACAAGTTCCCCAAAGCGCTAAGCACTTCCACAGGTAACACCCGAGAAGGGCTTCGAGATCTTGAACGAAACACAATTGAAAGACGTTATCGAAACTATGTAATTTTGTTTTTCACTATATGTGGACTGAATCTGCACTGTCATCATTCTATCATCTTTCTGCATCGCCTTCCCGTCGGCCGCTCATCTCCTACTACTAAGGGCGATTTCAAGCACCCTCACTTTGGCCTCCAGAGCTGCATGCTTTGCTTCCAACAGATCATATCTTTCTTCCATTATCCTCAGCCTCTCCTCGGTGGATGTTACTCCGTTAGGGTATCCGTTAGGCTGAACAAGGGGAGGTTGGGGTTGGAGAGGTGGCGGTGGTGGTGGTGGTGGGACTCCATAGGCGTCCTGATTGGGAGTAAAAGGACCAAAATTATTCGGGGTACGAAAATCAAACGTGTTCGCTTGTGGGCTCACTGGAGCAGGCTGGGCAAACGGAGTCGGAGTCGGGAAGTTCGGTGTGCTGAAATTGAAGGGACTTGGTCGTTGATCGAAAGTCGAGGGTGCTGGCGTAGTAGGTTCCGTCTGCGCTGCCGGAACATCCTGCTTCGGTGCAGAAGGCTGAGGCTGTGACGGCGGCGGCCCATTACTGAGCGGCTGTATGGCGAAATTCGCAGTATATGGATCAGAGAAGACAGGAAACCGTTCCCCCAGATGAAAGCTGATATTCGACGATACAGATTGGCCCGACTTCGTCTCTCGTGCGGTAACAACCACATCCAATGCCGAAGCTACGTCGAGATTGATCTCGATGACAAGTGTTCCTTTGGGAGCCAACGGTAAGTTCGTCAGCTGCAGCACACCGATAATCCTGTTGTCCTTAGCGCGACTATGCTCCCCTTGGTACACCTTGATGAATACGGTCGGCTGGTTATCGAAGACGGTCGTGAACTTCACTTCCTTTTTCCCTGGTATACATGTATGTCGTTTCATTATTGGTATCATCGTCCCGCCTTGAGTCTCAATTCTAGACGTTTGTTCTGTTAGATTGTGTCAAAGGCATTTGAGAATAAGCCATTACCCGAGGGACACCGGGAGCACGTCTAATACTAGCATTTCATCCAGAATGGGACTACTGGTTCCGATCTTGATCGCGGCAGTCAGAGCGGTACCGTAAACGACGGCCTCGTCCGCGTGGAGGCTTTTGTCAGGCTCCTTGCCAAAGTAATCAGACACGACGGCGACGATTCTTGGGATCCGGCTTGACCCTCCGACCATGACTATGTCGTCAACATTCTCCTTGCTCACTTTGGCTTTGCGAAGGACGTCTTCGATTAGGTCAACTACAGCCGCGAAGAGGTCCTGGCAGATGTCATCGAACTGATACTGGGTGATGGAGACATTGTAATCGAAATCGTTGGCCAGCGTGTCGATATCAATGTATGCTTGTGAGGCAATGGACAGATTGCGCTTTGCTACTTCGCAGGCGTTTCGCAAGCGGCGAAGTGCTCGTTGGTTCTGCCTAATATCTGACAACGAATTAGCAACATGAATAGGCCTCAAGTCATTGGGTGGTGTACCTATTCCTCTTCGTCGACGGAAATCCTCAACGCAGAAGTCGACCAACCTTGTGTCGAGATCCTCGCCTCCAAGTTTATTGGTTCCAGCGGTTGCTTTCACTTCGATGACACCGCCGTCCATGACCACCAGTGTCGCGTCGAATGTTCCGCCGCCTAAGTCAAGGACAAGCACTTGCTTTATTTCTTCGGGCTGATTGGGATTGATCTGCTGCTTTCTGTGATTATAGGCTGCGGCCGCGGCGACGGGCTCGCTAATGACGCTCAACACATTCAACCCCGCCATAACGCCCGCGATGCTGGTGGACTTGCGTTGAAAGCCGTCGAAGAAACTCGGCACGGATATCACGGCATCTTTTACAGGTTCACCTAGTTGCGTCGATGCGATCCTGCGTACTTCTGCGAGAACATGTGCGGTAATTTCTTCAGGTAGCTGACAAGAAAGCTGTATTAAATATCTCCAAGCGTAAGAAGAGACATACGAAGTGCTCCGGACCTCTGCCATGATCAACGAGGACATGAGGTCGTCCATCATGTTCGCCAACATTGAAAGGCATTTCTTCGACTATGCCTCGCGTTACCAACTCATCGCACCCGATGAAACGTTTCACGTTGAAGATCCTAACAGTACATGGGTGATGTGCAGCGGATATTAAGGCAGATCCCGCTCACGTATTCTTGGCATTTCGGTAGGCCCTGCTCCTAGCCGATTCACCGACCGCGACGTCCCCCTCAGAGAAGGACACAAACGGGGGTGTGCTCTTGCTCCCTTCTTCGTTGGAGAGAATCTGAACGTGATTCTCCTTCCATAACCCTACACGACTGGGGGAGGCAATGGGTGCCGGTGCACATAATCGTATCAGTGCACAGTGTTGATATGACTTTCACTGACCACGAAGTTGTTCCCAAGTCAATCCCAATGGTAGGCATAATGCTGGATGGTGATCTCAAGCTGAAACTGCATCTGTGCGACTATGGTGCGCGCAGCTGTAGACTACAGCTGTGCGCGTAAAGTTAGGGGCATCCTGGCACGTGATGAATGGACTTCATTGTCACAGCAAATTTGGAAATTTTGTCAAGCAAAGCCGCTGTGTAACTCCGAATCGCGTTGCGTTGCCCCTAACTCTCCTTAATGCGATCGAAGGGGCAGGGCAGGCTTGCCAGGGAAACGATCCTGGTCAGCAGAACAATTTGATGATCATAATGGTGCTCTGAATTCCGAGGATTCAGAATCAAGTACGAGATTGTCACTGAGTCCTTGCTTGGCGCGTGGTACTCATAATGTTCATTGGCTGTTTAGATAACTGCCATAGGCGCGGTGCGGCGGCACCGGTGCTAGTCGCTTCGTCATTGATTTCTATCTGACAACTTGGTGTTCAACTTCGGAATGCGGATAAATATATTTTCCGAGATTTTACTGCTCCTTAGCACCTTGGCGTACGCCGGACAAGCGTTGAGGTATGCTTGGACGTTAGACATTTGAGGGTTGAGCCCGTGTCCCCAGCATCATGCAACGAGTTGGATATTCCTCTCATGTTTTCACTTTTTATGCTGCTCAACACTACACGACGTAGTAGCGGACCGCGGCTGCCTAACGACAGATCACTTTCAGTCAGCCATCGGTCGAATATCGCTGATCGCTTCGAGGCCCCACAGTGGTATGGTATCTTTCGAAGTCAAAACATATGTCGCTAATACACGGTTTTTCCGTTCACCGCCCTAAAGTTAGTCGTCTGTCATTGCAAGTTGGGGTTGCATGCTGCTATAGCCGCTCCGGTCGCTAGAACCGTTCACAGGCATGGGGTCGTTTATCCGCAGTTGCTGGAGGCATAAAAGCCTCAAAGTATGAACTACTCGTCTTCAGAATCGGCGAACCCTCTTCCATCAGCTACTATGATGAAAATCGCACTTGGACTTGCCACCTTGTTTGCTACTTTGAATACTGTCGTGGGGCACGGCTATGTTCAGGAGATCACCACGGGCTCATCATCTTATACTGGCTACCTCCCCTACTCTGATCCTTACTACAACCCTCCCCCTCAACGCATTGTGCGCAAGATCCCTGGAAACGGTAAGTCCTATGTACTACTCCGAACCAAAATGCCCAACTTGTGTAACAGGGCCTGTCACCGATGTCGCTTCAATCGAGTGAGTTCAAGCGGCTGAAAGGCACATATTAATGCTGAATTTCTTATTCCGATAGTGTGCAATGCAATGGATGGTCTGACGGTGGTGCTCCCGGCAGCACACCAGCTCCTATTTTTGCCACCGTTGCCGCTGGCTCCCAAGTTCACTTGAACTGGACTACATGGCCTGATTCCCACATAGTAATCTGATATCTGACCTTCGTAATCGCGGAGGACTGACGAGGAGTCTTTTAGGGGCCCATGATCACGTACATGGCTCTTGCGCCAAGCGATATAACTAACTGGAGTCCTGGTTCAAGGTACGCAATTGTCAATCTATTGCCGTCAGGATAATATGACAATCGAACCTGACATGGAAATAGTGCTGTGTGGTTCAAGGTGCACGAAGCGGGAAAGACTGCCGACGGAAAATGGGCAGCCACAGATATCTTGACAGAAAACAACAGCATCTATACGTTCACAATCCCCCCTAAGCTCAAGCCAGGACAGTACATCATTCGCCATGAGATGTAAGGATTTTCGGCTAACTACTGCCTAAACGTTGCTGATCTTTTGCCATTTAGCATTGCCCTGCATTCGGCCTTCGCTTATCCTGGCGCTCAATTCTATCCCTCCTGCATCCAGGTTCAAGTCACGGGTTCAGGGACCGCTTTCCCTACTTCCTTCGTTTCCTTCCCCGGTGCCTATACCCCTTCTACCCCAGGCATTGTATTCGATGCTTACCAAAGTGAGTGATTTGCCATACGGTGGCAATCCGGACAGAACTAACGATCGTATAGCAACTGGTGCCTACCCCATCCCCGGACCCGCTGTGTAAGCTCATGAATTTTTGACAATTTTCTGGTACTGATGGAAACCTAGCTGGACTGGTGGAAACTAAGCGGAGAACTTGCTACTTCGTTTTAATTAATGTCTCGTAGTCAATGAAGCAATATTTGTGCCCCACCGCGCAGGCGTATGATTGTCCCTATTATGCCAGCTGTGCTGAGTGCAAGCTCTTTGCATCTTCGCACCCTGAACTCGAGGCTAATCTAAGAAGTGACCTCATAATACGATCGATGCGCGAAAATTGCGCAGTATTTCCCTATCAAGGCACGCGTCCAATCATTGGCCAAGACATATGTCTTCTTTATCCTCGGACAATAGTTCTTCCGCAAACGAGATAGTGAACTCCCGGGGTTGAATCAACAAAGCAAGGTAGGTTCATGAATGTGTATTGTTATATATCTTCTGACATCTCGAAACAGCAATCTTGGGCGTTTGCCTAGAGCTTGAGCGGCGAGTGATCGCAGTAGCCTGAACACTTTGAAGTTTTGAAGCCGAGTAAAATTTTCCGCGATGCTCCACCTTCCAGCACCGGGAAATAGAGCGGACAGTTACAGCACAATATGCTCAGGCTGTTGATCTGCTGACACGCCAGGCTAGGCCACCCCGTTGCTATGAGCGGCGAGAAAAACTTCCGCCCGATTTCAGCAGAACACGACTTACGCGATATAAATAGGGCTTTCGTAATATCCAGTCCAGCAACATCAGCCAGCATCTTGACAATGTTGCGATCAGCTCTTGCACTCACCGCGACCGTTCTAGGCGCCATCACGCTCGTGAACGCTCACGGATACGTCCAAGAGGTCACTCTTGATACTACAGTGCATTCTGGATACCTCCCGTATTCTGATCCGTACTACCCTACTCCTCCTCAACGCATTGTCCGCAAGATTCCCGGAAATGGTACGCATACAGCCTTAAAGAGAAGTTGAACGCCTTCTGAACTTTTAACTAGGTCCGGTAGAGGATGTCTCCTCCATTGAGTACGTCTCGTCGTAGGTAGCCTGCTCAGCACAGGTCTTCAATGACTCTCTGCAGCGTACAATGTAATGGATGGGCTGCCGGCGGCTTCACCACAGCTCCTGCACCGATCTACGGCACTATCGAAGCAGGGAAGCAGGTCAAACTTGACTGGACTACCTGGCCCGACTCCCACGTCGTGAGTTCAGCCCTTGTTGCATCATTGAATCTCAAGTGTCTGACGTTGGTATCAGGGTCCTATAATAACATACATGGCGAGAGTGCCATCAGGAGTCGATATCACCGAGTGGAGCCCGGGAACAGCGTATGTATCCGATGCTTTCATTTTCTACGAACAGTGACTTGATAGATGCGTTGCAGTGCTGTATGGTTCAAGGTTGCGGAGTCCGGGAAGACCGCTGATGGCAAATGGGCCGCTACGGACGGGTTGTATGCAAATGATCACATTTACACTTTCACCGTCCCAGCAAGGCTTCGTCCTGGCCAATACCTTATCCGCCACGAGATGTGAGTGCTGTATATGAGCGCTGGAACCCTTCTAACGCGCCGTTCAGCATTGCCTTGCACGCTGGTACGTTGCACGAATATCTTGTCGTAAGCTCTGACAGTGATTTGACGAAATAAATAGCCTGGAGCTACCCTGGAGCTCAAGTGAGCCTCTTCAGTCTCCACATATACTATGATCTGACTCCAGCTTCTTAGGTTTACCCATCTTGCATCCAAGTTGAAGTAACTGGTAATGGCAACGATCTCCCCACGAACTTGGTCTCGTTCCCCGGCGAATACACACCAACTACTCCCGGACTTGTAAGTCAATCAATCAACCTTATTACAATTGCGTCGCTGACGGCGCGCTCCCGAGGCAGGTATACGACGTTTACACGAGTAAGATAAAGGCCCTCCTGTATAGATGCATGACTTTATCGATACCTTACAGATACCGGCCCATACCCAATCCCCGGTCCCGCTGTGTAAGTCTGCTTCGTTATCGTATCGTGAATTGATTTACTCATGAATTCGACGCAGCTGGTCATAAATGGTGAAAGTGGCGATAAGCGAGATTATATGCTCGTAGGAAATAAAATCCTGTCACAAGTTCACTCTCCAATATTGAAGAATGCCCAATCCATTGAGATTTCTGGTGTATCCATGGCGCAGCAACTTGGTTATTGGGCGTGCCTGGGAGTTTCTCATTCTTACCATAGTGCCGGTGCCTGTGATCGTCGCTGACTGCGAAATTTGCTTCCGGAAGGAGGTGAACTGAGATGATAACGCAGTCTGACGCGGAGAACCACGAACCACGCAGTCTTTGCTAACCAGGTTGCAAACTACGCACATGGCGCCATGGCAAGTGGGGAAAAATGAAAATTTCCACACGTAGGTTTAATAGAAGAAGGCCGTTTTTCTTCCTTTGGCGCTGAAAACGATGGTAACCACAGGACTTCGCAGTCATCCTACAGGCGACTACAGGGCACCGCTCGGATGCTGTACTGGCTTTTACTCGTACCGAAGGGAAGCCCACGGCTTGTAAACTGGGGCTTGCGCACTTAACGCCCAATGAACCCGACATCGATTCATCCCACGATTAGACTTATTGGACTCGGACGCAATAATGTAAGCTGAATGCAACGCAAGAAGCCCAAGTGATGAGCATTTCAGGCTAATTCTTTGTTCATGGGCGCATCCCAATCTTAGCGTGGAAGCTCGCCTATCCTGACAACATAACGCCCGTCCTTGTCGAAAGGGGCGTGGGAGCGCAATTAGGAGATTTATACCTAAAATGGGGTAATTGGCACGTGGATTAGGCCAAAGTTTAAATGGAAACTTCTATACGGCTTGAGCTGTTATTATTTGAAGAAGAAATACTCAGTATCCGGCTCTTTCCCCGTTATCCCTCTTGACTCTCAACCACCACCATCTCCCTAAGATGGAGAAGCCGCGCTACCAGGAGACCTTCCGTGCCCGCGCATCCTCCGACCCGCTCTCTGCTGCTCTCGCCCCACCGCCTGGTGAGACCCTCGAACAGAAGGAGCTACGGTTGAAGGCTGAGGCTGAGGCGAAGAGAATAAGCGATGGCATAGACGACATGATTAGGCAGGAGCGCCATGACAGAAAGCGCGGGAGGGCGGAGGTCAAGGTCTTGTTACTAGGCCAGTCGGAGTCGGGCAAGTCGACAACCTTGAAGCGTGAGTCGCATTTCTTCGCGTAGCGCATATATTGCCTTCCCCCTTATATTCACGATTTTTGGCTTGGAAAGACGCATTCCAACGGACTTGAAACCGTACTGATCGCGAATTCCCCACAGAATTTCAATTATTACACTCCCCTGCCGCATTTCACGCCGAACGACTCGCTTGGCGCGCTGTCATATACCTCAATCTCGTTAAGTCAATTCGTCGGTATGTGCCACGACGTGCTCACAGCCGGCATCAAACATGATCGTGTTTCTAGCATAATTGAAGCCCTGTCGCCGGAACCAAATGATGTAGATGATCACGATGACATTGACTCCACGGAAACTGCGTCCATAATCATCTCGTCGAACGGGCGACCGCCATCTGCCATCTCTGGGACCAAAGTGTCCAATTATGAACGGTATCGAGAGCGACTGGAACCACTTGTCGAGTTGGAAGATCGTCTGATTCGACTGTTGTCTTCCGCTGAAGAGGACGAGGCCACGCATCTGCCTCCCAGTCTACCCGTACATAACGGACACACGAACGGCTGGTCCAATGGACGAAATCTCCCAGCGATCGTCATTCCCCAAGGTAAACCACCGTACTCCCTACCCGTCTCCCCTTCGAGCACCACCCCATCTACGAATCGATCAACGCAATCAACGAGCAATCTGAGCACCAAAGGCAAAGAGGTTGTCATCCAAGCCACCACAAATTGGAAGAAGGCCTTTGCTTTGGGGGGCAAGTCAAAGAGTCCGAAGACGGCGCATTCTGGCGAAATCGAAGGATGGTGGGAAGATCCGGACGATCCCGTCCATGCTCTCCATGCCTCAGCTCCAGCCATGCTAGAGCTATGGCGAGACCCCCAAGTGACAGCGCGGTTACGCGAGAAGCGACTACGATTGGAGGAGAGCAGCGGCTTGTGTGTCTTGTGCTCAATTCATCGGCTCCTAATTAACGCATTGTCTAATTTTAGCTACCTCGACGAGATACCTCGAATAACGGCGAAGATGTACATTCCAACGGACGGTAAATTTCTCATTGAGAAATTACGGATACCGGATACTAATCTGGCCGCGTAGAGGACATACTGAAGGCACGGCTAAAAACTATGGGTGTTGTCGAGCACACTTTCTCGATTCCGTCAGGTACGAACCGAGGAGTTAGATGGAAGATATACGACGTCGGCGGCGCCAGGAACCAGAGACAGGCATGGGCTCCGTACTTTGAGGATGGTACGTGGCTTCTTCAGTTTGATGGTGCCTGCCACAAATCATTGTCTGATCATTGATAATTCAGTGAATGCCATCATATTTCTGGCTCCCATCTCCGTATTTGACCAGGTGCTGGCAGAGGCAGGTTGAATTTATGCAAGCATGTATACGAGGATACTCATCGGGTTGACTTTTGATAGGACCCACGGATTAATAGATTGGAGGATTCACTTTTGCTGTGGAGATCAGTCGTCTCCAATAAGCTGCTCGCTGGAGTTAGTATTGTTTTGTTTTTGAACAAATGCGACCTCCTTCAGGTACGTTGTTGGACCATCAAAGTCGTTCGTTCGTGGTGATTGATTTCTCCGTAGGCCAAGTTAGATGCTGGCGTAAGGCTCAGCCATCATATGATCTCATATGGTGATCGGCCCAACGACTACTCCTCGGTCTCTAAATGTAAATTTGTTTTGAAACACATCCAGCGTCCTGCTGATAATCAATTCTCGCTCTCTAGATTTCCGCAACAAATTTGGGGTATTGCACCACTCGTATTCGCCCAACAAAGACCGTGAACTGTACAGTAAGCAGCAACACTCGTTGATTTGACTCTCTGTAGATGAACTGACCATTTACTCCCATGACTATTGTTGTCCTCAAAATCAGTTCACTTTACGGCTGTGACGGATACACGACGGACATCTACGATCATATCAAGTGGTACGTGGCGTGGCGTCCAACCCTCGAAAAGGATAACATTCTAATTTTGTTCTATCAGTACGAGATATCATTGTCAAAGGGAATCTCAGAGATCTACGATTGGCATAGCTCCCCCCGACCCAACCCACGTCTTCCACCTCCATCAGCCGGATCTCTTCCTTTTCTTTCTCTCCGAATTTGGAGAATCAAAAAGGGGCCCGGTGCTTCTTTCGTTGCTCGTCAAAAGCATCATTGCTGTCGTTCCGCTTTCTGTGAGATTTCCTCCCTCACCCCTGTGCTCCATTCTTCCGATCCTTCGTTCGTTTTCTTGCTGGATCATGCTTATTTCTATTTCACGTACTTTATTTTGTGCATCAATTTGTTCGTGGTTCCATATCATAAACCTTTACCATATTAAACACCCATAGTATCATCGTTCCTCCGTCTCACTCATCCATCAATTGGTTTCATTGTCATCAACACATCAGCCAACACTGCTTTTATATCACTAGTCGTCTTCTACAATCCGCCACGTATGAAATGCTTTACTCTACGTACATTCAGTGTAATCGTGCTCACGCACTCAAAATTTACGTGCACATGTCCGTTGTAATTGTTCAGTTTTTGTCAATATAATAATGCAACCTTCGTGTAGTATCTTTTGAGTCTGGCCGCAGCATAACAATGGCGCTCGTCCTGGCTCATCACACGGAAATCAAATCAAGAGGAATGAAAGCCGCTCCGACGCTGATTGCGAAAGGATTAGATTCTTGAGAACACCCAACTGATGTTGGCGAAATGCCGAATCCCCATCTTACCATATTATAGCGTCGAAGACTGAAGCTGGCGCCATCAGTACATTAATGCATCACGAACCACCCACGAACACAAGGAACCCCGTCAAGTCCGCAAGAAGTACCAATATCTATGCATCTCGGTGGGAATTAATAATGCATTTTCAGGTTGGCTATATATATTTCTCGAGCTTCGTAGTTCGGGACTCTGATGCCTTGAAACCCTAGCCTTCCATCATCTCTTCAGGAGGGGGCCCTTGTTCTGAATCCCGTTCTTTTCTCACAGCCTGTACAACGTCGTCCACACGTAAGAGCATCCGAGCAGCCTGGAAGAGATTTAATTGAATGAGTTTGCGAAGAAGGATGAGTAGCCACAACATCGTACCTCAATCGCCGTTTTAAGAATTTGCACCTGCAGGGTCGGGTGAGATACCAGCTTTGGATGGGGAGGAGGGAAAGGAATAGGTACCTTTACGCTAGCCGACTCGTAGAGACCATACTCCTTCATTTCAACGATCTTCCCAGTTTCGCCGTTTACTCCCCACGAGTTCTCACCATTCGCATGCTTGGCCTAGATAACCAAAGTTAGTCCGTCGGCGGATCGAAATCGATGTAGAGATGTCAACAAACCCTGAGTTCGGTGAGGACTCGAATAGCATTTCCGCCGCTGTTTTGGACTAGTGTTCGGGGAATGATTTCCATGGCATCAGCGACCGCCCGGAAGGGCCAGCCCTCGACGCCCACTATTGAGCGCGCCTTCGCTTGCAGACCCACGCTGATCGCCATCTCTGTAGCGCCGCCTCCTGGAGCTAGCATGGGGTTGAAGACGACATTTCGGGCGACGGACATGGCATCAGCAAGATTGCGATCGATCTCGTTGAGAATATCTTTTGAGGGCCCACGAAGGAGAATCGTGCATGCCTTGGGGTTGTTGCATTCAGTAAGGAAAGTGAAATACCTGGAAATCGATGAAAATAATAGTGATGATGTGAGACGTTTGTGAGACTTTGATGTCGGCGAAAAGGAAATGCACGAACTCATCGCCGATCTTTTCTATATTGAAGAGGCCACACTTTGTCCCGACGTCGGACTCACGAAGGTCTTCGATACGGTTGACAATGGTGGCACCGACAGCGAGGGCAATCCGATTGTTGTCAGACTTGCGTACTCTACGGATGGCTGAGACGTTATGCTTGTCCATAATACCCTGAGCAATATCTACGATGTGGTGAGAGGGTTACTAAAAGTCTTCAGAGAAGACATACCTGAAACACCCTTCTCCGTGATGATGAGATCGGGCTTGAATTCCAGTAGTCGGTTCACAAGTGATTTGACCTGTTCCTCTTCAATAGCTTGAGCCCTCTCCCAATCACCTTCCTTGGAGAACTCCATGTTCGTCTGACTCTCTCCTTTTTTGTACTCCAACGGACAATCCAGTAGAATTATTCTGGGCTTCACAATGCGCCGTCTCATGTGGGGATGAGTAACGTCTTTGTTGAGCATTACACCGTTTAGCACGCAACTCTGCTCGATCTCGCCACCTGGCACCTTCTCAACACGGGCATATCGTTTTATATCGACGGTCTTCATGCCGCCCTCGTCCTGAGCCACAGTTCGGACAGCTTGTAGAGCAAGATTGCACATAAGATCCGACCAACGCGCCACAAATTTGGTGCCAATGGATGTTTTTATGAGGGAAAGCATCTCCTTGTCATCGTTAATGTCAATTGGGACGGATATTCGCTTGATGATCTCCAGGGCTTCTTTCAAGGCTTTGTTGTATGCCGAAATGATGACTACAGGGTGGATGTCGCGCTCCAATTGGGCAAGAGATTGTGCCAGGATTTCACCAGCTGTGGCATTCCATAAGCATATTTCACCTGGTACCTGCGCAGTCAATCATACCTAAGATGATCACGCTCGTGGTACCATCTCCACATTCCTCGTCCTGGGTTCGACTGAGTTCGATCATGTTTTTGGCAGCAGGGTGTGCCACGTCTATTTCACGTAGGATCGCGTTTCCATCATTCGTCAACCTTAGCGAAAGGACTTTAGTGTCGAATCGCGTCAAGAATTGTCAGACTCACAGAATCCCGCCCATCGGGTCCAAGATCATTTTCAGCATGGCCTTTGGACCCAAACACGTTCGAATAACGTCTGCGACCGTCTTACATGCCAAAATGTCAGGCAAACTCCCCCATGACTACACGCGATCATACCTTGGCCGCAGTGATATTCGAGATTTGGGCTTTGCGACCCGATTGTCTTTCGGGCGCAGTATCTGCGAAGTCTGGTTAGAGATTATGGCTTCTCTCAGTATAGAGGTCAACGTGCTCATCACAAAAACAGGAGTTTGGCCCGACATCGTGGAAGATCGTGAAGTGGTCAGAAGGAAAGGAGGAGTAACGGTAGTGCAGATTTGCAGTAATGGGCGCTATTTGAGCGCTTACACGACGAATATAATCTGCACCATGTTCTCTCATCTCGTGTTACGGACTTCACCAGTTCGTGCAATCAGGCTCCATCGATTTGCGTCTTCTCGATTCCCTTCGTCGCCGGTCAGGAAGATGTCTTCAATCCAAACCCATCCTAGCTTGAGCGTTGTATCCACCCAAAGTGACACCGTTCCACCTGCTGCATCGAGATCAATGCTCAAGGCTTGAAACAGATGCACCTGCTGCCGTAGGACCGTATTCTCAGGCCATTAAAGTTGGAGAACTAGTTTTCTGCTCGGGCTGCATCCCCTTTGATCCTAAGACTGCTCAAGTCGTGGAGGGGGGCATCGAGGAGCAGACCGAACAGGCTCTGAAGAACTTGCGGGCAGTCGTGGAGGCGAGTGGCAGCGAGCTAGGCAAGGTTGCTAAAACAACTGTATGTACCCCCAAATTCTATGATGTAGACGAATTTACTCGTGTTGCTTGCTAGGTATTTTTAAAGTCCATGGATGACTTCGTTGTCGTTAATGGCATCTACGCCAAGTTCTTCGGCGATCACAGACCAGCACGCTCTGCTGTTGAAGTTGCAAGACTCCCAAAGGACGTCTTGGTAGAAGTAGAGTGTATTGCTAGGTATGGTGATGCTTCCTCTTACAGTAAACTATAGAAAATGAACGCTCTCCTATTGCCCCAGCTTGAAATAAGCCAAATTCGACGGAACCAAACTGTTGCGAAAATGTCCCAATTTCTTTGCTAGACGCTTGGGTTCTTTACTCCTAGTTCGTTAGTAAGTGACTGTGATGCTGCTGTAAACAGCAAATCCCGTTTCTACAAAGACGAACTTGCAACATTGGAAACCCACACCTTCTTTACCAGTCTGGACGTGTCGCGCTATCACACTTTCAATCCACTTTATAGGGTACATACGTGGAGACCGCGTTGTCCTGTATGGGACCGTTGTACATGGTCGTTGATCGTGATCAGTATTCCTGCCAGCCCTCGTCAATGTTATTGAACGGCTTTGAAGGCCGGAAGCATCATTTGGCTATTGTATTGTATTCAATATTTGGCGTGGCTAGGTATCCCTTTCCACTTTTTCTCATCTCGCCGCTAATTCTAGCCGTTGACTAGCTCCTCTCCGACACTACTACGAAGACGGAGACGGATGCAATCCAATTCCCCTGGTCGTGCTGTCTATCTATCCGCGTACGTCAGGATCAAGCATCATCACAGTTGATCTTCGTTGGATTACAATAGAGCGAAGGATAAGTCAATTACACGGAGAGTGATGGTACGGAGTGACTCTCATGATGCCATTTCTTTGTAAGTTATTTGACTCCTTTCATGATGTTGATTTCTGATGCACGGTATCATAAGTCTGACTGAACCCAAATACCACGCTTTCCAACTATTCTGACGCAGCTTGCGAATCCCGCCCTGATCAATCAGGGCTAATGTGGTCCACCCGCAACCGAGACGTTCAGCTGATCATCCGTAACAGTATAGACAATAGCACTGCGTTGCCCGACTCATCGTGCCTAGGCTTGCGCGCACGTTTCTACTGTGAGAACGCCTTTCCTCTCGATATACTCGACTGATGATGATGATGAGCAGATCGTTGACATGTACTTGGATTATGGAGGTTCGCGGTCCGGGCTCCGTTTCTTCTGTTGGAAAGAGCTGTTCGCTTTCTTTGGGGCGTTCTCACAGGTATCCTTATGCATGTTACATGCTTTTCACATATCCATCATAGGGCTGTAGGCGTGGATACATCTTGAGCGGGTTTAAATAACCTACGAGTTCATTTCCCCGACATTCTGCGGAATTGACTCGAAATAGTACAATCACGCACACAGGTTGTTCATCGCCTCCCAGCCGCCCAAGGGAGGAACATACGGTAATTTGGACGCCGGCGGAGGCTATTCCTTCATGATAAACGACCTACCGAACAGGAGGGCGACAAGCAAGCAGTGGGTAATGGGGGCATGTCGGGTAATGAGAGAGGCACGGAGGGATGGAAAGGTCGGAGACTGCGTGGATACCGTAACTAAGTTTTGTTTTGCGCTGGCGCCAATATCTCGCCTGTTCACTGTCACACCGTGGAGGTCTTGATTTGTATGATTCATCTAACAATCAGGTGAGTAGTCACTACTCACTACTCAATAGATGTTGTTGCCGTGATGTATCTCATGTGCGGCTTTCAGAACGGCTGCCTCATGATTGGTCGGCATTTGCTTTCATCAGCCACTCGGAAACCGCAAAAGATGCCAGTAGACCGGGCAACACTGTTCGCAGAGGGCACAGCATCCCATTATTTTGTTCAAGTTGGGCCATCTCTGTGCATTTACAGAATGATAGGAATGATCCCAATGTCGTGAGGCTTTGAAACCGCTGGTCGCCCCTCCATTTCTATTTCTACCTCTTGAAGAGACTCCAATTCCACCTTCCTTTGCCTTCTACACTTGTCATCTCGCAACGTTCGGGAACGTAGCCAAACCGCTTGGTTTGAGAAAAGCATGACTACTCCCAATGGCCCTGATCTCGAGGAGCGGAAGACAGGATCTTCTGCCGAGGACCTGTCAACTGTGGCGAACGGTGCGTGTCATATGTCATTGGGGCGTACCGAGGCTAAGATCGTGGACGCTGACTGGGATGCATTGAAGGTACTCAAGAGAACCAGGAGCCACCCGCCACGTCCACCAACGCATCGGAGGCCCTAGCAGACGCGAAAGTGACCAAACCCAAAGACTCGGATGTGGCAGCTGGTGAGAGTATAACTTGTATTATCCATCCGTATAACAACTCAGTGTACGGCGGTCACCTCTGCAGCACCTACTCCAGATCGTGCTACGGAACACCCCGCGACACCCACGGCGGCGGCGGCGGCTAGCAAACAGGATGATCGACCAAAGGAAAAACAACCGGCTGAACCTCCATCCACAACCCCTGTGACGAATACTCCACAGGAGCAGGGAAAGCACGATGAGCCTGTACCCTCTGTCGCGAAGGCCGACGTCCCCGTGACATCATCTCTCGACCGCGAGACAGCAACGAGCATGCGGCAGTTTACACCAAGTGCTTCCAAAGCAGCAGATGTCACGAAGACACGCCCCTCCGTTGCCCCGGTCAACTCCTTGCCACCAGCCAAGCTGGGCGACTCAGATGCGGCATCAAGTAAGTAGAGGCCGTTTCACCTCCCATGTAGACTCTAAAGCGACGCGCTGTCCTTTCCAGCGCCATCTAGTAGCGATAAGCGCCCTGCAACAATCACTGCTGCGAAGGCCAGTGAACAGGCGGGTCAATTGAAGGAAACACCGTCTTCGATTGCTACGGAGGCCCATGCCGTGGCCTCGTCTCTTGACCCCGAACCGGCAACGAGCACGTTAGATGGGAAGTCTCCGCCATCACCTAGTCCGTCCACGACAACCGGACCTCAGATGCCTTCTATCTCCCAGGTGTCAGAGAGTACCGAGTCATCACTCAAAGAATCATCACCCCCTCCTATCAGCATCTCTCTCTCTCGGTTGCCACTCTCTACACCAGTCCCTACGTCGGAGCCATCCGATCATCTCCCTACACTAACAAGCACTGGCGCCGATGGTCCCTCGATTACTTCGACACAAGACAGCCCTAAGACGCGTCTCTCTTCACCTACTTCTATTAGCAGTACACCACCAGGAATCAATTCCTCCGAGCCTTCGGCACATTTTATACCTATTCCCTCGTCAGATGTTTCAGATGTTTCCTCTGCATTTGCGCCAACGAGCACCAATGGTGACGTTCCTTCCATGTCCCTGCTGCCAGGAACCACCACGTCGCAACTCTCAATACCTCCGGATACTTCTGTTGGCAGCATACTCTCATCAGAATCTACATCGACCTCGCTGGTCTTTACATCAGCAGCTTCGTCACAAGCATCAGCAACCCCATCTGATATATTCTCCGAGGCACACAGTAATGTGATAGCTAGTATTACAAGTGATCGATTCTCCGTCCCTCAACCCAGTCAGAGCGCTACCATCAGTTCTCCAGGTAGCCAACCTGTTCCAACGTCTGATGTTTCCACATTCAGCAACACAGAACCGCCGCCTTCTACTTCGCTGGAACTACTTACGACCACGATCTCGTCACCTGCGTCGACGACCCCTCAAGTATCTCCAATAGTGGCACCTTCTCTTAACACACTCTCAAGTGGTGGATCTGCGCCCACGTCCTCCCCAGCATCAGTGCCCACTTCGATTCGTCATAGGCGACCCTTGACTACCCCTGCACCATCGGTCCCGGCTATTGAGGTCTCTTCTACTCAGGACGCTGGTCCCACTGATAAATTGCCGACCTCCACGGCATCGTCGAGTGATCCAGCTGGCTCAAACACCACTCCAAGCCCAGGGTCACCAGAGTTGGGCTCCGGAGAGTCTACCAAGCACAATAACCACGATAGTGGTGGTAAACAGGGAGCTGGTCGTACCCGTTCTCCCCACCCGCAGCCAACCAATGAAGGCGAACCGAAGGTCGGCGAGGATAATAAAGCGCCTAATGCGGATCAAGGAGCCACACAACCTTCCCAGCCTCAGTCTACCCAGGATGCTCACAACCAAGGGGGCACGCAGACACACCTTCCACAATCGCTTCCGACCCACAATCGCTCACAGAAGGGCGACAAGGGTGGCAACCCTGGTACTAGGACGAACGAAGACAACCATGGTGCTGAAGCTACCCAAGCCCCTCAGCCGCAGTCAACCCACGATGGCTCGCAGAAGGATGGAAAGGATGTCAATCCGTCTGGCAGTCAGACGACCAAGGATAGCCATGATACTGGACATACCGAAGCTCCCCAACCGCAACCAACCGATGCTGACCCGCAGAAGAGTGGCAACGACGCCAAAGCGCCTGACGGTGGGCAAGGACGACCCCCGCAGCACTCAAGTCATGATGGCTCGCAGCATGGCAAAGGCGACCATCCGCCTGACACAACCAAGGATAACGACGAAGCTGGACATACCAAAGTTCCCCAGCCAACCCACGATCCACAGAGTGATAAGGGCAACAAGCCACCCGATAGTGGGACGAACAAAGATGGCCACGATGCCCAGCAGCCCACCAACGATGACTCGCGAGAGGGTGGAAAGGGTGGGAAGGACAATTTACCTGCCACTAAGACGTCCGAGAATAGCGCTGGTGCTGGGAATAGCAGCGCTCCCCCGCCACAGCCAACGAACGACGGCGAGCAGAAGGGTGGCAACAGCGGCGGGGCACCCGACGATGGACAAACACAAAGGCCCCAGCCCACCCATGACCACGACGGCTCGCATGAGGATGGAAAGGGTGGAAAGGACGACAATCTGCCTGCCACAAAGACGACTGGAGATGACCATGGTGCTGGACAAACGCAAACTCCCCAGCAGCCGTCCCACGACGACACGCAAAAGGGCGACAACCCTCTTGAAAGTAAGACGACAAGCCAAGATCCTGGACGCACCCAAACTCCAAAGCCTCAGTCGACGAGTGGTGGCGAGCAGAAGGGTGGCGAGAATGGCAAGAATGTCAAGGAGTCTAACAAGCCTGCGACGCCCCAGGCATCGAAGACGACGAAGGACAACCAGGGGACCAAACCGACTTCATCTCCCAACCCACCGCTTAGCGAGGGAAACCCGGATAACACCAAGGGTCCACTACTATCCGCAACTAAGGACACCCAGGGGAGCGAACCCACTGCTATTCCTGTGCCACCGCCTGGCTCCCAAAAGGGCCCCAAACCAGATGACGGAGGACCCAAGGAGTCCAGTGATCCTGCCCTACCTAATGCTACTGGCCGCGGCAACCAAGGGACCAATCCCAACACACTCTCACTGTCCTCATCTATAGCTACTCATAGCGATGATCCAACTCATCATGCAAGCAAAGCAGCTGGGGTGCGCGTCCAAGCTGTGGGAACAAGTGACGCAGCTAACGCAGCGCTTGATCAACTCAGGCAAGCTGGTTCTCCTTTCAAATTTGTTGACCTATTAGTAACCTTTAGAACATTTTAGCGCGACATTGATCGTCACTTCGACCGAGGTTCCGACTACTATTTTTCCCAGTACGACTATAGTCCAGACCCGCACCATCATGAACGGCGACACGCTTCAAACGCTTACGTCCACAGTGATCGTCACAAGCGCACCGTTGACAACCGTCACTTCCGTGCCAACTACGATACCTGTGCCCGTACCAACTAGATCACCTATATCCACCAACTCTGGCTCTACCACAAGTACAGGAGCAATCGTTGGTGGCGTCGTTGGTGGCATTTTGATTCTTGTAGCTGCTTTGATCATGTTCTTGTGTATGCGGCGGCGACGACGCATCCGGTTGCAAAGCGATGCTGTAGCGAACCAGATGTCGGGGGCGTTCTCATCTCAAATGCCTACTGTCGTTATATCTTCTCAGCGCTCTGTGTCGGCTACTAGTGCTCCTCTAGGCAATGGCCGTTCGACTCGTGCTAACGAACTCGACCCAACCTATGCGCCATCGACAACTACACCTAGCCCGGACCCTTCGGAGCTAATGTCAATCCGAAGTCCTAGAAGCCCTACCAACATACCGGCTCAACGACGCAAACCAGTTCCAGGATACAGCGATACGGACCTCATTGACCTCGCTTCTGACTCGACTGCGAGAGTGTCCACAACTACTTCTTCGTCGACCTTGTCTATGGAGTTCTGGACGCCGTTGAATGATCCGTATGGAAACACCGAGAGTGCTGCCGCCTCTGATCCGTTCAGAGACCCTGATCCTCCGAATACGAATAAGCATGCTGCATTGGCTGCTCTCGCGTTGAGCGATGATCCATTCAAAGACCCTGTCCTTTTCAATGCGCCTGGACAGAAGAGATTATCGGTGCAGTCCGCTTCGTCATCGCAGAGAAGCGTGTCTCCCCAGGTAAGTCATAATGTTACTCGATACGACCGGAGAACTGATGCGTTGACCTTGTAGTTCGGGTTCGCTGTCTGATTTCTCCCTATTTATGCGTATGCCTTTTGATACCCTTTAGTTCCTCTACTCTTTGGATGACCATTCCTTCCGTTCGTCAAGAACCCTTAGCTGTACAATACCCATCGGTGAATACACATAATGTTGTGCTACATAACGTCGTCCTGCAATCGTAACTAGTAGTGTTGTTCGTACATTTCTCTCGCCTTTGCTCCCAGTTCTTTGAGTAGCTCTGAATCCCGAATCCTGAAGTTATCGAACGTGATATCTGCCCTCGGCGAGTAGACGTCGATGAAACTCATGGGATCGCGAATGAACTTCCATAGGTCGGAAGGAAAGTAGACCATCTGCCACAGAAACGAATCCCCTCGCTTCTCAAACGACCGCACTTTGGTCCACCTGCATTCCTCTGCTATCATCACAAACTTCCCCGTGTCATTTACCCAGTTGCGAAGTAATTGGGCGTCGAGTTTGACTAGGGAATAGATCCTGTTCTGCCAATTGAGGATATGCCAGTTGTGTACTGATGCTGATATCTTCCATTCGTCCCCGAAGAGGACACCCGTCTTCAAATCGTCCAGCCTTAGGTATTCCCCAGAGAGTATGGAGGTAATTAGATTGCTCCGCAGATCTGCGACCCATCCAGGTGTCGCTTGAGAGGTGTATATTCTCAAACGGAAATCATCCACGCCCACGTTCGTCCATGGTCCGCTAGTGAAGCGAAGTAGATACGGAAAGAGCCATAATGTCGCGTGTATTGTCGCGACGGAAAGGTGGTGAGATGGTTGTTTCTCCTCAATTTCGGTGGCAGTAAACGAGAGCCATCGAGGGTGTGCGCGCTTCGGAAGATGAAATTGGATTCGTATGGAAGAAATGGACATATTTGACGTGCCGGTCGCCAGACGTCGTTGGCACCGCACACCCTCGAATATGACGGAGAGAGGGGAAAGTTGGATCCTAGATTTCCCTATGCTGATTCCTAACCAGTACAAAGATTTCCTGAGGCAGTAAACCAGAGCTATGAACAACATGATGGTGGTTGATGCAACCATCGCGGACGCGTCTCAGTGGAATTTGACGTCACTATAAGAGCGATTTCTGACTGTGAGAATTTATAGTTGACTGTGAGAACTTATATATGACTGTGAGAATATACAGTTACTTACATCCAAGAACTCGACAAGTCTCAGTCATCATCCCTTTTCACAGAAATGGAGTTACGATTGACGATCACAAAGCTGACGGTGTTACATTTATAGCTGAGAACGTTGCACAAAGGCAGTCGTTTCTTAAAGGTCGTATAGCCAGTCTACGAGCGTGACGTGCTGGAGTTGCAATTGGGGATAGCTTGCAACGCAGTGTGGGAGGGCTACGATGACAGGTCTAAGCGGCCATGCCAGGAATTACAGCGCTGAACATGGTAGACTCAACAACTCTAGACTTACTGCCAAATTTTGATTCGGCGACATTGACCTTTATCCCGTGGCGGACGAGCATCACAACTTCGCAAGGTGGCATAGCTCCTTGTTAAGATCTTCAAATTTGCAATCACATTTCGTTGGGCAATTTCAAAAGAGTTGCCTGTGTTTGCTCAAGGCATGTGCCCATTCGTGCCTGTAGCGGCTTCAGTTGGTTTCTTCGCAAAAATATAGCTGTAGTGCGCTCGCCCTGACTGGAATCAGTCGTAAATGGGCAGTCGTACGTGGGGCAGGGTGGGGATGCCAAGTAGATATCTCGGTAAATGGAGTTAAATGGAGTATGAAAACTCGCTTTAATACCTGTAACAGAAACGCCAACAGTGGGGTAGGCCAATAGCAGTTTTGCCTGGTGTTGAGAACATAGCTGTCGTCGACGACTCGACTATGTCGAAGCACTGGATAGACCAAGAGTAATCTTGTCAGCATCGCTCTAGTTGTTATTCGAACAATGAATTCTGTCGAGCGTAGAGGTAGGTACAGCTTATGAAAAGAAATCAAGACGGATGATACACATGAATATGAATCGGCTTGTTCATCATCGTATTTGGAACTTGAGGTCGATATATGGGTCGTGAAAAGTCGTAGGTAGATTCATCAGTCGCTGTCAGCCTTCTCTTCGTCGTTCTCACGAACATCTGCGGCGTCTCTCTTTTCGTGGAACTTTTCTGCCAGATGAGGCCTCCAGCCGGCCGAACGCCATGGCTTGATGCCAGCGCGGTAGAGCTCGTCAACCTGGGAACAGAAGTCACATCAGCTCGTAAATCAAACAGAGACAGATCAGAGATGGAGATAGATGGACAAAACGCACCTCTTCTAAGCTCAGGCCTTTCGTTTCTGGGATAAATAACCATACGTATACGTAGCCAAAGACAAGCATGCCAAAGAATATCATTAGAATCAACGGTCCAATGCTGATTGAGGTTTCGGGTAAGTGTCTTGACGTAGAAGCAAGTTGGTGGCACTCACTCATTGGCAATGCGAGGTGCGAAGAAGCTGGGAGGGGCAAGCAGAATAACTGTTAGCTCCGATAGATAGGCAACCAAGCGACGTACCTGAGAAGGAAATTCCATAGCCAGTTGGTCGCACTGATTGATTGAACACAAACAAAACAGGGATGTCACTACGTGTAGAAAAAAAGAACGTAGAAGCTTTCGTACCTTCCCAACGCGATAGACTTTGCGCGAACACGGAGAGGGAATGATTCACCGAGGTAAACCCATGGCGTGGGACCCCAGAACATGGAGAACGAGAACACATGTAGAACAGCAAATGCAATCATGGTATCACCTAGTCACAAGAAGGTAAGCTCGATGGATTCTGACAAAGATCGTGGATACTTGCGTACCGCCTTGGATGTTACGGCTCGTGAGTTGTTCTCGAGGTGTGCCGGGTGGGGCCAACGTGAAGTGACCAACCAAGCCAGCCTGAATCGTCAGACTCTTATAAGATTTGCGATTGAAGATAGACATACGATAATGGAGCAAGCAGCTTCGAGGAGAGATCCAGTCAAGAGGGACTGTCGGTTTATTTAGTTGAGCCGCCAAAGTCAATCAGTCAGACTCACTCTTCTGCGTCCCCAGGTCTCGATCAAGTACTGTAGAAAGGGCGTAAGGGGGTTGCAGCGCGTGCCATAACTAGATATCAACGTACCAAGGCTGGTACCGTTCCTACCACTGAGACTGCACCCAGGATAACCTGAATGACGTAAGGGCTCAACCTATCAACGTCCTTCAGTGACAAGAAGCCAGCCAGTCCACGGTGGGGCTACGTACCGCGTTCCCGCACTCCGGAAGAAAGTATCGCCGTAGTAATCTGACAGAACGCTGAGTACCCAGTGGGATGGAGGTACGTCATCGATCATCAACTTACAGTAGAAGTTCTGGCCGTTCAATTGTTGAATGAACTGCAACATCATACCGTTTCCTGTACGCTTCCACAAGGCATTTCGCGTGGAGAAGCATTCGAGCCAAGTGGCTTTGCCGCCCTCGTTCTCGGCTTTGATGCCAAACTCCAACTCCTCGATGACCTCTGCGACGAGGGGATCGTCCTCGGGAACGCTGTTGAGCTCTGCAATAACTTTGCGAGCTTCGTCTTCGCGGTCGTTACCCAATAAGTGCCGACTGCACAATTTCGATGAGATTGTAAGAAAGAGGATAAGGAGTACGTACGGTGACTCAGGCAGGAAGAATATCCCTGACAGAAGAATAAGGCCCCAGAGTAGCTGGAGCCCAACCGGTACCCTCCATGATGCTGAGTTGGGTACTGCGTGTGTCGCGAGGTCCAAAATGTAGCTCACGAAAATACTGCGATATGTCAGCTCAGCTGAGTGCGATGTAAATGAGCCATCCACGCACCCCATAATGATTTGTAGCTGGTATAGAACGAGGAGTGTCCCGCGGAGGGCTTTGGGCGCCGTCTCACCATTATACAACCTCCAGGATCAGGCATGTCAATGATAACTCTGCGGCTTAGTGATAAGGCTTACGGGACGATAGCGCTCATCGCCCCCACGCCGAGACCAGCTATGAATCTCCCGATTGTTATTTGTACAATGGAGAACTCTGTACCAGTCTGAATGGCAACACCGATGGTGAAGATGGCAGACCATATAAGAATAGAACCACGGCGTCCAAAACGATCGGAAGTGAACGCCTGGCCTATAGCACCGCTGGAGTGCCATCAGACGTGTACGAAGGCCACGAATAATGTAAGCTCACACAAAGGTTCTGGGAGGAGGAGGTGAGTTGAGTAGTTAGAAAAGCATTGATGTGCATACCCTGCCGAAAGTAGTGACGTTATGATCGACTGGCGAGATGGCGTCAATATCTTTGTCCCGTCACCCTGCGTTTCTCCAAAGCGATCGATGAAGTCAGGCATAATGAGACATCCCTAAAGTCTGAGTTAGTAAAGGTTGATTTATGTGCGTGCCAGACGCTCACTGATATAACACCAATGTCGTAGCCAAACAAAAAGCCTACGCCAGGATGATTACTAGAAACTTTAAGTATCTAGCATGTTAAGTACCGGAAAAGGAACTCACCCTAAACATACGTCGTACAATCATATCAAGCGTACCTCCTAGAATGTCAGAACAAGACGCTTAGTGTGTGGTCACCAACGACTACGCCAAGTCGCACGTACCAAAGGCGATGAACACCGCGAGCAAGATAGCTCTGCGATTGGTAGGAACTGCTCGTTTCACCATCGTGGTACCTGTAACAACGAGATGAGAACTTGGTACATGGCTTTGTTATAGACTGACCTCTATGGTGATAGAGAAGAGAAGAGAAGCCTCGAGTACGGACATTCGGACCAAAGGTTTATGAATCATCCATGGTCGGCTAATCACCGAAAAGGTAAGAAGGAGTACATGAGTCGTATGTTATATCTTCGCGCGCAGAGCGGACATATGTTGTACGGCACGATCGTGGAAGTGGGTACTTCGACCACCTGATGGTAAAGAGCCGGACCGTACATCGGTCCGGAAGAGCACTACGGAGGTCCCCCCGCCTGTGCTCCTGCCTTCTTCTCGCTCACTCTAGACGCAAAATGAATGGACGGTCGAAGTCTACAAATTGTGAACGGTGAAATCCCTTGTGCTGCATTCACATACCCGGGGGTCGTCGCTTGGAGAAAGCTCGGTGGTGTTGTCCCCGCTTTCGTCAGTGGGCCCATGAGTGAAGGAGCGTTCCCACTACTGAGCGTTCCGCGTGGTCTCTAGATTTCCTGTGAACAACGCCGATATAGCAAATGCGTACCCCATGGAAATAGGTTATTGCATGCAGGAGGAGCATCCGGATCCTCCTGTCACTGCCGATTCAGATGTCTCTAGACTCTGACCCTTCTCAAGATAGTTTGCCGAATTTCCCTCTGTAGGACGAATGTAAAGACCTGTCAAGACTTGGGGCTGTAGCCACTGCAATGCATGGCCTGTACGGGTCCTATTCATTCATAAATAGTACTTAGCAAAATAGATAGCCATTGTGTCAGATAGGAGATGGAGATAATGTCTGCACTAAAGAAGGAGATAACAGATGGAAACTTTAGGCCCAGTATAAGTTGTAAGCTGCAGTGTAGGCAATTGCAGAAAGAATAGTGGTAAGCATTAACATATAACAGACTTCAGGCCTGTGTTAAGAGCCACGCTTGCAGAGGGACTTGGGAATACGCAGACCTGCGGGTGTAAGGGGACACTCCTATTTCCTCTCCTTTTCTTCATCCCATGGACTCTTACCTACATTTCCTTTGTTCCCCTTTGTTCCTTTTCGCTTCCTTTCCTTTCCACTTCCTTTCCGCCCACTCCTTTCGCATCCGAGCCACGTCCGGTGACTCCAGAGTCTTCCCGCACTTCGGACTCGCTCGGACTCGCTTCGGACACTTCGGACACCTCGGACTCGCTTCGGACACTTCGGACTCGCTCGGACTCGTCTATACTCTTCGGGGCTCGTCCGGGTTACCTCTATCCTCTTTCCCCACTTCGTTACCCTTCACCCTTACTTCCCCAAGTTGCTGGCACGACTCCTGTGCATTTACCCTCCACTTCATTATCACATGTTTCCTTGTACCTTGTGATATTCGCTCGGACTTGTGGCTGGTGTACTGTACAGTTATCCTGCATTCCTCTCACGCTACTACAGTATATACTTCCCCTCCTAGCATGGAGAATCCTTATCCTGTTCTCTTTGGATTCTCCCTCTGCTAGGCTTGCACTGTGCGGCCATCTTGAGGCTGCCCTCACAGGTAACTCGGATGAGCCCCGAAGAGTATAGACGAGTCCGAGCGAGTCCGAAGTGTCCGAAGTGCGGGAAGACTCCGGAGTCACCGGACGCGGCTCGGATGCGAAAGGAGTGGGTGGAAAGGAAATGGAAAGGAAAGGGAGCGAAAAGGAACAAAGGGAATGTAGGTAAGAGTCCATGGGATGAAGGAAAGGAGAGAAAATAGGAGTGTCCCCTTACAGGATGCAAGGGAGAGGCCTCAGTAGAGAGGCAAGGATGTGAGTGCGGAAAGGAACTAATACTCGAACTGAGGTAGCTGTAGGTACAGTACAAGACTATATACTGAGGAACATGCAGTAGCCGCGTGTTCATGAGACAGTTAGTAGTCTGGTCATAATAAGTATGTACAGTGTGCTCAAATATGTATTTAGTCCATAATCCAAGAAGTCCGAGTAACTGCGAGTATACGCAGCCAGAGCCCATAGCCAGAGTGCACGCGAATATGCCCCTCGTATCCCCTAAGGGGCCTCCTGGATGCGCCTATAACATATACAGAGTATAGGAGATTCAAAAACATTACTCAAATTGCTGAGAACTCATATTCATATACTCTTTCTCCATTCAATAACAGTGGACTCTTGTAAATGTACAGTGCTGCTTTTTTGCCTCCAGCTACTCCAGGATCTAGATGCTATTCTACTATATAGTAAGACAGTGATTGATCTAATTACTTGAAATACCAATTCAAACATATTCCTGGGAATAACTACTACACTTGTCATGTAAAACTAGTTATCCACTCTACAGATGTGCATATCTCTGCTAGTTGGTTATGAATTATATATTATCAGACTTATCCACATGTACTGATCAACCATGTTCATTTGAAATTGCCATTGTTGACAATTTGTTGACTCTCTTGACACTCTATTACACTACTGATATTACAGAGTTAATATGATACATGTGAAATATCATATTTAATGCCAGAGTGTAAGTCTACAATATGAGCATAAATGAAACAGTGAGTATGACTGCTGAGCAGTGTTTTGAGGGGCTCCCCTGAGGCTCCCCCTGAATATTGATTAATATGGCAACTTACATGATCTCTGGTGCTAACTCTCATTTAGCTTTGGAAGCTCTCCCACGTGTACAAGTGAGGAAAGGCTGATTGAATTGAATTAACATTGAATACAAAATTAGATTAAATTAAATTAAAATTAAACAAGATCCCGAGATTCCAGATGACCGGCTACCGGCTACAGCAGTAGCCGTCCACTTAAGGAAGCGCCCAAAACCCCCACCCAAATAAAGAACGGTTCCTTTCATTTCATTACAGGACCCGTAACTTTTGCCTCAGTGAACGCGTGACAACCACAGTCACGTGCTACGTGATCATACGCGATAGATCCATCACGCGTAACGGTCGCACTCAGACTGCAGCACTCTCAACCTTTCGTCAACGTTGAGAACGATGTGGGGCGACCTCGAAGTTGATTCTGAAGGTTTCATAGTAGAATCTGGCGCTCTTGACCCCATCGGCCCCCAATTCTTCATCCCCCAACTTCTAGATGCCCCCCAGAATCCCATCTTGGACACATTGAAGAGGCGTCCATTCAGTCTTGACTTCAGAATTGATGGCGATGGTCTCGCAAATACTCACTTGGCACCTCTGAAACCCGCAAGTAAAGCTCGCTTGGAAGTTGCATCAGTTCAGCGGAGGAAAACAGCATCCTGGGACACGCTGTGTCTACTAGGAGCTACCGCCGTCGGGTCACCATTCATATCGGAGCAGGACCAGCAAACTTTCGTTTCCATACGGCATCAGTGAGTGTCAGTATGATATGGACTACTTTATATTCAATTCTACGTCCTAGCGTCACCCCTCGTCTACGCGATCCATTTATAGACATAATCCATGTTTCTGAGGAACAGCTCATGCAATCACTCAGATCGACGGTGCTTGGCTCGTCTTCTACCTTACACGTGTGGGATCCCCTGGGGGAGCGATTCGTCCTTCGCGGGGTACACACAGGGAACGAGGGGATTTTGATTATCGACGGCAAGGACCATTCTATTGGCCAAAGGTGAGAGGGCAGCATTTTGGTTACTTCACATACTCACTCGACTCAATTAGTTCCATCCAACTCTTCTTGACAATAGGCACGCTCCTGCATCGACTCGACGACTTTGTGGTCGTCTTGCGAAGAAGGTATGTGTATGTGTTGTCTCAGCGTACGTGTCTCAGTGACATGTTGCTAGGTACGCTGCGCAGGGACCAACGGTCAACGCACTTTCGTATGAGCTATCTTCGATCCTTCGATACCTGCGAAACTGTCTCTCGACTTCATCCGCCGACACACTGTCTTCGCTGCGCATGCGCTTTGTGCCCTATTACGACGCGCTGGACGCGCTTGCGCAGCTTTGCAGTCGGGTACGTACAATAGAGCCAGCCTGCACCCCAAGCTAATGTCCCTCGCAGGAAGAATCGCGCATGCCCTCCGACTATCCGGTGTTTGATGCTTCGCCGCGAATCGTGCTCGCCAACATCTACCAGCAGCTGGATCGGCATGTCGAGCAGCACTCACTCCGCCTCGTGCAAGCGATGGTCGCGCACATGGTGAGCGTCGTGTCGCGAGACCTGATCGAACAGACTTGCCACTCCGTGGGCTACGGCAAACAGCTGCTCTCGTCGTACGGCCACGAAAACCTAGTGGCCAGCGATCAATCCCTGCTCGTGGGGATCTCGGAAGACGGAGGGGATGTCCCTAATGACGATCCTGACGACGCGGATTCGTCGGACTCTGGTGCTGATCCTACGCCGTTGCCGCCCTTCTTCCCGCCGGAGCTCATTGAAGGCCTCGATGCCGCGCGAAAGTCATTGAAGCTGTTGAAGGCAGCCCAAGCAGACCACCCCATACTCGCAGAAGCCGAAACATATCCGAGCATACGTTGGTTGTGGCGCGACGACCAAGTACTTGCTGCCTGGAGCGGGGTTAACGCAAGGAGTCCCGACGCCAAAGGAGGTGTTCTACCTACGTTAGTATCCGATGATACAGTGGACTCCGCGCTGGCTGCTTTCCATGTATTCGACTTGGAACCCGGAACAGGGACCGAGCACCTGACGCATGATAAGTCGCAGGTCTCACTGAATGATCTGGAGGACTTCATAGCCTCGTTCCCCAATAACCTGCCCTCCCTCACGCCGACGCTTCCCCAGCTCTGCTCCTTAGTTTTCCGGCCTTTGGTTGAACACACCTCGCGATTGTCGAACACGCTTTTGTCGCTCTTGCTCTCTCCCACCTCCCATCTGCACATCCCCACCCACCTACGACTCCTGCGCTCTTACTTACTACTAACATCGCACGGCTACAAATCGCGGCTTCTGGGGGCTCTGTTCTCCGACTCAGACGACTGCAAGGAGACCTCCGAAGTCCAGATCTTCCTTTCCCGTCCCACCCCCACGTCGAAACAGAGCGAATCAGAAGAAACTCGAATATGGGCCGTCGGGTTGGCTTCCACGCTTCTGCAGCGCGATACGTGGCCTCCCGTTGGAACGGACCTGAGCTTCTTACTGAGAACAGTGATCGTTGATTCTCTTGAGCTGCGGATGGATACGGATAGCGAGAACACCGACCAGACATCGCGAAGTCGAAGGCGTATCATGGAGGAAGCCGAGTTCAGACTCGGGTTTGCGATCCGCGATTTGCCTGCTGATACCGGGCGCGAGAAGTGGCTGAATCCGTTGAGTGAGTCGTCTTGCGCTTTGTCTTTCATTTGGTGGCTATGACTGATTATTGCTGTGATTCAGCTATCGAGTAAGTGTTCTAGTTGGGCTGAAATATACTGGGCTTTGCTGAACGTAAATGGATACAGGGCTTTGGACTTCCTGTACATGGATTATAAGCCGCCACACCCCCTCGACGTGATCATAACGCCCGACGTGCTCTCCAAGTACCAAAGAGTCTTCGCCTTTCTCTTGCGTTTGCTCAGAGGTACGTAAAACCCGACATTCTCTTCAGGATATCGCTTCTGATAGTTGTATGTGCCTATCTCAAGTCCAATGCGCCATCCAGGCCGCTTTCCGCATGATGCGCAGAGACACCCTATTTCCAACCCTCACGCCATCCAACAAACTCCTGCTCCACTGCCGCTTCGTCATGCAATCCTTCGTCTCCGCCGTCTCCGAGTACGCGTACGACACCGTCATCGGGGGGAACTTCGACCCCTTCCTCGCGACGCTCACCCCCGACATCGACCCCACTATAGCAGGGTTCGCGGATATCTTCGCCCTGTCACGCGTGCATTCGGGGCTGCTGGACGATATACTCAGCGCGCTGCTTCTGCGGTCCGGGCAGCGCAACGTGGGCGATTTGCTGCGCCATGCGCTAGAGTATGTGCTAGAGTTTGCGGTTTTGGTGGGGCAGCTGAAAAGGGGGGGCTCGAAGGAGTACGAGGCCGCACCGCTGCTTGCTGACCTGCATGCCAGGTTTCTGGCGAAGATGGCCGTTTTGGTACGTAGGCTGCTACGAGGTGTCGAGGTATCTGCGATAACTTTGTGTTTGATCAGGTCAAGGTTTTGAAGGGCTTGAGCGATAAGGGACGATTGTCTGGCTCCACAGTCGATGTCCTCGCTTTAAAACAGCCCTTGCGAGGGGTTCAATGCCTTCACGACCTCCTTGTGAGGTTAGATCTCGGGGATTGGTGGCAAAAGAACTAGCACGTTCCGCCAAATGAACACACGGACTACAACTACAATTATTTGACAACGCTTTTATCTCATTCAGAGGGTGAGGGTGACCCTTCCCGTCCCTCCCGACAGCGGCACTACAAAGGCTCCTGCATCTTGTGCGAGATTGGTGCTAGGCCTCAAGACGCCTACTCCCGAAATTGTTGCAGTCTGGGAGATGACGAGCCGCCCGTTAGGCGAGCTGGCTGGGGAGGATGCCCCGTCAGCGGCCGATACGATCGTGACGTCGACCGTCCTCGCGGTGGGGTTATACGAAATGGTGGAGAAGGCACCGGCGTCGAGTTGGAGCATTGCCGCCAGAGGCGCGATGAAGACGCGGCGTCGCACGGGGTCCTTGACGGAAACTTGGACAGCAGGGGAGGTCGCGGTCACGGTTCCTCCAAATGCTTGCCAGCCAAAGTCGGGGTGGTTGATGATGAAAGTGCCTGCGGATACGCGTTAGGCGTGGGGGGTCATCATATGCTATGGAAAACTCACCGATGCCCATAGCCAGCCCTGCGAAGTTTGGTCCGTAATCCCCGGAGTATGCATCCCATTTCAAAGTATCCGGGAATGCATGGAAGGACGCAGACGCGAAACCGCCATTGTCGATGTTGGAGAGTGGCCCGGATAAGCCGCCGTATCCCACGCGAAGCAAATAGTAATCCGTTGGGGCCGACTCAAATGCAGTGATCAGGGGCAGGGCGTTGAGACCACTCCCATAATGATGGATTTGACGTTCGATTCGCTGGAGTTTTCCGCCGTAGATGTTATCCCTTGCAAAGGCGTGAACGCGCTGGATAAAAGCGTGATATCATAGCGAGGTCTTACCAGTATCTTCTCGCATTCCCGTTGTAGCCCCAGTGAGGGACGCCCGGCTGGTAGGCGAGGATGGAGTTGAGGGTATTGGTTGCCGTTGCGGTGTTTCCGAAGTATTTACTCCAGGCATATACACCCTCCTGGCCGGTAGAGTCCCATGCCATTTCCGATCCGAATCTACGAGCGGCGTTAGCGGACACTCTTGAAGCTTTCACAAACTCCTACGGGTAACGAGTTCCTGCCCACGTCGTCGCGCGGGTTCTCATCCTGCCTTCGACGAACGTAACATTCGCTGTCAATCCTTCCCGCTTCAAGTCGTCAAGAAGCAAACGGATTACAGTCTCCCCCATTAACCCGTCGTTGACGAACCCGACTCGTCCACCAGTCATCGCCTGGATCGTCTGGACGGCCTGTTGGATGTACCATTGCCAAGTTGTTCTCACCAATCCAGGGTAGTTGCGAGCCACTCGGTACATCGACCAATATGCTGCGATGACGTGGACGTAGTCGTATGCACGATCTACAGCATATGAGGCAGCACGGTTCCAACTCCACCAGTTACCCCAGTTGATTGAAGAGGGGTACGCATAGCCTGGAGCTCGAGCGGGTTCATAAAAGAAGACACTCTGTAAAATGGGCCATAAGGTCTTGTTGCGACCGAAGTTCACTATGTGTTTACCTTCTTCACGGTGCCTGTACGGAAGGAAGTCAGTTGATCAGTCGCTGGGCTCGGGATGCAAAAGCTCACCATCTGCGTTTTGGATCGCACCATGCAATGTGATGTTGACGAATTGTTCCATCTTTGCCAGTTCTGCGGCGTTCGGCTGGATGAACTGTTTGAATGCTGCAGCGAGCCACGACCCAGCACCAGCTTCGTCACTCAAGCCTGGGATCCAGGCGCGGGGGTCGTTTTTAACTATCGCATTAACCTCTCGGTCGTAGCTGATGACGGACGGTGACCGAGTGAAGGGATCTGAGGAGTCGACGAACCATTGGTTGTTGAGGAGGAAGTTTCCCAGATTGCTAATTGTGCGGGTTGCTCCATTAGCCACGAAGTAGTGGACAGTTTGTACCGTCCCGTCAGCGTAAGTGATGGTCAGACGTGCGCGACCAAAGGTGTGGGAGGTGATTGTGTACCCAACCCAACCTGAAGTTCGAGCCTCACTGTTCGCTTCCCAAGACAACGCCCCGGAAGGAGAAACAGAGATTGATTGAACAGCTGAAGCGTAGTTCAAGAAAAGTTTTCCAGTTTGGTCCGTAGGGAGGATGTAGCCAGGGATGCCAGCCACTACAGGACGACCGGCAGCTCGTAGTGTATCTTCAATTCCACGAATGGATGCCCCGAGCCTGAACTGTAGACCATATGTCCGGGTTTGCCCCGGTTGGAGGGTGACGGATGTAGCCGCATTCCATGGCGTCACCGAAGACCACTCGTTCTGCGCATAGGCTAGGGTGTGGAACTGCCATTCGTATAGACCTTCGAATGTCTGAGATTGGTAGTTTGGGGCGCCTGAGGTGGATTCGGGAAGGAATCGCCAACCCTCAAGTGGAGACTTTCCGACTGGGAGCACGAGAAGTGGAGGGAGAGTTCCTAGTAGAGGGGTCACCTGAACATAGCCTGCATCTTGACCAATATACGGGTCAAACAGACTGCATAGCTCGTTTGTCTGTGCAGCAGTACGACTGGTGAAGATCTGTATAACGTTTGTGAATACAGCAGTTCCCGCGTATGGCCTTCGTGACATACGTTGTTGAATTCCAGTGGTGCTCCGATGGATCCGATCTCAACAGCTGCAGATTGAGAATTCGTAACATCAAAGAGGAGCTCGAGTTGGTTATTCTCCAGTACCCAGCGACGGGTCACGCTCAAGAGGGAATTTGATGGAAGAGTTGGTGCGAGGTCAGCAGCAGCTAAAGTATTCCCTGACACGGATAAAGCAGTTACGGCGCGGCGGGAAGAAGCTGAATCGGCGCTGACCCAGGCGTTAGACCCAACGCGACGAGCACGAAACGTGATGTCTCCGAGATGGTAGCGTCCATTTCCAGACCGTAAAGACATTTGGTCGGATGGAACGAAATCGAACCCCCCAGAGACGCCCTTCGGCTTGAGGGAGAACAGAGTTTGTGCATCCCTATTGAGCTGGACGGTGAACGAGGGCGTGTCGAGATTTATCGTGGTTTGCGCCAGCGACTGGCTTCCAGTAAACAGAGCAAGTACCAGTGCCTTCCAAGACACCCTGAGCCGCATTCTACGCTACATATCAACACAAGTATCTGAAGCGATAGGCAAGAACGTGACATACCTTACAGATCGAGAGGTCAGCTCCGGGAAAACAATCCACCTGGCTCTTTACATTTATAAGGTCGTTCGAGAGGCCCCCGCGGAAGCGTAGAGGCCATATGACCCTGCATCAGCGGACGAATTGAATAATTAGAAGCACGAATGTTACGCGTGGACAATCCATATGCTCCTTTGCCATGAGCTGGCACGTTTGTCTTCTTCGACACTTCAGCTCCTTCTTCAGCCAATCTTCGACATTTCAGCCCGCTTCCGACCACAAATGAAAATGCCGTCGGACGCAGTCGTGGCCACCGGATCAATATTCAAGATATTGTAGTTAATGATCCACTGTTCGTCCGGGGGTGCTCAATACAGTTGAGAGGACGCCTTGCCTATGGAGCGGGCCGCAGCTTCGGGCCTTCGACTGGCATCGGTCCGCGTCGTGCATGGACGGTACTTTAAGTCGTATAGTGCGTCAACGAAGAAACAAAGCTTGCAATGTCCATTCCAAGGATTGTACAAGTCGCCGCATGTCTTCCTGTCTTCAATCTTGTTCTTAGAAGTAAATACAGGGTTTTTTTTAGCTGACTCAGCCTCAGACTACCCACTGAAGGGTTTGGGCATGTGACCTCTTGCGCCTTCTATGATTCGCAAACTGCTCTCTTTCATGGCTAGACATCCAAGTTCGCGATCTGCCTCGCCTGCCCAAAGGCCTGCAAAGAAACCCAAGTTATCGCACTTGACCTCGGACGACTTCAAAAATGGCATCTTCTTGGCACCAATGGTACGGTCAGGAGCCTGTATGTGCATCGACATCTCCAAAATGATATCTTATCAAAGTTTCTGACCCAGTACCGACCCGACTCTTTGCACTGAAGCATGGCGCAAGCCTCGTTTGGGGACCAGAGATGGTGGACAAAGCTATATTACACGCTGAACGAGTAGCAGATCGTAAGTGAGGCAACTCAGGCTCATTCTCCGAATGTTCACAATTTGCAGCCGTTACGGGCGTCATATCGTACAATGGAAAATCAAGAGCAATGTTTACCACACATCCTATCGAAAAACCATACCTCATCTACCAAATTGGCTCGTCTGACCCCGATCTCGCGGTACAAGCAGCCAAAACCGTGATGAACGACGTCTCAGGCATCGACCTTAACTGCGGCTGCCCAAAGCCTTTTTCAACACACTCAGGCATGGGCGCCGCACTTCTCACCAATCCTGACGTTTTATGCTCAATTCTTACTGCCTTGCGTCGCGAGATGCCCCCGGAAATCACGGTCTCCGCGAAAATACGATTGCTGCCTAGCAGAGAAGATACCTTGAAACTAGTAGAGCGGATTGTAAACACGGGGATCAGTGCGCTGACAGTACATTGCCGGACAAGAAATATGAGGGATCGGGAACCGGCCATGGTGGAACGACTACAGGAGATAGTTGACTTTGTTGAGGGCATGGGGAGAGGGATAGCAGTTATAGAGAACGGAGATTGTACTGGGTGGGAGGATGCGAGGAGAATACGGGCTTTAACTGGTATGCAAAGAATGGTGGATTGATCTCGACCGTATAGTAAACCATTTCCAGGCGCCCATTCGGTTATGGTCGCTCGCGCCGCGGAATCTAATCCATCATGTTTCTCTTCGACCCCTCTTCAAGACGTAGAAAGAACGCTTGTTCCTTCATATATCCGTCTGGTTGGTCACTCATACACCTTCTTGTCCTTCCATGCTCATCTCATACTTGCCAGGCCGAATACCTGGACAACCATTGGGGCCTCACGAAATTCTGCGTGAACCAGTTTCATGGCACTCACGTAGATGTTCGAAAGGCTGATTCCAAGGCTCTTCGTCAAGCTCTCTCGACATCCAAGTCCTACGCAGATTCTGTACTCAAGGAAGCCATTAGCGACGATGTCTCCGGGAAGGAAGAATTCGATAAAATAGTCAAAGCAATCGAGGCTAGAGAGTGTGGCCCTCGCAGACTTCTCCTCCCCGCTGAGACCGTTGTGCCCGTAGTTCCACCCGCGCCAGTATCACAAGATAAATCGACGCACGGCGAGCCCGCTGAACTCGATGGGGTCATCGTCACGCCTCCTGGGACGCAAAACCCAGATCCTCCAAGTTCTAATGCGCCCAAGATACCTGTGAATGACCGCCTTGCTTATATTCCCGCCTTGGTGTCAGGCATTGACCCGGCGACGCCTACGCCTGGTGGCGATATCGGAGGCTGAATGGAGCTTGGACTCTAGCGTCGACTACGTAAAGAGGGTACGTCCCCTGTGTGCAATTGCCACTTGTTGGATCATTTGTAGGAATACAGGCCAGACCTGTATAAAGGGGAAACATGATAGATGACGGATGCTCAGCACTTCAAAAGAATATTTGTCACCATATTCCACGATGAGACGTTTGAATAGATGACACTTACTGAAAGTCAGAATTTGTCCAATTCCCCAGGATATCAACACATTTCTCCTTGTCGTAGAACTCGCCGAAGTAACATGAACTGGCCGCAGGGGACGGTTGGAGCAGGGCACTGCCGATAACTTGGGATAGAGACTGCCATTGGGACTCGGAGGGCCACGCTTAATCATCTGGTGTGGTTTTGCACTTCCGAACTAGCTTTCCTAGCGGCTGCGGGCCGTCGATGAATTGATGATTGAAGATTGTCTGAGTAGCTGCAAGAGCGAAATGAGTAACAAAGGCCGCCGCTGAGAATCTCGTCAACATGAAGTATTGTGCAGCTCCTACTCGCGGACAAGGTCGGTATTTCTATTACATTTGAGGCTTGTAGGCGGGAGTGGGCCCTCATCTACATCAACTAAAGTGGGACCACCATGGACCCACAACAACGCCAGCGAGTGCCGCCTGTGAGATTCTGGGCACTCAACGAAAGTTGTCGAAATGGTTACCCGTCTGCCTTCTCACCGATGTCGAATGAGATACTGCCCTTCGGCTCAGAATGCCAGCGTTGTGGAGCAGCCTTGGTAGCCACAGGTCCGTGTCACAAACGAGCTGCATAGGTACTCACACCAAGTCAGTCCTGCTCTTTGATCAGACGTGTCCAGGATGATAAGTTCGCAGTATATCCTAGAGAGTAGATTACAACCTCAGGCTAACCACCCCTAGCTATCACATGATGCTGCAACCTCCTGGGGCCTCGCATCCGGCTCGATACCTCGCGAAATAGGCATAGTTCTCCGCATTAACGATAGCACGATCGGGGGAGGTATGCGCCAGGACACGAGCGAGGTGAGCGCCGTAGAACTCCCATGTAAACGCATTCGTCCCAGGTTGATTAGCCGCAGGGGCAAAGTGAGTTGCTTCGTGAATCAGAGTTGCCGCCTTAGTCGGGGGTACAAGTCAATATCATGATATACATTGAGGGTGGTGAGAGGACATCACCCTTTCGTTATTGTCACTCTTCCAGAAGGCGGGGCACAGATTGACAACCGATTGTCTATGAGGCAGCGTGTGAGACACAAGACAAAGTGGATTCGGCGCGAACCTACCGGTTGGGGGTGACGAATGCGTGGGTCAGTGGCGAAAGCAAACCGCAGTCTGGGGTGCACTCGTATGTCCAGAAGTCATAATGAATCGTCCTTACTGCGGCCATACGGCCAATCACTTCGTTGAATCGTGCCTGACTGTACTCGCCAAACCATATCTTGTATCGCGCGTCGGCAGCCGCTGTATGATTCCTATCGATATTGTTGAGGTAACTAACGCACAAGGGTATGTTGTCAATTGAGCATGGTGTCAGATCCTAACGCGTACGTCACTGATTCGAGAGCCCAATCCTGGGCCACAGGGATGGCGTCGTTGATTTTCTGCTCTTGGTCGGGAGTGCAGTGGGAGAAGACGACTTGGTCGGCGGTCGCAGTGACGTCGACGTCGAACTCTTGAGCAGAGGCTCGCATAGCGTCACCTAAGGATGTGACGGTCAGAATTGAGTAGGGTGAAAAGGAAAAAAAAAACAATATACTATTCTTGGTTGAGGGCAGCGCCGCAACGAGCGACGAACCAGTCAGCACACACGCAAAGCAAAAGAGCGCAAGTTGAGTTAAGCCAGCCATTGGGTCGATGGAAGAGTGAGGGGATTTTGCAGCCTGAACAACTTGCTGCCCATCGTCGTTACGTCGTCCATATTTTATACGCGTTTGCGCGTTTACATTTGAGGCGAAACTGGCATGGTGTTGCTCTAGACAGCATGCACTCATTGATCGACTTGGCTATAACAAGTCCACAGCGGCCAGTCGTGGTGTTTGCAAGCTTCTTCAAGATTCGGGGAAGAAGCTGACCGACGGGGAGTTCATCCCGTCAGCGTGAAAATGTACTGTACCGAGTTGACGGAGTGCTAATGCGCTGTATCAGAGTGCCAGCTAACTGGTGTTTGGTCTGTTCACCAGGGCCACACTTCGGAGACTGGCTGGACGGAAGGCTTTGTGCGCTGCCGGACTTTGTGCGCTTCGTGAATAGAGTGGATTCCGATATTTTTGAACGTCGAAATAACCGACCTTCACAAGAGTGTCGACGGTTGGCTTTGAGCACTTGGAACCAAAAATCTCGCCGTTGTAGAAAGCCCCCGGAGAATCATTGTGTCTCGAGGGCGTTTAGCTGGTTTAAGGAAGGTGCGGTGGCAAACTTATAGTAGCATAGTAGCACAACTCTTGGGTCTAGTCGAATCGGTAAATTAACGGACTGAGCAAAGATTTGGGTCTTACCTTGAACTTTCATACCGTGCTGGTCGGCGTACCCGTATACCATGATACCAGGGCGACCACGCATCCCGGTGCTTGGGGTAGTTGTCTCGTTAGACTCGTTACCAGTGGTAGTTACTCCCAGAACCCTGGTTTTGAGTCTACGCGGAACATCTCTGAATCTCCTGAAGCAGTCGCTCTAGGTGTTTGGGATAGCGCATGTGTTCCTCGAAGAATTAACTTGGATCGAGATCGTTGCGATGCAAACAGAGGCTTGTAGCTTGTTTGAACGATATCACTACATCGGCAAAACGTGCAACGGAGAGTCGGAGGAATCACAATATCTCACGGTCACAATTTAGAGCCATCAAAATATGTCTTTGCTAGTATATCGGTTAGTACACGCGCCTGTCATTAACAACGCTCGCGCGAAAGCTGGGTTCGACTCCCAGGCGAAGAGAATTTTTATCTTACCCGGGCACTCACATCTACCTCAGACGATAGCATACCAGAAATCGAATTAGTATATATAAGTTACACTCTTAGGCCGGATGACAGATGTATAGTTAGCTAGCTTTTACTGCTGTTTGATAAAGATGGCAGTGTAAGCAGGAACGACAATGTAGTTGTTGGCTTTGAGAGTGATTGTCGTCTGAAAGCAGCGTCAGGTCATGTTGACTCAAGGAGAATAGGCATGCACTCACCTGCCATTTGGCAACGCCGGAACTACCTCCAAAGTGACGAAGGAAGTATGAACCGAATGGAACGTTGGACAAATCGTAGGCAAGGGGCTTCGTGTCCTTGTTGATGATGACAAGAGACAATTTGTTGTTCTCCGTGGCGGCGTAGACACCTACGGTGTCGGGGTTGGCTGTAGCAAGGTTGACTTGAGCACTCTTGTTGCCGAAGTACACGCCATAGCTAAGAAAACAGTTAGCCGCCGATGATCGAGGCGGGGAGCGACGTCAGATCATACCCTCTGTACAACCAGAAGGCCAAGCCAACAGGACCCATTTCGTCTGGCTGGTACCAGTACGTCGCGGCATCTACCTTGTACTTGCCGAAGATACCGAGGGCATCAGCAGTAACGAGACCGCCCGTAATATCCTGGTCATTCGTAGAACTCCATTCGCTGATGGCCAGCTTGGTCCCTGGGTAGTGGATATCAATCAAAGTACGGAAACGCGGGACGAGTTGAACACGGTCGGGATCCCATTGGTGGTTTTGCGGGCTTTCGCCAACCCAAGATTCGTCGACGTATGTTTTGTCCTGGACGAAAAACATCAATTCCACATGTCCGACAGGGGAGAAAGGGGCTAAACATACCCAGAGACTGCGTGTCATTCTCAGCCTCAGAGCCTTGGCAGCAGCATCGTTTGCACTGGTGTCTGGCTGGAAGTAATAATGGATATCCAAGTAGTCCAACAGACGCTTTCCAGCGGTGTCGGACGCTTTCTTCATCTCTTGCAAGAACCACGGCAAGAAGTCGGTGTTGGCATGGGCCTCAGTATCGGTCCATCCAATGGCGCTGGTCCAGTCTGTAGTGGTAATTCGTAAGCCTAAGATCAGGGAGGAACGGTGATAGTCAACTTACAGAACCACCACGAACAAGTCATAGGGGCAGCGACAGCAACATTGGGCAAAGCTGCTTTCGAAGCCTTGGCGAAGGTAACCATCCTTTCGAGCTCTTCATCGTAGCTCACTGGTCTTCATGAAAGAAGGCGTGTCAGCAAGGCGACCTCGTACAACTCTGTGCCTCGGATAACTTACTCGGGGTGCATATCTTGATGAGTGCTATGGGCGATTTCAATTTCGTTGTCCAAAGCGAGAATTGTAGGTATATTTTGCAGGCTAGAGAGCCATTGTTGTGCCAGAGATGCGTTCCAAGGAGTGTACGCCGCGCTTTGGTTCATCGGGGGCGAAATGATAGATCCATTAGAGAATTTCCCGTTTCCAGCATCGGAGTTATATGGGTCAAAGGCTTGCTGATCTGAAGAAGCCCTTAGACATCACGTAGCGCTTATAAACTAAGACAGGCTCACCTGGGTAAATCGTGCGAGGGTACGAGTACGAAGTGGTGTCCTTAGCAACCCAGTCGAGACTAGGCAATGGGTTCAGCGCCATAGTTTCTGGTGAAGAGCGTCCACTTACCCAGGAACAGTCAAGATTGTGTCAGACCCAGCTCCACTAACCCATCCAACCCATTCATCGGCAGATCCCCAGTCACTGGCTCTGTTCTCAAAGTACCAATCGTTTCCTGCGTTGGTGAAATGGCCAAATGGGTTGTAGGGGGTCACGGCATTGCCACCCCATCGTGAAAGGGTGACACCCAAGTGGTTGATGTAGCTGGCGGTTGGCGGGAAGTTGACACCATAGATATGTGGGTTGATGGGGTAATTCACGCTCTGGACGATGCTGATCTGTATGTCAGTGGTCCAGTCTATGCGCTCATTCGGGGGTGGGGGGCGCACCTCCCATATTGAACAGCAGGAAGGGTATAGTTAAAAGTTAAATCTCCGGCAGTGATGGTCAAAGAACCAGCGGCGAATGGGGACGCCAATGTGAGGTAAGTGATCGACTTGGCTGGCGCATCTACCGGGCTGTAGGATTTTGTAGTGAATGCCACGTTCTACATGAATATGTGTAAGCATCTACACTGAGACGACGAGGGAAGTCGCCAACCTGTCCGTTCAAATTGACCGCGACCTGGCTGAAGTCGACATCGCCGACTGTCGTGATGGCCACGATGTCATTGGTCAATGGCTCCGCGCTGAGGAACTTGGGCTCAATGACGATAGACTGTAAAACGTCAGTCAAAAACGTCCAAGGCGATGAAGCCCGCGCTTAGGAACATACCTCAACCAACACAATGTTATCTATATGGTACTGGAAGGAACTAAGCATATTGTCTGAGTCGATATGGCACAGACGCTTACTGTGGCACCGTCCCCTTGGGCTTGGAAGCTGAGACGATCCCAAATAGAGTCGCCCTAAGACAATACCGTTAGAGACGCAATCTTTAGATAATTTACTGTAAGCTAGCTACCAATTGACCCCCGCTGCCAGGCAAGTTGTTGAAGTCAATGAGAAGAGATGTGAATCCATCCGGAGTGATGGACTGGCTAATCTGGGACAGCTGGATCGAGGGGGAGGTAATGCTTTCTGTGACTGAATCAAAGTAGATGGCCAGTGCCGGTTGTGCTCCCTGATGAAGATGGGGCGTAAGTTAAGAGGGCTATGAGTCATACAGATGTACATACCGAGATGTCAAACCTCAAACCAGCGTAGTCTTTGAAGTTCCCTGTGCTCAGCTTGAAAGACAGAGCTGCCCAGGCGTCGGAGGTAACGGAAATACTGCTGGTGCCCTCAAATACATCACTGGCGGCGAAGTCGATGGTCGAACTCCAGCTCCAGTTCTCCCAGCCAGACGCCAGAGCACTGTCGGTGTAGATAGTCAAGTCATCGGCCCTCGAAAGGCGAACGAATAATGCCGCGATGGCGATTAGCGACCTCAACCGCAAGAGCATGTTGATACCTTGGCAGAGGTTGTGTGCACCACTACGGAGAAAAGGTTGACCCTTCCCCCATTAGCAGGCCCCTCCTTATATGATGCCCCCCGACGGTAGCCAGAGAATGTGCACATCGCCAGGATATAACATGGCTGAAATTCGGATGGACATTAGCGGCTAATTTACGGGCATCTTCAAGTAACGTACTTACCGCATCCGAGCCGCTCAGTTACCGCCTTATATGGGTGCCTTCGATGGCCACAGAATTGGGTTCTATGTTGCAGCTGACTAGGCTGGCCGACAGTTGCGGGCCATATCCTTCGGCAGCGTCACCAAGGCGTCACCCTTGATGCTCCTATGAAGTTGTTGCGAAGTCCGCCCTTCGGATCGCAATATATTCAATGCTCATCAAGTCGGGAGCTGCCAGGTCATCAAGACAAAAAACATGGAACTACCGAAGAACAAGAGGCTCAAGTTCACATGGCGGTGTGGGACAAAATTCCCACAATAATACATACACCAGCACGTCGCGTCGAGTCACACGTGTGACAGCACGCGTTTCTTATCAGAACCACTATGCCTGCAGACTCCCGTCCGCCGATTCGCCCAAATCCACCGCGATGGACACCAGCCACAGACCCCTCTACAATAGAAATCCCGGGTCTGGACACTACCGCTTCTGTTAATGATCAAATAGAACAGATTGAACAGCTCATCACGATCAAGCTTCAGGTTGTTCCGAAGTCGACGCCCTTCATCCCAGGCTGACTTGATGTCGCGCAGAACATTGACGAAAATTTCTCTAAGATGCATAACATACTTGCAAATCAAATGCTTCCTGCGGTGAAGAGATATGCGGTCGGAACGGAACCAGTTCGGGAGGCAGCGAAGGTCAGTACAAAGATCGGGGGATGACCGTCGCGACTGAGAAAACGCGTAGTTTTGGACTTCATTCTACGAGCAAGCTGCTCAGATTCGTATCCCAACGTTCGAGGACTATTCATCCGTGAATGAAGCAGCAGAGGAGACGCAGGGAGATTCCAGTCGGCACTCTGGAGCTTACACCAACGAAGACCATGATAACCAAACTGATGAGCAGAGTGTAGCCTCCACCGAAAATTCTTTCATGCCGAACCAGGCGGCTTTCTCATCAACGCCGGCAACGGCCCATCGCCAGCGGTTGGCACAACCACACGACAGTTTCGGGAGTCATGCTGACGATCCATCATGGTCGGCATCTTTGGAGTCGCCATTGGTACGTATAGATCGAGAGCTCCAGAATTTTTCGATGGACGAAACAGCTACCCCTCCACTGGCTGCCCCCTCATTCCGCCATCAACAAACACCATCTATGTTCGATGATTCACAGGAACAGGAACAATCGATGATACCAAGAACAGACAAAGGGAAGGGGAGAGAAGTCCCTCGATCTCTCCTCAGGAACGTTCTTAAAAGCACCGTCGATCCTTCCATCGTCTCCCCGCTCAAATTCAAGAAGCCCAAAACGCCGGTTCCGAAGGGCTATAACCCCTACTTACCTCCAAATACGAAGCCATCTGAATGGAGTGGTCTCGTCGACTTGTCTGATCCATCATCCCGCACACCTCAACGGTTTCGTCGCGACGCGGGTCACACCTCTGCCATCCGTTCGTCTACTCCTGACCAGGATGACGACGACTCGTTTGATGGCCTTCCTCCCGGAATGTCTCCGCCAAGGCTAATGTCTCCTGCTCGCCCGCCTCGCTCTACTGCTGAGCTTGGCCTTGGCCGTACTCCAATCAGAGAAGCTGCCTCACGGATCTCTCGTGACATCCTCTTCGATATGCAGCGACAAACGGCCTTCTCGGGTTATAAGCATAGTATCGTGGAGTCTAGTATGAGTACCGTTCCCACTCCACCATCACTCTCTCGATATGCGCTACAGGACTCTACAGAGAGTAGCATGGCAAGCCTCGATACGATGATGCGTCGCGTTGGGCTTAGTACTGTAGCCGAGGCTGTAATGAACCCACAACCTCAAGAGGAGGAAATGATGACTCCGATACATAGTCAAGAGGATACGGGCTCCGACTCTGATGAAGATGACGACGAGATCAACAACACTGCTCATCCTTCTGCGGCATTCCTGATGGCATCTCGAGCACGAGGGGCAGATGATTCATTTGGATCGTCCAATCATTCAGGGGATTCATTCGAGGAAGATGTAGGAGGCGACGCTCCTATCCACCCCTTCGCTGGCAGTATAGAGGACGACGGGTTCGATGATTCGTTCGATGATGATTCGTTTGGAGGTAATATGGTGGGTGGCGTAGCGACGGAGGAGACAGAGACAGTGTTCGGTGTTCTGCCGGTGCAGAGGCAGATAGGACACGATGGGCAATTCAGGATGCTTGGTGAGGATATATTGCAAGACACAATTGGACTCACTGGACAGATGGGGGCACCTGGCGGTGTTGCTGAGAGCCCGACACCCGCCAATTGGCCAAATACCGATCGATAGAATTCACCAGCAACCACCGCGCCAGCGTTCGCACATTCTATTGACTTGATAATCGCGAATCTTATTCATAAACCATTGTAATTCCTGCCGTGACATAATGCATGGTGAAAGCGAAGACAGCAAGATATAGTAACCAGTAAGGAACGAATGATGTGTGTTACAGGATGCTCACAACCCAAAAATACAGTAAAATAGACATACATACAGTATTATTCTTCATGATCATGAACACGCATCTCATTCAGCATGTTGTCAGCACCTTCTCTACGTAGTCTGCGATCAGACCGTGCGTTGCCGTCGACGGTATCCTGTAAACGCCAACACCAAGTCAGCTCTCGAGTGACGTCCTGAATGAAGTGAAAGCAACCCACCCTGGTAACCAGTAGAACGTTGATTCGGGGTTGGCGCAGGCTCCAGATGTCGACGTTGAAGAGGGCAAGCATGCTCCCTTACTGGTATATCCAAATGCTTCATATCCGGGGCTGCTGCCCAGGACACCATCCCATAGGGTCTTAAGGTCGACGAACCCGACGTTCGTGCCGTATCTCGTGTGGAGAGTGTTCAATCCGGCATAGATACCTTCTTTGAACGCATCCCCCGATGGCGTTTCGTAAATGCCGCGACCGTAGTTGTCAACGACGATTATGTTCTTGGCGTATGTGGGATAGGAAGTGAGTTCAAGGATCGTGTATACGATGGCACCTGCCACCGTGTAGAGGTTATCTGTGCCCGTTTCTATATAAAAAAGGTGAGTGAATCAGGTGCAGAACCGGGGAGTAGATGCTTACGTTGGGACAAGTCAAAGTCCCTACGATCATAATGATAAGGATAAGTGAGCATAGGTTCCTCCCATCGTAACAAAGCCCTTACCCAACTCCTAGGAAGATGGTATATAGTGTCGTCTCTGGATCGAATCCATTTCGTTGATTAATGTAGTTGTGTGCTACAACGAAGGTTTCTCAGTGCCCGCCCATACTCGCCAAGGTTAGATCAGGGAAGTTCACCTTGGCCGACAAAGTCGTTCGCGCCCGATGAGGTGGTAGGGAGCAGAGTCTTTGGCCAGATATTCTTATCCGTAACAGCGCCAATTTCCTGATATCAAGGGTGAGCTTCGACATAACAGAGCATGTTGGCGTTACTAACTGCAAAGTCGAGCAAGGTTGCACCAGCGGCAGATGCCAATCTCTCCACCCACACGGGTCCATTACTCGCCCGTCCGCCAGCTCTTGGGTTTGGTGGCGTAAGAATCGGTGGCGGTAACGGCTCTCCGCCATGTGCTCCTCCATCAGTCCATGAATCCTATTGACCACCATAAGCACGACATGATTGAAGACGAAGAAGGGCGACGTACTCCAAATGCAACGATATGTTCATAGGATGTCAACGATTTGAGACCGATGTTGACATCACCAAATCGTCCTCCCGCAACGCCGCACTTGGGGTCAACGGCCAAGTGAACGCCGTTGAGTGCGTCGCGGGGAAGTACTGCAGCGTAGGCAGCGCAGACGGATGTCAGTACGACAAAGGATCGGAGCATGGTGAACCAAGTCCCTGGAGACTCAGAACATCATCCTGAGGTATTTATGCTGTCACGACTCTCCATATGCCGCAAACGCGCTAGTCAGAGGGCTAAACATCCAAAATGGCAAGAATCAGGTGTAATGCAATCGGACTTACTTGCACCGTGCTTTTTCCGTCATCGAAGCTCATCGAAGTTGGGTGGTGTATTCTGAGCAGCACCACGTGGACAATCAAGTCGTCTCGCTGGCAAGCCTCGTCAGCCAACTAGACTAAACTTTGACTGCTTACATTCGGTGTGCATGGCAATTAACTTGTGCTTCGTTGCTAGAAAGGTAATATTGAAGCTTGAGTTTGTCAGCAACATCACCCACGTCCGCAGTCCTGATTGCAAATTCAAGATTGAACCCAGTACAACACTGGATTTCGGCGATATATGCCTCGTGCAGAAGTGTGGGGTCTTGAAGACACACATGGGCCAAGCAGGGTGCTTCCTGAAGTTAGTATGCGAGCCTGCGTAGGTGATTCATTCCTGGGTGATAACAAAGGCAAGCGAAGGCTGGCTTTTGCTGGAGCTTTACAATACACCGAGACCGAGGGTATTGCAAGGCGGATTTCAACAACATGACATAGACACTACGATCACTGTCGCTGGTCCGTCGATAACACCGCAATTACCCCAGGGAAATAATAGATTAGGGCCCTGAACTGCAAGCGGAAGTAAACCGACCTCCGATCATCCGTTTGTCGTAAACGCAAGGAAGGGTTTCCATTTCAGTGCCGTTCGCTCTCAAGCTTTGGTGCACGGGATCCCTGCAAATCGGCCGCCGTTACGCAGACGGAAACCTCCATGTCAAGATGGTGGATAATCGACATGCTAGGCGGCCGCCATTCCTTCAAAATCTCTTGGTCTTTGGAATAATCCGCAACATCGGATGGCTGGACTCTCGCTAGGCCGTAGTGGGATTTAATGACGGTGATAGCTGTACACCTTGGTAATTCTAAGACCAAGCATTCTAAGACCAAGCAACTGCGCATGGACGTCTAAATTATGTGTCAGTCTATCTGGTGCGTGTTCGGTCAGAAAATCAAAGCACACCTTCAGCAGCATTGGTGATTACGATACGTGCTGAGCAACGCGTGCTTCCTCACTGGCCGACAGCTTTCCCTCTTGACTTGCAAAATCAGCTGAATATTCAGCCCGAATTCAGGAGCGAGAGTAGAGATATCCTCCAATCACCGCCAGAGTATTCCAACGCATGGTTGCCAGTAACTCCTGCAAACGCTTGAAACAATCATCGCTGCCGATGTCAAGGCTCGACTCGACATTCTCCACGAAATTTAGCCGATCGCGGCCTTTCGCAATAATGGCGCGACCTGACCGGACCGTATAGTAGAAGTCGAAGCGAATGTTTCTGGCTTGAATTTCCAAAACAGAGAACTATCCTAGAGTAGTCAGTTGAACCAGGAAACTTCGAAGGGAAGGGTAGTCTTTGGAGATTAGAAGAGTTGTCTGTCTGTCTGGAAGGTGGCCGAATCCATAATTAAACCGTATACTCACACTCACACTGGGGAGAGTCGCCGCCGCCAGCACCGGGCGAAGCATAGCTCAAGACCTGGCTTGATGGGCATAGCTCAACGATGAAGTGGTTGATTTCCGGACGCGCCGCCCTGGGCTGGTAATATCGCTTGCCCTCGTTTTCTTGACGCGAAAGCTAAGTTCAATAGTTGTGTGTTAGCAATCCCTTACAGAGGAAGCAAATTACTTACGTACAGTGAAAGAAGATTCTATCTAACTATCTAACTAGAACTATCTTCTTGGAAGCGGAAGCGAAAAAAAGTCGAACGTGCCTTCCTTTTCTCTCCGCCTGGGAGTCGAACCCAGCTTTCGCGCGGCCAACAGGTAATGACAGGCGCGTGTACTAACCGATATACTAGCAGAGAGTTATTTTTATGATTGCTATTGAACTATCTATCCTGAAACTTCTATTTCAAAGGAGGATTCAAATTCTTGCTTCGGTCGCCCAAGTCTTCGCCAAAGAGGTAAGTAATAAACAAAATGTTCATAAAATACTGATTAACTACATGAAATAATACTACATCCATGTTATGTACACTAATTGAATGGTAATACATAAATACCTGGATTATTGGAAAGATATTATTATACGCGTGTATTATCAAGATACTCATAATCGGCTTTGGATCACTGAAAAGTCTCTCTGGATAAACCCGTACAATGCTTGGGCTAAGCGTGTAGGTTGCTCTTGTACAACCTAGATAGAAGAAGGACGAGTTAGAGTTAATTCCAACGATGGCCCTGCATGTCTGACATCACGACATACCGTATGTCCGGCATCTTCGATGAACTCGATTTGATTATTGCTACTCTTCTCAAGTAGAGCACGAATATTATCTTGAATAGCCCTCGGACTGTGGATTTATTGCTATGAGTATTTGTGGAGGTCAAGATACGAAGTAACACCACATACCAGTAATCAACACGCGTCCCAAAGATCGCTTGTATAGGAATATAGCTGGCGATATTATTGAGTTGTTCGCTAGCGTCATGATGAGGTTCTACGTTGGCGTAGGCGGCGCTTTGGGCAGTTTTCGCTAATGTCAGCGTCACGCCCGAGCCGGCGCCAGACGGTAACTGCCTCAATCCGCCCAAGGTCTGCAAGCAGAAACCAATGACCAATGTAAACCACTCCTCGAAATTCAGCAGAAGCCAGAACAACAAACTCACCACATAGATATCAAGCACCCTTGGATCCCACAGCTTCCAAGGAGATTTACTGGACAGGAATGTTTTCGCAGCAGAGATGGAGGGCCACGAATCTTTTCTCGAAAGGCACGCCTTACTCGCCTTGATAACCCAGTTCTGCACATCGACATTCCGAGACAGCAACTCCCTCGAATACATCATCGGTTCGACGAAGATCATGGAACTATACGGGATGTCTCTTCGGCGTTCGTAGTAAGAGGTCGAGATGACTCTGCGAGTGCAAGCATGAGCAATCGGGACACAAAGTCGAAACGTTGTGTAAATCACCCTGCAGATGCGCCCGCGGAGTGTCCGATGAACACGATCTTATCGTCTCGATCCACCAGCCCCGAATGGATTAACGTCGAGATCACGGTCCCGTAAGTCCCGCATGCTAGGTAAGGCAGCGGACATTAGTATATCGGTCCCGGCGAGAGAAGGACGCTTGCTTACAGGATATGGACTGATGTCGGAGTTCCTCCTCGTTCAGAAACACACTCTGCCCATGATCAGGAGAGTCGATCGACCAGGCCTCCTTGAGCACAGGACACCCCGATCTGATATCGGTAGTGAACAGTTCTTGTATGACTGGCTCCCAGTGCTCCTTGTCTTCGATGGTTGGGGATTGACGATCAGCACCCTGAGGAGAAAGAACATAGAGTACTTACGGAATCCTAAACCATGTGCGAATATAAGCGTCACATGCGCCCCCCTCCTTGCCGCAGCGTCATCGCGAGCTGTATACCGATTAGCCCGAGAGCGCAAGCGAGCCCGAGTAGTGAGTATAAACGGTTCGATGGTCAGATGAACTCGACTCATCGACATGTGAGTAGGGGGAGAGACGAAACTGATATGTGTATCGCAGTCAAGGGGATCAAGTACTTATACGCCGCCAGCGGAATGTTTGGATCCATCTTATGGACGAATGGAGGAAATGACACTAGTGATAGATCGAGGCACAGCATTATGGATACTTCCGTCCGTCCTAGAACGCGCTCATGTCAGTGCCTGGATCTCTATGTCCAACCCGTGTCAGACTCCGTGCGGCGTGGATTGTCGTTTTTACGCCAGTCTGCGTTAGACCTTGGGAACGGTCGCAATGGCGCGAGACAAATAAATCATTTTACGGATCATTCAGTCTAGTTGCTAATACACCTATCACAAATGGCGCAAATAATCAACGACGTCACAGAACAAACGGTGCCGGTGAGCACACCTACTTTACACATCTTCTTCCTCAATGTCCACCAGCTCTTTCCCTTCGGCTACCATTTCTCCATCCTTGCACGCTACTGCTTTCACGACACCATCCGTATTCGCCCTCAACACCGTCTCGGTTTTCATACTCTCCAGCACAACGACGGCTTGTCCCTTAACCACCTTATCGCCCACTTTAACTTTCACCTCCACGACAAGACTCGGCATCGGGGCCTTCAATGCGCCTTTTGCTGCAGCTTTCAACAAATCACCGCCCAAGGACAACAGCCACTTCGGCGAGGGAAGAACGAGCGTTATCTTCCGTCCGCTACTGAAAACGTGAAGGCGCTCCATCGTATTTACCGATAACGACGCCGGGACGTCCGGAGGCGGCCTCTGCGACACAATAGTAGTCTTCAGGGACTCGCCATCCAGTGTAGTGGCAAGTGACGTCGGAGAAGCCAACTCCGCGGGTATATCGAGGAACGATGTTTCCGACGAGTCAGTGCGCACGATAGCATTGTAACGACCAGGCTTTGATGATGCCTTGATATGAACTGTCGCGATTGATGCATCGTCAGACTCAGAGGTCTCCTGCGTCTGGATACTGATCGTTCGTTCATAGTGGTCCCCACCAAATCGCCGAGATGAGAGCGAGTTCCATGGCGAGACTGGTACGCCTGATGCGATCTTATGGTTGGGGTGATCGCGCAGCGCCACAAATAGTGCGCCTTGCGCTAAAACGGCATGTGATGGCTCAGCCACAGGAGGAAACAATTGAGCAGTATGTTTCTTCAACGCATCGAATCCAGATCCAAACCCACACCCAATTCCAATCCCAATTCAGTAAACGTCAGTATGCCGAACGTAAATGATGATCCCCGTGAAACCAACTCACGGGAATGAATCCAGTCTCGACTTCGCCGTCGATAAAGGCTTGGTTTCCGGCTAGGCTCCTCAGGAATTCGATATTCGTTGACACGCCGACGACCTGGTATTCGTCCAGGGCCTTGCGAAGCACCCTCAAAGCCTCAGTACGATCTTGGCCATGTACCACCAACTTCGCAATCATCGGATCATAGAACACTCCTATCTGGGCCCCTTGTTCAAAACCCTGTTCCAGTCTAGTAGAAACTCCCAAATGCAGCAGCGAGTCCGATACTGCTCCATCGTTGGTGGGAATAAGAGAATCGTCAGCCTTACGGGAAGCGGAGGGTAGTGTGGGAGCAAAGACATTAGTCGGGGATGGTGTCGAGAGGTAAAGTAGGTGTCCTGAGTCAGGAAGGAAATTGTTCCTTGGGTTTTCAGCGTATATTCGCGCTTCAAATGCATGCCCAACGAGCGGTATTTGTGCCTGGGACAAAGGAAGAGGGTTTCCTGCTGCAACCTTATAAAATACACGTCAGTCGAGTTCATTTCTGAATAAAATTGAAGCTAGTCGGAAGTACCTCAAGTTGCCATTCTACCAGATCCAAACCGGTCACCATCTCGGTCACAGGATGCTCTACCTGGAGTCTCGTGTTCCTAAGCAGAGTATCAGCGAGTGAGGGAAAGAAGAGAGACTTGACGTACATCTCCATGAAAAAGAATTTGGAGGTGTCGTTATCGAATATGAACTCTACAGTGCCCGCGCCGACGTAATCCACAGCTCGAGCGGCAGCTATCGCTTTCGCACTTAGATCTGCTCGAAGTTCCGGAGACAAGCCGGGTGCTGGAGCCTGAGTAGTTGACTGAGTATGACGGCGACATACTTATCTATCTACAGCACGCACCTCTTCTATAATCTTCTGGTTTCGCCTTTGCACGGAGCAATCTCGCTCCCACAAACTCACAACGCCTCCCAACTTATCGGCGAAGACCTGGACTTCTACATGTCTAGGATGGATGATGTACTTCTCTATCAGCACCGTGTCATTCCCGAACGCCTTGAGCGACTCGCGTTTCGCGGACGAAAGCGCTTCGTTGAAAGCCTGTTCAGACTCTTCGAACACTGTACGCATTCCCTTTCCGCCTCCACCGTGGATTGCCTTGATCAACACGGGGAACCCAATTTGCTGGGCTTGCGAATATAGAAAGCTGGGGTCTTGTTCAGCGCCGTGATAGCCAGGTACGCAGGGTACGCCAGCAGCTACAGTTACCACCTAAGCAATCGCATCGCGTCGTGTCAATGGCAAGACACAACGCACCAGACATGATGCTCTTCGATTCACTGCAGGCCGTCAGGGTGTATTCTGCGAGTATATCTATAGAGATACATACCTCTTCGATCCCATGCTGACAATGGCCGAGGCGGGGGGACCGATGAAAGTAATACCCTCCTTCGCTAACTGCTCAGAAAACACCGCATTTTCGCTCAAAAAGCCATAACTGCAAGGCAGTCGTATTCAAAACAAGTCCAAAGTGCGAACAGTGAAGAAGCATACCCTGGATGGACAGCCTGCACAGTTTAGTTCGCGGGATGGAGTGTCAATTAGATGAACTCACTTGTGCTCCAGTTTTGTGGCACACTTCAATTATCTTATCCATGCGCAGCTGTATGCATCATTAGCATCGCGTAGGCGCTTATCTACGTTCGTACTTACATAGGACTCTGCTGAAGGTGCGGGTCCTATGCAATACGCCTCGTCGGCCTTGCGCGTGTACCATTAGCCACGGAAGATCACAATGAAGGATCCGACGCACCTCCCTCACGTGTAACGCGTCTTTATCTACTTCAGAGTACACGGCGACAGTCCGGATCCCGAGTTTCTTCGCCGTTCGTATGACCCGACATGCTATCTCACCTCTGAGTGAACGGAGGGATAAGCTCGTAGCACGGTGTGCATCCAATCCGACTCACCTATTTGCGATGAGGATCTTGTCGAAATGAGGCTTCCGGGGACTATGTAGGACTGTATGGGATCGGTCAGGCGTAAGATCCACCGCCCGGAAGACACTACAGCGTACCAGAGCCACTAGCCTCAGACGCATAACATCTTCGACCATTCTCAAGCAACCCAGCCTGGCTCCGCCTCGGAATAGGTAATTGTCCCAGCCGCGAATGACTGGTATGGATCTCCCGCGTAGCGGATGAAAGCCGTTGAATTCTCGTTGTCGCTGGCTGTGTTGTTGCGCCTCGGAGTATTTGCAATCTTGCCGTCGGTCGACTACAGTGTCTCATCGTTCGAGGTAAGTGGTGGGCAGGAAACAAGATCCGTTGCAGACGATGCTCCGAGGCACATGCATCGAATAAAGTTCCCACAATTTGAATAACAACAAGTGTGCGCTTGGCCAAGCGTCGGCCTTGTCCTGTCTACAAGTGAGTGTCGAGGAATGAGGGCGTGTATTGTGAAGGACTACTACATCGTGGTGCGGGGAAGAGAGTCGAGATTTTCCAAGTGCATGCCTGAGTCATAGGTGCGCAAGGTATTGAATAACAATTACCGAATAGACTGAACCAGAATGCAACGCTAATATTCGACATGCAGCGCTGAACGTTCCAACGTTGAGCGGAAACATTGCGTAAACAGTGCATAAACTTCAGAGCTGGAGCTTGTGTACTAAGTTGCTGTCGTACAAGCCTAAAAGGGCTATACCATGCTATAATTCTTTACTAAAGTCACAAAATAACTCTCTGCTAGTATATCGGTTAGTACACGCGCCTGTCATTTCTTGTTGGTCGCGCGAAAGCTGGGTTCGACTCCCAGGCGGAGAGATATTGACTCAGACGCTGAATCCCACTATTTTTATTTTACTCTCACTTTGGGTTAGAGATGCAAGCAACGTCGAAGGTCGATGGAAAAGGCTGGCGAGCATTGCCCTCATTACCATTTATCACCAGAAACGCGCGACCAACCAAGCCCATTCCAAGTGTGATTAAAGCAGGTAGTGTACACAACTTAGTAATAAAAGGTTGAAATCAGAACATACCCTCTCTAGGCGGGATTGCTACTGGGGCCGGGCGATGCATAGCTGAACTTCCTGGTCGATTACTAGACCTCGGCGGCGGGGCCGGGCTTCCTCGTAGCGCCCTCGGTGGCCGCTCGCGAGGAGTAGCATAATCAGGCATTCCCTGCCGCCCCCCAGGTGGAGGCGTGCGTGTACTCCGTGGAGTCGGCGCAATGATGGGTACTGGAGGTGGATCGGCTGCGGTTAACGACGATGGAGGATTGGGGGTGCGGGATCTTGTGGGCGTTGGCGGGCGTGAAGAAGACGTGGGGATGGTTGCGGATGCGGGGTATATGGTGCTTGATATATCTGAAGTTCGGTTCGAGGAGGTGCCGTATGATGATGGTATTACAGAGGCCGAGGCCGGCGCAACAGGTAGTGGCGGAGCCGGGGAGCCACGTCTGCGAAGAGGAATCGAGGGGATCCTAGATGGCGTACCAAGCGTTGAGTTCGACGCAGCGGAGGAAGACCCGGGGCTGAGGAAAGCCGAAAGAACAGAAGAGTCGACATCGTGTTTAGGGACTTGTATAGAGTGTCCTCGGAAAGAAAATGGCTTCGACATCCTCGCTTCTGGAGACACGGCGGTTGACGCTTCTTTAGGAAGGAGTTCGTCAAGCAAAAACCTGAAGTCGAGGCCATATTCTTGAAGTAGCTGTAAAAGGGAGACGATTAGACGAATTCAAACGGTCAGAATCCAGTATGTACCTTCTTGCTCTGCGTGTAAGTCAGTTTAACACACTCATCTATAACTTCCGTGTCAACATCTGAACCGTATACTTGCGTTCTGAACATCTCGGCGTAAGCCTCAATCTGTTTCCTCGACCATTCAACGAACGCTAGGCATGACGGTCAACCATCCATACTGCGGCGTCAACATAAATATGTGGAACTCACAACTCGCCACTTCGTTCTCCTTGAAACTCGCAAGGAACCAATCTGCGGTATGCTTGATCGCCGTGAACCACACCATACACATCTCCCCAACATAGCTTGCAGTATCCCCACTAAATGCAATTTTCCTAATCAGAGTCTTCATCACCTGCTCCCTCATTTCTAAGAATGTACGACGGGCGGCGGGGCCGGCGTCCAGACGAATAAGCAGCGAAATGAGGTGTACAACGGCAGCTTTTCGGTTACTTGGGAGTGCCAAAGAGGAGAGAAGGGAGGTTGTGAGGAGGCCAGTCAGAACGGGAAGCTTAGTGGCTAAGGCTGGTGTCACTGATGATTTCGCTTTACCTATCAAGTATCCCGCAGTCAGAAGTGCGCGACATCAACAACGGGAAATACCAGACCTTCCTCTACAAGGCCCACAGCTTTGTCCCATTCCTTGAGGGCGATAGAGACACTTAAATCGTCCGACCATTCGCTGACCCATCGATTATCTCGTTCAGCTTTATCGCGAGCCATAGAACTGCCTTCCCCAGCCTTCTCTGACAGTTCCGCCATCCAGTCCGGCATCGGAGGGGCCTTGTCCATTAGATTACCGCCCAGCATCATGGTCTTCCGCCGCTCATGTTCGCCTTCTCTCTCTTTACGCCTCTTCGCTGCGAGTTCTTCAGCTACCTGTCGGAACTGAGCAAGAAGAGACTTTTTGTCGCCAGACGATTGGGTGCGGTAGACGTGTGTCTCTTTTCCATGTCTGATTTTGAAAACGTTCGTCATGCCTAAGAAATATGTTAGAGAGATCTTCGACAGTGTGAACGTAGAACATGCAGCCTACTAGGTGAGTCTTTCGTATCAAGCACGAGCATTTCATTTATGGGCCAACATCGCTCCGCTACTAACTTGCCTTCACTCCCCGAGCTTGGATTCCCTGAACCGCCTCCGCCCCCACCACCGTTTCGACGCCTGCGCCGCGCCACTAGTACCAAATCATCCAAAACCACAAACTTGACTTTGCCGATAGGCTTGTACGTCGCTGCGTTCAAGCTAAGCACGCCGTCCGTCTCCGCTATGACATGTCTCCCTGGTAACGTTGGGGCAAACTTGGAGGATCCCTCAATCTGCGCGTGCAATGCTTGCATTTGATTGAAATACATGATGCGAAGGTCGGCCATCGAGGAACGACGGAAGGTGGATATAGTCGAGGATGAAGATGACGGGTCAGGAATATGTAATAACGAGGGCATTGACTTGTATTCTGAGAGGGATTCTTTGAGTTCCAGCAATTCGTTCTCCAGCGTCGAGATCTCCTTCGAAATGAGCACGAACTCTGCATAGCTACAGAAGTATGGGATGAGAAGCCTTTATAGGTACTGTGTCACTCACTTCTTAAAGACATTCCGCTGGAGATCAAAAGCTACACCATCCTTGGCACCGCGCAAGGAGGACTGTAGCGACTTCAATTCAGCTTCAGTGGAGTTAGCTAGCTTCGCCTTCAGATCTGCTCCATTCTGGTCAGCTAGCTACATATTACAGCTCAAATAAAGCTAGACATACACGCGTCAGGATCAAAGTTGTCGTCGTCCAGCATGTGCTCCAGGTCGTCTGCTCGCCGAGATTCATCGGCCCCGACGCTGCGATCGGCAACCAACTCTTCCTGCTCTCCCGGACGCCGTCGATTCGCCGACGCAGCGATGCCCACAGGCAGAGAAGGTACATCCGGTATACTGAGTTCTGTGGGTCCAGATATATCTGCATAACGCATGGACATGCGCTTCTTGATCCTGTCGTCGACCTTGGACTTGCGCGTGTCCCGGTTCGACGCATTGTTCTTCGCTAACCTATTCGAAGTCGTAGGGGTGCGCTGGGCTTGCCGCGGCGCCTGAGACCGCCTTGTTCGTAGCGACTGCATGGTTGGGATACAAGAGCTGTGGCCGAGTTGCGGCAGCAGGTCACGCTCAATCACAGTAGTTACCGACAATATTTCCTCTTTTGGACACATCGTAAGGGGCTAGGAGACCACACAAGTTTTGAGGTCTTGACAGCGCCGATAGAATTCATTTATTTATCCCCTTTATTCATCGGAACTCCATTGTATGACCTTTGAACTCTTTCCAGCCCCCCTCATTTTTCATCTTCTCTTCTAGTTCGCTGCATAAGATCATTGACAAGTGGTCGCCAGCCCATTCCCCACGCTCAACTGTGGCTATCACCTCGCCCAAGCCCCAGCGAGTCAAGCGAGGAACAGCCTTCTCTGGAATAAATTGCCTTTGGCTGTCTACGGCTTTGACATATTCACGCTTCGTGACGTTCACTAGGACCTTCTCACTTTCGAGTGTCTTCGGTATGAGGCCTTTGCGGGAGACTACTGGGAGCTGCAGCTCGATGAGGCGCTGGCTGTCCATTTTTGAGATCTGCGGGTGATCTATGATACCTTAGGGGGGTGTACAATCGCGCTGTTGCTGGTGCTGTACTTCCCTAAGTGGTGGCATCGCACGCCCATATTCGAATAACGCAACACCGATCTCTTCATATAAAGCAGAATAATCCTCGGGCCCGATTTCCTTGAGAGTGGTTTCTATCTTTGACCTGGAAGCCGGGATCTCAGGACTCTCTTCACATTCGTAGTCTACCATGCCACGACCTCGGTCCTCTCATCTTCGCTTAAGTAGTTGGCCGGGAGCATCGTTTCGCCCTTTCCAACACAGATCAAACGGTCGTAGTTCCAGCAGGTGGTCGCATCGATACGCCTGATCTTCTCCACGATGGTAGCATATAGCCTGAACACTGAAAATTTGCTTCAGAATGTTCAAACCAGTACTTAGTTGTACACTACCACTTCCGTAGATGTGAGCAAGGATTGAACGCTGAAATACTGAAGCTTTGAGGACCTAAGAATTCAAGCCTGTCTAATATAGGAGCTTCAGGAGCTTTCAGGAGCCAGGAACCAAAAGCTTAGTCTGGGCATAACGCACGTGCGCCTTACCCAGTTTGGCACACGTAACTTGATGCCGGCCAACCGATGCAGTGAGCGTTCCTCCTACTCTGAACTTGGACAGCATCCTCAATTGAATATCGAAGGCTGAAATAATTCTGGTGACGGTGAGCAGAAAGTCTGGCGAGCGCTTTATCGAGTTCAATACCTCCAAACAGCTCGCAGTTTCTTGATAACTTTGCAGAAACGCAAACAGAGAACAACTTTCGCCTTTCTGCCATCATGTCTGGGAACGAAGAGCAGTACTACCCACCGCAACCGCCATATGCGTCCCCTAGACACTCGTCTTCGAGAGAGTTTGAACAGCGAAATGGCTCGCCATATAATTCTGTGCGCTCTCAGTCACAGGCGCGACCGCCTTTGAACCAAGAGATCTATGAACCGAATGGGGGCGCAGCAGGTTACCCAGAATCACTAGGCAGTGGGCGAGGCGGCGGCGGCGGCGGAGGTGGTGGAGGCGGAATTGGGTATGGCGGGGGATACGCTGGGGGACCAGGACCTGCTGGGTATGAGCAGGATTCCCGCTCGGACATAGATGAGGACCCAGAGGACGACTTCTTCAACGGCAATGGCAATAATGACGCCGCAGATGTAGCCTTCCCTCCTGTACGCTCGCCCATGCCCCAACGAGGCGGGTCCGTGGCGACCCAATCCATCCGTGCACCATCACCCACATTGAGTGGACCTATCCTCGATCACTCCCATCTACGGCCAGGCAACAACGCGGCACTCTTGTCACACCAACGGACGCTCGAGCTCTACCGTGCCAATGCAAAGAAAACACAAGATCCAGATATACAGTTCGAATTCGCCGTGTTCATGATCGACGCATCGAAATCCATGCCCATTCCCGCTCCAACGCCGGGAAATACCTTGGAGGTGGAGAAGGCGCTTGACAAACGAGACGACCTCGTTCGAGAGGCCACATCACTGCTTAAGCGTCTCGCCGATCGCGGTCACCCCGCCTCTCAATACTTCCTCGCCGACTGCTACGCCAACGGCATAGGAACCGTAAAGAACAAGCAAGACTTCGATCGAGGCTATCCTTTATTCGTTCTAGCTGCGAAGCACAACCACCCGGATGCTGCATACCGCGCGGGAACGTGCTGCGAGAACGGGTGGGGATGCCGCCGAGAATCCGCCAAAGCTCTCACATTCTACCGCAAGGCCGCAGCCTCGTTACACCCTGGAGCGCTTTATCGGCTAGGTATTGCGGAATTAAATGGCGAACTCGGATTATCGAAAAGGCCGAAAGAAGGCGTGAAGTGGTTGAAACGGAGTGCTGAACATGCGACAGCGGAATTTCCACATGCTCTCCATGAACTTGCCTTGCTACACGAGCGAGGGATAGACGATGTCGTGTTCGTTGACTACGAGTACTCCGTGGAACTATTGGCGCAGGCTGCGGAGCTCGGTTATGCACCCAGTGCGTACCGTCTCGGCGAGTGCTACGAATATGGAAAGATGGGGTGCCCACAAGACCCAGCACTATCGATCCATTATTATGTGCGTCGTTTTCCTTCTACCGTAGACACGCACATTCCTAACCTCCAAGTAGAACATCGCCGCCCAACAAAACCACCGTGATGCCTGCTTCGCCCTGACAGCTTGGTATCTAGTCGGTTCACCTGGTGTGCTCCCACAATCAGACACGGAAGCGTTCCTCTGGGCACAGAAGGCAGCGGAAGCCGGCTTGCCAAAAGCGATGTACGCTGTGGGCTACTTCCTGGAAGTAGGTATAGGCACACCTGCAAGTCTGCCAGAGTGAGTTTGCTTTGTGATATCTCCCGATAAGCCCGCTAATCGCCGCGCAGTGCTATTGCGTGGTACAAGCGTGCCGCAGAGCAAGGGGATAAGCGTGCGGCACAACGCCTGAAAGCGTCTCAAGATGTACCGATGCACCATCCCGGTGGCCCAGGTTCAGTCCTGCAGAGACACGAAGGCGATGTGGGTGGCTCAGCGAAAGGCAAAGACGGAAAGGACTGCATTATCATGTAGACGACCTGTTTGGGATTCGGATCTTCCCTGGGCAACATCATACATGACCACTCGCAGGATTTTGGACATTTTCAGTGACTATACTATACGACCCGAACTTAGACAAATTAGTACTGATCATAATTGTATACCTCCATCTACATATCTATTAAGCAGACGCTGTTCATGATTTCAATCTCTTTCGAACCCTGCCAACCCACGCTAAGTGTCACAGTAGTATATTACGAATGATAACTCGGAAACCGTCTATAATACATGAATATGATATATTCAACAAGAGTTACTATCAAGTAGCTAGTGGCGATTATTTAACTCGAAGGAACTAAAGACGATCATCAGCAAGGTTCCAGAAGCGTTGAACTGAACGCTACATACCTGGAGGGTAGTCAATGCGGTCAAGATACGTCGCCACTAATATCATAGTCCATGTGAGTAGACGATCGGGTAAGAACTGGGCAAATACTCACTATCACCTCCACGGATCTTCTCATTCTTCGTAAGGCCATCGCCTAGGTAGAAGAACCGGTTTTTCACGCCTTTGTCAAGGAGCTCGTAGTTGTAGTCCTCCCATCTCGGCTTCTCAAGCGCTTCGACAGCATGGAGACAGGAACCTGCGAAGGCGTGTCAACCTTGAGAGATCCGAGTCAAGCGGTCGGAAGAGAAGAGCGACGTACCGGGCCATAGGGCAACAACACGACCTTCTTCCTTGCCGACTTTGTACCAAGATCGACACTTCTGTCCAAAGACAGTCTAAAGGCTCATTCAGTATGACCTCGGAATGATATGGAGTCGAATGGATTTACCCTGGGGAACCAAGCCTGCAAGCGCACCATGCCTTAGCATAGAGCCAAGGGAGCATTCTGTCAAAACGCGCTTACCTCTAGATACTCATCAAAGTCATCAACGGCTTCTTTCTTGGGATCCATGCTCTTTAGCCTCTCCCTCTGGATCTTGAGGGTTGCTTCGACAGCGTAATCCACTTGCTTCTCTAGGATGATCAACAGTGATCCGGCTCCGACTGCAGAATTGGGACCAAGTGTCTGGAACCAGTTGGGGAAGCCTTCTACCGCGACAGAGAGATATGTCCGGGGATGAGGCAAGTACTTGTCACGAACATCTACCCCATTTTTGCCGATGATAGGGAAGTCCAATTGGTATGAAGTGTCAAAACCTAACCGAGGTAAGATGTCAACATGAGCTCAATCTGATAGGCCCAGGGGACAGACCAGTTGCGCAGACGATAACGTCCAAAGCCTTGTGGTCCCCATCAACTGTTTCGATGCCCTCTGGGGTCACCCGCTTTATCAACGATGGCACAAAGTCAACCTAAAGACATACGCCTTCAAATTAATTCTCTCTATCAGATGAGTGATGGACTAACGTTATCTTCACACAGGGCTTCGAGGTAGCCCACGCCCGGTGTGAGTCTTCGGCATGCTACTGGGAATTCGGGGATAACTATTATGACGTTAGAGCAGCCAGTTTCCGGGAGTGAGACATAGCGTACTATGATCAGCAATCCAAGGTTTCCTGGCTAGTCGCTTCAGCATCTGCTCTTTGAAAATGGTCCTTGCTGCCGCTTGCATTTCCGTACCAACCATGACCGCATCTTGCGCGGCCTAAAGATGAGGGTAATGAGTATAATTGACAACCTATCAAAGCGTGTGGTAAGCAAAACACACATTGAGTTCTGATTCCATCTTCCGGCGGAAATTCTTGTAGAATTCCGGGTCTTTGAAAGCTTCCTTATCTTCGTCGGTATATTTATCTGGTCATAGTTAATAAGTCAAATGATCATTTTCTTTGGATTGCACTCACAGTTAGTAACCTCTCTTCCCTTGGCTAAACCTTTCTGCATGTCGTCTAGGAAAGGAACCGCCAACCACGTCTGTCCCCGCACATAATTGACCAAATGCCCTACTTTCGGTTGCAAGGCTGGGACGATTTGAATAGCAGAAGAACCCTGTGCAAAGTTAAGGTCTAAGTTAGTAAGATGTATGTGAAAGTTGAGCAAGATACACATGCCACTCCTATCACGCCAACGCGTTTGTCTTTCCAATCTCTAACGCTCTCTTCCCACCCGCTGCTCGAATCACCAGTATCCCATTGTGCGCTATGCAAGATTTTCCCCTTGAAGTCCTCGAGGCCAGGGATATCAGGCCAGTACCAACGGTTGAGGTTGCCGATTCCAGTGAATAGCACGTCCGCGGAGTCCTCAAATTCTTCGAATTCGACTTTTGGAATGTTCGAAGTGCCGGCTTCATTGGGAGGTGTTTGCCTGAATGCAGCTTCGCCAGCAGCTGACAAGACCGGTCGACGCATGCGAAGACGCCATTTGCCCGCGTCGTCATCCCATTTAGCTTCGACCAAGCGGTGCTGAAGTTTCATGTACTTCATCAGTTTGTACTTGTCGACGACGCCCTGCAAGTATGCCAAAATTTCTGGGCCTGGAGAATAAAATGACGACCAGTTGGTCTACACATCATATTAGCCGGCGAACCAAATGCGCGGATAAGTGGTGCCTACGTTGTTCTCAAATGACAATTGGTACTAGGAATGATTAGCCAAAACAGCGCGTCTTCGTAGGATAGTGTACATACGCAATGGGATGGAAGATCGCAAGCAAGTCCCTGTAGACGACAGTTAGTTTCTGCGTATAGACCTATCTACGAGCCACTTACGGGGTATTTGTTGGCGAACCATGTCCCGCCGATGCCTGCATTGGCGTCATAGATGGTCAGGTCCAAGTTTTGGACTCTCTGCGTAAACCTGATTTGCAACAATGTCATCATGTGCATCCCGCGGCGCCTGTCAAGTACGCACCTAATTCCGGCGATGATGCCACTATAGCCAGCACCGATGACCACTACTTTGATGGGGCGCGGTTCGTCTATCGAGAACTTTCCCGAGACAAAAGTTGATGACGTCTTCTTTCCTGTATCACCATTGACCTTGAGGGATGGGTCGCTGGTGTGCCCATTGATAAGCTTGTCGACTTCAGGAGTATCTCGGGGGACAGAAACCATGGTGGGCGATTAGTTGACTCGTAGAAGCAATTCTCTATTGGTGATGTACTTATACTGGATCTCAAGGGCGAGACAACGCATCAGCGGGATTTATATTCCCCATGAGGCCGCTTGACTTGTGAGGAGAAGCAGTGGGTGTCTAACCTTGTTCTAATCCCGCAAAGTGATATCTGGTCGCATGATCTAAGTTTAGTCCAAGTAATCCAGCCTCATGAGAAGACATCTTACCTCCAATTGACCAGGGGTAGAAGTCATGTGGGTGTTGGCATCTCTGATGGACGTAGCCGACGCTGGAATATTAGGATAGCGAGCAGAACATTGTCAAGTTTCTTGAAGCGAATCACGATTGAATCGGCGGACGTAACCCTACCGTATCCGAGGCTAGGATGGATTACTCTTTCGGTCCGAATTGAGGAGCCTTTCAATGCGTCAGTAGAAATTGTCAACGCGCGAGCACATCGTGGGTAACACAGGCTTCCTGCTTTGCTCATAATCCAGCACAATGTGTTTACCATGGATCATTGGTCATCCAGCTGCGAATGCTGACTGATCACTTGCCTCTATATAAACAGGAACGCCAGCGTTGAAATGCTCACTCAACACAAAGATGTCTACTCACCGTGCCATTGCAACAGTAGCGAAAGGGTCCGTAGACGAGATCCTACTTCCAACCGGAGCACCAGGCGCTGGCGAGGTCCTGCTCAAACACTCGTACGCCGCAATGATTGCGTACGATACGTACCAAGCGGACCTTGGATATGGAGTCGACAGTTACCCTCTTGTCTTGGGGATCACCGCGTCCGGAGTTGTGGTGGATGTTGGGCCTGGAGTAACAGGCATCACAGCAGGCGATCGAGTCGTAGGGGCGACGTTCCACACCCCCTTGGCAAGAGGGCTACAAGAATATAGCATCCAACCCCGGAATTTAATTGCCAAGGTAATATCGCACTCACGTTCGCGTTACTCCGAAGTTGCATAATTGACTTTGAGAATCCAGATACCTCATGAGCTACCCTTCGATCAAGCAGCCACTATCCCCGACAACTTCGTCACCGCCTTCTACACAATTTTCAACCAGCTTGGATTCCCCATCCCGGACTTCCCAGCTAAGTTAGATCCCCCACCTCAGGCATCTGCCCCAATCTTGGTCTATGGTGCTGGTGCCACTTCCGGGCAATACGCAATTCAACTTCTTTACGCCGCGGGCTACACGAATATAATCGCAACAGCATCCACCAAGCATCACGATTATCTGCGATCACTCGGGGCCAGCAGTGTCTTTGATTACCGAAGTCCGACATTGGTTGAAGACATCGGCAAGGCGGCTGGTGGAGATGGGAAGGTCCAATATGCCATCGACTCGATTACCTCACAGGGTACCATTGCTACAATAGCCAAGGTCATTAGTCCGTCTGGCACGCTAGCGCTGCTACTCCCTATCAAAGAAGGATCATCAGTGCGAGGTGCTCCTGGAGCTCAGATGCTTTGGGAACTGCCGGATGCATGGAACGTGCTTCCGAAGGGCACTAAATATGTCGGGGTGAGGACGTTCCTGTACGAGCAGGCAAGTATTTGTTTGATGTGTGTCGCTCGTCAATTATTGAGGCCGTTCATTAGGACGAGTTCCTGAAAGAAAACCTCATGCCCAAAATATTACCCAGGCTCCTTGACTTGCACCTCGTGAAGCCAAGCAAAGTGCTGTTGTTGGACCAAGGCTCTTTTAAAGAAAGGGTAGCAGAGGGTCTGGATCTCTTGAGAAACAACCGCGTCAGCGGCGAGAAAGTAGTAGTAAAAATCGATCCATAAACTCACCGTTCTGCTATCTGTTCAAAAGCGATGTAGATACGTACAGATTTTTCATCTTTCCATAGGAAGACAACCGCAATTGTCAGAACTGCTGGGATGAATTAAGCGAGGATATCGTACCTGTTGCCCCATGGTTTGTCCTTCTCTCTCTATAGATAAGCATCAGCAGCTTCTCACTGCCCGAATTCGCAATGTTCTACGTTTCCGCTAATGACAAAAATCAGCGCGCTTTGATAATCGACCCGCTCCGTCCTGAATATGTCCTCGCCTTCAATTTTGTGATGTCGAGAAGAAGCGCTCCTTCATGTCCCCGAGCTGAGTTCCTGGACTTCCTATTGCTTCGAACATTGATTGAGAAGTGCTCGTTATTTCGTTCGCTTCTGGAGATTCCATTAATTTCTGCAAATGATTATCTTGCGTACCGGTTCGTCCAAATATAACCCATCTATATATGCGGTTTGATAGTTTGGGATACTCCTCTAAGTCCGTCTCAACAGCACCTCCGTGATGATCACTGGGCTACGTCGATGGCTGGAACCAGCTAGAATCACTGTAAATGTGTACACAAAAACATTTGCAATAGATATCGGAGAAGGTGACAGAAGGCTCATTCGAAATCGCAGATGGAGGTGGATGCCATGTCCGAGCTGAAATTTTTGAACGAATACAGAAGGAGTTTTCTGTGTCGAAAACGATTAATTGTGTAGTTCGCGAGTCGAAGGTTGGAATTCGAGAAGGGTTACGACGCGCAAAATCACACGACCCTATTCTCCTATTTAATTTAGGGACTCTTAAGGGGTGTTCTGAGCCAAAGCCGAACCTTATTTTCTCATTTTCTCATCTAATAAATAGTCTATTGAGCTGCGCAGAGTCACATTTCCTAGCAATTCTTTCAGACGTTTGCGCTGCAAGCCTAACCCAGGTATATGAAGGAGAGCTGTGATGGGTCGATCTAAGTAGATCTGCTTGGTGTCATAATACTGTAAAAGGGTGTAAACGGAGGCGAACGTACCTTTGTAAAGAAGCACGTAACGCAGGATACGTTGAGTCGGTAAGATGGCCAGGTCTCCAATAGTAATATGTGCCTTCCTTTGCAGTGACGTGTCCCAGTCAAGCCCAGCAGCCTTGACCCTCTTCCACACGTTGAATTTCCTCTTCAGGGGACCTACAATAGTACCGAGGGTTTTCGACGTCGATTTAGATGGACCAAAGAAGTCGCCCACGCTGCTGCACCAAGCAACGAGTGCACTTTCCAAGTCTTCTTGGCAGGACACGAATGCCTCTGCGACCCCGAGTGCGCTAGGATTACGTTCCATTTTCTTCAGGATCGCGGTACTGATTTGGACCAAAGGCTGCAATAGAGTAAGCATGGGTGCAGGGGGAGTTGTTATCGTCCCCCCATCGACAAGTATGTGAAGCGAGGCAAGGTAATTTCTTTCCGTCCGAACTATTTCTCTGCAAATCAGCAAGGCTCGACGGGCCATCTGCCATGTTTGAGCTGATGATGGATCGGAAGTGGAGCGTATTGGTAATTTGGGTTGCGAACGTCGTCTCTGCGTGGAGACGAGTTCCTCCTCCCCATGATCGCTGTTACCATCTCCCACAGGAATATCGCCGATAGGTGAGCGTTGTGGGAGTACCGGCAGCTGCGGTATCGACGAGGTCACGGACGCGGACTCCCGCCATTCCCATATTTCCGCGGCCATTCTGACCTTCTCCAACCCTTCAACAAAGACTTCATCGGTTATGCTGGAGTCTGTCATGGCTGCAGCCAATGTCCACCGTCTGAGACGTTTCTTAGCGGTATCTTGCGACGAATGCCGGTGGGCTGCATCAGGGGAAGGAGTTAATGGGACAGTAGGAGGCGCGTCGCATGTGGGGGAGATCGAACTGCACTGCAATGGTAGGAGAAAGGATGCGGTGTTGCTGGAATCTGGGTGAAGAGAGGGTGAGATGGAGTTCGACGAGTGCCCGGTCCAGGCCAGAGATGCAAGCGTGTCAGTGCTGATGGCATGGCAGCGATATTGAGGATGTGGAGAAGGAATGCGGTCCAGAGTTCCGCGATCAATCTTGAGTGAAATCATCAGTGTTGTTTACACGAGCGTTTCATCTCCATACCTTCTGAGAGAGTGCTGTGGTGTGGAACTTGACGGATCTGTTTCTATGAGCGCCGCTCGTCGCGTCGTTTCGGGGAGCAGCAGCTATCGGGAATGTCGCGAATGGAACATCTGAAGGCGAAAGACTGGGTAGGGACTTGGTGCGTCCGCGATTCCATAGCATGTTCGACGTAGACAAAACGATCCCAGACAATCTTCTCTGTCTAGCCTGAGATCCTGCAGGTAAGAGAATGCGATTTACGTTCGACGAATCTGAGGATGAGGAAACACATGAATCGGAGCTCTGCTCGTCCAACAGACTGAGGAGGCGCGCACTCGTCGCGTCCTCCTTTCTAAAGGAAGGGAAATAAATCCCCTCAGCCTGACCAGCGGGGAGACCTAGACTTCCGGCTACCAGAGGCTCATTCGACGAGGCTGAGTAGAAAGAATCGTTGGAAGACGGTAGCGAGGATGAGGGTGACCATAGCTCGGGGAGCGGTAAGTTCTCTGGGTAGCCCACCATCTAAGAGACTTGGTACCTCAGATTTTCATCCTAGCTTGGAGGGGGTGAGGATGGTTGGGGTAATGTGCTGGAGAGCTGGAATATTTAAAGTGAAACTAGGTACGAGTTCGGCCATTCGAGACTGGTTTCCGGAGATACATATCAAGGAAGCTTGGGTTTTATCGTCAGGCTGCGCTGATGAGTGCTGTGACGCTTCCGTGGTGGACACTTGTGGACGCTACATCTGGTTCCAAGCTATATCGCTCCTGAGGTCGACTCGCGTCTAGCGGCGGAGGTTCAGAATCAGAGGAGATCAAAGGTGAGCTCAGGACCACGTGAAGTATTCATTAGTTGTGATTAAGCGCCCATAACTTTAACTGTGCACTTCCTCAACCACCAACGACCGTGGCGGTTCGTATGCTTGGAGAGCCCCCGGACGTACCTTCAATTTGAAAGGTTATGTGGGAACGAACTCTGCAAGATCTGATTCGCGGTCTTCGTGCCAACAAGAAGGATGAATCCAAGTTCATTTCCAAGGCCGTGGATGAGATACGGACGGAAATCAAGAGCGAGGACATGGAGCTCAAGGCCGGCGCAGTGCTGAAGCTGACATACGTGAGCACCATCGACGGTCGCGACGAGCACGAAGAATTGACTTTGAGGAATAGCTCGACATGCTGGGCTATGATATGAGCTGGGCGTCGTTTCACGTCGTGGAAGTCATGTCTTCGCCACGATACCACCTGAAGACGGTTGGCTACTTGGCAGCCACCCAAACGTTCAACCAGGACACCGACGTACTCATGCTCACCACGAACTTACTGAAGAAGGTGAGATCGAACCTACGCCTATGCCTACAACCTTCCTTAGGAGGTCCTTCGCATCCAGGATTTAACATCAACTCCAGCAGATGTTGCGGTTACATTGAACGGCATATCGCATATAGTCACCCCGGATTTGGCTCGCGATCTGTCGCATGAACTGCTCACGATGCTTACTCACTCTCGCGCGAACATACGCAAGCGTGCTGTCTTGGTGCTGTACAAGGTCATCACTATGAACCCAGACGTTGCGGAGCGAGCCATCGGTCGGCTGAAAGAAAAGCTGGACGACCCAGACCCAGGTGCGTTTGTACTCGTGTTAGCTTGTTCATGTTGTTCTCATGCGCTATTTTCGCTGGCTGCAGGTGTCGTCGCTGCCACTGTCAACGTGATATGTGAGCTGGCCCGTCGAAATCCATCAGACTACCTAGATCTCGCACCTCAGCTCTTCCACCTAATGACGACGTCTCCGAATAACTGGATGCTCATCAAGATCATCAAGTTGGTGTGTATGATTCACCCTCCCTCATGACAGCAAGGATTTACTTCATTAGTTCGGCTCATTGTCCCCTCACGAGCCACGGCTAGTCAAGAAGCTGCAACCTCCCATTACAGAACTCATATCGACAACACCCGCCATCTCTTTGCTATACGAGTGCGTCCATACGTGTATAATTGGCGGCATGCTCCAGGGTGCAAACGGAAGCAACCTGGCAAGACTGTGCGTCTCAAAGTTAGCTGCGTTCATACAAGATTCCGATCAAAACCGTTCGTCGTGAACCTCCTCACGTGTTCTCCGTCCGTCTCACAGATTCATGTAGTCAAGTACATCGCCCTCCTGGCCATGGTGAAGATTGTGCCGACACACCCGCACCTCGTTGCCGAGTACCAGGATACCATCCTGGCTAGCGTCAACGATCAAGACATCAGCATACGGATGCGTGCTCTTGACCTCGTCTCTGCAATGGTATGATTCTTGTTCTATTTACGCACGCGTATTCCATTGATACCACTACAAGGTGCGCGAAGATAATCTTCAGTCGATCGTCCAACAAATCCTATCGCATCTCGCTCAAGATACTTCGTCATCCGTCTTACCAACCGCTGCCCAATCTCTCGCCCAAAATGCTATTTCTTCATCCCCTGGCAGCTCCAAACCAAACATCCGCCCCACTCAATCCCCAGCATATCGCTTAGTCCTGTGCGAGCGAATCCTGACCATGTGTTCGCAGTCCATGTACGAAAACGTCACCAACTTCGAGTGGTACCTCTCTGTCCTCGTCGATCTTGCGCATATAGCGAATGTCGACATCGGCAAAGCTATACGCGATCAACTTGTGGATATAGTAGGAAGGGTGAAATCTGCCAGGCGATATGCTGTCAAGCTTATGTATTCGCTGCTGAGTGACGATTCCATGTTGTTGAACGCACAGGATGAAGGGAGTTGCTCGGAAGTGCTGTGGGCCGCCGCATGGATATGTGGAGAGTACTGCAGGTACGTCTTCACAGGGCGAATATCCGACCATAGCTCATGTGTAATGTTAGCGAACTGGCTGAGCCACAAAAGTTGATACCGTACTTCCTACGGCCAGAGATGTCAAATCTGACGCCCGATATCGTTGCCGTCTACCTTCACGCTGCTGTCAAGGTATTTGGCTACTGGGCGGCTGAGCTAGCTCAGCGGTGGAGCTGGGCAAATGACGATCTTCCGGATGTCAAAGAAATCGTGGATTCGATGGTTGTAGGTATGAGGGAGTTTGTGACCAGCCCGCATATAGAGGTCCAGGAACGGGTAGGCGGCCTCACTTTACCTGGAGAACAGTGTTACTAATGTTCTCCCAAGGCAGCAAACGCAGTCCAACTATTCAACTTCATCCAAGCCGATCTCAGCGCGAATCCATCGAAGGCCACCGACCATACGGGCGAACAGTCTGGTGAAGCAATGTTCACCGATGAACCAAACTTTCCTAAGAGCTTGTTCCTCCTCAACCCGCTCTTCGCCTCCGAACTTAATCCCGTAGCAGTGAATGCGCAGGCCAGCGTCCCCGTCCCCGCGGGACTGGACCTTGACGCTTGGATCGTGCCGCCGCCAGTTGTCAATGAGACAGCGGATCAGGAAGCTGGGTCCAGCGATCTGAAGAAGGTCAAGAAGTCCAAGAAGGGAAAGGGAAAGGCAATCACGGCGAATGGTACAAAAGGCAAGAAAAAAGCGGCTGGACGCGAAATGGAAGTCGAGCTAGTACCAAGCGAACCTGCGGAGACAGCAGAGGAGCGAGCAGAAAGGGAAAGGGTGCGTCAATCCGGTGAACCAAGCGATCATATATTCATAAATATCTTGTTCAGCGGAAAGCTGAAAGACTGGAGAGATTGAAAGACGATCCTTACTACATCATTGACGATAAACCACCACCTAGGCCAACAGAGGATGTCGATTCGATACCGATAGTACGACTAGATGATATGCCGTCGTTGATTCCTGGTAAGTTAGTACCCCGAGGAACATCCGCCCATCATCTAAAAGCATGTAGACTTCAAAGACATGGGGCAGCCTATACTTCGAGATCGTCCGCCATCCTTGGACCCGCCAGTGATCGACAGAGTAGGGGAGATGCCAGAAGGTGCTATCGTACCACCTCCGCTACCGCAGCAGTCATCTTCACGCCCGTCTACGCCTGCTCAAAGTTCATCATTCCCTACATATGATGTCGCTGAGGATATAGACATACCGAGGACGAATTCCATGGACCCGATCAAGGTGACACGAGTCAAGAAGAAAAAGGGTACGGGGAAGAAGAAACCAACAATAGTATAATCTTCGTTGTGTTCGCCTGAGTGGTGGTAGCTGCTACGCCAAATCTACGCAATACATTGAGCATAGATGTTACACATACATATTATTACTACGGACACTTGAAATACATTTAACAGCGATGGGATAGCAAATGATGATGAATGTGTGCAGATACAAGACGGGTTTGTGTCCGACGAGGAAATAAAGTGCAAGAAGAGGTATTATGAATGGGTAGTGCACAATCCGTGAAGGAGAAGACGTAAGCACAGACCAGGATATTAAAGTTAATCAAGGTATTAACATTGTGCATTGTCACGGAACGCTATGGCTCTTCGACATGTTCGACGGAATCAACGATTTCGTTGACGAGCTCAAGAGTAACGCCAGGGATGATGCGCTCGGCTTCTGTAAACGCGCGTTGGAGAGCACTGAGAGCTACCCTGGCTTCTTGAGAAGTAACGCGAGGGAATAACTGAAGGAAGATATCGTATTTGAATCAAACGCCTGAGGGAAGAGAACTTACGGAAGCAATCGCTGGAAGAACAACGGAGTCCAACATGGTTGTATCTGGCAGATCGTCATCCTCTTCCAATAGCAAGGCCGCCATCTTCTGCTGAACCACATTTGCATGGTCGGGGTAGGTTTCGGCGTACTGGTCCTCGTAGTCATCATACTCATCTGATGGCTGCCTTTGGGGAGCGCGAGTATTATTAACCAGAGTCGTAGAAGCGGAAGGCGGCCCGTTGCGGACGGTAGCTTGGTTGTCGACCTTTTTCTTCGTCGGCGATGCGGGTGGTGGTAGCGGTGGCAAATCACCCTTGGTGGCAAGTGAGGAATATCTGGTGCTCGAAGAAGAACCAGGCCGTTGAGTCAGGCTAGAACTGTCCGAACCATCAGACCCAGTGCGCGGCGTCCCGTTGTTCTCCCAGGTGAGCGGCGGTCCCGAGACCTGTATATTATTTCGACCGATCGTACCAGGTCGGCTCACATGTCGTACGGTACCGAAGTCCCATAGATCTTCTGGGTCGCCAGATTCAGGACTGTTGATCACAATTAGACGCGTATGATGGAATCGGTAAATCACCACGCACAGATCGGAAACGTTGTCTCTCTCTTCATCTTCTAATCGTTCCCCGCCTTCCGCTCGCCATCGCTCATGCCGTTCAATGAGCTCGGTGAGATAGCTTGTCTTCTTCGCCATTCTAACAAATTTGTGCTTCAACAATTCACGTGCAGACGGACGCTAGATGACGCATCCATCAATAAATATCGACAGCCCATCAATACGTCATGCTCACATCTTTAGGATCCCGTTGGAGGCAGTAGGAAACGAATTCGCGGAACGACTTCGTGAAATTGCCTTCCAATGTGGGAGGCGGGTTTTTTGGAATCAAGAAGAGAACCTACGGTGACTGGGGCGTAAGCATACCAAGGCAGCACAGCGAAGTGGTGGCAGAACCCACCTTCATCGGATGTAGCTCTGCGTACGGCGGCTCGCCTTTCGCTAGCTCAATAGCAGTGATGCCCAAGCTCCAGATATCTGCCTTGTGGTCGTACCCACTTTGTTTTATCACCTCAGGCGACATCCAGTACGGTGTACCAACGAAAGTATTCTTCTTGGCGGACAATGTGCCAGAAAGCTGGCCTGAGACACCGAAGTCTGCAAGTTTGACCTCCCCGCCGGCCGAAAGAAGGATGTTTGCCGCTATAGCGTAATCAGACGACGATTGGGTGGTAATACCGGAGCTGCGCACCTTTTATATCCCGATGAAGCTTTCCCTCGGAATGCAGATACTCGAGCCCCCTCAGCAATTCGCGGACAATAATAGCGATATACTCCTCTCTGAACACACCAGGTTTCATCTATGCATTGTTGGGTAAATGGGAGGTTCACTATTGATGAACACCTACCAGATCCGAGCACGAGCCTCCGGAACAATACCTGGTACCAAATCAACATCGCTACAACAGACCAAATACTGAAACGTACTCCATGACGATCCATAAATTAGATCCTTTGAGAAACGAACCATGATATCTGCACCCAAATGTGATTAGCAATTTCGGAGGCGATCATACAATCACGCACTTGGTAACGTGTGGGGAGTCGAGCTGCGACAGGATCTGGATTTCCTGTTGGATATCCTCTATCTCATCCTCTGCACTTTCTAAATCAATGATCTTGATGGCGACGGTCTTTTGTGTCCGTTTGTCGTAGCTGCACATAGTCTGAGCATCTAGGGCAGGCAGCAGTTGGCGAGTGTAGCACGCACCCTTTATATACTTCTCCAAACGATCCCTTTCCTAAACCGCCAGAACACTTTAGCGATCCACCGCAATTCTAGCAGAATAAACCCGCACCGATCCTGTTCTGTTTAACATACAGTTCCTCTGGGTCCTGATGATGGGAATCCTGGCCGCCGCTGCGTGTGAGATCCACGACAATCGACACGATCCTTAAGACAAGCTAATGCTCACCATTGAATATAAAGTTCACTTCGAAGATTATACTGGCGTAACCGATTCGTGTCGCGTCGTCAACGAATGACCCTGTGGTTCGAATTATAGACAATCGACGCCGCTATATCGACTATAGAACGAGCCACAGCAATGCAAGTACAAATGAGTGCGTTCGCTGCAGCAAGCCCGGCGTTCGTGGACGTGAAGGATAGAAAACAAAGTGGAAAAGAGGCAAGAGATTGAGTTTGACCAGATTTATGTTGCTCAAGTGAACCAGCTCATTAAGCGCCCAGGACTTACCGGTAGACTTCCGTTTTAGGCGATGTGGCTGAAATTAATTGATTTGTCGCTCAGCAAAAAATCAGACATAGCTCAACAGAACAATCACATATCGCTGGCGTATTCACGAGGATGATGTGGCTAGAGATATTCTATTCACCCGCTATTTCTCCCTTTCCTGAGAACTCGACGAGGAGTGGGTACGCGACATTGATAGGGGCGGCAGGGGCGCCTTGTAGCTGAGACGCAGCGTCGGTGGTTTCGCGGGCAGTTTTACGAAACGAAACCCCTCCTTCATGTTCCCGGACTCCTTCCTCATTATAGCCTTCATCTGCGATTTACTCAGCCCGTCGAACCCGAATCCAAAGGCTTCGTATGCTTCCTGCTTGGTCGCCGGCGCTTCGTGATCAGGTCCTCGAGGTCCTCGACATTGCGTTATCCACCTTCGTATTGATTTTGCGTTGAGAGAAACGGTGGCGAATAGCGCACAGAAGAGCATGAATAATAGCAGCGCGATTCCAGTGGTTCGATAGTCATCAGCAGTACGACCTGTGGGGTGAGGGAGTTGATGAGGCGGGATTCTGCTCAAGGCGAGGCTTCGTGGTTGCGGTCCTGCCGCGTTGTTCAATCGCTAAATATTGTTGTCTCGTCAGCGATCTCGCTTTCTGCGGACAATATGGCCGACGTACTATTTTGGAAGAATCTCGCCGAGATAGTGTAGGATATGCGTGGATCAACGGTATTATGTCCAGCATAAACCCGCCAATAAGATAGATGCCAGCAATGGGGTACATAGAATGACGGAGAAAGGATAGAATGGAGGTGATAGTTCTGGATGAGGGGTGTTGGCCGATGCCTAACTATAATCATGGTCCGGCTGTTGACATATTGGTGGAAAGTCCCGACACTCATGGCTTACTCGACATCGCGCGACTATAATCATCCCACCATCAGGAATATTGCAAAATAGACCAAGCCATGAAACCGCCTAATGTAAGTTAAGAGGCATTCTTTCGCCTCTTGGAATACGTGACTGCCTTCACCTTTGATGCCCAAAGATTTAATTTTCAACGTCCAAAGCATTCGAGTAAGAGTCGCGTAGGCGATCCTTGTTAGCCTCATGACCAGGCCTCTGTGAAGTAAACAGGCTGGTTACCAGCCTAGATGCTGAGTCCTATCGGCCAAGGAGGTCGGTACTTATGGGTGGGGCCAGATCCTCAGAGGCTTGGCTCACCAAGCTCAAGACTCAAGAGCACCGGAGGCGATTCGCGTGGAGAGAGGTGGGGAGTCGCTCAGACTTTAACTTTAGCCTTCATAAGGGCGGCGCGTTGCGACGTCGGACGAGGACATTCACGTGGGAGTCGTTTACTTCCAACAACCTTGGTTGGTTTCTGGACCGCTGCCAAGCCATACATACGCATTTGGAACCCGATCGGCGCAGCCCGAAGGTGTACAAAGGAGGGACACGATCAGAAATCCGGTATAATCTTTGCAGTCGACGCGTTGCACGCAGTGCTTTTTCGTGGGAGGCCTATAAAGAGGAGGATGTGAGCTACTCATAGTTAAATGGGTACCACAGAAGATATGGGTAGTAAGTCTGTTTAGTAGTCCTCTAACGAAGTTTGTGTTCGAGAGAGGAGGGTTGTCGCAGAGTATATGCTTGACGACTCGGAAGTCACACTACGCCCCGGGAATACAACGACTGCAGTGTATACCACATCAGAGAAAACATCGCGCCGAGCGGTCGGGTAGTCATACAACATATGCCGGTAGTGGTACTAGGTAGAAGAAAGCGAAAGCCAGGAAGCAGGTGTAGGGCGGTACACTGTACATGTAAACCACGGAAGAATGCAGAAAAACGAATATGCGCGTGAGAGTGAGAATGAGGAGGACATGTCGTGATAGCGTGAACGGCGGATGTGTCTATGGAAGTTGTTTGCGGTGTTCCTGTACACAGCGTCAGCGACTCAGGATTGCAGGGAGAGGAGTGAGGTAGTGAGGTAGCGAGATAACGGTTGACAAGACGGTGTGATGGCGGGGAGGGGAGGGGAGGGGAGGGGAGGGGAGGGGAGGGGAGGGGAGGGGAGGAGAAGTAGCGTACCGGATAATGCGTGGTTTCATAATCGACATGAACGAAAGCGCGCTCCACGTTTGGCAGCACTTCAAGCTTATCCTGTAGGTCTTGCCCGACATCGTGTGCCTTCCATAGCGGAGTCGTGGAGTCCAATACTATATCCACTTCAACGAAGTAATCCTATATAATCATTATTAGTTTCCGTGCGGTAGCAAACAGCACATTCAGATAATCACCGGTCCGCTCTAAAATGCGGGCGTTAGTTCAAGGGTGGGTAGTATTGGAGCAAGGGGGAACTGACATGATACGCCCGGACGGTGTCGACCTGGATGATCTCCTCGCTGAAAGTGGCCACTTTGTATATGAGCAGCTGGAGGAACTCGTGAGGCGCCGATCGCCCGGCGAGGAGGCTGAACTCGCTATATATTGTTCGGCCCCACGATATAATGACCCCAAGGGCAATCTACGCATACGAAGCCGTCAAGTACAAGACGACCCGGGTCCAGGGCTAGGAGGACTCACGATAATAGCGCCCATTGGATCCAAGTCTATTTGTTGAAACGTCTGTTAATGAATTGTGAGAATATGAAGCAGGGGCAACCTACACCATTGGAGCTTGCTGCCGCCGGTGGACATGAGGATACCTGTCGTCGACCGGGTTAGCTGTCGCGTTGACAAGAGATGAAATTCGGTGACACTTACCGAAAGTATTTATCCACAAATCATTACGGTGATCCTCCCATAGGACATGGACTTGACTTGAGCTATTGCGGAGGGAATAGCAATAAAGGAAGAGGAGAAACTTGACGCCTGGTAATCAACAGATCAACATCAACTCCCGAATCGCGACACGGAAATAAATCACTAACCAAGAGCAGCTGCAACAGCAATGATGGAGGGGATATGAAATTCTTGAAGATCGTCGTTGGTCTTGGTAATCAAGCTCCTCGCCGACTCCACGATCACCACAAGATTGACAGAGCCCATGCTATTTGTAGAATATTGTAGTGGGAGAAGTTTACCCGGAACAGACCACGTACAGGAATCCTGGAACACCATGACTATCGAGCTTTCGGTCACGCTGAGGAGCCACGTACCATACACGATATTTCCTATTGTCTCGAGGCGCGCGCCTCCGACAGGCCACCTGTTGGAATCCATATGTTTGGCTTTCTTATGCAGCCAAAACAGAAGAACATTGCTCCCGATGTCGAAAATCGAATCGATACCCGTTGCTAACAGAGACAATGACAGCGATGAAATGGCCGCGTACACTAAATATACATTGAATTAACGAGCGAAGTGCATCGAGAAAGGGGGATTAAATTACTTTGCAGGACGCATAGGCTGAGATTTGCGATAAGACTTGCATAAACGGCAATTTTAACCTTTTGAATACCAGAGTTAAGGAGCTACCGTCCGCGTGGGAGAGATTACTCACAGGTATACGAGCAGCCTCTTCTTCCCGCTTCGCCTCCTCTGTATGTTCTTCCATAGGTTTAAGCAGCGCATCGATGAGCTAATGGTCGTCCGCCATCCAGGGTTCCGCATGATTACTGCCAAGAATGAAGCTTGGCTGGGGGACGTACGCTATTCTGCTTGCGCTGGTACTTGGCTACTCGCTTTCCTTTCCGTCGACGACGCAGGGCCCGCAGCTCAGAAGGTGTCGTCAGGCCATCCCGAAGCTGAAATGGATCGGAAGGAAGGACAGTGGTCGAGCCTCTTTCAATATCCACATCGGTGCTGCTAAGATCGGGTACCACTGTCTCGGAGGCCTGCATGATATCAGGACAGTTCCATGAAAAAATGGCCAAAAAATCGGAACGTGAAGCAGCAAACGTACTCGATAGTCTTCACTTATAGTGGATTTCGAGGACGAGGATGGCTGGTAGCCTTCCATGTAGTTTTGAAATCGTGGGCAAAGGACGCAGAAAAGTGGACTGGGGGGCGGTGGGAAACCCAGAAGAGTGGAACGATCTCAACCTAATCTCACGAACCAAAATATCGTCCCCGACGCCGTTCCGCAGCTCTGGGTACGTGGATGTGCGCTCAGGGAAATCTCCACCGATGATCCAAGGCCTTTGGTCTTTTAGTGGGAAGGGGATGCAGCAGACCGTCTGAGCCCACTCTATGGCCTTTGAATGTCCGCACCGAAGCGCCCAACAAATCAGGAACGTGGCACCAGAGCCAGCGAGTCGGAGAGCTTCATCCAAGACACCGTGTAATCACCACAAACATGGAACGGGCACGGTATACCCAACGTGTCCATAGCTGCCGTGATGATCTACACAGACGAGATGAATACCACTCAATACTATTGCACCATCTCGCATGTGAACACCGCTCACTCGATAACTCTGAAATTGACGGAGCTTTTCTCGCGGGTAAATATATAGCATTGCGCCTCGTGCCGTAGATGGTGTCAAGAGCGACCAAATGACAATGGGCCTCTCGACAGTCGCCTTCGTTTTTCCCAAAGTCTCTCATGGCTTTATCGGATAAGATAAGGAATCCAATCAGCAGATGAAAGGCTCACGGGTAATTCAAGGTCATCTCCTTCCTCTGTTTTCCAATTCCCATGTTTCTTCTTCGCCCAATGCCATTCGACGTCTCCCAGTTGTATATCCGCGTGATGACCGGGAACTTAGAGTCAAAAACTCCCATAGACTGTGGCACTCCGCCAGGATGGTGCCTCCCAGGCAGGAGGACAACAAGCACCATAAAACGACGCCGAATCTAGCATTACAATGAGAAAGGTAGGCTCTGATTTACGCTTGGCTCACAGTAATAGTGCCAGCATGATGAATACCGGGAAGAGAGCAATCAATCTGTCATGAGCTCCGTCGTCCATGGACGCGGTTGTAGAGAGAACTAGCAAGCGCCCAGACGGAGATGAGAAATTCGACTCCCACGTGGTCGCGATTCATCCGAGCACCGACGTGGTTCAGCCCACCGTCCTCGTCTGTCTTTCCCAAACGCTATAAGGAGCACCGAAAGTCATTGGTCCAGCCGCAGAATTTGAAGCTGCGTTACGCTCATGATGGTTCTTTGGGCTTGGCGAATCATGAATCATGTCAGATACAAGTCAATCAACCGGAATACCCACCGGCCACTGGTTACTATGTTCGCCCGCACCCCAGTTTGCCTCGCACCGTTCCGATATTCGCTCCACTAAATGATAACGTGTCGATACAGATTCCCTTCTGGAGAACGCCAAGGCAGAATGTTGAACCATCTTCGAGCACCGGCGGGAACGGTGTTTACCTGTCGACTATTCGCCCTAATCTTCCGCTTAGATCATCGACGATGAAGCACTCGTGCGCCTTGAATTTGGTGGGTTACATACAACGACCTCTGATTGGCCTTCGAGCGTCGTTTCCCAAGCCTTGACTTGCGGCATTCTTTTCGACATGCTCTATACATAGGCCGCCGTGGTGTTTGGCTCTTTAAGGGACACTGAGGTCTGCGGCTTGAAGCTCAGAGGTCCAGTCCTCGGTCCAGGAAGTATGTACGGAAGGTCTACATAACGATTCGTAGTAGGTCTTCAGATCAAGACGCCATACATCGACGCGGCGGACCGCGACAGGGCGTATGGAACTCGAACATAGCAACATCTAGGCATTCATTCTCGACACAAGATGGTGGCAACTCATGACATCCATTCTGGTAATATCAGTTATCATAACTCCCTCCATTTCATTCCGCACGACTAGTCATTCGCCTGCCCATACTCGACCACCACATTCGTTTGATCCACACATTCTTTTTCTTTCGTTGTTCGATGCGCATCCCTACAAGTACATTAATTACCGCCATGTTGGCGATGTCATGCGCTACACCTTCTCTTTGTTCGCCTATCGCCGATCCACGGATTCTGATACCACAAGTCATCCGTGGGGAAGCCAGGAGGGATGTTGCGTCTTCGAGACAGCCATTGATAGATCGTAAGCGACCCCCCAGATCCTCGCTAACATAGTTGGCTAATATTGGACATGACAGTGCACGTTCTGGAGAAACGGGGTCTCTTCGGCCTGCTCGGCGGAATCGTTAGCATAATCCCCATCGTTGGCCCTCTTCTTGGGGGCGCTCTGCAGAGTATAGACACGGCCATCACCAGTTCCATCAATGAACTCAAAGCTAAAAAATCGGCATCGGCAAGCCAAGTTGCGCCCACGCCCACGACTCTCGCCATCGTTGCAACAGCTCAAGCGACCTACGTTCATGTTCCTTCTTTTAGGAAACAGGCTGCGATTACCACCCAAGTTATCGCTGGCCCCGTAGCTCCCACTTTGATCGCATCGACTTCGTGCACAGACGAGACGACGGTGACGCCGACTTACTATTCCACGACTTCGTGCACGGACTCTACGACGGCTGCGCCTACTTATGTTGCATCGTCTACCACCTCTTGCGATGAGACATCCGCTGTCTTCACCACTTCGCCTATTCCACAGACAACCCGAGCGCCAGTCGTCACCCAGGTCATTGTACCTACGCCTATTCGTTCCACCTCGCCCATAGCCAAGGAGTCTGACTGCGACACATAGCTCTACTCGGGCAGAGGATTCCCAGCCACAGAGATGTACCTATCACTTCTATCTTCACCTTCGCTTCCTTTCGTCCACATTCCACCCGTGTATCATTTCTCCTTTCTTTTCCAATTGAACTTGCGTAATTCATGCATACCCTAGATACTTGCCTTGTATTTCTTACACCGTGTATTACCCTAGGCCGGACGTTTTCTGCCTCTTCGTTTCCCATATAGCTTGCGCAATTGTAGCATTCGTTACTAATATACACGGAGCACGCCTAAATGCTCCGCGTGTTGAATAGACTCTCCATCCTGGAATACGGTCGGCCGATGGAGATGAGGCGGCTGGGCCGAGGAGCGATAAGAAAACTACTAGCACCTTCGATTCTCAACACCAACACCGGCAGATTCAACAACCGAGAGGACCACAAGGTCCTTGTGCTTCCGTGTAAGCCACTGTCATAGCTCGACATCTCCGAGCTTGTTATCAAGGATTATCAGATTACTCGGTGGGTATTGCGATCTCGAGGGAGTCTACATACCAGCGCGTCTCACAGCCCTGAGAAGCGTCTGCCTCGACCCGTATGCGGAAGGCCACCTTCCTGATCGGGAAGAAAGCGTTGGACGGGTCTACTTCAGACTTTGGGCGTGTTATGGCGGAGGATTTGGTCAGCCGCCCGGAGGCATAAGTTGCCCGCCACGCGCGTGAGACTGCCATCCTCTCTTTCTTCCGTACTACCATCTACTCCCACAAACTATCCCTAATCCGCTCTCCCCAGACTATCCCACTTCTTTCATCATGCGAGTTTCGGCCAGTTCTTCGTTTCTCATTGCCACGCTAGCTATTTCTACGTCTTCGCCTTGCCTCGGCGCCCCGACTGTTGATCAGCGAGGGGATCGACTTTCGAGCTTCAATAGTGTTCGCGATCTTTTGGCTTCGAGGCCCATCAACGGGGAAGTCACTGCGACCGGCCCACCCAAGGGACACGCTCATGTAAAAGACGGACGATCATTCGATGCACGGGAACGTATGTGCACTCCATGTCTGTGAATATGCGATGGGTACTAACCGCTTTGTTAGTTCAACGTCGAGGGCTCTTGAAAAGTTTATTGGGTGGCTTACCTTTGATCGGACCTCTGGTTGCGGGTGTTGATGATACGCTATGCGGCAGCGCCTCTGGGCAAGCCTTTGGAGCAGAATCCGTCGACTCTGGCCCAACTGAGGAACAAATGGTCCAAATGATGGAGGCAGCATACACACTGTCTAGCGTTTTTGCTTCAGCGACGAAAGCTACACCGCTTCCTCTAGCGACCAGCACTGCGAACACCAGCTCTACAGTGACTTCGACGCCCACTTCTACGGGGACCGAAACGTCTACAGGAACTGGGACAACAGAAACTGGGTCTTCGGAGAACGCTATGGCTACGCCTATGTCCGCCGAGTCCGACTCGGGTTCGAGGATACTTGTTGCGCCTGACTCGGACCCATCGTCTTCTACTACAACGTTGACTTCTACTGTGGCGACTGAAACTGCTACCGATAGTTCTATGTCAACATCCACGGATACGACTCCTACATCTACAGTAGTCGCGGAAGGCATGTTACCAACGCCAACGCCCGCCCCGCTCCCTAACACCCCTTCTGATCCTTCCAAGCCTACCGATACTCCTTCCGGTCTTCCCATGGATTCTATTGCACCGCCTGTTGATACGCCGAACCCGCCCTCGAGTCTACCAATTGATTCTCCCAATCCTCAACCCGAACTTCCTGTGTCACCACCAGCTAGACCTCAAACGCCTAATCTCCCAGTCCAGCCAGAGGCACCTAAAACACCAGTGGGTGTCCCGGTCCAAGCACCTATCAAGGCCGTTGGATAAGATTGAACGTAGTTGTAGCATAGTAGTTTGTGGTCAAGCGCCCTGGCGGCTAATTACAATAATAACTGTCTAGATCTGTTGCCTCTTCCGTTGCCTGATCTCGCTTGTGATGTGAAAGTCATGGCTCGTCCTCGTCCACTTCAACTTGCTTCGGGGACCCCCAGGTCCTCTGACTATCAGAACCTCACCCCACGGACGCCACACTCTCGCGCTGGACGAGCAGAAGAAGCATTCAGCGACATTGAACTTACCGACATCCATGAGGCCGACGAGGACTACCAATCACCGCAACAGCAGCAATCCAAACCTCTCCTTACCTCGTCGAGGGATGGGTATCGCAGTCGAGGCGACGAGTACGACGGGAGACACCATCCCGGAATGGGGCAGAAACGCTGGACGTTCGCTCGCGTGGTGTCGTTGCTACCACTCATTCTCGGTGTTTTAACGGGAGTATTGCTTCTTTTCCTCATTTTTGCTTCCGTTCAGCGGCCGGATACTTTGCACAAAATTGTCGGCGCAATTCCGCCCAGCGAGGGAGCCGTAGACGTGGTACAACCCCCAGCCCAACAAGACGACCTGGTTGTCAGCTCAGTATCACCCTCGCCCATATCGACGGTGCAACCATCACAACACGCTAGCTCCACCACGACACATACAGCGAACTTGGAAAATCTCATTTCGTACGAGAATTATACGATATTCCCTCTCAAACCGGACGAATATCGCGCGGAATGCAGCAAACACAACTCTGGGTTCATGAAGCATCTCGGCGGGTTCTGGGATGTACCCATGCATGGACCGGTTGACGTGCCCCACGAAGAGAATGACAGAGTGTGCAAAAGTACGATAACGTATATGTTGGATGGGAAAGTTGGGTTACTGGCCGATTTGGCTTTGATGGCGCAGGTCGCTGCGATGGCTCGTGAAGTACGTGGTAATCTGGGACGTGTGTAGTGTTCTGATGATATTCATGACCTTTCATAGAGAAATAGGACATTCTTTGTGGATGACACGTATTGGGACCGTGGCAAGTGCGCTCGCCGAGTATCTATCGCGACTTGACAGGGACTCATAATGTACACCATAGATGGGCAGACTACTTCATAGACGTACGGAAGAGTCAACCTGGCGAAGAGCCAGGCTGCCTTCCTCCACCCCCAAATGGTTCGTCATTACCACAGCCAACGAAACAGGCCTCACATTGATTTTTGTCTAGAACTTGTCGCTTGTCCTCGTGGCGCTCGGTAAGTTTATAATATACTCTAACTATCCATTCTGCTTAACGACGATGACGACTAGGCATTGGGTACGCAGACTACGCACCATCTACCCTATTAGTGTCTCATGACCGTTGATTGTAGGTCATCAACTCAAGGACAGCCAAATATCATCTTGGGCACCCCTTCTCAGAGACATACGAGAACGCGTACGCTGCCCACACGATTCTTCAATCAAGTCCGTCTAACCGATAGCATGTTATCTAGGTATGGCCATGGGCTACATCGACTAAAGCCAATATTCAACATGGCCCGAGAATCCTTCTCAAACACCATATTGCCCAACGAACGAATGCGACATCTCATAAACGTTGCTCGAGATGCCTTTCAAAAGAAGATGGCTGGCGCCGGCGCGTCGAGTTCGTATCTGGGTGTTCATATTCGAAAGGGCGATCGCAAGGCGTCTTCATGGAAGTATCATGGCCAATACCTCCCTACATTCGAATACGTTAGCGCGGTTGTTAATACCTGGCCTCGAGTCAGCCCGCCGAGTACAGCGAATCCGATCGACAGCATACCATCAAACCCATTTATTTACCTCGCATCTGACTCGCCTGAAGGTGAACGCGAGTTCACTTCATCTGTTCACGCAGAAAATGTCTTCTCCTTGGCTGGGAGTCAAAATCCCGAACTCGGAGCCCTCGCAAGCCCTATGGATTACGTACAAAGCGAATTCGATCAACTGAACCTCCCGGAGAGGGCCGCAGCCACCAAGGGGATGATCGTCGATTTCGCCTTGGTCAGTGGGATGTGGGCCGCGGACGATGGATTCGCGCCCGAAGCGACTATTTGTGGAATCTCGTAAGTGTTGTATAATTAATCATTAACGGCCAGCGGCGCTCGATCCATATGCGTTTGATGCTCATCATCATCGTCATCATTATCATAGGTCCTCAGTGTGTCGATTGTCCGCTGTTGCGCTAGGGTGGGATCGCGCCTTCGGCGAGCTGGGCTCCATGGGAGACATCGACGAGACAGGCAAGCGATGGGTCGAAATCGACGAGCACGGCACCATCGTACCTGTGTGGCAACCCTTCGAGCTGTTCAGATAATCTGGGCGCCGAAGCTTTCACTCATACAGTACTATATTTCAAGCTGTGTATCCACGGCCGCAATCTACTAATGGGCTTGCTGCTTACCTTGCCGCTGAGTCTGACAATGCTGATTTAATTCGGGGATTGTGGGATACGGTGGGTGGGGAAGGTCATCAATCAAGGTGAAGTCGGATACAACTAATGTACAATGGCCAATGACCGAAGATAACGTGTTTCGCAGATGTGCTATGTGGACTAGGTCCCCATGTGGCGTCACTAGGCCTGAGGAAGAGCATCAGTGTCTTCACCGATGGCCATAGACGCCACATTGTATACCTAGAAAATGCCTGCTTCGCAGTTGGCATCGGTTGGGTCACATTCATCTGAGGAAGTGGTCAGGTAGGTACACAGATAGTCGACGCGACGAGCTTACCCGTGACACTGCGACGTGCTGGGGCTGCGCTAGTCATTCCGAGGAAGACAGCGACGACGACGACGAAGAACGAGATGATTTGCATGGTAGTAGTAGTAGAGATCGAGTTGACTCTTGGACTGACTTTCTCTGGGGTGTCTTGCTCACCTTTTATGCTCCTCCAGTCCTGGCTATGATTACTTTCTCGGAGCAGTATACAGCCTCCTGGCAGCCTGAGAACGATGTAAGTATCGAGATCTGGTTACATTCCAATGTTATTGTTGTCTTCCTATCCGATAGGTTCGCTCTCCTTCCGCGTCATCAACCCGTTGTGATCTGATATAAACCGCACTGTTTCATCTCCCCGTACTACAGGACCCACCCATAACTACTCCCGCTCGCAGCACCCTTGGCTACAGTACGCTCTCTCATCATCAAATGACTCAAGGACCGGAATATTCCTTATTAAGTCAGGAGGACGGTTCTTTACATCATAGTATGCTGCTCCTTTTTGCCATCGGGCATATGCTAATAACTTCCGTCTTCTCAGGAAACCCTATAGGCCGTCAAGAGGCGTATACGACCTGGTTGACCGCTTCCTTGGCTGTGGCTTCCTTGATCTGCTCAGTCGCGATCTCGGTCTATATGCATTCACAAAGCGCCATTTCACACTACGGAACACCCGCGGGTCGCTTAGAATTCGTTAGCCAGTATATTGGGCTTGACCGCGCCATACGCGATCCCGAATCACCGCCACTGCATCCTATTCTTAACTTCCCACTGCTCATCTCCCCGATTAATGCTTCCGATCCTGACAAGGCAATGAATCTCCCCCGCAAATGGAAATCAAGCTTCGGAATGGTATATCTCCAAGAACGCCACTTCACCGTTTCGGGATCGGTACGCGTGTTTCATTCTGCATTCTTCACTCGACCTTTCCTTTCCTGTGGCTCACTAAGGCTCCGTTGCATTTGATAGGTATCGATGATCCTGCAATTCAGGACTGGTGACTTCAGGTTCGAGGAGTGTGCCCTCATCGCCAGCATTCCAGAATCCGCCTCCCCAAGTGCGTCTGGCCGCGCAACCGCACTCGAAATTTGGAGGCTGGAGGCGGCCGAGATGCTCAGGGCTGAAGACATCACTTGGAGTAATCGACCAAGGCGCAGTGCCTTGTTCGCACACTGGGACGTACAAGGAGGCAGTAAATTAGAGTCAAATCGCTTTAATTGTTCTTGGGGATCGTTTCACACCTTCGAGTTCGTGGCCGCGGCATCAGATAGCTCGGTTCTATTCTTACAGGACCCCACGGAGCATGGTAAAGGTAAACTCAACCTCTATCAACCCGTTCAGAAGCCATGATTGATCCAAGTTGTAAATAATAGGGATCCTTATCAAGCAATACGAACGCTCGTACAATAATAACTAGTCCAGGTTAACGTCATTATCCACTGCTGCATCAGCGGTGTATGACGAACAACCCGTTCTCGTAGTCGCTCCAACCCTTTACTTCGAAACAAACCTATATATGAGATTACACACGATGTTTATTTCCTGAGAATCAATCGAATTACAGTTCGAGCCTGACAAACTCCAATAGGCGCTATGGTTCCATGTTGCATAATAAGTATGATGGACGGCTAGAAGTCCATTTGGTCTTCAAAGGCCTTGTACACTACGCGCCAATCTTGACAAGTACGACGCCCGTATGGTTGGACAGCATGAGGCCCAAAAGGATCCACAACTGGTTCAAGCCTCAGATCCGTCCGACACAAGAGCGACTGGCGCAGGTAATTGAGGCAGTGCCGGGGGAGTGAATTGTTGCCGTCCGTTCCTTCCGTAAGATATGCCTGTCTGATTATATCGAGGCATTTCAACTGGTGGAAGATCGCGGGGAGGAAGGGTGTTTTCTCAGGTCCGATGTGGATTACTCCATCTTCGGAGGGAACAAGGGCCGCCCACTCTGTGTTCGCGTCGGGAGAATCAAGACCGTAATGTCTGGAGTTCTCAACGAACATGGATACGGAGGGCAACGCCCCAACGTCCCACATCGGGGACACTCCCCGAGGGGAACTTTCTATCAGAGGAGTAAGTACTTCTTAGATGTATACCCGAAGTGATATGAACTTGCCAAGTGGTCCTGGTTTGAGCATGAGGAGAGCTCGGGTGAAGAGATACAGGCCAATAGACGCCCAGAAACATGCGAGCGCTATTTGCCGTGAATAGATAAACATTGGGGATGTTGGGAGCTGTTTTTAATGTTATTAAGAGCGATTACGATGAATAAGGTGCGATTCTGCTCACCGCGATTGTCCGAGTGTTGGGCGATGAAAGGGGACTGCCAGAACGCGCCTGAAAGCCTGTCATATCGTGCCACAAGGTTTGATTTTATGCAGCAAGCCTCAATGGTGTAAACTGCACATGTATGCATCGTACTAATCACTCCGTATCCACGGAGGTTCTCACCAGTGTCCGTCCTTGGCGTACCCAGATGGTGATAGTGAACTACCTGTCCTGCGCAGTCCATTCTGAATGATCGGGCTGGCAATAAAGTTATAACAAAAATGTAAGCTTGATGAGCTTTGAAGAACAATAAGCTTGATAACGGTGTAGTCACCAGGGTCTCCTGAGAAATCGGGGCAGACATATCGTTAGGGCCACTGAAGAGGGGCAAGAGGGGCTCCGTTGCCAGCGTAGAGCACGGAAGGCAAGCCTAGCACGGAAGTAGTAGATGAAAGGGATCCTAGATCGCGATGCGCAGACTTGTCTCTCGGGACGACATCATGTCCAGCTTTCATTCTACTTTCCGTATCAGGAGTCGAAGGCTATGAGCGGTGGTGTTGCGCAAGTCTCCGAACGCCATATGGGTTTTGCTGTGTTTAAAGTCGATAGAGTATTACTTACGGTAACAACGTACGAGGATTCCTCCGTTTCATGATGATTGACTATTCCCTGTGCCTCAGGGGAAGACCATGCTGGCTTGCCCTCTCAATCATTGCGCTCGCGGTGTCTGTCGTCACTGTCTACCAGACAAAATCAACTATGGGCATCCCGATTGCAGAGCAAAGGACATACTGTGAGTTTTTTGCTTCGGCATCGGGATCGGCGCAAAGCTCACAATCTTCGTAGCGTATATCGGCGATGATTACCCCGAGTTCTGGGATATTGACCTAGGAAATCCAGTGGCTATGATGGTGGAAGAGAGCGAGCACTACCCAGTACATGGGTTAGATGCCGAAGAGGAGTGGGCATCGACCGACTCTGCTGGCTTCGGATACGTGCGCTTAGGTGAAGAATACCGCGCCTTCGCCGTGAACGTGTTCCACCAGCTGCACTGCTTGCGCGCAATGCGCGACGCGCTTGCACATCCAGACAACCGTTCCCCCGCCATCGACGGGCACTTCCAGCATTGTCTGAACTTCATCCGCCAGTTTGCCCTCTGCTCACCAAACCTGACGCTAGAGCCCGCCGACGTGCTGAGCAGGGATTTTGAGATGCGAAGGTCGGGTGCCGTTCAAATTTGCAGAGACTGGCGCAAACTTTATGATCATATGTCGGATAACTGGGCGTCGTGGAAGGAGTTTCGGAACCGTACACAATATTCTTGAGGTTATTTTCTGTAATTAGCTAGCACGTGATCGATAGTACTTACTCAGGGGCACACATGGCAACGACTCTTGTTCACCTTCCACCACCATCCCGTCTTCGTCTTGAACGTGAAGCTTGCATGGAACGAACGGTTGTTCCCCTTGTTTGTGTCTCGCGTAAGATGAAAATGTGCGCGAAGAGCAGCTTCTCCCGGTTCTCATGGAAATCGCGGGTATGGGACACACAATCCATCGTTTCCTGATTGCACAACTCCGAAGATTGCTTACCCCCTCAATGGGCGCCCGGCAATTCCCCAATCGCAAGAATAGTCCCGAGCGGACGCGTTGGCTTACATTCCAGCCAAATAACGAACCTCCATCTTAACAGAAGGTAATCATGTTCGAAGGGCCTCTATACACTGCCTCACTGTCTCTCGCCGGGACGCTTGCAGTCTACTACTGTGCAGCAATCATATGGAACCTCTATTTCCATCCATTGCGGCACTTTCCTGGGCCATGGCTGGCAGCAGCAACGTGGTGGTACACAACTTGGTTCGAGGTATTCCTCAACGGCGGGATGGTCGACCACTTGCAGACCTTGCACAAACGTTATGGTACAATTTCAACTACGTTCGCGCACATTCGTTGTATGCTTACCACTGAGTAGGGCCTGTCGTTCGTATAGCTCCGAATGAAGTATGGTGCTCATTTTTGTTTACCTCTGCACACCAACTGAACATGAGCCGTAATAGTTACATTTCAACGGGCCTCGATTTTACGCTGATATCTATGTCAACGGCTCTAAATTCCGGAAAGACCCAAAGCTTTATACGACCTTTCACGAGGATGAATCGTCATTCTGCTTCATCGACCCGCAAGATGCCAAGAGTCGTCGAGAAATAATGAACCCATTGTTCTCTCGCCGCGCAATCCTGCAAATGGAGCGCTACCTGCAGGCAACAGTAGGTTTCTGGGGCCTTATACACTGTGATGAATATCATTCACGCATTCTAGATCGACAAATTCCTTGACAAGTTGCAAACTTCACGAAAGCCGGTTGATCTTCATCGTGCTTACCGATGCACCACCCTGGAAATCATATTGTCATACTGTTTCGCCGGGGACTACGACATTCTCGGAGCCGCCGACTTCGCCCATCCGTTGATCATTGCAGTCGAAAACGTCATGCCCCTTGCCCTGGTGTTCAAGCATTTCCCCTTCGCCTACGATGCGCTGCTTTGGCTTGACAGTCAATTCAAACGCTTTCGACAGGACTCCTTTGGTCCTGGCGAATTGACGGAGAGCCTCTCCCAGCAAATTGACGAGCTATTGATGCATCCTGAGCTACTCCAGCAGCAGGGCCATGATACTATCTATCACCATCTCTTAACGCCAAATCCCGGCAAAGGGCAACCGACCGTCCCTTCAAAGAAGTCGCTCCTCGAGGAGGCGATGAACCTTGTGGCCGCCGGTAGTGATACAGTTGGCAACACAAGCACCGTTGGGACGTACTACGTCCTTAGCAACCCGGACGTTTTTGCGAAGCTTATCAGTGAGCTCAAGCAGCATTGGCCCGATCCGACTATCCCCCTCAAGTATGAGGCGCTTGAGAAGCTGCCCTACCTAGTGAGTTTCCCCGCGGTAGCATATTTCTTTTGGACACAAGCTTGTTTCGTCAGACAGCTGTCATAAAGGAATCTCTTCGCATGTCTCACGGCATCGTCACCCCCCTTCCAAGGATTGTTGCGCCGGCGGATGCATCCATCGGTGGCGTCGTCGTGCCTGCGGGCGTAAGTTGCTTCGCTCTTCCTCCTCATACCGTACCTTATCGTGTGGCAAAGACTGTTGTAGGCGTGGGAGCGACCTTCATTCACTATAACCCGTAAGTTCACTAGTCCATTTCACTCATGACGTCCGCAATGACACATTTCATAAACAGAGAGCTATTCCCTGAGCCACACAAGTTCTCACCTGAACGGTGGCTGAATTCGCGCGCATCTGACACCCATTTAGTATCCTTCTCCAAAGGACCGCGAAGCTGCCTAGGAATCAAGTTCAGTGGTCCTTCTTCCCTGCCGAGATGTGTGTTCTCAACATGATTGATAGCCTGGCCTGGTGTGAACTGTACCTTCTGTTTGCCAACGTGTTTCGCAAATTGGACCTAGAGCTATACAACACGAAGTAAGTTTTCCCCATCACTCCTTCAAGCATATCGCTGACGATCCTTCCGACGATCCTTCTAGGCCGGAAGACCTTGAGTTTCAGTGTCATTTGACCCCAACTTTTCGCAAACATGTTGAGGTCACTGTCAAGCAAGCCACGCCTTAATCAGATGAACAGTCCTTGATGGAGTGATCTTATCGGCCGGCGCCTGTAATGCATGTCGTGATTCACGTACATCTACTGCCCTGTGACCATACCAAGCCTAGCGTAGGTTGTGTGGAACATTGCGTCCTCCCAAGACAGCGCTCCATGTTTTCCCCAGTGCTGCTAGTGGGATCCACACTGCCTGAACGTGTAAACATGTTCTCCTCAGCACCCCCGCGAATAAGCCGATGGATCCAAATTAGCCCGGTACCATCAACAGGGGACTATGACTGTGAGCTGATGTGCATCATGGGTTCACACGAAAGGCGGTCCAGCGGTGTGATTCGGAACTGTTGTCGGCACGCTGATAGGACCTGCACGTTGTCCCAGTTTAGGCCCATTGAGTTCTGAATGGTAAAGCCGCTCAAATCCTCTCAGCGACCTGACCTGAGTATATATATCCATGGATTTTGTTCCTCGGCCCCCGTTACCTTTCAGCGACAACCATGGCCTGGGACGGCATCGAGCAAGCAGAGGTCGAATATGTAGCGATCTTGGTGAACAATGTTCTCTGGGGGATATCATGTACTCAGACGTAAGTTCCTTTGCCGAATACTACTTTATAGACGGAGGCTGACATATCGTGTGCTATTACGATAGTTTCTTATACTTCCTGCAGTAAGGCGCTGTGGGTTTGTCGAGTTCTCTTTCGAAACTCATTGCCATGTGTGTTTGTAGCTTCCGGAAGAATGACAAGAATCTCATCAAGGCCCTGGTAAGTTCCCTTCTATCTTTTTCGCTCTGATGAAGTGTTCACAAAGGTTCACTGCTGACAGGTTTTGTGGTTGTGGTGGGTGACTGTCTGGAACCTTCGTTGTTGCGGTGATAACGAATGTTGATGGCGGATTGACATGTTCTAGGATTTGTGATACAACTCATCTGATCCTTACGAACCGTGGCTGTTAGTAACTTTTAGCGGTGATCAGCTGCACCCGTTGATGTCGTCATGATTTACAGTCTGGGTCGACATTGTACTGTCGGACAACGGATTCATCGTCTCCCAGTGAGTAGCTGTTTGTTCACACGAACGGTTTCAGTCAGTGACTCACAAATAAACAGAGAATACCTCGTGCGTGTTACCAGCGCCCTTTTCAAGTGTGCCATTTGATCCCTGAACCCCATGTCATCAACAGTGGGCGTCCTTCTTTACGGTACGAAACCACCCATTTATCACATCATCGTGGATACGTCTGACATTTACTCCTTTAACAGTGTCTGGTCGCCCTGCCGTGTCAATTATTCTTTGTATATAGAATTTGGATTTGTAAGCGGACAGATTACTTGTCCTCATTATCGCCTACGCCACTAATGCTTCCACTAGTCGCAGGGAAATTCTGGCTGATACCCATGATATTCGTAAGTTCCATCATCTGACGCGGGGACTCTGATCGCATGCTGACTTTCAGCTAAGGTGCCTGCCTCCGTTTACCAACTCGGTGAGTATCGCATCTAGGTTTCAGCAGCTCAGGACTGACTGGTGCGCATCACAGCGGGGTATATCGGTGTGTGTTCTCTACAACGCATTGACATGTACGCATGCTGACTTGGTCATTAATCAGCCTTCCTTGTCATGAAGTACGTACTTCTCTCGCTTCGACGCCGCCTGTTTGTTAATATCATGCGACTTCCCAGCTACAAGACGATATCTATCGCACAGTTTTACTCCCTTCAAGTACGCCGTTCAGCATGCGACTTGACGAGAACCCCACTAACATTCACTAGAAACTGTTGAAATCTATATGGGGTGTCAGCGCTGTTGAAGACACGTTGATCACTCTCGTTTTGTTCTACATGCTCTGGAAACAAAGAGACGGAGAGCTGCTCGGGCAGTAAGCAAACGTTCCCCTCAGGCTAAACCCTGATTTGTAATGCGCGAAAAACAGAACGTCTCAGCTTCTCTACAGGGTAATGTTTATTGGTATCAACACTGGTACTTGGACCGCATTGGTAGCGCTCTTCGCGTTAATCACGGTGTGTGCATTTGAACTTTATGTGACTGGATACCAGTATTGATTTGGGGTGGCTGATAATCTAGATGACCGTTTGGCCGAATAGTATGGCGTTCGTTTCCCTCAACCTCGTCATCTCCCCCATCTACTGTAATACCCTTCTCGCCAACCTCAACGCGAGGGACTATATTCGGGGAGCTCGCGATAGCTATGGCGGCACCATGACGGGGACCAACACTCATATGACGATGACGCCGTCCTTTAGAATCACCCAGCAAGATGGGATGGAGGTATGTAACATCCTAGCTCAATGTAGTGTCGCACCGACAAAATTGGTACCCCTTCTAATCTAGACCCTTGAAATGGACATGGAGTCCCAGGCGGGCAGCAATGGTGCGACTATGTTCGATCAATCTTCGGCCAACCTAAAGCTCGAAAACGAAGGCGTCCCAAAGACACGAACAATGTAAATGTGGGGAGGACTTATAGACAATGTGCACATCTTGTTATACGTGTCTTTCTGCAACAAAGACTTCCGATATTGACATTTGTCCATTTGTAGTGTAGTAATATTGTCCGATAGTAATTACACTTATTAATTAATGTCGCTTGAATGCCGAAGTGAGTATCTCATACACAAACAGTATTTGCTGGTCCTGCTGCACCATTCCAGGTCTTTGCTCCCGCAACGAATCGACTTCTTCAACAACCATGTCATCCGCGAATTCCTGGGGAATAGGGCCCAATGGTGACTTGAACGGCATCACAAGTTCTTCAGAAACAGGTCGATGATTAGAACCATTACCAAAGGGCCACGGAAGATGCCTACGAAGGAGGGACGTCATGGTGTGACCCTGGTGAGAGTTATGCAACGTTGTAGGATTTATTAACCCAAAAGCACGCAAGATGGATGATATGGCGATAAATGTCCCAGTGCGCCCAATTCCTGCTGAACACCCGACCATGACCGGTGGATCGGAGGGCGTATCACTGCTTGATATAATATCCGCAGAGAGTGGGGTCTTGTTGAGTGTATCCACCAGGCGAGCAAAATTCAAGAGTGCAGGCTGATCTCTACGCGAAGGCACGCCATGGTCAGGCCAGGCGTGATAGAGTAAGTGTCGAAATAGTATAGGTTTCCCTGTGTCTTCGCCGTATTGATAGACCTCCTGCGCTCCAGGGATATTGGGAACGGGACGAGTTTTGTACCATGCTACAGGCACTACAGCAATTGTGCTCTCGATGCATAAAGCATCATCGTGGGTTTTGACTTCGACCAGAGTGGACTTCAACGCAGGCGCGTCATGACCGTCTTCTGGTCTCAATACGAGGGACTGTCCAACTTGATCTGGGAAATATGGATGAGCCTTCGTACGACCACCTTCGGTATTCTTTGTAAGTTGTACGACGGTGCGTATGCGTCCCATATTATTTGTCTTGTTCTCGAGCGATGTCGGGGGAAAGGTGGATGGCTGTAAGATGACACTGAGGAAGGCGTGCGCCGTAGACGGCAAAGGTGCTTGATTGGCGATCCACCACTTCCTGCCGTAGCGTTCCTTCACCCAACTCGCGTTCAGATATCGGCCACAGCTTTGTCCCCCCGCGCCTGACGCCTCGCCATCCGCGCACCCTACCACCACACGGCTACGATCATACGGTTCCACCATATAATAGCGATTCTTGTGGATTTGATCTGGATGAGCTCCTGTCTCTACGGAGTAGTGGTCGATGACTTCTGGGCCAAAGTTTCTTCGGCGCCTCGACCCATGGTGGGTTTCTTCACGAGGACGAGACTCCTCGCGAGCGGCAGCACGAATATTTTCGCGTTCGGAGAGTAGTTTGAGTGCTGATGCGCAATACGGAGTAGATGTCGACCTCTGCAGCCATGTGGGCAGCGAATTTGTCCCCTCGCTGGAGTATAAAGGCTTCATCGACATCAGTGTTTAGCAACAAGAGTGATTGTGGCTGAAAGGCCAACGGTGATCATCAGGGTCCAACAGGTTTATGTAATCACATTTAGGGGTGTCTCGATCATCTCGATCATCGATCGCCTTAAGCTTGAACTCTGTTCGTCATGACTGACTCGAATTCACTCGTTTCCCTCATAACCAAAGAAACTAAAGTCAAGTAAGCGGTCGAAAATATTTTTGAGATTAATATCTTACTACAGTGCTCAGAGTTAGCTCAGATAAAGGCGGCGCTAAGAAATGTCTCATTGACCAGAGTCCAGAAACCTGCTGGACTTCCCAACAGGCACTGAGGTTCATGTCGCTTCCCCGCTCACAATTGACGTTTTGGTACACCCAGGAATTGCCACAATACATCCAATTATTATTTGCGGATCCGGCTATACCCAAGCGGCTGTCATTCATTTTCCAAGGAGGGTTTGTCGGAACGCAGTGTGCGGTATACACGACTCCTCATCGTCCCGACCCCCCCTTAACGAAGCTTGATTGGCAATTCCTCACAAATATATACCCAGAAGACGTCAACCGTAAACAGACCTTCGACCTTCCGCCAATACCATCATCTGACGCGCAGGGCATCGCTGGGATGAAGTTTGTGTTCGAGAAGAGCTCGGATTTCTTTGGTAGAATCACTATTTACGATTTATCTCTAGAGGGGATAATTGGGACCACCGAGTGATTGCCCTATTTCTATCAGCATGATGCAATCTGTCGGGTCGCCCCGTTCCGCTGACTGGCAATGCGTGGGGAATCTTACTAACAGCGAGAGAACAGACCACAGCGCGGTTTTATGTTGCTTACCTCCCACCGTATTACATCTCGCGTCTATCAAGTTGCAAGGCATCTTTTCGACCGTAGAATGGCATCTGTACCAAGCACCATCGAAGCCATCGCAATCTCCAATGTCGATGATTCGAATCAATCAGCCGAACTGATAAGATAACAAATGCCATATAGACCGGCGACTTTGATGTTATCGAGAAGCAGACACTACCGTTCAAGCCAGAGGCCTCTGATATCGTTGTCAAAGTCAGTTAAAGACTTCTTGATCCCGCCAACACGATCGCTAAGACCTGCGTGTGTGCTATAGGTCGAAGTATGTTTCTTCCGACCCACCTGGCAAGCGAACCTTGAATAAGGCTGATGATCCCAGTATTTTGGAGTTAATTTCATCGACACATACTACAGGTGCATGATGTCGTTAGGCTTCACCCATACAAACGAAATTAAATCGCAACAGAAAGGGACTATACCCCTTAAAATCCTTCCCAGCAGTCTTGGGTAAAGAAACGGCTGGAACGATCGTAGCGTTGCCCACCGATGAGAAGGTACTCAACGATCCCGACTATCAAGCTCGTAAGTACACAATTGGAGGGAAGGTTGCAGTGGTAAGATCCTCATAACAAATCTTCGTTGATTTGAATCGGAAGCTTAAAGCTACTGTGTGATGTAGGATTGGTTAGGAACTCACTCAAGCTATGTGGCGGTACCATACAAGCTCGTATATTGTGTACCCGACTCCGTGTCAACATTAACGGCGGCAGCGGGCCTTGTACAGGCCATTACCGCAGTAAGCTTCATGGACGAAGCCTACGCAGTCAAGAAGGGCGATGTCTTGCTTGTCCACACCGTCGCTGGCGGGCTCGGACTCCTTTTCACTCAATACGCCAAACACATCGGTGCCACCGTAATTGGAACGACATCGACACCGGAGAAGGCGGAACTGGCGAAGGCAAACGGCGCTGACTACGTCATTTTATATAAGAGCGAGGATACTGTGCAGCGCGTGTTGGAAATCACGAACGGCGAGGGTGTGGATGCTATCTTCGATGGTGTGGGAAAGGATACGTTGGTGTTCAGTCATTCTGAGTCGGTCTGAGGTTGGCTAATTCGGTATTGGAAGGTTCGACAATAATTTCAAGATGATCAAGAGGAAGGGGACCATCGTCTCAGTGGGCAATGCCTCTGGCGCGGTCCCTCCTTTCCCGGTCCTCAAACTAGTCGAGAAAAACGTTAAATTGCTCCGCCCAACGTACGTGAATCACACTCACGAACGAGGAAATGTGGCGTGTTGATTGATATGTCTGTTTCCAGGATGAATAATTACACGTTCACGCCTACAGAGGCATTACACTACGGCAACAAGGTCTTTGACCTTATCTCCAAAGGAGTTCTGAAGGTGCATGTCTTCAGGGAATATCCATTCACTGCGCAAGGCGTGCAACAGGCGCAGAAGGACCTGACGGGAGGCGTGTCTACCGGGAAGTTAGTGATCAACTTATCGCAGGTCTGAGGATATTAATGTCGCACCATCAAAACCTATGTATTTTATTTTGATTATCAACGGACGAAGTGTGCGTTATCATCCTGTTCATGGCGTCAATGCCAGATTCGCAGGTAAATATGGTCATTCGTACTTGGTTTACTATTTCCACGGTGTCGAGGCATGCCTCTGCTAACGAGAATCGATGAAACTGGTGTCTGGCCCACGAATGATGGCGCCTAATTATTTCAGACCGAGTACTGTACATTATCCGTTCACTTCTGTTACCTTGTGTGCCCCGCGTCAGTATGGCATCCATGAGCGAGTTCCTGCTTGACTCGCCTTACACAGCATCCCCTACTTGGAAACGGTGTCGCCTTCCACCGATTTCTGAAGTCCCTCCTTCTCAAGACCATCAAGCAAGTCATCCAGATGACTGATAATGCTATCCACCTGCAACTCTACACCACTAGCAATCCCGTCCGCGCTCTGCAGATACGATAGAAGTTCCTGCAAGCTAGCGTCCGGGTTTGTAGCGGAATCACCCATAGACTCCGTTTGGTTCAGCAATTTGGCTAGACGCGCGATGTCTGCATCGAGAGACGGTGAGAGTGATTCCGGCGAAGTTTGTGTCGATGAAGCTTTCTCCGCATTCGGACTTTGGGATGTTTGCGCGTTGGAAGACATGTTGCCGCAGCGATGGCGGATGAACTGAGGAAATCCCAAGTCCCTTTCACGTGATTGTCTCCCCTTTCTACTCCTTTTCCTCCCTTTTCCTGACCTCCTTGAGTCTCGAGCCACCAACACCCTTTACGACGTCTGAAGAGTTTCAATAAGAGATCCCCCTCGAAGACTGATAGAAGCGACGATAAAGAGCCTCGAGCCCAAAGATCATGTTGATATGTGTAGATCGCTCGACACTGAGCGGCTCGTTCAGCTACAACGATTAGTTGTCTTCCGCGAAGGTCTTGTATCCAACACCGTCGATATGGCGTTGGTGGACGTCTCGAAACGCGAATATATCAGGACCGTGAATATCACAAGATACGCTCTGGACGATGATATTCCTGTGCTGACCCACTGGGAGTCGGGACGCAGAGGAGGAGCGCAGAGATTGGGCTGGTGATCGTCTAGCATTGTTGACATGGAATCAATTAAAGGAGAGGATGCAGAAAGAGGATGGATGGAAAGAAAAAATCGAACGCTCGGCGTCAGACGATGTATAGAGCGAATAATCCATTTTCTGGGTCCAATAGATGTAAGATTCATGTATGAGGGTTACTCGGCTACCGATTGTAGAAAATCGTAGGCTCTATATATACTATTGCTGTCGCGACCTTCGAAGTATAGATCATGTTCCTGGGCATTTCGAGTTAGGCAAGTAGAAGGGACATGCACTTGTGACTAACATTTGAGAATATACCGAACGCCAACTTGAATCGAAGTCCGTGCTTGGATCCCGAATCGTTTATAGCACTGTAGATTGAATCAACATCTGGTTCGTGGAAGGAGTATATGCTGGGAGAGAATTCACTTCAACATCGTTTCGCTAGAATCTTCGTCAATGAATATTGCCTTCTGGCGATCAATCTAAAAGGGGTCAGTCATTAGACAACACTGCTCATGGAGGCACATGCCTCAAGATACGTCAAAAGTATATCGTTCCACCCGGCAGACAGTTTCGCTAGCATGTGCAGTTCCGGGTTGTTGGAATACTCATTAACTACGTTATAAAGCACTTCAAAAATGGTGGAAACAATGATCTCGCAAATATGTGAACTGACCTTGAGCATCAGGGAAATTACATCATACTTTTTTCGCCTTGCTCAACCTTGTACAAGCTTGAGCAAGCGGGAAAAGGCCGAAATCATGTAAGTCAGCAAGGAACCTAGCTAAGTTATAAAAGTAGTGAGAAACGGGTAATTAGGAAGTAAAAATAAGTGTGAAAAGTGCGAAAAAGCTAGATAAAGTGATTAAAGTACGCAAGGCAGTAGAGGTATGGTTGACTTGAGCGAAGGAATAAGCAAACTCTATTATCTAAGGAGACATTGGCAACATTGCACGGCCTTCATCAAGCATTGACATTTCAACATCTTCTTCAACATCGGAGGTGTCGCAATACGGGGCCAAAACTCTATCCCACCATTCATCCGACTTCGAATCGAAGTTTTTATTGTATTGTTTGACCCAGAGGCCGCATGTCTTCTCGTTAAAGTCAGTGCCCACGTATTGGCCCGTTTTATGGGAGCGAACGGCCTTCTCAAACTAGATGTTGAAACGAGATATCAGTGATGAGAAATATAAAGAAAGAAGGGCATACCGATGTGAGTAGCAACACAAATAGGCCACGAGGGGGACCGAAGTCAAGTGCCGCTGTGTCACGATCTCGGAGGAAACGGCGGCCCAACTCAATCATGGCGGGGGATCGTAAAAACCCAGAAGGTGGCTGCAATGAGAACAACATTAACTATTGCTCTCGCGATAGTCCAGTAGAGCATACCTCGTAATTGGGATCCTTTGGATTCCATGAACCATCCCTCGGAACTGGTTTTTCGTAGAAGATTGGGCTCCCATATGTTTTGCAGAAGTACGAGACCCATGCAATGATGCTATCAGGTCCCCACTGCTGAAGGCTAAAAAAATGGGTCAGATAGCTCAAGACACTATTATAGATCCTTCCCCGCTTCTCAGTAACGCGTTGACAACCCTAGATGATTGTAGTATATCAAGAATGGGTATAATGAGAGAGAGACATACTATAAGGTAGAGAGTGTCATCTGGTTCAAGTTCATAATGAACATCTGGCCATATCGTCTTGAACGCGGTGCGTGACAGTTCAAGGAATGCGGGTGAACCCTTCATAAAGTCGTCAAATGGTTTGGATGAGGCATATAGCCCACTATAGATGGTTGAAAAGTAGCGCTCTCGGAAGAATGAGATAATCGACGGCAGTGCAGAGACCAACAAGGTTCCCTTGGGCATTGCGAAAATGCTGTCAGCGCCAGTACCCGCCGTCTCCTTTTTTGCTGCACGATCTGATGTCACCGATGCCGATGCATGCTTGATACCTGTTCTACTAGTATGTGTTCTCGGTTGAGGGTTGGCAGTCACCTTGTGCTGCGAAGCTGGCTTGACAACGTTCCGGGTATTTGGTTTGCGTTCCGTTGGAGGGTCCATTGTGACATTCATAGGCACCGAGACAAGCTGAATGGCATGTAGATTGTTGTTAATATTGCTGGCAGTGTAATATAAAATACTTACTGTGTTGGTTCTTTGCAGATTACGCTGCGATGCTTTGGCAATCGTGGCATTGGCAGCATTTCGATTGAACTTCAATGGAGACGGTGGAAAATCAGGCCTCGTTGAGTCGGCCGCTTCATCATCAATTGCAGTAACAACTCGATTGGGTGACACTTGTGGTAAATTATTTCCCAAGTTGGCCAACCAGGCTGCATTCAGGCCGGATGCAACCGGTTGACTGCACCGAACAATGTGAGTGTGGGCCTTCACTTTTCGTCGTCTTCACTCACGCTACTTTGCCAGTCCCTCTCTTCTTTGCACTTGGCTTCCGTGCTGCAACTTGCGCTCGAATGGCAGGTTTCTTGACATTTGTGGGGATTCTTGTCTATAATCAAGAGAATCAGCGACTTGTAAGTACAAAAATTTGATTCCTAAGTTAGGCCTGACCTTAGCATTGGTAGATTCATCGTCTTCAGGTGACGAATCCGAGTCGTCGCTAAACACCATCTCTGTCAAACCAGCAAACTCGCCTCCATCACTCTCAATTTGGGCAGGGCGAACCATATCCGATATGCGGCGAACACGGTGGGCGCGCTCAGCTGTCTGAGTGAAGGACTCATCCACCTCCATCGCCACAAGTTCATCCTGTGCTGCTTCAGCTTTCTCTTTCTGAAGTTGTCGTTGATTAGCCTTCTCAAGCTTCTGGGCTCGCTTTACTGCTGCCTTCTCAGCCTTTGCCTGCTTTCCTGTTGGATCTATATTCCGGCCTGCACGCTGAGGCCGTGGGCTGCGCCGAACTGCATCTACTCTTGGCTATAGTCTCTAACGTGAGTACAACTTCAGTCGCTGATAGTCACCTTGCTTACCATCCTTGCAATAGCAGCTATCGGTGGCTCATCTGCAATGGCCTCACCCTCTATCGGTACTTCAGCAGTATTCTTCGACCTCCCGCGTCTTTTGGAGGCAGGTGGTGGCACTGCGGCTATTCTAGGCTCTTCAGCAGCCTTTCTCTTGCTAGCACGCACCATTGTAATGTTGGTAGGTGCAGCAACAGGTTCTTTGAGGGTTGTGGGCTTTTTTGGAGGCATGCGAGTAGTTGAAGAAGAAGAACAGACAGCCAATTTATTGGTGTGATCGGCTGAGGTTGATATTGTCAGGGAAGGTCCGACCGATATATTGCTTTCTCCCGCTCATCGCATATTATTTGCTCATATTTTCATTCTATTTTACTCGCTCAATTACTGTGTCAGTCAGTTTGCTGCGACCATGGTCTCTGTTCTCAATTGCCCTATTTCTGCCTGTACGCGCACCTTCTCAAACCAAGCCGGGCTCACGCAGCACGTTAATGCTTACCACCATCAACATCCTGACTCAGAGCCTGACTCAAGTGACGGCGATGAAGAGTCCACGCAAACATGGTCGCATCCCTTCCTCACAGGTACGTACAGTCTTATACACCGACAGATTCTCTGTTCATTAACGACAGTATGGTTCACAGCACAGCCATGTGATGAGCTTGGGAATTACCTCCCTCCGCACACTCCGCCTCCACCGTTTGAACCTTTGGACGCAACACCATCAAATCCATGGAACCCATTCCCTGACCGCCTTGCTTTTCAATGGGCAGACTTCTATTTCAGTGATTTACAAGCCTCGGAGCGTCGCATCAACAAAGGGCTTGAACTATGGGCTGCAGAGGTGGAGAAATCAAATTCGGAATCTCCGTGGAAGAACGCAGATGATCTATTTTCTACCATTGATGCTATCCAGGAAGGTGCCAACCCATGGGTTTCAGTTCCTTTCCATTATCACGGCACTTTGCCGCCGAACCCACCAAAGTGGATGACAGACACATACGAACTGTGCATGCGCAACATCCTTTCTGTCCTCTGTGAGCAAATCTCATGTACAAGCTTCAATGGACATTATGATTATGTTCCATATCGACAATTCAATTGCTCTGGTGATCGGGTGTGGACAAATTTGATGTCTGGTGAATGGGCGGCAAAACAAGCCGTACGTTATCTTCATTCTCTTCAGTTGTTGCACAAAACTCAACCAATATGGTGATATATCAGGATATAATCTCGCGTGATGACTCTACGCACGGTGCAATGTTTGTTGGTGTTGTAGCTGGCAGTGACAAGACTGTCGCATCCGTTGCAACTGGACATCAAGAGTTTCACCCTGTTTACATTGGACCAGGAAACATCGATAACTCAGCACGTCGTGCGCACGGAAATGGAATGCTACCCTGTGCAATCCTTCCCATCCCCAAAGGTGAATAATCCCATATATTTGACTTGATTTTGCAGCTGAAACCGGCCTTGATAGCTAGTCAAAAAGAGCGGAAAACCATTGTATATCAACGTTTTTGTCGCCAACTTTACCATTCATGTTTGGCATTCCTTTACGGACCATTGAAACAGTCCATGACTGTCCCGGAAGTGATACGCTGCCCAGATGGCCATTACCGACGGGCCATTTTCTCAATCGGGCCGTATATCGCAGACTATCCCGAGCAAGTGTGGTTAGCTGGGATCGTCTCGACTTGGTGTCCTAAGTATACCGCCAGTTCCTTCTTACTAGCACAGAATTCATCTGATCATGATCATCATAGATGTGATGCACGCCCAGAGCATCTTGATGATAGCACCGCTCATCTACGAACTCATGAGAAGGCTGATGTGCTGTTGGAGCTTTTTGATCCCGGGATTGTATGGGATGAGTATGGTTTGCGTAGCGATGTTGTGGTGCGTGCCACAATCATGAGAATCAACCACATACCGATTTGAACATTGAGTCTAGCCGTTCACTCATGGATTTCCTCGTGCGGATATCCATGAGCTCATTACTCCAGATTTACTCCACCAACTAATCAAGGGAACTTTCAAAGACCACCTCGTCACCTGGGTCCAAGACTACATACTACAAACTCACACAAAGTCAATAGCATTGGCCATCATTCAGGATATTGACCGACGGTAAGCATTGAACCAATGCCATTAGAGGTCAAGGCTGAACCCCTGGATTGAAGAATATCAGCTGTACCACCATATCCTGGCCTGCGCCGCTTCCCCGATGGCAGAGATTTCAATCAATGGACGGGGGATGATTCGAAGGCATTGATGAAGGTGTGTGTACGATATCAAAGTTCATCTCCCCTCTAAATAGTGTCTTCGTATACCATGGTTATAGGTCTATCTTGCTGCCATTTGCGGGCATGTTCCTGCGGAAATGGTACGGTCAATCACTGCATTTGTGAATTGCTGTTACCTCGTTCGGCGTAACTCTATATCGACTAAGGACCTTCAACGCTTCCGCCTCCATCTTGCCGACTTTCATCACTACCGACAAATCTTTCTTGATAAGAATGTTCGTTCCGACCTATCATTACCACGGCAGCATGCACTCATGCACTACGCAGATGGCATTGAACTCTTTGGGTCCCCAAATGGGCTATGTACGTCGATAACCGAGTCGAAGCACATTCCTGCGATCAAACAACCTTGGCGTCGGTCAAACAGAAATAAACCCCTCAAGCAAATGCTTCAAACGATTGTTCGGTTAGATAAGATGTTCGCCCTACGGCAAGTATTCACGCAACGCCAAATGTTGGCAGGCTCCATCGTTGATCACACTGCAAGGGCCGTAGCCAACGACCACCCCCCAATTCTGCCGTTCCGAGGTTCTACTCTGGCGTTCGATTATGGGGAGGACGAGACAAGTGACAACGAGCAGCAAGAGAAGCCACTAGATATTGAATATGAGTCTGTTTCGGGACCACGCACAGATACACTGGTTTGGTTGGCGACAAGGCGACGTTCGTATTCATGTCTTTTTCACCATTTACGGTACTGACATACCCTTCTACCTCAGAATACGGCTACCCACAAATGTTAACTGCGCTCGCTGATCACATCAGCCTGCCTGATTTCCCTGACACCCTTCGCCAGTTTATACATACCCGCAACCATCCTCTAGCCGACCTATCACAGAATGGATCCACCGTAGACAACTTGTTCAATGGTCCGATTCATGTCTATCATTCGGCTACCATTCAATTCTACGCTCCAAGCGAGCTATGTGGGGAGGGTGGGATGCATCGGGAAATGATTCGTTCCAACCCCCGCCTTAGCGGCTCACCACGCTACGACACCGTTTTCGTCTCAGCAGGCAGGGAGGACGGTGACACAATGAATGGCCTGCTTGTGGCCAGAGTTCGGCTTCTGTTCTCGTACTTCGATGTGTACACGGAGAAGCAAGTACCGTGCGCGTTAGTTCATTGGTTCGTTCACCCAGACAACATGCAAACTCGTCACCCGGACACAGGAATGTGGGTTGTCAGTGCGGAGCATGAGGAAGACGGCTACCAACCTATGCAAGTTATCCACCTCGATACAATCCTTCGCGGGGCCCATTTGGTACCATGTTTTGGCAACGGCTTTCTCCCAGAGAGTTTCGACCACAGTGATGCCCTTGACGCATTTGATAACTACTTCGTTAATCAATTTATTGACTATCATGTACACGAACTTTTGACTTAGTGATCACTTGTAGCTACTTTTGCACACTTTTTTGCTTTTCTGCTTGCACTGGAACATGAACATGCAGCTTGCGGTACTTGGGGCTGTAGCCACTGCAATGCATGGCCTGTACGGGTCCTATTCATTCATAAATAGTACTTAGCAAAATAGATAGCCATTGTGTCAGATAGGAGATGGAGATAATGTCTGCACTAAAGAAGGAGATAACAGATGGAAACTTTAGGCCCAGTATAAGTTGTAAGCTGCAGTGTAGGCAATTGCAGAAAGAATAGTGGTAAGCATTAACATATAACAGACTTCAGGCCTGTGTTAAGAGCCACGCTTGCAGAGGGACTTGGGAATACGCAGACCTGCGGGTGTAAGGGGACACTCCTATTTCCTCTCCTTTTCTTCATCCCATGGACTCTTACCTACATTTCCTTTGTTCCCCTTTGTTCCTTTTCGCTTCCTTTCCTTTCCACTTCCTTTCCGCCCACTCCTTTCGCATCCGAGCCACGTCCGGTGACTCCAGAGTCTTCCCGCACTTCGGACTCGCTCGGACTCGCTTCGGACACTTCGGACACCTCGGACTCGCTTCGGACACTTCGGACTCGCTCGGACTCGTCTATACTCTTCGGGGCTCGTCCGGGTTACCTCTATCCTCTTTCCCCACTTCGTTACCCTTCACCCTTACTTCCCCAAGTTGCTGGCACGACTCCTGTGCATTTACCCTCCACTTCATTATCACATGTTTCCTTGTACCTTGTGATATTCGCTCGGACTTGTGGCTGGTGTACTGTACAGTTATCCTGCATTCCTCTCACGCTACTACAGTATATACTTCCCCTCCTAGCATGGAGAATCCTTATCCTGTTCTCTTTGGATTCTCCCTCTGCTAGGCTTGCACTGTGCGGCCATCTTGAGGCTGCCCTCACAGGTAACTCGGATGAGCCCCGAAGAGTATAGACGAGTCCGAGCGAGTCCGAAGTGTCCGAAGTGCGGGAAGACTCCGGAGTCACCGGACGCGGCTCGGATGCGAAAGGAGTGGGTGGAAAGGAAATGGAAAGGAAAGGGAGCGAAAAGGAACAAAGGGAATGTAGGTAAGAGTCCATGGGATGAAGGAAAGGAGAGAAAATAGGAGTGTCCCCTTACAGGATGCAAGGGAGAGGCCTCAGTAGAGAGGCAAGGATGTGAGTGCGGAAAGGAACTAATACTCGAACTGAGGTAGCTGTAGGTACAGTACAAGACTATATACTGAGGAACATGCAGTAGCCGCGTGTTCATGAGACAGTTAGTAGTCTGGTCATAATAAGTATGTACAGTGTGCTCAAATATGTATTTAGTCCATAATCCAAGAAGTCCGAGTAACTGCGAGTATACGCAGCCAGAGCCCATAGCCAGAGTGCACGCGAATATGCCCCTCGTATCCCCTAAGGGGCCTCCTGGATGCGCCTATAACATATACAGAGTATAGGAGATTCAAAAACATTACTCAAATTGCTGAGAACTCATATTCATATACTCTTTCTCCATTCAATAACAGTGGACTCTTGTAAATGTACAGTGCTGCTTTTTTGCCTCCAGCTACTCCAGGATCTAGATGCTATTCTACTATATAGTAAGACAGTGATTGATCTAATTACTTGAAATACCAATTCAAACATATTCCTGGGAATAACTACTACACTTGTCATGTAAAACTAGTTATCCACTCTACAGATGTGCATATCTCTGCTAGTTGGTTATGAATTATATATTATCAGACTTATCCACATGTACTGATCAACCATGTTCATTTGAAATTGCCATTGTTGACAATTTGTTGACTCTCTTGACACTCTATTACACTACTGATATTACAGAGTTAATATGATACATGTGAAATATCATATTTAATGCCAGAGTGTAAGTCTACAATATGAGCATAAATGAAACAGTGAGTATGACTGCTGAGCAGTGTTTTGAGGGGCTCCCCTGAGGCTCCCCCTGAATATTGATTAATATGGCAACTTACATGATCTCTGGTGCTAACTCTCATTTAGCTTTGGAAGCTCTCCCACGTGTACAAGTGAGGAAAGGCTGATTGAATTGAATTAACATTGAATACAAAATTAGATTAAATTAAATTAAAATTAAACAAGATCCCGAGATTCCAGATGACCGGCTACCGGCTACAGCAGTAGCCGTCCACTTAAGGAAGCGCCCAAAACCCCCACCCAAATAAAGAACGGTTCCTTTCATTTCATTACAGGACCCGTAACTTCCGCACTTTTGCCCTTGCACAGGCCCCGAAAAGTGAAAAAGGGCGCAAGTGAGGTGTAAATTCCCTGATGAGACGTGTGGGCCGGAGAGTTGCTGTTCATGAGCACGACAAAGAATCCCTGTGCAGCAAGTACTTCGCAGAGTGTAAGTTTAGCGGCCGCCGTGGTGGTATACTTATACGTACCATTTGGGTTCGACAACTTGAACCATTGCTCACTCCAAGCACCAGAGCCTCCACCGCTGTATTAGCCTGTGGAAGAAACGCGATCCCGTATTGCTCACCTTCATAATGAATCAGGACTACAGGCCGTTTGATCCCATCGTTCTTAATCCAACCCTTTGGCTTAAGTAGCCATCCATGGGCATTTTCCATCCCTGGGATCTCAAATGCCTCGCCCTCGGTCAAATTAGTGCGTTGAACAGTGTCATCGTTAAGATGCGAAACTTGTTCGACTACTTTTGCTCCTTGTGGATTGTGGATAATTATGACTTCGTTCGGGGAGGCATAAGATAGTCGAGTCGCTAGGATGTTGCCATTTGGAAGTGCTTGGATTCTGCTTAGCGAGGTAGTCTCGGTTATCAGGTTCGGGACAGGAGAGTCGAGGGGTCCGGAAAGGGGCGTTTGAGGGATGAGTAAGGAGTACACGGAGACTAGAATGTCGTTTGCAGAGATGAAATACAAAGTGTTGTCCACCTTCGAGAACTGTTGGGTGTTGTTATGGTTGATTCATTTTTATATCAGTGGGCTTACCACCAAGGATGCAGACGTGAGGTCCATGTCATCTATCAACGTAAATTCGATGTCTTGGACGATGTCGTATACGACGATCCTGGAGCTGGTGGCGGGGATGAGCGGCGTAGGCATACAATCAGGGCAACACTTTACTTTTCCTTGCCTTTGATCTCGACCCACGCTGCCTTCGTACCAGCATGGTTCAGCGTTGGGCTGACGACAACCCTAGCTGACGCTATACGGCGCGGTATCGTAGAGCCATCGATGGTGTTCACGTATATCTGAAGGTAAGATGAGATGAGCCGGAACACGGTTGAGTGGGAGAAGGCTCTACGTCTTGAGGGAATCGGCAAGTGCAATCAGGTATTTCAACTTCGGCTTCAGTCCTGTAGATAATACGAGTCCTTGAAACGTCGTAGTGACGTTCTGTACTGATATCGGGCAGTTGCTACGTAGCTGGTTTAATGCGAATTGACGGACCCAGAGAACGTGCGGCGTACTTCATGCGGAATCAATCGAGCATAGTCAGTGCCCAGAGACCATGCATCACTATCCGCCTTCAAAAGGCTCACCGACATCAGTGTCGGCATGTCGCCTCTATTGGTAGTTTTCAGCAAAGCTTGGTATTGGTATCAAGCCTGAGTTCGTAAACACATACGTTGCTCGGTCTTCCATTACCCTAGTAAGCATGGACGTATAGTCTGGCGGTGGGCCATCAAAATACACAGGGGCCTCTTCTGGTCGATACATAGTGAAATTGTCGTCCTCGGGTATCTGATCATAGAAAACAAGTCGCTGAGCCTGAGGGAGGTATCGAAAGTCTGACCCAGTAATGGTAGGTAGAGTTGCTACGAAGGACGAGTGAAGAACACGCAGATAACCAGCGTCGTCGTCGAGTGAGTCTTTCAGATTACGGGTCCTGTAATGAAATGAAAGGAACCGTTCTTTATTTGGGTGGGGGTTTTGGGCGCTTCCTTAAGTGGACGGCTACTGCTGTAGCCGGTAGCCGGTCATCTGGAATCTCGGGATCTTGTTTAATTTTAATTTAATTTAATCTAATTTTGTATTCAATGTTAATTCAATTCAATCAGCCTTTCCTCACTTGTACACGTGGGAGAGCTTCCAAAGCTAAATGAGAGTTAGCACCAGAGATCATGTAAGTTGCCATATTAATCAATATTCAGGGGGAGCCTCAGGGGAGCCCCTCAAAACACTGCTCAGCAGTCATACTCACTGTTTCATTTATGCTCATATTGTAGACTTACACTCTGGCATTAAATATGATATTTCACATGTATCATATTAACTCTGTAATATCAGTAGTGTAATAGAGTGTCAAGAGAGTCAACAAATTGTCAACAATGGCAATTTCAAATGAACATGGTTGATCAGTACATGTGGATAAGTCTGATAATATATAATTCATAACCAACTAGCAGAGATATGCACATCTGTAGAGTGGATAACTAGTTTTACATGACAAGTGTAGTAGTTATTCCCAGGAATATGTTTGAATTGGTATTTCAAGTAATTAGATCAATCACTGTCTTACTATATAGTAGAATAGCATCTAGATCCTGGAGTAGCTGGAGGCAAAAAAGCAGCACTGTACATTTACAAGAGTCCACTGTTATTGAATGGAGAAAGAGTATATGAATATGAGTTCTCAGCAATTTGAGTAATGTTTTTGAATCTCCTATACTCTGTATATGTTATAGGCGCATCCAGGAGGCCCCTTAGGGGATACGAGGGGCATATTCGCGTGCACTCTGGCTATGGGCTCTGGCTGCGTATACTCGCAGTTACTCGGACTTCTTGGATTATGGACTAAATACATATTTGAGCACACTGTACATACTTATTATGACCAGACTACTAACTGTCTCATGAACACGCGGCTACTGCATGTTCCTCAGTATATAGTCTTGTACTGTACCTACAGCTACCTCAGTTCGAGTATTAGTTCCTTTCCGCACTCACATCCTTGCCTCTCTACTGAGGCCTCTCCCTTGCATCCTGTAAGGGGACACTCCTATTTTCTCTCCTTTCCTTCATCCCATGGACTCTTACCTACATTCCCTTTGTTCCTTTTCGCTCCCTTTCCTTTCCATTTCCTTTCCACCCACTCCTTTCGCATCCGAGCCGCGTCCGGTGACTCCGGAGTCTTCCCGCACTTCGGACACTTCGGACTCGCTCGGACTCGTCTATACTCTTCGGGGCTCATCCGAGTTACCTGTGAGGGCAGCCTCAAGATGGCCGCACAGTGCAAGCCTAGCAGAGGGAGAATCCAAAGAGAACAGGATAAGGATTCTCCATGCTAGGAGGGGAAGTATATACTGTAGTAGCGTGAGAGGAATGCAGGATAACTGTACAGTACACCAGCCACAAGTCCGAGCGAATATCACAAGGTACAAGGAAACATGTGATAATGAAGTGGAGGGTAAATGCACAGGAGTCGTGCCAGCAACTTGGGGAAGTAAGGGTGAAGGGTAACGAAGTGGGGAAAGAGGATAGAGGTAACCCGGACGAGCCCCGAAGAGTATAGACGAGTCCGAGCGAGTCCGAAGTGTCCGAAGCGAGTCCGAGGTGTCCGAAGTGTCCGAAGCGAGTCCGAGCGAGTCCGAAGTGCGGGAAGACTCTGGAGTCACCGGACGTGGCTCGGATGCGAAAGGAGTGGGCGGAAAGGAAGTGGAAAGGAAAGGAAGCGAAAAGGAACAAAGGGGAACAAAGGAAATGTAGGTAAGAGTCCATGGGATGAAGAAAAGGAGAGGAAATAGGAGTGTCCCCTTACACCCGCAGGTCTGCGTATTCCCAAGTCCCTCTGCAAGCGTGGCTCTTAACACAGGCCTGAAGTCTGTTATATGTTAATGCTTACCACTATTCTTTCTGCAATTGCCTACACTGCAGCTTACAACTTATACTGGGCCTAAAGTTTCCATCTGTTATCTCCTTCTTTAGTGCAGACATTATCTCCATCTCCTATCTGACACAATGGCTATCTATTTTGCTAAGTACTATTTATGAATGAATAGGACCCGTACAGGCCATGCATTGCAGTGGCTACAGCCCCAAGTCAAGACTCAGCGCCTTCAAGTTGTACTTCTCATACGGATAGTCTTCCGTCTCGATATGGACGATGTGGGCAATGGTACGCGAGTCAAGCCAGAATACGGAATCTCTGTCGCTGAGCGTAAACTCATGAGTTTGCTGGACAGCCATTCCCAGTGACGAAAGTAGCATCGAATGCTGATACCTGCAATAGTACACGGTCAGACGCGTCTTTAGTGTCAAAGTTCGTGCCTACTCTGCTTCTGTTTCATTGTAGGTCTTAATGGGGAGCAAGAACATATCCCCTGTCGGATTGGCGATGCCCGCTCCTGTTTTTTTCATTGACACCATATCCATTGGCGAAAACACGTCGTCTCCACGCGTGAAGTTGAATTTTGGCGGCCTCTCCTTCGGGGGCCAGAACGGTAGCAATGAAGCCAGATGAAATAGTGGAAACTGCATGGTGGTGCAGAGTAGAGAGAGAGATAGATTTGGCACATGAGGCCTGGTCTCTCTCCGCTGAGGACTCCGTACATGACTCGAATGTACCTGGCCCTGATCATTGGCCTTTCATGATTCAACTCTTCAGCTAGGATATGATTCTCTACCTGTTTATCTTTATGACTCAACAATCTGGTTTAGGTCGATGCAAGTCGCGACGGCTACTCACTGAGAAACCATTAGTCGCCCCAAATCCGACGCGGAGAGAAGGGGGACGCGTGATGAAATCTCTTCCTAGTTCTATGGGACATAATTTCAAGGAATGTACGAAATTTGAAGCATTTCACTGCTACCTAGAACTTGTTGAGCGGGGTTCTTTTATGAGTGCGACTCCTATACTGCCGTACCACGTGCAGAAGAAAGATAGGAGACGGCACCATGTAGACTTCGTCCTTCATTCCTTTCTCTCATGAGTGTTTTCAAGTTTCAGGCAGACTTTGATGCGTTGATCAAATCTCTCGACTCTCAGCCCGCGACCCAGGAATCCTTAGATCGTCTTGTTGAAAAAGCTCTCCAAGACACGAAGGGAAAGGCTTCACTCGAGAACCGGAAGAGCATCTGGGAGTACCTGCTAAAGAATGAGATCCTTAATTTTGCAGTATGTGTTTCATTCTATCTCTCAGAACCTAGCATTCAGAGCGTGTAGTGCAAAGAAGGACAGGCATTGAAAGCGAAGGATCTCGTGTACTATGATAACTTGCGCCACAGACTTGACCTAGCTTTGACATTCACCGAGCACGGTTGGTTCGTTTCCTGGTTCTTTTCTGCGATTTGGGGATGCTGAACGCGCTGGCATAGATGCATGTGACCAAACCTTCCCTTTCGTTGTCCTTGCGGACGTGCTAGAGACTCAGACAATCGCGTCTTGTTCACATGTCTTCTCCTGGCTCGAGTCTCGCTCTCAGAGACTTACCGCGGGGATGGTTCCTCAGAAAGGGAAGGCGCTATATCTTCTACGTACTTTGAACGACCTGCTGCGCCGGCTTTCGAAGATGGGATCGAATACCATATTCTGTGGCCGAATCTTAACGTTTCTGAGCACGGTCTTTCCACTGGGCGAACGAAGTGGTGTTAACCTTCGAGGGGAGTACGGGCCTACATGGGAGGCTGTAGGGGAACCACAGAAACCGAAAGACCCAGACACAATGAAGGTCGACGAACCAGCAAGCAAAGCAGATGACTCGACGGACAAAATGGATGTGGATGAGAAGAAAACACAACCGTCTGACTCAACGGACAAAAAAGAAGGTGCGCTGCTTGTTCCTTACTTTGCGATCTCATATCGAACATTCTCAGAGTTCTACCACACGTTCTGGTCACTGCAGCTGTATTTCTCAAAGCCCCCGCTATTCGCGAATCCCGGTGTCTTCGATGACTTCAGAGACGGCGTCAATAAAGTACTGCCTGTGATCAAGGAGGCGACGGCGAAAGAACGCGCGATGATGGGCAGCAGGGCCAGTAATCAGAGCGCGAACAAGAGGAAACGGGAGTCGGAGCACGTCGAAGAAATTTCAACTAGCGATTACTTCTTTGCCAAGTTCCTCACTAGTCCGGAACTACTTGATCTTGAGGTTAGCTACTACCCTTTGTCAGACACTTCACTAGTTAATCTGCCTTCCAGATCGCCGATACGCATTTCCGGCGACAATTCCTATTCCAGTTACTGATCCTTCTCAACCATCTTCTAACGTTTACTAAGACCACCAAGGAGACATGGTCGACTCCTCGGAACCGGTCACTGCACATGGACTTTACACTCGGGGCGCCGGAAGCGCAGTGGGTGCAGGAAACGATCAACAAGGCGTTCGAGGAGCTTCGACAGACTGCGCCGAATGGACGGGCGTTCGCGGAGACCGTGGCGACTATTCTGGAGCGGGAGAAGAGCTGGGTCAAGTGGAAAAACGAGCTGTGCCAGCCGTTTGATAAGGAGCCGTGGTCCGTCGAGGTTGATGGCCGGCAAGTGGGTCTGGAGGAGGCCACACGGGAGCAAAGACAAAAGCTCAGAGAGGATCCGAAGGAATGGGAGTGGGCTCTAGGCTCGGAACCATTGACTGACATATGGGCAATGGGATACCGCGAACTGAGTGATCTAGCCTCGCCTTTCCAGTTGAGTGTACCACTGCTATTTTTACTCGTGATGCTAACGACGATAACACAGACCTGGCGATGTTAAGGACTTTGTGAAGAAAATCAAGCAGGAGGATACGAGGATAGAAATGCGGAAGAAATTCCTGGCTCGGACAGCTGAACGACGGAGTGCAATGCAAAAGGCTGCATCGCCAGCCCCTCCGCCAGTAATTACTGTAACTGAGAAGGAAGACAAGGCAGACGGACCTCCAGGCGCGCCATCGACTGGTTCTACGCTGCATCCATCATTACCAGCGAAACCTGGGAGCACTCCAGCTGCAACACCCACTACCACTTCCACCGCGCCTGCTCCTGCCGCGCCCACACCCTTGCCGGCCCCCGCCCCCGTTCAACCCTCGGTCCCCGCGCCAGTACAACCGGCACCGGTTATCGTGGACGAACAGATAGCCAAATACGAAGAAGTGCGTGTACATTGCTCGTCATTTGTTTGCCAGATAACTGATAGGCGTTTGTAGAACAAAACTCGTTGGGGATGGCTCGCTCTCCGCACGGCCCGGGATCAGCATCTGCAGCACTTCGGCAAAATCGGGGCGGGTGATATCGAGCTTCTTGCGCAGGAGATTGAGAAGGAGAAGGAAGAGCGGGAGAAAGCTGCTGTCAAGGATGAGGAGACGGCCGGCGCGACTGCGGGAACTGGTACGGAAGAAGTAACCGCTGGGAGCCCAATGGTAGGCACACAGACAACAGAGGAGGCTAAGCCTGCTCCAGAAGCCGTCTCGAAACCTCCACAAGAGCCTGAAACATCGAAGACAGCGAAAGATGCTGAAGGCGATGTGAAGATGAGTACACAATGAGCGACCCATACAGCACAGGTACAGGTACATAGTAGATTGATTCAGTTATGTTCTATTCAGATTTATTCTTCCGCACGAATGCCTCTGGGCGCGTTACGTCCAGCTTATCATAGTCTAGCGAGTACGTAGCAACACACCCATTGAATCGCGTGTTTCGTTTCACAGCCTTGACGCGTGATCGAAAATTCTTTCGCCCAAGTCCGAACCAAATATTTTGGGCTCATATATCAGAGTGCAAGGACATCTCCACTTTTCTTGATCACCCATCTGACTGAATATCGAGCCAATAGGACGTCTATCAATGGTTGAAGCGCCATCCCCACTCAAGGTATGTGCCATCTGAGGCGCAGATGCTCGCATAGGGGCTCCTGATGTTCACGATCCTGGCAGCGCGTGCTGGTCACCGGAGGCGCAGGTTACATTGGTGAGGCGTCTCGATCACCCTCAAAATCTGCGATAACAGACTGTTCATGCTGCAGGATCGCATGTCGTCTACGCACTACAGAATACCCGCCGATTCAAAGTCATCTCTATTGACAACCACCACAATTCATATCCCAAGTCCCTGCTCCGTGTATCGCAGCTCTCGAAGAGTGAGCTCCCCGAAGGCGCCTCGGCGCAGGATGTAGAAACAACGGAAATCGATGCGCACAAGTGCGATCTTACACAGCCTGAGCAGATTCGGCAGGTCTTCCAGAAGTACGGGAAGGCAGGCATTTGGGGAGTAATTCACATCGCGGTGCGTTCTGCAAGTTATCTTTTTCTGCATGCATGCTCATGTGTTTGCAGGCGTACAAGGCTGTGGGGGAATCCACTGAGATACCACTCACCTATTACGCCAACAATGTTGGCGCCACTGTATCGTTGCTGCAAGTCATGGCAGAGTTCGAGTGCACGCGGATAGTCTACTCGTCGTCTGCAACTGTATATGGAATCCCCCCGATTATTCCTATACCGGAAACCACACGTCTGCAAGCCGAGAGTCCCTATGGAAAGACGAAAGTCATGGCAGAGACGATCATACAGGACTTATGCCAAGGTATGCCACTTTCCCAATTGCCACCGTTTGTATGTGTGCTTGATGGAGATCTTTTTCAGCGGAACCAGAACGGTGGCGGGCCATCTCTCTGCGTTACTTCAAGTGGGAAAGCTCTTTGACCTACCAGCAATAATTCACTGACCGATATCTAGCCCTGCCGGCGCGCATCCCTCTGGCGTGATTGGTGAGGATCCACGAGGTCGCCCGGGCAATCTCTTGCCCTTGCTCGCACATATGGCCGTAGGACGTGTTAAAGAGGATAAATTGATGGTCTTCGGAAATGATTACCCAACACCGTAAGTGCTTCTTGCCACCCCTATGTCTGTGTTCAACTATTCAACCCACCTTCGATCTATCAATTATACAGGGATGGCACCTGTGTGCGGGATTATCTGCATGTCCTCGATCTCGCTTCCGGGCATCTGCTTGCGCTGGACGCACTTGCCCCGGGTTCTACCGTCTTCGATAATTGTCCCACTCCCGCGCGTGTCAAGGCGTTCAACCTGGGAAAAGGCAAAGGGATGAGTGTATACCAGATCGTCGAGGCAATGCGCAAAGCTACGGGATTCGATTACAAGACGGAAGTCATTGGCAGGCGGTACGTTTCTTCTTCAATGGCTTCTTCGTAAATTAACGGGTTTACAGCGCTGGCGATGTCCCCGACCTCACTGCCGACCCTGCTCTCGCTGAGAAAGAACTCGGGTTCAAAGCAGACAAAGATCTCGATACAATGTGTCGCGATCTCTGGAACTGGCAGTCGAAGAACCCGCAAGGGTACGGCGAAGATTGAACGGATATTTCACCTTAATATAGAAATACGGTAGTTGGGTATGTTTTTAATGTGAGTCGCAGTCATATATAGTGCTATTGGAATCTACACGGTTGCCACTTTGCGATGTTGCCGGGCACTTTATCTTGGTGCGTACTCCTGTGCTATTCGCCAGGAGTTTTGAAGAATCAGAGCCATTCAGTTCGGGGGCAATGGGTTAGTTGCCAGTTCCTTGGACTTGGAGGCCAATCCTGCAGCTGTCAAGTATGCTCGGGCGCAGTGGTGCTATCAGTGGTTTGGTTGATTTCTTTTGCCCCTCAGGAGTTGTCGTACGGCTCAACGCCTTTCGCGGGCCTCCGGTGCTGGTCTGATTGTGTTCATGTGAACGCAGCGTTCTCCACATGATCAAATGGTGAGTGATTCGTTGATGGCTTCTTCTTCCAGATCACAAAACATTCAAAGCAGCATAGTCGTAAATGTTGACTATAGGCCTAGTTTACTGGTTTTTCAGACAAATTATCAGCTGGACGCAACGTTGCGAACCTTCTGGGGAAAGTCCTTTGGCAAAGGAGGCCGACCCTTAAGACTGACTTCAGTCGACGACGATACGGTCCCAATGTGAGAAGTTCCTCCCAGGGGTATCTATAATGGATGAGTCCCCATTGATTGGTGGCGCGGTGAAGTCAAGTGGTCTCAAGGGCGTGCAGCCAAATGGACAAATGGGACTCAGAAGATCAATTGAGAAGTCGACCAACGTACGTATCTCCACTTTGTGGCCATACAAATACGTAGTCCCCGCACCCAGTCACTTTCTCTTCACATCTTTGAATCAGTATGGGTTTCGGTATTTTGGGTATGTGGTGCTCTTTATTTGTTTGATGTTCATTATACTCAATGTAGCGTTATACTAGACGACAAGCATCTTAAAGATGTCCCTGGAACCGCACTATTAACAGACCTCGAGGTTGTACATGGAAAACAAGTGCTTGTACACGACGCGAACTTGCTAAAGCGCGGGAGCGGGAGACATGCACATATTATCCTCGTCCCCCAACCATCAGACAACCCTAATGATCCGTAAGCCATTTACCTTTCCTCCACACCATCTTCTCAAGGTGTCATCTCAGCTTAAATTGGCCTTTGTGGAAGAAAGAAGCGTGCTTTTGGTCGCTGTGAGTATGGTTTACATCACTGAAGGAAAAATGGAACTCACAGTGTTGTAGAGCATTCGCGGCCTCACTCGATGGCGCATTGTCCCCTATGGTAGGGCCAGGATACGTGCTATTGTCTAATCAATTCGGCGTATCTGTGGACACTATTGCGTCAAGTTTCGGGTCGATCTTACTTGGTCTGGCGTGCTTCATGTGTGTTCATAAACTTTCTTTACGAGAAAATCTTGCTGACTCCAAGCCACCAGGCTCTTTCAAAACGTATTCGCTGTGAAGTTCGGGCATCGAATCGTTTACCTTGGTTCAGTATCTCTGGTAGGCATTTGCAATGGTACGCCCGATGGTATCAACTAACCCACACCCGTTTATAGATGTTCATCTCTTGCATCTGGTGTGCCGCGAGCCCAAACCTGTCTTCGATACGGGCGGCTCGTGTTTTTCAAGGGTTTGGAATGTCGGCTTTGCAAAGGTAAATACCATACGCGAAGTAAATCTTGCGTAACTGATCAACTTGTCCAGTCTCGTGGCTTCAACTATCGAACAAATTTACTTGTAAGCAAAGTTGCGCTCTCTAGACACGCCCTTTCGTTAGATTTTATCAACTAGTGTTCATGAACGTGGCGCTCGCTCTGTAATATGGTCGTTCTCAATTATGTCTGGGATTACATTGTAAGCCGCTCTATTGTCTTATATTACGCGATACTGACTCGTAGTCACGCAGAGGCCCACTTCTCTATAGTTATGTGATATCCAACTTGACCTGGCAAATGGGATTCTGGTTCGTGAGTATACCTTTGGGCCTCAACGTCTTGATGATCTTCTTCCTCGTACCGGAGGTGTGTTGGCCCACGGATCACTCCTTCAAATTATGCTCACGAAGTGGATTTACTACGTTAGACCACCATGAAAAGCTCTAGTTTATCCGGAAGCTCGCCCCCGCATCCATTATCTGAGAAGCAGAGTCTCGACAAAGATAGTGTATCAGAGCACGAACGTGTAGCCAGCATTGAACAGGTTCAACCGAGACCCGCGACTTATATATCACAACTAAGCTTGTGGCATGGCACCTTCACCGACGTCAATATCCTCAAGATATTCCTCCGGCCATTCCCTTTTCTGTTGTCACCCATCGTAGGCACCTACCAATACGCCCTTGGCCTACACTGAACTCTATCGTAGACATACTTCATCTTTCTCGTCCATGGCCTACAAACAGTCTGGCTTAGTGCGTCTGTTCAGCCGTGGTGGCTTCCTTATACTGACAAATGTTAACCAATTCCCTTCAGGTCTCATGCCGATTTGTTCGTCGACCATATTTACCATCGAGTATGGGTTCAACGCCTCTGAAATTGTACGTTCCTCTCGTTTATGCTCCCCGTCCCTTTCTTACTGTGAAATACAAGGGCTTGACGAACCTTGGTGGGATTGTGGGCATTGTTCTGGCCTTGCTCGTCACCGGTCCTCTCACAGACTGGGGCACTGTATGGTTATCGAAACGCAACCAGGGGATCTACGAGCCTGAATTCCGAATATTCTTCATATCGACCATGTTATTCGGAGTATTCGGATACGCAGGATGGGCTGTTGGCACTACACATAATATGCCCTGGATCGGAGCAGTGAGTGTCGTCGTCCCATCACCATTAATATCTCTTCTCAATCTGGTCCTCAAGGTTGCTTGTATAATGTCCGCACGCCTTGTCGCTCTTACTGCTGCTCATTACTTACTCCGTCCTTAGGGTAGTAAACTTTAGCATGGTCGTTTCTGGAGCAGCGGCGGTCACTTATCTCCTTGACACCCACGGACATGAAGCTCTCCACGTTCTGGCGTTGACTAACTTCTCCAAGAACATTGTTCTCTACGGGTTTACCTTCTTCGCCAATGGGATGATCGAACGTAGGGGTGTCAAAGTATCCCTTCTTATTCTCGCTGGTTGTCAAGCATTTTGTTGGGCGGTGTCTATTCCGATGTATCTATACGGGAAGAGAGCAAGATCTTTCGTGAGTCATATGACGCTTTTTGCAATGTCATTATAGAGGTAATTGTACCCTCAGATTGCGCGCAATCCCCGTCTTTTCAAGTCGAAGTAAAGGTCTGTAGAGGTTTCGTAGCCCCTGTCAGAGAAGCGCTGAAAACACATTCTTCTGTATTAGGGAATTCTTGTTGGTCCAGAAATGGATGTTGCTTCCTTACGTCCACTAGATAACGAGCGGTTATACTTTGTACTTGCTAACGGTGCCGTGGATACATTGTTTAAACTTGACCTACCTTGTCTTGCATCACAGCGAGCTCCCTATTCAAATGCCTCCCCTCCCCTCCAATTGTGACCATCGCTCAACACCCCAATCACCTTCGTAATGCCATTGATGGCTGACTCGTTCTTACCTCAACGAAAATCCTCCGCATCTTTTCTCACCAACTTCGCGTTGATGAGACTCGGCCCTTCTCGCGCACCGTCCCCAGTTCTTTCATTGCCGTTTGACATTTTTCTTGATCAGATTTTTCTCTACCTCCATGTCGAAGATATTATGTGTTTACGACGAGTGAGTGCCGTACCAGACCTCAGTCATGAGACAATACTAATTGCACCGGTTCGTAGGTCAACAAAATGTTCTTTCTTCTGACGCACGAGCCGATTATATGGAAACGATTTTTGCAGGCCATGACGCTCCCTCTTCCCCCGCTCCGGCCATACTATCGATATTCTCTTCGAAGCAACGATTTCGAAATCGAACAAATGGTTACTCGGGCCATCTCCCTAGACGACAACTGGCGCAATCACCATACCGTGGCTCGGAGGCATAAAGTGATACTGACAGACAAGTTCATTGTTGAGATGAAGCTTCTCCCTGGGGGGAAATACTTGGTTGTGTCGGAAACGGACGAGGAGGGGTACAGGTACAGCATTTCTGTCTGGTTGCTCGATGATGCACATGGGCCGCGAGTTCTTGCGCGCACGGATATGGACGTCAAAGTGTTCAATCTCCAGGCGAAATACACGAAATATCAAGGCCAGAATGGGATCATGGTCTCATTTGTCAGGCGCAAGTTTAGTCGAAAGACATTCCCTTGGTTCGTTTGAATGTTGTGAAGCCTTGTCTCCTTCGGCTTACCACTTTCTTGAACATACATAGGTTAAACCCCTCTCAATTCGCTCCAAACGCTGATATCGATTCGCCCGTGCCGTTCGACTACGAGATAGCCTGCTTCTGCATTACGCTGGATCAGCTTGAGGCCATGTCTGATGCTGACATCGTGCCCGGGTCACAGAAATATTACGATCGCCTCAGAGTCCTAGATCCACCCTTCCGAACCTTGGCTTTCCTGGGTTCCTCCCAGCGCATGGAGCACGTATCGCTCTTCGAATTGAACGAAGAACCGTACATCATCTTCGTCCAACAGCCCAGTCGCATCGTCCTGAAAAACTTGAGCACAGGCGTGCGATCTACACTTCAATGTAACCCAGCTCACGACCATCCTGATAAAGTAAGACATCTAGTCCCTATTCGAATCACTATCTAATGCACCATGCAGGAACACAGTATCAGTGCTATCAAAGCTTTGCCCGGTCAGAAGGATATCTTCGTCATCCGCACGATACACATGGGATCCTCCGCACCCCCTCTAGTCCTGATACAACTCTTCGATATGCCCATAGCAGGGGAGAAGTTCCGGAATAATCCTCGCGAAGAAGCCGCCATCGACGACAAGTACCTCTCCGACTTTGTCATATCTGATTGCAATACTCCATCGCTTGGCCCCGACCATCCGAAGCTTCGCACAATGAGTGGTCCTCCTCCTCCCATATCAGTATTTGCTCGGGCTGCAGATCCGAATGGCGTAATGCACTTCAAAATGTGGCCGGAACACATCCAGGTACCTCCCTTCGCCGGTCGACCTCCTAGAACTACCTACCGCTATGCTATCAGGCTATTCCAAAACCAATCACTTCAACTCACCGGCTCGAACAAGGCTCACGTACTTCCAGGTACAGACCGCGCTATTATATACCATGTCCCAGAAGACGACCGATCGGACACACCTCCGTTGGTGAACCTCCGGAAGTACATTGATCCAGGATACCCGCATCCTGATCTGCCTGCACCAGATCCCGATGAGGACGTGGGCGTTCTTCGTACCACACGCCGCCGGGTTCCGCATAGGGTCTTCTCTACCTTGAAGATGCCGTCGATCTGGTCGAAGGCACTGGGCAAGGGACTTGCCGCGATCGCTTGGGATGAGGGCATCGGAAGGGTTTGCATGACCGGGCATCACGATAGACTCATTAGAGTTTTGGATTTTGCAGACGTGCCCCAATCACAACACCTTTTTGCTGAATGGAGAAGGGAACAGGGATATCCTTGAGCAAGGTTCATCGTCTGCATTTCTTGGTTGTGCACATGCTACTCGCTTTGAATACTATCTTTCTCATTGTTTTTACTCGCATATCGATTGTACTTCTACACACTACATTATACCTAGAACTTTCTTCTTGACTTACACAACTGTATCTTTGTGCATATCTATACATATCCATAAATCTTGTTAAATTCTGTCTATGCTTAGGAGTACTCCTGGCTCCTAACGGCAAACGCCGACCCAGATCCCCTTACAGTAACCGCAATAACTTGAACCAAATCACTCCTCGATACGCGACAACCCACAGCCTTATCAAGCAGCTCACCTGAGGCTCACCAATCGTGCGTCTCCTGACGCCAGTGAGAGTTTTCGGCCCCAAGCCATCAAGGACGGAGCAAATGCTTTCTCCCGAGATGCTAAGAAGTGCCCACTGCCAGCGTATATGAACCATTCTTGATACAGAACCACCACCACGTCGCACATGCCTCGCAAAGACCTCCTCTGTGGATACCGCCACCCGTTCATGGATGCCACCCAATTCGCAACCGGAGTCGGAGGTGAGTTGTTGTGGAAGTAAGATAGTTGCTCAGAAGACCTAAATTCGAATTTGCGTAGATGAACCTAGGACAGTAAGTTGCGGTTGAACTGAAACATGCATCCAACTGAGTTAATTTGCCGCCATAGCTCACCGACCTTGCTATGTCGCAATTCTCGTACACTTTGCGAATGAAACCCGAATGGTACAATAAACATACAGATCCCGAAACAAGAAAGAAATGGGCTGCAGAGGCCGCAGACCAGTCGTGGAAGGTGCGGATCCCCGGTGGGTCTGTGGATATCAAACTCTCCATGAAGCAGGTCAGCATCGTTCTCATAACGATAATCTAAACCTACAACGCCAATTAGATCGGGTACGTCATGGACGAGCTAGCAGGATATGCTGCCCTTCGTGACGCCCGAAATTCCTGGTAAGTTGCTCAACACCGACTGTGACGCAGAAAATAACATACGGTAACATAGCCAGGTCTCTTGCTTCGAGCGAATATGGGAAACAGGCCACGTTATCGACGACGAAGCGTCGGCAAAACTTACGGAAGAAATTTCATTTCTTCGTCATCCTGGTAAATCAGGGCCAGTAAACTGGCTCCTTGACCCGTACCTCTGCCCGCTCATATATGGCCAAACGCAAGTATCGACGCCTGATGGCCCGACGCTTCTCACACCACCTCGCGGATCGTATTATACCCCAGATCACTACGCAGTTTCTTCGCATTTCTGTCTTTTGCCTTCCGCTGTATCGATATCACCGAAATCATACGCTGTCCAATTCTGTTCCTACATCAACAATCTTCATCCAACACACCACGCAAACCTGTATTCCTCGTTGTCGACTCTCCTTGCTCGCTTCATACCCTTATTCGAACACACCCTCACCGACTTGCATCGAAACAATCCTCTCACACAAAGAATCTCTGGATCATGCAAATACACCATTTGGGATGAGCCGGAACCGCCAGAACATTCTGATGACGAAGAAGGATGGGCGACTTACGAGCGCGAGATGCGGCAGTGGTCGCTTAACCGACCGCTTCAGTTGCCAGACGTGTCATCTGCAGGGTACCGTGGAGGCCTGGAGAATCGACGCCATACGGTTAGCTTAGGCGGCCGAGAAGTTAAAATAATACCTTCCATCAACGAAATCTCTCTCGTACGCGTCTTTATGACATGTGGCCTTAGAAATCGGTACAATCTGACGCGCCTTCTTCTAGGATCCGGAAACTCCATTTTATGCAGGCTCCCCATGGAAGGTTGAGGGTATGAGAAATGAGAGAATCACTGCCTGTGCTATCTACATTGCGTCCAAGGTTAGCACCGACTATTTGAAATGTCCAACCCCATTGCTCACCTGGTATCTATCTTCGTAGGAAAATATAACGCCTCCGTCCTTACAATTCAGAATGGCAATTACATACCCCGGAGGTTTTATGCTCGGCGACTCCGGCGCAACACTTCGCACCTGGGGACTCCGTGACGTCGATCCTTGTCACCAATATATCGGCTCCATTCCAAACCTCGAGGCCGGGTTCGGCGTAGTATTCCCTAATATCTACCAACATCAGCTCGCACCCTTTCGCCTTGCCGATCCCACAAAGCCAGGTCATTTGACTTGTGTCTCATTCTGGCTCGTCGATCCAGATATTTCGAGCAATGGGTTACTGAGCTCGGAAATTTGGCACCGTAAAGCTGTCCCTTCTACGGCAGATGTACCGCCGCAACAGAAAGAATGGGTTGCTGAGACTATGGACGAGGTTATAGATAGGCGGGTTCCTATGGAGGTTGTTGAACGCATTCTGGACAGTACGGAGGGGCTATTGGACGCTGTGGAGGCGAATCGAGTGAGGCAGGAAGTTTTGGACGAGCGGGAGGAGTTCAGGAAACTGAACGACATGAATTATTTCTGTGTACCATTTGATGTTTGGGGTACGTTCTAACGACGGGCGTGCTGTGATGCATTGATTGTGGTGTTAACCGTGAGAATGGCAGAAGAAGCGCCGATTAGATAAGATCTTGGGGTAGGAAGTTGAACTGCTCTCTCATACCATCCACCATCCACGACCATGGCAAGTGCTTTCTCCATCGCGAATGCACTCAAACTCATTGCTCGTCCAGTCTCAATGGGAAATTCGCATGTCCAACTCGAGGGGTGTCCCTTATTTCTTCAACGTCGAAACTAAGGCGTCAAGTTGGGACGCCCCGTCTGAGTTGACCCCAGACGAGATCAAGAATCTACCAGGCGTAGAATACTTGTCTCAAGCCAAAAGCCAGACGTCTGGCAGCGGAGGAGGAAAGCCTGGCCAGGTGCGAGCCAGTCACCTGCTGGTGAAGCATAGCGGTAGCCGACGCCCGTCAAGTTGGAAGGAGGTGCGTGCTTCTGATTCCCATATTTCCACCTTGCACGGACTTATTCGCCATCTCTCCATCACAGACGACTATTACGCGCTCGAAAGACGAGGCGATCGACATTCTCAAAGGCTACCAGTCCCAAATCAACGGTTCTGCTGATGTTTTCGCGAAATTGGCTGCAGAGCACTCCGACTGTTCATCGCACTCCGCCGGCGGGGATCTGGGGTGGTTTGGAAGGGGACAGATGCAAAAGCCTTTCGAAGATGCAGCGTATGGCCTTGAGGTTGGTCAAATCAGTGATATCATTAGCACTGATAGTGGCGTCCACCTCGTGATGAGAACCGGGTGAAAAGAAGTTGCATTGAAGAGACGAAAGGGGCACCACGCACTGTATGATTAATATATCGCTTTCTCCAGCCCCGCATTGGCGCTTGAGAACAACTCCCGTGGTCAATGCTAGTATCTAGAAGGGGTAGTCCCTTCAAGCCCGCTGCACGCGGCTGCCCTGCAAGGAAGGTTGAAGGGAGGTTCAACGGCAGTTTCTGCTCGTAAACCCTCCGTCTTGGCGAAGGCACATTGTACCGGATCCTGAGGTCTATCTTGCTAATATTAGCAAGGTTATATTGAAGCCTACTCACCCGCCGGCTCAGCCAGCTTCACGCGAACTCCATAGCGGCGAGCTGGAGATCTATCTGCTCATCGATGTAGTGCCATCTCCATTATACCCGGATCTCTGACTAGGAATCGCCGCATTCTCCATCGACTACTAAAAGTCGCCAGGCAGGGACGCAGAATTTGAATTGACCCCTACACTCTTGCCCCTTCAAATGGCCTTGAATTTTAGTGACGAATTTGCGCAACGGGCCTCGAAGCTCTTCCCTTCTGTGTTTAGTTGGAACGAGGCTTTGGTCATTGCCTCCCTTTTAGCAACCTCCTTCATCTTCATTCACCATCGCTCACAGCGGCCAAGCCTTTCTGCGGGACCCAAGCTTAACGGGGAACCAAGGAACGCAGATGGTCGCAAACAAGAGAGACGGGGACTCGGCGATGTGCGATTGACAAAGATCCTCGTTCATCCCATCAAGGCAAGTTGAACTCCAAGTTGTATGGTTGTGGAAGTGGTTCGTTGTGGCTGACGCACCACATGTATAGAGCTGCCGAGGGACCTCTGTGCAGAGCGCAAAGTTCACCGCCGAAGGAATTGAAGTAGGTTGCCAATAGTACATAACGGCTTTAGGCCTTGATACTGACATGAATGGATGATGGCAGAACGATAGGAAATGGTGTTTCATAGACGCAACGACGCACAAAGTCCTCACCGCACGTGAATTACCGACGGTCAGTAATTCTCATTTCCGAGAACAAAGGATAACCTCATGCCACCATGCTTGTAGATGGTGTTGATATACCCCACCATTGAAGAGGACGACACAGATCCTCATGGAGGGAGGCTGGTTATCACGATCCCAGCCGCAAACTCGGGCGAGTTTGAACCAATTACATTAACGGTGCCCCTTCGTCCTACTGAGGACGTACTGAGTACATGGGCTATGTGAGTCCCCCTCCGTCTCCTCCGGTGTGCTCATCATTTATCTTCCGATCAGCGTGGACGACATTGTACTTTGGTCGCACACCGGAATCGATGGCTATATAGTCCAGTGCCTACCCTCTACCTCCGCGTCCGTCCCGACACCGAATCCTTCTGAAGTTCTTTCTCGATTCTTCTCCCGTGAAGTTCGCCTCGTTTACAAAGGCCCACGTCCGCGTATATGCTTCCCGACTGATGCCTTTCCCAAGCTGGAGGCAAGCGTGGTATATCAGGACAGTTACCCACTCCTCGTCATGGGCCAGGAGAACATGGATGAACTCAATGTATGGATACAAGAGATGATCACCGAAGGAAAGGCTACTGGACGCGAACTCATCGGGGAGGAGTGGCGGAACGGAATCGTCACTGTTGAGAGGTGACGTTTTGCCATTACTGCGACCCTGAGTACTGTGTTGACCCGCCGGCTCGCAGATTTCGTCCTAATCTTGTCTTCACGGGTGCGGGTGCCTATGCCGAGGACCACTGGGAAGAAATCGCAATTGGCCATACGAAAGAAGAGGCCCAAGACCCAGACACGCCCGGCATCTCTTTGGTAGCTAAATGTCAACGGTGTTTGGTAAGTCCCAATTGGTATTTTTGTTATCGATCGCAATCCCGCATAACGTTCTTCTATCGCATTTGCAATCGTCGGGTTCCTCTTGCCTTTCACCGTGTTCTCACTGAGTTTATTGTTTGTAGCTTCCCAATGTGTCCCCGGAAACTGGTATTCGGGACAAAGCTGTTCCCTTCAAAGTCATGATGAAGCATCGGATAGGAGTAGATCCGCTGGCCAAGCTCAAGCCGTGTATGGGAGTGAATGGAGCCCCGAAAGGCAGCGGTGTTTATAAGGTGGGAGATTGGGTGGATGTAAGGAGATTCGTAGGTGACAACATCTGACTTGCGGTATGTGCCATTCAGTGGCGTTTTATGATAATACGGACATAATATGGGATGCGATACCTGGAGACGGGCCGCCGGGGAGTCTGTGGGTACAGTACCATTCATTGGGAGGCACGAGTTCCGTGAAGCTCGCTACACGTTACTTCGAAGAACGTCCACTCAGCAGTTCGATACAGTCAGATGGTCAGGTGCAAGAACAAGTGCATGTCGCGGCATAGCTGGGAATGAACTGGTGTAATCTATCATTCACTTCCTTCGTTGTGCTCCGAAGTTCTTCGGTTCCAGATCGAAGTTCGTTGAACGACTTAGGCGCGCGCTGCCGATCGTGATGGCTGTGCCGATTATTTGGCGCTGCCATCCTTCCAAACAATTCAACATCTTGCCCTCGAACTGTCGTGACACTGGCTCTACCACGCGAGGCTCCTGGAGTTCTTGAAAGGCCGTGATCCAAGTCATAGGATGAGCGCGGCAATGTATCTCCTTCAGCTAGCGTGCGCTGAACCTAGAATCACTCGTCTTTAGCTGCAGGTTTGCCATATGCCTTCGAGCTCTCCATATGGTGGCTTTCCATCTCACGTATGGTTGTAGCGGTCGTAATCTTATCTAGCATGGTGCCGCATAATCCATACTGTGGACCACTCGTTTAGAGATCCGTCCTTGGAGGATATAAGCCGTGCTCTCTTCCGAAGATTGTAATCCCTCAACGATGAGACTCACGTATTATGCCGTCGTATGCCTACTATACTCGGTTGGTGTGCACTGCCTTCCAGCTGCTCCAGAGGCGACAAACGTAACAGAAACGGTACGCAGCATACGATTTCACCATTTCAGTGATCTGACAATTTACTCAGGGAAGGGCACCGAAACCTTGCCCATGGCCTCAACAATCAGTCCCTCTTCTCCGCGGCTACAGTCCTTCCGTCCACGATCACTTTTATACGACAGACGGCTACGAAATGTATGAAGCTACAACCAGTGCCGGATATTTTAACACAGGGGCTGCCGGACGCGTCTTCAAGACCCAAGTAGGCGATACGGGCCCTTTGTACCGTTTGTGGGGCGAACAGGATTCAGACCACTTCTATACGACTTCGGGCGATCTCCGGGATGTCATGATCAAGCGCTTGGGCTATACAGACGAGGGGGTGGCAGGATATGTATTCCTGAAGCAATACTGCGGGAGCGTCCCTCTGTACAGGCTGTATAACCACAAGCTCTCGGATAATTTCTACACGACCGATATTAGGGAATACGACGAGTATATCAGGTATAGAGGCTATGTTGATCAGGGAAAGGCAGCCTTCGTGTTGATATGAGGACGTTGTAAGCATGATCCGTACTCTCTATGATTGGTCTCTCAAACTTCTCTCCTAGACGTCTTTTCTGCCGGCTTTCATGCATATGTCCACCAAGTGTACCCTTGAAATTTTTAGGCGCTAATGAATTGTATAGCAATCTTACATACTACACCCGCGATTTGCGCAAGAAAAGGTGCCCTCAACAGCTGCACTAAGATAGAGTTGTCTCCACACCTTTGCCTGCCGTGGTGTCAAGCGACAACCCACGAGTACATTGCAGTGTATCAGACATGCAGAATGGTGAGTTCCTCCAACGACATATGTACTTGTTAGGGAACTAATTTCTGATATGGTAGTGCTTAAGGCGATAGCGCCCATGTGTCCTTGAACCTGTAATCCGACGTCCAGGAAGCGCAGCGATGGCACGTACTTTCTCCATATATGCATCGCTCGCTTTGCGTCCGTATGTGATTGTGCTCTGCTTGACCCATCGATAATGGACTGGCGCTTAAGCAAGTTGATCAGTGGCGTAGAATATGTTTATTTTCAAGGGCAGCGACCCATGGAGGGATATCGGAGACAGCGTTTTTGACCAAATATGTGAGCAGGACCGTCTTCGCATAGCAACGGCCTGATACGCGAGCCACAGCTCTTCCATGTTGCTTGCATGCCGTTCGCACTATACCGACACACTGTGTAGCTTGGAAGGTATAAAGACAGCATGGTCTCTACCAATTAGAACTTCAAACCTCCAAGTTCACTCTTATACCTTCACCCGTCTACTCTTCGAGATGGTCATGACTGTCAGACCTGGCGTCTATGCCATCCGTAACTGTGCACACGCAAAGAGTTACCTCACTCCTCATCATTCGTCTGGCCGAGCAGGAACGCGTCTTTATGCTGAACATTGGCTAAACGAAGGCCTTCAGAAGGTCTGCTATTCTCAATTTACATCATCTGTATTATCTCCTCATTGCTTTAACATCAGTGGGACGTTCAATACAATTCCCGAAGCGGAGCTTACCGCATTGAGAACTTTGGGCACGCTGGGGTGTTCCTCACGACCGCTGATTCTAGCCGCCGATACGCTCCTCACGCGGAGATCAACTCGTACGTGGAAGAATGGGTTATTCATGAAGCTCCTAGTGGGCATGGTTTCTAGTAAGTTACTGGTAAATGGAAGCAACAGGTATTCTGATGCCGCCCTCTCAGCATCATCAAAGCTGGTGAGCAAGACCAGGTCCTTGAAGTTGAATCGGGCGGCTTTGAGGTGAGTTTTCTGACGCTGTAATACATGCGTGTACTCAAGGTATGTTGTCAGGTTCTTGTCAACGACAGAGACCCCCCAAGGACCCCCAAGAGACAAATCTGGTACTTTGAGGCCGACTAGCGACGATCAGTTTCACCCTCGCTCAACTGACTGGTAATCTCTACATCAATGTAAATAGTAGTATCTGGACGAAATCGCACGTATATATTGACCTGCGTACATTCGAAGTTAGTCGAGGTGAGCTTGGTCAGGAGTCTCCAGGGGCTGACTCCTGGCACTGGGGATGCACGTGGGCGTGAGTCGAGGATGACTCATTGGACGCGCCCAGCAGTTTCTAAGCACTCGAACATGCCCTCGAATTAAACCCCATATTTCCTATGAACATATGAACAGAATTTTGTCCACCGCTACGTGTTTCCTTACCACTTAAGGTAAACCACGCAAGACTCAGACAATCAGGGCCGCCAGGTACATCTGAGTCATGTACGAGTCCCCAGCGGGGAACGCAAGTCGACTCTCTGCTCTACACCATCATGCAGTTTCCATTTCGCTTGGATTATTTGATACCGTTCTGGCGCACAAGTGATGAGCCCAGGCCGCCGAAATACAACTTCACCCTGGGAGACGACGTATTCTCGCCAATGGACTTGGTTTCAATGAGTAAACCAGGCACGGCCTTCGCCAACCCAGCAGGGGATCTATTCTTGCTGCCCATCAAGACATACAATGCAACAGAAGTGGAGTAAGCGCGGAACTAACTACCGTGATGGATACGCGTCTGACACCTTGTGTTGTTGTAGCGATCGGCATTCCGTCCTACTTTCGTCTCTGGGTGCAGCTGGCCAACACACCCACGAACTTGTCTTGGGCGAGCGAGACTCTGTGTTCTGGCTGGATTCACGTACTATCGCACACGTCGTTCACATTGAGACAGAAGAATCTCCGTACGAGCAATATGACTTAAAGGCTCTGAGTCTTGATCTCAAGGATTCGTCCGAGGGTCACACTGGTTATCTGCGCGTTCTAAGCTCGTCCTTAATAGCGACCCTACCTACCCTTGGCGCATTAGACTTCCAGTATCTCCCTCAGGCTCAACGACTCGTTTTCTACGACCAGATATCCAAAGACGGCTATTTCCCCGCGTATGGACCAGAAGAGGAAGCTGAGCAACTTGAAGATCCGCCACCATTCTTTGGGTCTATGTTCGAAAGACTAGATGATTCAGATTTAGATTCGTATGTCGTTCGCGAACTCAGAATGTCCGAGTACGTGAGCAACTGACAAGTACCCAGAAGAGATGAGAGGCCGGCGCTTTTGTCCGTTAGTCTCTCCAAGACAGACGACGGCTCATGGGCTCTGGGCACTGACTACATTCGACTAACTCCACATGAGGTATCTTCAGTCTACCAATCCCACTTGCCTCCCATTAACATTCAATCACAATCTTAGCCACTGCCCGAAATCACCGAACAGCATGCCTACGATCTCTCGGAAGCTCGTATTATCTATGCGATTGACGCCGAAGTTGAACCCTCAGGATGCATGTGTGGACTCGAGCTTCCTCATGATGTAGGGTGTCGGTTTGATTAGTGGCCAGCCTTTGGATCTCATGTTGACTTTAGATATACGTGAACACCATCGACGGTTCCACCACGGCTCGCCGAATCGCAAAGGCAAGGTCTGTCACTAGCCCAAGGTTGAATAATGCTGGCACTAAGGCGGCATGGTTTGAGGATAAGTAATGCCCGCCATGAATATATCTGCCTACAGCTCACTCACGGCGCACAGCGCAAAGATCGTAATATATGATATCCTTCAAGACGTCGAATTCACATTGATAGATCGAATGGATCTCTATCCTACGTCCCTGGTGGTAGGTTTGCTACTACTTACGAACTCGGATCTTAGTAACACCGCTCCTGTAGTTCTCTGAAGTCGATGATACTTTGTATTTCACCGGCGGGAATGACATTATGGTCTCGGTGTACTCCTTACCCGTCCCTGAAACCCCCCTCTCTGGCCCCCTCGACCCCCACCCCGTACCGACTTTCATAAAGGAAACTACCTCGCTGCGCGGGCTCCAAGCCCTTCCAAACGGCAGCCTCTTAGCTACTCTATTATCTTACGCATCCCCGAACGAGGTCGTCCTCATCCGTGATCCACAAGGGTCGAACTTAGTCGAACAAATCACCCATGTCAACGATGGTATAATCCGCCGAACTAATTTGACTGGAGGCGAAGCCTTTGACATCCCAGGGATAGACAATGCTCACGGCTGGATATTTAAGGCGAAGGGTTGGGTAAAAGACGATGGTATCAAACGGCCAGCGATTCTGATACATTACAAAGGTGAATACTGTGAAATCACTGTAGTATCTCGGTCTGATGTGTGGGGGTTGGAGGTCCTGGTGCATGGCGTAACCAATGGTCTAATCTATCAAACCCCAATAGTGAGTCTGCCCTCAACCATAGTATGTTTAGCCGAATCTAAAGACCGTCAAGTATTCGCTGCGCAGGGATTCTTTGTTGTGCTCATCAGCACCAACCCTCTGCCTCGAGGTCAGTTGGTGACGTTTAGAGATGATTGCCATCCAAAAATGACGTTACTAGTGTGTTCAAGCGATCCGCAAAGGTTGAAGAAGTTGTCAGCTGGTTGGAATCATGTTCTTTCGGCATACCTCGAGGTATGCCTGTGTCGCCATTGGATGATAGCGTAGACACTGACCACTTCCCAAGATTGATCGCCTAAGAACGATATTCATTGACGAAGACCTAAATGAAACTATACTTCGGTGAGTTGCCTTCTCCACCTACCAGAGCCCATAGTACCATGTTGATATTTTTAGTGCTGTCACCGACTCGGGGTCCAAACATGGATTTCAATTCAGATTGGCGTTTGGTACCTTCTCTACCGTAAGCCATATCGGAGTATCACTCAAGTGTCTCTACCTCACATCCGTATGTAGGATCATAACCTATATTTCCAATGCCTTGATCGCGATGACGTTTATCGAGCCTACGATTTCCTACAGTCGGTAGCTCAATAGACTGTGTCCTGAGTGTCCAATACAACATTTACATGCGTCCACTCTGTCAAGATTAATTCAGAGTTCTAATGTACCTTCCGATTCTATACTTATGTAAAAGCACAGAGTCTATAGTTTTGCTTCCATGGTCTGCAGCTTGAACGGTGTAGCGTCCAATTTCTTACAGATTGATTGCGCCAGTGAGTCCGGCTGTTGTGCGATGACCTTTTGAATATTATTTTGTCAACCCGTATGGCCACGAGAGGATTGATTGCAACTCACCAGATGCCCGCAACGTTTGACAGTACTGACTGATGCCACCTCCAAATCATGGAACGAGTTACGAGCAATCGTGGGCCTGGAGCAAAGTGACAGGATGTGAGTAACGAATACTAGTAAAGGTGAAAGACGGGTCTACGCACATAATATCAGGTATCTCTCCCCAGATGATGTGAATGGGAACGGCGTGGCAGAGTTTGGAGATAATATGGGGAGGATCGAATATATTTTCCGATGGAGAGTAGTATTCTGATTCATGCAGCTTATTGCACTTGAGACGGACTTCTTCGTCTCTTCGCTCTAATGCATGGTCCTAAGCCGTACTTCGATCAGTAGCGGTATTCATCTTCGTGAAGATAACACCTACGACGAAGGATCGCACAGCACGGGTATCCCAGGTCTTCCAGGGGAACCGGGTACTGAACCACGAGAACGCTTCTTCTTTGCTTGACCATCTATCCCTCCGTCGTGCTGAACCTGTAGCTAGTGCTCCGTAGTCAAACAACCCTTTACGAATGTGAAGATTTTGGTGCCAAAATTCCTCCCGACACATTGTCGGGTCGACAAAAAACAGGGTTTGATACGGGAGTTCGTGCACAGGGAATAGCTTGGTGGAGAACAACCTATAATCCGAGCAATAAATACCATTGCCGTGCATAATCAAGAGGTCCTAGGACTCACGTCGCTGCCGAACCCAAGGAATGCGAAACCGATACCAGGGTATGACCTTTGACGTGCTCAGACTTGACGAAAGCGGCCATGGCATCTCCCAATTCGCGAAGCGCTTCAGAACCCATTGTCAGGACTCTCAGCAGCCTGTTTAAATTTAGGGTTACGTACATCCCCCACGGTCTCCTCTGGCCTTCAAAGCTTCGCGGTTGATCACTGCAGCTGCGCCATGGTCATGCCAGTCGAAGGACCACACTTCTGTGACCTTCGTGCGCTGACTTGAACCTGGGCTAGCGTAATGATTAAAGATGGCTTGTATGGTCGGCTCCCACTGCTCCTTATCTAGAAGGTACAAGATGTTAGCATTTCCGACTCGACTCGGCAATAACCAGCAACAAACTCACGGAAGCCAGTACCATGCACCAGTAATAGTGTTATGCCTGTGCCATCCTTAGCAGAGCGGGCATCCGTGCTTCGGTACCTCTTCGCAACTGTTTTAAGAGCACCAGGACTCGATAACACGTGGCGAGAAGTGGGCGCATCGAAGACAAATTGTTCAATAGATAGTTCGACCATTGGCGAGATTCAAACGTTGAGGTCTGGGGATGGTGTGGGGATGCCTTTCGGAGACGACGCCGAGCTTTTATTAGGATCAGATGTCTGACATACACAGTTCATCAGGAGGTATTAATACGGTTTAAAGCCATGGCCCCTTCTGCCTATCTGCCTGATGGATGTAAGTGAAGATGCTGTGCATTGAAACGACACGCGGACTTACCGTACCTGCGGCTACGGCGCTGCATCGCGAAAAAACCGTGTTACATTTGTCCGGCAGTTGCTCTCTAATAAGTATAGAAAGATATCAGGACTTCTTCGAAGCGGACCGGTGGATGTGAGGCGCTGGTTTGATATGGTTTTGTACGTGCAAACCGTGAGTCACTCTGTAAGACAAGGAAACATACCATTGGTGAGCTATTTTAGGGCACCTTCCTACGATAATGCCGGGGTTCGTAGTGAGTCAATCACTGATGACTGCTATGCTGGGAACTGGGCAAGGAGAAGCACGCATTCACGGGAACCCAGATGGTTTACAAGACTGCGTATGTAACATTCAATTCAATTGAGCGAGTGATCTTCAGGATGGGAACGGCATCCCAAGAAATGTTTAGGCGGAATCGGGCCAGGATACGAATGATGGATGGTGATCCCCTTGCCCGAAGCCTGCAATATCGGAGGCACATATGGGGTGTCAGTGCCTCGAGTTCATCACAGGAAGTCACCGGCACTCCTTCTCCGGCCCCAGAATCTGAAAGGAGACTTGGGATGGAGAAAGTCGAAAAAACTACTGATTGCCGGGGCAGGGACTGACAGCAAATATCGAAGTCGTAATAGAATGGGATTGCTGTTAAGAAGATTGCTTCCCTAGCACAGGATGTCCTGTTAGCTGGCTGACGTAGGAAACCCGATTCTTGGATCACATCTCCTAATAATAGTCAGACATGTATCCAGCAATGAGGGCAGGGAAAGCAACGAACTATTTGGCGTGTGTAGGTTCCAACGAAGTCTAGATTAGTACGTTCCATATGGTATCTACATGTCTATAAATCGATCCTCCCAGCGGTCCTTGGAACCGGTATGCACTCCTTCACATTCTCGACGCCCGAAATCCAGGAGACCAGCCGTTCGAAACCTATGCCGAAACCACCATGGGGCGAAGAACCGTGTTTGCGGAGGGAAAGGTACCAGTTCAGGGGATGGTCTTTTGTGCTCAAGGCAGGCGCGTCGGGATCAGGGGAAGCTCGTGCAGCGTTCTCGTCGCTCAAGACGCGCTCTAAAACCTCGTACCGCTCCTCACGCACCGACCCACCTGCAAGTTCCCCAATTCTCGGTATAAGGAGGTCGAAGCAAGACACCGTTTGCCTATTCGCGCCGTCACTTTCTTCATCTATCTTCGCACCATCATTCCTTCTCATATAGAAAGGCTTGATGGAGGCTGGGTAGTCGTATACAAAAATAGGACCACGGGCATATGTTTCTGCGAGGTAGCGTTCGTGTTCGGAGGCGAGGGATGAGCCCCACTCAGGCGGCGGGAGGCGTAGCGGAGTAGTGGAGTCCTTGGTCGCAGCATTGAGGATTTCAAGGGCGTGGGTGTAGGAGATGCGCGCCCAGGATGTGGAAGGGTCTGCTGCACGTGCGAGGGCGATGAGATGGGAAGGCGACGGCGAGAGGAAAGATAGATCTTGTTGTGGGAGTGAGATGGGGGCACCCGAAGTACTATCAGGGCTGTCAGGAGAAGACGGCAGGCAATCCGCAAGGACGTGTTTGAGGGCATGTTCGACGGTATCGCATACTTGCATAAGGTGACTTCGTTGATCAAGTGTCGCTGGGGCCGGGCCTGACGTGGTGATCGTCTGTATGGCGGGAAAGTTCCATTCGGCCTCCAACATCCAAAACTCGGCCAAATGTCTGGACGTATCCGATCTCTCCGCCCTAAAGCAGGGGTTCAGGGTGTAAACTCTACCCAGAGCCCAAGCCATCGCTTCGAGGTGGAGCTGCGCAGATACCGTCAAGTGAGTCGCGGCACCTTCACCACCCTCGCTCCCGAAGAAATCTGCTGGCACAACTCCGAAAGTCTCCCCACCGCCCTCGCAATCATTCCCCGTCAACACCGGTGTGTGCACATGCGTAAACCCTTCCTCGTCGAACCACCCCTCGAGTATCTTCTTTATACGCGCACGTAGCCGAAGCGTGGAGGCTATTTTATCTGTTCGGGCTCGTAAGTGAACATTCGTGCGTAGGTACTCCGTAGAAAGGGCCTGTTTTTGTATCGGATAGGTTGAAGGCGGGGACGGCCCAATAATTCGAAGGCCATCGGGAGAAACGTGCAGCTCAGGCTGACGCCTCGGAGATTCGGCCAGAGTCCCGTTCACGGCGACGGTGCAGCCATTACTCAGTTGTACGCTACCCGAGTTAGGAAGGACGAGTTGAAGGCCTGGTTGCGTGGACCCGTCAGAGAGAACACCAAAGGTTATATTCTTTTGCTTTCTGATAGATTTTATGTATCCAGTAAGAGAAATTGAGGATCCTGGTGGTGGTGGATGGGCGAGAAGTTTGCGGATGGTTGCAGGGAACAGGCGACGCGACATGGTTTTCCGAGAACGGCGCAAGACACGTGATCGGGCGGTCGACGCTATTCGCCTGGCAATTCGCGCCACGATCTCTTGCAATTTCCTTCTCAATTCCCCTCATGAACGATGCTTGCTGGCCATCGAATCCTTGTACTACACAAAAGGAGCATCAAGAAGCTGGAACGATTGCACCCGCGCGCACCGAGACACTCGGGAATCGGAGGTCTAGAGGATCCGAGGTGGTTGAGCACTCTGAATAACTCGCCTACTGCTTGGTGCATTTTCGTGTCACCATCGTTGTTTCCAGGAGATACATGAGCCCATCTATATTGAGTACCGATCCAAATTCAATGATCGCGTTTTTTTGGGCGAGCGCCTTTGGTGATTACTCCACGTTTTATCGAACTATACTCATTGAGTCAAACCTTCCCTTCAGTTGTCGTTAGTGGCCGAATGAGTTTTCTTCGTGAAGTATTTTGGTTTCCCCTTCACCGGCGCCTACTACGACTGTTCCTGCGCCTGAAAATCCAAGCCATCCAGCCCCTTGCATCTTGTTAAGGGAGTACTTTACGTTACCCAAACCACCCTTGGAGACGCCATTATGGTAAGTTTTATCGATATCTATAAGTGTTCAACCATTGGTTGACATCTTTTGAAATTCTAGATATGGAGGTGCTATGTCATATTGGATCGACGTTTGCTTGTTCTGATACCCAATGTCGTCGTCCTATTGGTCAACTCAGGTGAGATGGCTCGACGACGCCGGAACCGCAATCGCTAGCTTGACAAGAATATGACTACTAGGTGCTGGATACTCAGTGGTATGGGCACTATGGAAAGCCTCGTCGGGGGTAACTATCTTCCAGTCAGGCTCTCCATGGATTATGACATTCTTCACGCTCACCATGTGCATCAACATAACGTGTACCAGTGAGTCTACGGCTTGCCTCAGCAATACTCTTCTCCATCCTCATATCTACCAGCGGCGATCGCCTGGCGCATCTACAGAACAAGAAGCCCTCTAATCAAACGGACACGATTGACACCCGTTTTGCTGGCCTTCGTCGAAAGTGGGGCGCTGTACGCGAGCAGCGTGTTGGCATTGATGATCGCATATGCATCTGGCTCCAATGGTCAATATGCGGCGCTCGATGTTGTCACTCCCCTTGTGGTAGGACACAATCCCAAACCAACGTGTTATCGTAACTTACATCGCGCCATCAGGGTATCACGTTCTGCCTCATCGTCCTGCAAATACAATGTCACCTTACCTCAAATGTATGGAATACAAACGGGCCCATTACCATAAATACAATCTCCGCCTTCCGCTCCGCTAAACAGCACGGGGGCGAAGGTAGGGGAGAACACACCTTCGCTTATCCTATGCAACCCTTGGCAGTACACGTTCGAGTCGAGCAAGGTTGCAAGCAGAATTGCTCCCCCGACGAGTACAAGCGTACAGGCTACGAAGAACCAACGACGTCATGCAAGACGACAACTTCTGCGCCACGCTAGGCATGGAAGCCCGTCTTCGGAACTCCAATGTGGCAACGTTGGGATCAAAGATTGCGCAAGGAGAACAAATCTCAATCCTGAGCAACGCTCGTGGGTTCACCTGTTTATCATTTAGTCGCCAAAAGGTTACAATCTACGTTGTATAGCTTCGTGTTTACTCTCGACCGACACTAGTTTCCTTTCTGTCACCTACCTCAGGTTCAGATTTTAAACGTTCAATTTGCTACCAGTATCGAACGTATCGCATCACGTCGACGACTGATAACGGTTGTTAATCGGCTGGGCTTACAAGCTCGAGGGTACGTTTGCGATATCTGTGATTACTTCAAAGTCAATCGATGCGCAGAAAAAGGAACGCTCCTTCCGAGGGTGCCCATCTTGCACCGTGTCGGCATGCTTGCCAAAGCTGTCGCCCCCAACTTAACGAAACTCCTTCATGACCAATTAGCGTCGACAACAAGCCGGCCGCTTCGGACGCTCTTCTTATCAACTGGTGGGGCATTGTATGCGTGTAGCGTGCTAGCGCTACTGATCGCATATATGTCTGGATCCAACGGTCAATACCCGGCACTCGATATAGTCGTGGTAAGCAAACACAAAGCCGACTGATAATCGTAGCTCACATCCGTATCACCAGGGTATAAGGTCCTGTCTCATCTTTCTGCAAATACATTCCACTTCACCACAAATGCATGAGCAATGTCCGCCACCCGAAACGAGGACTATCTTTCGCTCATGCAAGCGACAGGAGAATGAGGGCGGTCAGGACGACCAAACGTTCGCTTATCCTATGCAGCCCGTGGCGGGTACATGTTACTGTCGAACAAGGATGCGAGCAGAATCACTCCTCAAGCGAGCACAAACTTTCAGGCTACGAGGCGCTGGCGTCAAGCAAGACCACAATGGACACGTCACCTTAGAAAGATGGTTCTTATTGACCAATAAACTAGTGCTTCGTGAATTGGTGGCTAGATCTATCCTTCGACCTCGGAAGTTGGTGAAAAGACGTTGCGTAGGAGGAAAGGGGTTTACCCCTAAGATGGAGTAGAGGGGTTTGGAGTACGAACTGTTCCATCCACAACATAGGTAGAGCCCGATCAACGTGCATCATGTACCTCCCGTACTAATACTTATCTCTGTTCGAGGTTCAATGTTGCCGTATTGTGATATTTTTACTATCTCCCATCACCCAACGCCATGACGTCCTGGTTCCTTAAAGGATTTATTGCGCCTAAGTAACCTCATTCTGCACCGTACATGGTCGGTCGGACAGAGCGTCTCAAGAGTTACATAACTTGTTCCCTGAAGTTCCAAACCTGAAAGTCAAACTTCAGAGAACTTGAGGTGCGTGTCCAATCAGTACTCAACCCATCGATATGTGGGAGATTGGGTGGGCGTAAGGGGGTTGAAATTTGAAGCATGGTCTGCCAGCCATATGGTGCACGAAAGCTAGTCTGCTTTCACCGTCGATTGTTGAGAGGTTGATGTAGCGAAAGGATCCTGATGGAGCAAATACAAGGCATGTCCGTGACGCTTGTTCCTTGAAGAGTGTCTATTGGATACCATCTGATGAGTTGCGATCTATCAGTAGTGCACCGCGGAGTCAATCCGACCTGCCTGGAATTATGATCATGGTCAAAATTTGCTATTACAGGCGTTGGCACCTCATGTCCGACTCCCAAGCGTGGCTGGCTCTGGCTGATGCCTTTGCTCGCCAGACTGCAATCGTTCTCGTGTGGAGCGAATGCGCGATGACCCCCTCAAGGACTAGCCTTGTTCTTGTCGACTCGATTGATTCCAGTCTTCGGTCCACTACCCGTTCTTCAATGAGTGCTTCTCAGACACACGGCTCCGATATGTACGGTGATTCGATGTGTGTGAGATCTTGAGACCTCACAGAGTCATAGAGTCCTAATGGGATTGTCAGTGAACTCTAGCGGACCGACGGCGGGCCTCTTACCCCCACCAAGTCAAGTCCCGCCCTCAAGACAGCATCTAGTAGCGTCCGGGATGCCCCAGTCAGCGTGTCGGAGGAAAGAGCGTGGATCAATTGCGCCCGGCGTATCAAGTGCATCAGTCAAGCGAAGCACAACATGGGAACTTCTCGCACTGGCGGCTGAAAGTGGTTCACATGCAAGCGAATGGCCAGGCACAGAAGAACGTTGATCCAAACTTTGGCATACTACTGAGTTATAGAGGATGTTAGGGCTATATAACAATAAAAAGCGGCATGGTAAATGGTTGCGTCTGAAGTAGAGGCATACTCGGAGGTAAATAAACGTCGTAGAATTATCGGGGGATCAGGGGCCCCTGAGTTGCACGTGGCGTGGTTGCACAGCAAGATTATGTGCCTTGGTATTTGACGTTGCTGAATTCAGAATTGGTTGCAGGTGCTCGACTGGACTCTGGCTGAGCCGCAGGAAATCAGGCAGGAAATCTCGCCAGGATCCCTGTATCCAACGGCGACGACTCCCAGCGACGCAAAGGCACCCGCTCACCACCACCCGGTGCCATGGCCAAGATACGGACAATATTCAAGCAACATCCTGCGAACCAGAATACAGGCAATGGGCCCACACCTGCAAAATCCGACAAGGACGCCGTCTTGCCAGTGCTGAGCACGGCAGATGCGAAGAAATTTGGGCTGGAGAATGTGAGTTGCTCTGCGGTCTCTTGATGGGGGAGCTCTGAAATCGGTATTATGATGAATCAGTTCGGGAATACTTGGTGCGCACTGAAATCCTCCCTGGAATACTCATATCCTATGCTGATACTTACCGTATCTCGTGTGGCTTGCAGCTACGCGAACTCTGTCATACAGGCTTTGTATTTCTGCGCACCATTCCGGGACCTTGTCGTGCAGGCGATAGAAGTGCCGCACCCTCCAAACCAGACGATACATAGTGCCACATCCTCCTCACCGACGCTAGGGACCCCCTCTACGTCTGGAACTACTTCCGTGCCCCCCATCGATTCGATACCATACTCACCGTCGAAACCGCCAATATCAACGACACCCATACCCATACCACCACATCCCCCAACGCTGTTCTCGGCGCTACGTTCTTTATATGCTCACATATCCACAAACCCGGCCGAGCGAGGCACGGTAGCACCCCGCGCCTTCATTGACAAGCTCAAAGAAGTGAACGAGATATTCCGATCAACCACAATGCATCAGGACGCCCACGAGTTTCTCAACTTCCTGCTGAATAAAATAGTAGAGGAGATCGAGGAGGACAAGCGGTCTGTCCAACAGGCTAAAGAGAAGGAGTCCTTGGTGAATGTTGACGACTGTGAGTCCGACGTCTGCTTACTACTAGACTCGCCAGCGCCTTTTGACCTCGCGTATCATATTCGGGGATAGCGTAATTGACCTCTCAAATCCTACAGTGTCCAATTCAGTGACCACGAGCTCAACTTCAGGCATATCTCCGCATGATGCCACACTAGTGCATAAGTTATTCGAAGGCGTGCTGACGAGCGAGACCAGGTGTCTAACGTGCGAGACTGTGAGTCCCTCTAACGTTGTGCTCCTTCGCCCAACCAAAACGAGCTCTCCAATAGGTTTCTTCCCGTGACGAATCCTTTCTCGATCTCTCAATTGACATCGAGCAGAACTCGAGCGTAACCGCTTGTCTACGACAGTTTAGTGCTAGTGAGATGCTTTGTCAGAAGAACAAATTCTTCTGCGATTCCTGTTGTGATCTCCAGGAGGCTGAGAAACGGTGAGCACATAATCCTTCGTCTCAGGTCGCGTCGCGCACGTCGGGAGTAGAGCGTGCCGGCCCGACGAATGACGGGTGCTCCCGGTACATTATTGACTGAATTTGTAGGATGAAGATCAAGCGGCTTCCGAATGTATTGGCTTTACACTTGAAGCGGTTTAAGTACCAAGAAGACCTACAGAAATATGTCAAGCTTGCGTACCGCGTCGCGTTTCCATTCGAACTACGGCTGTTCAACACAGTGGACGATGCCGAAGATGCCGACAGATTGTATGAATTGTTTGGAATTGTTGTGCACATCGGAAAGTAGGTATCTTCCTTTGATGTTTTAATAGGCGGTGTAGAACTCATTCCTTTGTTCAGCGGGCCTCATCACGGGCACTACATCTCGATCATCAAGACCCTAGGTTCATGGCTAGTGTTCGACGATGTCACCGTATCACCAATCGCGGAAGCAGACATTCCTAAATACTTCGGTGACCCTGCGGGGTCAAGCTCCCCAAATTCAGGGTCGGCATATGTCCTTTACTATCAGGCCATAGACATTGACTTGGTTGGGTTGGGGCTGAAGGAGCCGGAGCCGGAGCCAGCACCAGTGACTCGGGGTGTTGTTGTCGAGCAACCAGTCGGCTTGGGTGTGACCTTGGACGGTACAGTGAGTGGAGGGAGTGTCGAAGAATCACCAGCTTTGCCTCCTGGGCTCTCCGTTGAAGTGTCTGCTGTCAGCACGCCAGAGGGGTCAACGTCAATACCACTTCCCCCGCCTGCGTTGCAATTGGATACTACGGCTCTGGACAAGCCAGTACCAAACGGCGTTGCTTCAAGCATGAGTCCGCCAAAGACCGGGATGAGCAATTTCATGTCGAGCATACGACGCTCCGGTAGTCAGAGTGGGTACGCCGAACCCGGTCGGAATGGTATCGACGGGCGTCAACATGGCTTAGATCTGAGCCCCCGACCTACGAACGGCGTTGCTGGTTCAGATGAGGAGATTGGGACAGTGCCTGAGGCAGATGAAAGTGATCAGAAGAGTGACCAGAAGGAGAAGAGGAAGGAACCAGAGAAGAAGGGGAAGTGGTTGTTCAACAGGAGGAGCATTCGCTTGGGTGACAGGGATAAGGATAAAGACAAGGAAAAGAACGGGAGGCATGGCCATGGGGCATCCGCCTCTGAGTACAATGCACCTTCGGGCGTCCCAGACCCGTCTCCGTCGAGCGGGCATTGGTTTAAGACGTCCGGCCATTCCAAACCTCCTCGCAGACCATCAGAACCTGTTAGCTTCTTCAACCCATCGCACTTTGGCTCCGATCCAATGCATAGCAACGGCCACAATACCCTAAACCACACACAAAACGGGCTCACCCCAGATTCTTCCTATACAAATGGCTCAGAACCTCAAGATCCATCGCCGAAGACATCGAAGGCTAGACCAAAGACGAGCACCGGCGCTTCTCTGGCAATGACAGAGATAAACGGAGATCTGACGAACGGGTACGACTCGGCTAAATCTACATCGTCGTCGCATCTTTCTACTCCCCTATCCTCCTCACCGCAACCAATCACCGGGAGTCGCTCGATGGACCCTCAGCTTGCTTCTTCCTCGTCGAGTCCCAACGGTAGGGAAAGTTGGCACCCACGCCCGCTACCTCCCGTCCCTCGATCTCCAGACCACAAGAAATCCCTCACGCATCTTCCCAGCATGACGAAAGACATACTTCGTGGTTTGCCGTCTATTCCCCGGCCATCGACTGCTGGTGGCCGTCCATCTTCTAAATACTCAGCGGAGCCGCCCGTACCTTCTCCTGCTCTTCCAGCGGCTTATGCAAATCATTCGCGGGCAAAGAGCAATGGCTACAATTCTGGATCGCAGCACGATCCGGATGCTACCATGAAGGGCAAAGACAGGGATAATAGCAACTACACCCCCGGGCTGAGGACATCGGCGGCGCTAGATGATGTTGCATCCCCCAATTTCGTGATGAGCTCTCCGGAAAACGCCCTCGCGTCGACTGCTACAGTTGGTAGTGGAAGTAGCAGTGCCAGCTCGAATCTCAAGAAAGCGACTCGCAAGCTCAGTCTTGGCTTCGGGCGGCGGGACAGGGAAGAACGCCATCGAGAGAAAGACATCCGTGACAGAGAGAAACTCAAGGAGAAGACCAAGGATCCGACTTTGTTCCCTGGACTATCGCCTAGGTTCTGAGCACGATGGGTTGGATACCATCGCTCAGGGAATTTCTGTTTTGTTTACTTGCTTTTAATCCATTTTTATTTTCTTCCAGCTTCTGCTCTGTCATTTTCCATGCATACTTATAGGAATATCCTTGCAGTCACTCAATTCATACCACATGCCCACAGCATCTACAATACTAACCTCACATGTCACAAATCAACCATACGATATTGTTGTAATTTACTCCAGCTGCTATGTAGGAAAGAATCCTTATTGCATATGTGGATAGATGGTTGCGATTATTGTATTCGGACGCTTTTATTTGCTTGGACCTTTATCGCTCGATATCCTTCGTTGAACACTAAACGAAGTGGCCTCGACTCTTTTCTCACACTCTCGGGCACGAGTACTTATCTTAGAACGGCGATGATATATCACTCGCAACGATCGATCGCCTTTGTATATGTACGACGAAGGGCTACACACGGAATACATGCTATTTTTCCAGTATTGCTGGTATTACTTTGTTCGTCCTTTTGGGCTCATCAGGGGAGGGGGGCTCATGGCGCTGGAGTTGGAAGACGTATCATAACGCGGTGAAGAAAATAGTGGGATCAGGAATCTGGGGAGAGTTACACTTACCGGAAGGTCCCTGATCCAAGGCTGCCAAGTTCGGTGGAGGTCACAGTCAGTTCCGGAAACAAGGGCGAGGCATGCCTCCTTGTGGTGGTCAATTTCTAGTTCTCCAGATCGGGAGTCAACGGTATGAGTGGGTAACTTAAGTATCTCTCGGACCGTCCGTCTGTCGTGCTTGAAGAGCTAGGGGGTCAAGGTGGGCATAGGGGCCCTTTGTATTTATCTTACATACACACTGGTAGACACAGAGCATCGTAGTACAGCGCCGTCCGCATGGAGTTTCTCCGAAGGACGTTAAACAGAGGCCAAAAAAAAAAAAAAAACTTAAGTATCTCGAAGACCAAGTCAAGCTACTTGAATCCGTTGAAACGCAAGAGCGAGTCCAAGGTCGGTCCAAGAAAACAAGAAAGAAAAATACAACTGTATTATCCGAGCTCATGAGCGCGCTGGATGCTTTCGAATTCGACGCAAGTCCTTTCAAACACATAGAGTTTGAACACAAGCTGCAGGAATGATTAACCGGGAAGTAAGTCGGCGACCTTCGACCTTCGACGGAAGCTTTTCAATGAGCTTAGTCATCTTAATGTTGGCAAATTAGCTAATTCTCACGCTCAAAACAATAACGCCGTTTGACCAGAACACTCATCCCGTTGCGCCGACGCCGACGCCGACGTCGAGCAGCTGTTAGAGAGTGCTGGGATGAGGCTGGCAAAGGAAGTGAGTAATTTCTCGACTTCCCGGTCTTCATTGACTGCCACGGCCAGACGAAGGAAATGCTCCTCCAAGGACTCCGCCGATGCGAGAACAGTGCTCGGCCATGGGTAGTATATGGCGCATACATTCGACTTTGTCTTTGATAAACACTGCGGAATCAACGAAGAATGATTAACGAGTATTCTGTGTGATGTTCTGACCGGCGCATATAGTCCCATCAGCATACAATCATTGGCAATGGTGATCGCGTCGATGCACTATAGATGGTATCCACAGCGGTTACGAGTTTCGAGGTATGTTGCATGGGCTCTGTTACTCCAATATAGCAGCTAATACATCCCACCACACGGGTTTCGTGCTAAACGCGGTTTTGATGGCACCTCATGGTCCCCCCTGTTCGCCCAAGATCGTTGATACGGAAGCCCTGTGGTCATCACCGCGACGCTCCCCGCATTCCCAACTGCGCGTTAAGGAATGGCCCTGCACCTCCCGAAATTCGTTCCACTACAAACTCGAAGTAATATCTGTCGTTTTGTAGGCGGACTCCGTTCATCGAGATCTCGAGGAACGCAGGAGCTTATTTTTGCACTCGATCTGTTGACTGCCCGAAACTCAATTCGACAGTAACAATGATGGTTGCTACGTCACGTGACTCAATAATGGTGGAAGTTGCACAAAGCCGGTTTTTGGCGCGAACAATGGCCATATAAGAATGGCCGAATGGCAAATTTGCAGTTCAAGATTCCTTTCCCCTTCCTTCTCCTTCAACGACCGACCATCCTTTCTCCCTTCCTCTACTCGACTGTGTCGAGATCTTCTTTGTCCGACGCAGCGCGTACTTGACGTTCATTTCTGCGACAAAGCGCTAGCCGTTCCCACATAACATTCGTTTACCAACACTATGAAACTCTCTGTCGCATTTACCGTGGCTGCGATCTTGGCCCCGGTGTACTCTCTCCCAATTAAACGTGCCATCGACCCCGCTCTGGTACCGGATTTCGGCCATGCCGCTGGAGTGAACCCAACAGGTGGGAGGAAATGTAGATATAACGCGACAGCACCTTTGTTGACATTGTAGTTGGTCTCAGGAACTGGAGATTGTGATGGAGCTGTCAACGATGCCAGCGGGAAACCCATTAAGGTCCCTTGTGCTTGTCCCCCAGACCGCAACTCTTTCATTCAGGTACGCGCTCTATGTATAGCTGCATTTCCAACAATCCAACTAACTTCACGCGATTCTCAGGCCCTGGATGCGAATGTGGCTGCTGGAAAGGCAGTCAACAACCCATCAGTCAAGGTTACATTCCCTACGGACAACAGCAAAGAGTCACAAATCACCAGAATAAACGCTGCCCTTGTTACGTTGCAGAATCTCAATGGACCTGGGAAAGGATGTCCCGCGTCTTCTACTACGCTTTTGGCTCAACAGAAGGCGATTGCCGATGGCACTGCTCCTCCTGCTCCTCCGTCAGCACCTCCCGTACCGGCACCCGCAGCCCCTGCTGCTGCACCCGCACCACCAGCATCTGCAGGAGGCGTGGATCCCGCCCTAGTACCGGACCTTGGCTTCCAATCCGGTTTGAACCCAACTGGTATATCTCTTGTTCGCACCTGTGATGTATTGATACTCATTCCTCGGATTATCAGGAACCGGTGACTGTGACGGAGCTGTGAATGGTGCAGATGGCAAACCAATCAAGATTCCCTGTGCATGCCCTCCTGATCGTGATACATTCATCAAGGTATCCCTTGTCCCGCTTCGTATTGTTCTGGCTGAACTGACGTTCTATTCTTATTATCTGTGTTTCCTTCATTAGTCCTTAAACGCCAACGTCGCCGCTGGCAAAGCTGTCAACAACCCCTCCGTTGCCGTAACATTCCCCACGGACAACTCCAAAGATTCTCAGCTCGCACGCATTCAAGCTGCTTTAGTGACATTGCAGAATCTCAACGGACCTGGGAAGGGCTGTCCGGCAGTGTCAACGACTTTGCTTGCTCAGCAGAAGGCGATCGCGGCGGGCAATGCAGCGCCAGCTCCTGTCCCAGCCCCCGCCCCAGCCAATCAAGCGGCAACTGTGACCGGTGGTGTGGACCCTGCTCTTGTCCCCGACCTTGGATTCCAATCCGGCCTGAACCCTACGGGTACTGGCGACTGCGATGGTGCCGTCAACGGCGCAGATGGCAAACCCATCAAGATCCCTTGCGCCTGTCCTCCCGATCGTGATGCTTTCATCAAGGTATGTTGCAACCTCCCTGATTGTGTATAGATTAACTCATGATTGATGATAGAGCTTGAATGCGAACGTTGCCGCAGGCAAGGCTGTTAACAACCCAAGCGTCGCCGTGACTTTCCCTACTGGCAACTCCAAGGAAGATCAACTTGGCCGTATCCAAGCTGCTTTAGTGACTTTGCAGAACCTGAACGGCCCTGGTAAAGGGTGTCCTGCTGTGTCGACTACATTGCTAGCACAGCAGAAGGCTATCTCTGAAGGAACTGCTGCTCCTGCTCCTGCGCCTGCGCCTGCTCCTGCGCCTGCACCTGTGCCTGCGCCTGTACCAGCCGCTCCCGCTAGCGGTAACGCTGGCGGCGTCGATCCCGCCCTCGTTCCCGATCTTGGTTTCACCGCCGGCTTAAACCCCACTGGCACTGGTGATTGTGATGGCGCTGTCAACGGTGCAGACGGCAAACCTATCAAGATCCCTTGTGCTTGTCCCCCTGACCGTGACACTTTCATCAAGGTAAGGCTCGACACCACTTCATCTATTTGCATACGTCTTTACTTATGGCTGATCATTAGAGCTTGAACGCGAACGTTGCTGCAGGCAAGGCCGTCAACAATCCCAGCGTAGCCGTGACTTTCCCTACCGGCAACTCCAAGAACGATCAACTCGGTCGTATTCAAGCCGCTCTGGTCACTTTGCAGAATCTGAACGGACCTGGGAAAGGATGCCCCGCCGTCTCAACTACATTACTCGCGCAACAGAAGGCTATCTCTGAGGGTACCGCTCCTCCTGTAGCTGCTCCTGCCCCTGCGCCAGCGCCGGCTCCCGCGCCAGCGCCAGCGCCTCCTGCCAGCGGAAACGCCGGTGGTGTTGATCCCGCCCTCGTTCCCGATCTTGGCTTCACTGCTGGCTTGAACCCAACCGGCACCGGGGACTGCGACGGGGCTGTAAACGGTGCAGATGGCAAGCCTATCAAAATCCCTTGCGCCTGCCCTCCCGATCGCGACACCTTCATCAAGGCTCTCAATGCGAACGTTGCTGCAGGCAAGGCCGTGAATAACCCGAGTGTTGGCGTCAGCTTCCCTACCGATAATTCTAAGCAATCGAAGCTCGCACGGATAGAGGCGTCGTTGGTGACGTTGCAGAATTTGAATGGGCCAGGAAAGGGGTGCCCTGCTGTTTCGACGACTTTGCAGGCACAGCAAAAGCAGATTGCAGCACAGTGATCATCATTACTTCGGTTCAAAATTGCTCGTGAAGATAAGAGACAATTGATTTATACCACATTTGTAACATATATACCATCATTCCGTGAATGATTCAGACAACTAGACAATCCATCAGACAGTGTCTAGGTGCCTAGTACGTCCTGCTGGCTAAGTTATGTCAAAGGCGCAAACTAGTGGAAGTTCCGAGTAAACGCCGGGAAGAACAAGAATACGGCGCCATCATGGGCGGTCAAAGAACACTATTATTTCAGTCATAGGAAGAGAAGAGAAGATGGTGAAGGTATCAATCGGGTAAGAGACCATTGGCAATCGAAGCAAAGAACTAGAACCCTACAGTAGAACCCCTTCAGACCTCCTCCTTGTCAGTGCCCGGCGAAGTAAACTTTAATGTCTCCTCCATTGGGATAGATCCGATGGTGAATTTCGTGCGTTCCGATCCAGGCGAGGAAGGGCTAGGTTTTCCACCGCTGCTAGACGAAGGAGTAGAGCCGAAAGCACGCTGTCTGGCCACACGGCTGATGATCAGGAGTGGCGCAATTACCTACGCCAAGGAACTAGGTCAGGAATTTCACTTTCGAAAACGAAAGCTGTGTCTGACCAAGGATTGGGAGAAAGAGGGCAGAGATGTTGTTACCTGCGCCATACGACCCAATAAAGAGCAGCGAAGTTACTGCGTAGAGAGCTGAACTCTCCACGAGCATAGAGATGATCGATGCGTAGGGAATAGCGCTACGCGACGACGACATTGAGGCCGTTTGCTTCATTGACCGATTGTGGAACCAGTACGCAATCACACACCTTGGTGCCACTGATATAGCTGTTCATTTAATCGCGTTAGGCTTTTGATGCGTGCGGGGGTGATGTGGATGGTGTATGCACCACAGGCACAGTATGCTACGGGGAAAGTCAGTGTCCATCCTTTCTGCTAACGTGCAGCAAACCAACTGGGCACCTCTTAGCGAACAGGATATGTCTCCCAAACAGAGCCTTCGATAATAGCACCCAGTCTATCGTCGAAGTGGAGGGGTTGGCAAACCAATTAATAGTGGCCACTCCACCACTTCCCTTCGATGCGGTCATTCCCGTCTGGACGGCCTGCACCGACGCCAACTTCCAAGGCAACTGCTTTCTCTGGTGCTGGGCAGGCGATGGGTGCCTCCAGTTCACTGGGATATGGGTAAACAGCCTGTCGAGCATCCGCATGCAGGATTCGCGCATCGGCTGTAACTTCTTTGTGTCAGTCAGTTCCCCCTACGCTCAGTTAGTTGGAAGTCAAACCGCTTTGATCTCACTCACCAGGACCTGGGACTGTATCGGGAACGCCATAAACATCGATTCAGACGCTATTTTCAATCTCGCTGCGACCAATTACAACGATCGAATTGTAGCTTTCAAGTGCTACTGGAGATGAATAACGGACTATTGGCGCTAACCTGTATCTCGGGCTCGCCGGTGCTATAGAAAGTCAAAGAAAATAAATATCAACGAGAACCCTTTTCGTCATCGAGAAGGTTCAGAAGTCGCGGTGTCTTAGACCTCAACGAGCTATCAAATCCAAAGTTTGATTATCACTGGAAGGCACGAATGGCGAAAGGCGGCGTACTTTCATAGTCCTCCGAGGACGGACCGAAACTGGGACATACTGATACCACCGCATGGTCGTACCTTCTCCGGCAATTTCTGAGTAACCGTTGCTTCGGAGGCGCATGCAAAGCCGTGCCTTCCTGAGATACGCGCAAAGTATCGCAAGGTATCGGGGAATTCAGAAGAAAAGAAGAGCTGGTTGGCGGTCATGAGTGCTTCATGAACAAAGATTATTGAATCAATTACTTGGGTCGTGGACTTGCATGCTTCTCAGTGCCCTCTACCTCCTCCTTTTGCCCCAGAGTCAGTATGTCGCCATCGGGCAATCCGTACCAAGTTGTGCCCTCGTCGCCCGAGCCCGCTGAGAATGCCTTGAACGTCGTTAGCGAGAAGTCGAGTAGCAACTGTACGGAAGTCAGCATAAATATTGGTGGTCATACTAACGTCGACGTTGCACGTTTGAACAGCAGCGTTTCTCAGTAGTCGCAATCTAGTCTTGATTTCGTCCGTTGCGACAGTCGTAACCTCACTCCTTTCCCTCTACACCTTCATCTCCGCCCAACTAACTCCATACCACTCCATCGCCCATGCTTCCACAGGCGCACCGCTACTCAGGCGTCCAGGCACGTATATGAACCTCGACAAGCTCCCGGTGAACGACAGCCAGCCGCACTTCCACCCGATCCATAGTTTCGCCCACATCCTCCTTCAGATCGACACCTCTGATCCACAGCGGAAGCTGCACGAGAACTACAGAAAGTATGACAGTCCCCAGGGAGAGATATACCCCGATGACCGGTACTTCCTCGTCTCGTCATCCGTAGGCTGCTTCCTTACCAGATGTTGATGACGCCCAAGGTGGGGACTGACGCGCCAGTAGACGTCGACCATAATCCAATTTCGCAATCTCGACTTCAGAATGGAGAAGTGCGTGCTCGACCCCACTATCCCCAGCCATAACGTCACGTCCCCCGATTCTGGCTTCGAGCCTAGCGTTCGCGTTGATGCGTCAAGTATCGTAGATGTGTGGATGCTAGACAATACGCAGGAGCTATCGCGACATACCCAATGGACGTACGCCCCACGGCGCAAAACGTGCTTCCGGAGCATCAGCCTCCGTGGCGAGGGTTCACGCAGAATCGAATTCTTCTGCCCGTCGGTGTCGTTCAGCACTTTCGAGTTTGCGTGTTCGTCGAGCACACCGAATTGTCACGTAGAGTTTTGGCAAAGAAAATCAAATCCTCCAAACGGTTCGTGGCACTTGTGCGTGCTGGGGAGATGAGAACTGACTGGTGTTAGGAATCTACATGGTTCAATACGATTCGAGGGAGTGGATAGGCGAGGGACCAGCAGCAGAGAAGGATTGATCGTGAGAATAGCCTGCGCTTAGGGGCTAGGAGAATCCATAGCAATATGAACGGATCCCTTGCTTCGATGGCCATGGTAAGGGCCTCCCGTGACGGAATTGAGCCAGATCGTCTAATGATCAAGGCTAATAACAGTACTTGTTATACAATGAGTTGCATCTAAAATTTGTAAACTTGATCTTCAGTGTAACCAAGTTCCTTGAGTATGCCACCAAGCTCGCCCTGCTTCATCCCCGCCTTTTTACCAGCGAGAGCAGCTACTTGACCAGGAGGTCCTATATTTCCCATGAGACAAGCGTATCGCCGTGAGCTGGCGCACTTACCACAAACGAACACCTTGACTTTTTCACCGAGGGTTGGCGGGGCGACATAGTTAGTTAGAGCGTCCTTCCCAATGAATCCCTTAGCTCCCTTCCAGTTGGCCTCCGGCTTATCAAGGAAGTACACAACATCGAACTTGTCCGGGAATTGCTTCTTCAGGGCGTCAAATTCCTCGCGGAGCAAGATGTCTTTCTCGGCGATGTTACCAAAGAGGAGCGTGAACTTGGTTTTGTTAGATTTATCCGCGAGGGCATGGGTTAGGATTTGGTAAAGGGGAGTGCTAGGGCCAAGGTCGGTGAGCAATTGGTGACGAAGGTGTAGCCAACGCCAACTTACACGCCACTGCCTCCTCCAATCAACGCAACCTCATCAAATTCATTAACTGCATCCACTGTCAAGCAGTGTCAATACAAAACTGACAGGAGTGACGCACTCTTATAGGGCCATTTGGGGATAGGTCCTTTGATTGCGAGCGAGTCTCCTTCCTGTGTATTGGAATCCGTTGCGTCATTTCATCGATAGCGATATCAGGGATGGCACTGACCTTGAGTGAATGGATGTATTTTGATGCATTCCCGGTGTCGTACTTTTTTACCATAAGTGTCAGTTCCCCGGGAAGGTCCGGAGGCGAGATGGGTGTGTACGGGCGGATGATTGGCTTTCCTTGGTCGTTGACCAGGGCATTGGGGTCGGATGATTTCACGACGAGGCAAGAGGCTACGGGCAGCAGCGACGCTTCGTTGTTGGGGAGCTCGAATACAAACCTGCATTATCGTGATTAGCTTCCGGCAAAATGACGCAGTGTGGCTGGTGGACATTGATAGGACTTTGCATATGGGCAAAGGAACGAGGCGCTTTTCACAGGCGTTGTGTAAAGCTCCATCGACCCGGCAAATGCGAAGCGGTGTAGATACTAAAGATATGCATACTAGGCTCCAATCGAAAACGGACTTTGTTCGCCACGCGTGGCCGAATCAACTGGCCATGCGTGGGGAAGCCACAATACCAGGCACTTGGCAGGAGGAAGCTACTCACTTGGCCGTATTGTCGTTGTAGGGCTCTACCCTCTTGAGCTTAAAGTCCACAAAGTTCTCTGGGTCGAGGGGGCTCTTTAACTGTTGAACGACAGGCTTTGCTTTCTCGCTGAAATTGACATAGTAGTAGCCTCCAGCAGCAGCGACGCCGGCGCCCAACAAATAGAAAGGGAGATTGGACGAGCTCTTGGACGCGGGCGTTGCTGAAGAGTACCGGCGTGCCCCGTTGAGAGTCTGAATTGTGTATAAGTAACTAGGAAACAGAAACGCGGGCCGACAAGAATGCTCACCAACGACCGTAAGGCAGTTCTGGCAGCGAACATTGATGATGGGACCTTTTGTGAGATAAACGGTTGTTGAGGTTGAGGCAAGCGTTGAAGCTTGAAGGGTGTGCGAACTGCCGGGAGAGTAAGCGAGCAATTGCATCATAGTCAGGGCGTGCTCTTGGTAATTCGACAAATCATTTTAGGAGAAATCGAGATAAATGCATCGGAAATTCATTGAGAAATTGCAAATAATTGTGCGGCAGCGTAGGCGTCGTGGTGGTGGTGCGAGCGAGAGCGGTACCGGATGGAGGGCGGGATGGCTGAGTTGGTCACGAAGGCCTGAACTTCTGATCTTGCTTTCCTTTATCATCTACCACCATCCCACTTTGACTTCCATTTTTTGGAACGGCCCGTTTTCCTCTCCATCTCATTCCTGACGACCCCCAAGACCAGTAATGTCGTTTGTCAAGCTCAGCATCTTCGGCACATCGTTCGAGGTAGAGCACAGTGTCCCTTGCGGCAGTCGGCTGTATCTGACTTGCGCCTATCGATGCGCTAGGTAACGACTCGCTATGTTGATCTTCAACCGGTGGGAATGGGTGAGTGCACCAGCCGAGACGATCTGGAACGATGCTGATGTCTCACGTCCGTCGGGAATAGGTGCCTTTGGCTTGGTGTGGTATGTGGAGCTCTAGAAGGATCTTCGGCGGGGACTTTGGATTTACTCGTTCGCTCCCAGTTCCGCCAAAGACCAACTCAAAGGAACCTCAGTCGCTATCAAGAAGATTATGAAGCCGTTCAGTACCCCTGTGCTGGCCAAGCGGACGTATCGTGAGCTCAAGCTGCTGAAACACATCCAACACGAAAACGTTCGTAGACTCATTTCCAGAGCCAGAGGCCACTCAGATTAACGGGTTGAATAGATCATCAGCCTGAACGACGTATTCATCTCGCCGCTGGAGGATCTGTGAGTTATGGTACTCCTGAGATGTCGGTTAAGCTCACGGACGGCGTCCTCAGTTACTTCGTCACCGAGCTATTAGGGACTGACTTGCATCGCTTATTGAGTTCGCGGCCATTAGAGAAGCAGTTTATTCAATACTTCTTGTACCAAATCTTGGTGCGTAATCCGCCGTCGCTCTGATGTTCGGAGACTGACTCTCCCATAGCGAGGATTGAAATACGTACATTCAGCTGGTGTAGTCCATCGCGATCTAGTACGTCCTTAGCGATTCCATTCCGTGCAAATGTCTAATACATCTTCCAGAAACCGAGCAATATCCTCGTGAACGAGAATTGCGATCTTAGGGTATGGCGAGTATAGTTTTGCCACGGGATAACCATTAATCATTATCCCCCTTCGTAGATATGCGACTTTGGACTTGCTCGAATCCAAGACCCCCAAATGACGGGATACGTATCAACGCGTTACTACCGTGCCCCCGAAATCATGTTGACATGGCAAAAATACGACGTCGCTGTTGACATCTGGAGTACAGGCTGCATATTCGCAGAGATGTTGGAAGGAAAGCCTCTCTTCCCTGGCAAAGATCGTAAGTCCCCCTCCATCGCCATTCCCCACTGCATTGACGCTGACCGCTATTCAGACGTCAACCAATTTTCTATCATAACCGAATTATTGGGAACGCCTCCCGATGATGTCATCAAAACCATCTGCAGTGAAAACGTGAGTGATTGACGGCCTCGTATGTCTTACGCCATCCCATCACAGCGGACTGATTTTTACCACGTTTCTCGATCCAAGACGCTTCGCTTCGTGCAAAGTCTGCCAAAGCGAGAGCGGGTGCCGTTCAGCCAGAAACTCCGGACGACAGATCCAGATGGTGAGATTTGATTTTAGTTTTGATTCCTTCTCGGTGCTACTCTTGTCGGGGTTGGAGACTGGGGTTATGCTTGTGTCATATGATTCCGTTTGTTATGCCTCCGATCTAATTGCTGCGATTGTTCATGCAGCTCTCGATCTACTGGAGAAGATGCTTGTCTTCGATCCTAGGAAACGGATTGATGCTACCGAGTCGTTAGGCCATACATACGTTGCGCCATACCACGACCCCACAGACGAGCCCATTGCGGAATTGAAGTTCGACTGGAGTTTCAACGACGCAGATTTACCCGTCGACACATGGAAGGTCATGATGTACAGTGAAATCCTAGGTGAGGATGCCGGCGAATTCATGAACGCATTTACTCACCCATGTTGTTTGTTGTAGATTTCCATCAAGTCGGTGAGCAAAAACCTAATGACTTGACGACCACTGCTGGAGGTGTCCCCGAAGGTGCACTGGCAGGCCCGGAAGAGGAGGCGGTCCCAGAAGCCGCGTCACCAGCGGAACCGAAATCCGAGTAAACGCACATATTAGGAGACGCGTTCTTCGTCCTCTTGACTCTTCAGACACGATTCACTCGTTTTACTCTGATATAAATTCAAATATCTCACTCCTCGTTTTCGGACAACTATCCCCCTTTAATTGTCAGCGGAACGGGTAGATTATTTTACACTTTCTAGCACACGCTCTCTCATCCTCAGTCTCATCGTTGACGCGCACAGCAGCTTCAACTTCCCCCATCGTTTGACCCTCGCTTCAGGTGATACCTGTAACCCGTCATATTCATTCACTATCCCCCTACTCCCCATTTTCCCCGAGTCCCGCTCCAGATCAATCTTGTGTTAGCAATCTTTATCTGCCAGAAGAATTGGCTTGTCCGCCAGTGTTTCATTACTGCCCTGTAGTTATTAGTCTCTCATATGTACTGAATGTCCACCAGACACGATTGGGCATCAATATCAATCTCAACCTAACTAGCGTTGAAGAACCTTGAGGACTAAGGCCATCAATAGCATTGGTGTACTTATATCTGCGGTTTACACGCAGGCTGCGTGACCTTGCTGTGTGACATGCGTGACTCAACTCGATGTGAGATCTGAGTGAACTGGTTGCGTTTCAACGTTCACGGCAAGTTCAAGCTATACAAGCTCGCCTCGCGTCCGTTCAGTGGAAATCTCGTCGCATTTGAATATCTAACCGTATAAACAACAACGCCGCGTATGTACGGCACACCTACTACGGATTAAATGTCACTAATCATGTTCAAGTACCACCGCTGCCAATTCGTAAATTACCATCATGAGTCGCCGAAATCGTCCTTCAGCGTTCGAAATTAGCTTCGGTGAACCACTCCCTGAGGGGCCCCCTGCGGCCCCAGAGATCACCTTGAAGCGCCCTGCACCTTCTGATGCTTCGACCTCGGTGAGTGTTCTCCTTGCATCGAATCGAACGAAGGACTTACGGATCATCACCTTTTTTTGCGATGTAGCGCCCTAAGCGAGTGCACGTAGACCTTCCAAGTGAGTGCTCTTGCGATAGTCATCAGCACTCAGTAACGACGCGACTTTCCCAAAGAATCGGCGTTCTACTCTCCCAGTCCCAATAGACAGGAGATCAACGAAGACGACCCCGATCTAGAAATTCGAGGAGAAGAGCCCTCTAATCCCGATACAACCGACAAGCCGGTTCGCATACTCAACGCTTTCACGATGTTCGATCCCAAGCACCGTTTTGAGATGGTATCGCTTCAGGCCCTCGCGGATGACGACCCTAACGCAAACGGATTTGTTGTGGTTGGGTATGCATCCGCATTCATGGCTGAGGGAGACGAAGACGAAGAGGACGAAGAAGAGGACGAAAATCAGCCGTTCGTAAAGTTGCATAGACTGATTAGCTACTCTATGGACACAACAAGCCAAAATGAGTACGTTCTCCGAGTCCTACGCATCAATAGGATCACGGCTGATGCAGCCATCTTTAAGCCCGGTTTGGCTAGAGACGGATCACGCGTGGTACATTCTACGAGACCCTTCTCCCGAATACGAGCCTTTTTTTCGCCACTTCTATACCCCGCGCAGAGCTACCCAGCTCGTCATTTCGATGGCAAAGCAGAATCCAAACATGGACTTCCCTACTTTCATGACGAATATCTCATCGACGACCACGATCCTGGGGAGAAATATATCCGAGGACGACATCCTCTCGTCAGTAAGTCATCTATGCTCGATTGAGGCTGGACGTGCAGTAACGAATCGTGCTTTTGTAGGTAGACGGGCTCAGCTCAGCCGTGGTAGAATCCGCAGAGGTTGCCGCGCTCAAGCAGCGGTCCCGTCTCGTCACATATTTGCTACGTGGCCAGCATCCTGCCCAGCTTCCCAAGCGACCCAAGCGCTGGGATGGTCATCCCCCAGCATCTCTCCATGCGAAGGCACTCTTCCGCAACCTCGACTTCTTCGTCCTGCAACCCGAAAACCAAATATCGACGCATGTCACTCCTCTGGTTGCCCAGTTAGCAGGTGGACATTTCGGCGAGCGGCTTGTCGTAGTCGGTGCCCCGCTCCCTCCCCCTTCCAAGGAGAAGGAGGACTCAAACAAGAAAAAAGAATTCGCGAAGGTCAAGGCCTTGGTAGAGAAGGCTCACCGAACGAAGGATCGATGGCGGAAGAAGGAGATCAAACCGAGCTATCGCCTAGCCGGTAGGAATGATATCTGGCTGAAAGCGATCGACTTGGACAATGAAACATTCACTGTGAGCACTTTCAGTATCAGACTATATCAGGGACTAACCCTGTTCTATATAGGTTGGGGATATCGTACTTGTGCTCCCCAGAAAAAGCGATCACCCAAGGATACAAGAGCTACCTAGTGTCGAAGATATACGGCCAGGCGCTACGATTCCTAGTTACTTTCGGTACATCCTTACTCGTATAGCCCTTCTGATCCTTCTCAGATTTGTCTCGTTGTTAGCTTCGCGCAAATCATATTCCTTAACATTGAAAAGAGCATGGCTCATGTCCGATGGTTCGAGCATAGTTCGTTCACCATCATGCAAGAGTTCGGAAACCCCCAGCAACTATTCCTCAACAACATCTGTGACGATGTACATATTCAAGACCTAATCGAGAAAGTCACCGTTCATGCTCAGTGCACAGGAGACATGCTCCCTGAGCATTATTTCTACAAGTATGTGTAACTTTTCTTTTTCATCCATATCCATCTAATGCGTTTTAAGCTCGATTTACGACCATTCTCATGCTGATGTCGTCGCAATTGACCATTCAGCTGAGGCTATTGTTGCCACTCATTCTCCGCCCGGTAACTGTCCTGTGGCCATCTGTGCTTGGAGAAATGAGTTGGAGAATGTTGTACAGCGCACATCTAATCCGCCAGGTGCTGCTTACCTTGGCCACACTTACCATAAGCATGATTTCGTTGAGGTCGCCTCCGACTCACCGTCAGGACTCTGTGACATTGGGCAAATAGTCGGATTTCCGGACAAGACTTCACGAAGAGAATCTTCGACTTCTCGGTTGGATGCTCAATTGTATGTCCGCGTTCGCTGGCTTGGCCGGATGTCTGATATCAAACGAGATCTTCCGGAGGGCTACATCAAGGATGAGGTAAGTACTATGCCTGCTCTGCCTCTACAGCCTGATGCTCAACTTGATAATAGAAACAACTTTTCATGACGGATGAGGAGGAGGATATCCTGCTCACAAACCTCACTCAACCTTGTTTTGTCATACCAGACAAAGCCCGAGGTGAAGTGGAGTGGCTTCAGCTTCTAGATAGCTCTCCCCACCATTTCTACGCTTCTCGCCACTTTTCATCACGCCAAGCCCACTCCTGGCTTGACGGCCGGGACTACAGCGTTCAAGAGCATGCAATGTGCCGGACTTGCACATCTTCTCTTGTACGACTTGGAGACGCAAGAAGTGGCCGCCACTTGTACTCCGATTTTTGTGATGTCCAGCTTCAAATGCCTTTACGGACATTGGACCTTTTCAGTGGCTGTGGTGCGTTCAGCCTAGGGATGGCTCAAGGGGCGAAGTTTATCCGAGTAACACATGCTATTGAGATATCTCCAAGTGCGGCAAAAACTTTCATGTAAGTAAATTTTTTCTTATGCTGTTGCATTTCTAAGACATCTAGCTAGGCGTAACCACAAGAATATCAAGATGTACAACAACTGTGCGAACCTAATACTACGCCATTTCATCAAACATGGATACGGGCACCAGGCCGAAGCTCCAATTCAGCTTTTTGATGGAAGATCCCCTGTTCCCACACCACCAAAGCAAGGAGATATTGATTTGATGATAATCGGGTTTCCTTGGTATGTCGTTCTTTAATAAGGTAGACTATTTGCTAAACCATTCATAGCCAGTCTCATTCTGGTCTTAACAGGTTCAAAAAGGCCAATGATTCAAAGAGCAATTTAATCTTGACTGCACTGTCATATGTTGACTTTTTGCAGCCAAGATATTGCTACTTTGAGAATGTCAGGGGATTTCTCCAATACAGTCTTGGTGCCACCCAAGATGGAAAGCACAAGACATCTGGAGGAATTACAATGGGAGGCCTCAAGTTCTTGACCAGAGCTTTGGCTGATTTTGGGTAAGCAGATTTTTCAATGAGAAGACCACTAGATTCTGATTTTTTGTGTTAAAGATATCAATACCGGTTTGCTTTACTTCAAGCAGCCCATTATGGTACACCTCAACAACGAGTTCGCTTTTTTCTTGTTGCTTCTAGGTTTGGGCATCCACTTCCTGACTTCCCTCAGCCATCACATCATTTTCCTCTTAATGAGACACTTTCAGTCAACTTGCCAACTGGCTCCATCTTGTCTCCAGTTAGACAAACTAGAGGGTCTCAGGCACATCAGTTTGTCACTGTTGATGATGCTATTTCTGATTTGCCTCGGTTTGACTGGTACATTCAAGATCATCTTCATTGGAAATATACTGACTCATGCTGGAATCAAATAGGAAGCATCCCTTTGTGGCTGGCAAACAAGGAAGACAACAGGGCATTGATGTTTTATCTTGCTCAAAGGACAAGCCATGGTGTGGGAAAGCTGGAAGGGCAAATTACTTTCATCCTCCAAAAACTATCTTTCAAGTTCAGTGCCGATTGGTTGAGTCAACTGATCTTCAGCAATATACAAAGGTCTTGGTTCCTGCTACTGTAGCAAGGTATGTGCTATACTTAAACAGATTATATTGGATCTTGATAGTTTTTTATTAGGGTTGTCAATGTGCCATTGCAAGCAAGGGCAGATTACCGAAGTATTTTGCAATCTTGCTTTAGAGTCAAAGATGTGACCTTTATCATTTTTCCAGGTTTGACTGGAGATTCTATGGAATGGCAAATGAATAATGCAGTGTCAGCTGTAGCTAAGGGAGGCTATCGACCTGGTAATTGCTTTTTATTTGTATTTTGCCATTGCTAAGTGTGGTTTAGGCTTCTATGGCAGATTGGATCCAGATGGCTGGTTTAATACCACTGTCACTAATGTTAATCCAACTGCAAAGCAAAGCAAGATATTAAATCCCTATGTAAGTACCCACATTGTTACCCATCAAAACATTAGTGCTAACTTGAAGTAATCCTCTTCTATCAGTGCAAACGGATTGTCACAATCAGAGAGCTTGCAAGGTCTCAAGGCTTTCCAGACCATTTTGTATTTGAAGCCATTGACAATAATTTGGTCACAGTATGTTTTACTATTTTTCCTTGCTCAGATGTTGAACTTAGAGCCATAGATGCATAGGCAGATAGGCAATGCTGTTCCTTGGCCTGTTTCAAAAGTACTGGGACAGGAATTAGGCAAGGCATTGTATAAGAAATGGTCCAAGGATAAGGCCAATGCCATACCTATTGATTAATATACATGTAAAGATCATCCAATCCCATATTGTGCTGCATTATTTATCTTTATGAAAGTCACAATAGTACAACTACTCTACTTTAATTACCAGTTTCCCAGTGGTTATTCCACCTGCCAGATCCTTCTGAGCTTGCTTCACACCATCAGCAGTGAATGGCAATTCTTTAACTACATTGAGCTTGATGACTCCCTGAGCAATCAATGAAAACAACACATTGCCGTAATTCAATGTCTCCGATGGTGTGAAGAGGTAGTTATTCATTCTGCAATGAAAACAATGCATTAATATCCATTTGACACCTGGATTCAAGATGCATACTCACGTTGGTCGCAGAATGGTGATGTTCCTCTCTACAAGTTTCAGTACTGGAAATGGAGCGGGCAACCCCGAAGCATTTCCAACTACAACGATAGTTCCCTTCCTCCGTATCATCTTGAAGTTATTGTCAAACCTGAACACAATGGCGATGAGTCAAAGCTAAGGCGCTATGGTACAACGAAACACCTACGTGTCCTTCCCGACGCCGTCAAAGATTGCGTTGACACCTTCTCCGTTGGTAATCTCAAGCACCCTTGTTACCGTATCTTCGCTCTTGTACAATATGACGTAGTCTGCGCCGTACGATTTCGCCAGGGTTGCCTTCTCTGACGTCGATGTCGTCCCAATCACCGTCGCACCTCGATGCTTGGCTAGCTGAGTAAACAGTAGACCCAGGCCACCAGCGACGGTGTGGATCAGTATAGTGTCGCCCTTCTTAACCTGGTAAGCCTCTTCGAAGAATGTCACAGCGGTGAGTCCTTGAACGAGCGAGGCGGCTGCAGTCAGGGAGGTGACAGAAGAGCCTACACGGTAGACGGTCTTGAAAGGTAGTGACACGTATGTCGCGAATGCGCCCGCTGGAACAAAATCCTGGTGACTCGGTAATGGAAGTGTCTGTCTCGCTGCAGCGAAACCGTCGAACATACCACTGCGACTATATCCCCAACTTTGTATCCCCGTTTCTGATAATCCTCGTTCTCCAGTACATCTGAGGCTAAAGGCAAACGGACAATGGTGCCGGCGGCCTCCTTGCCTAGTACGGCAGGGAATTCTTTCAACGGGAATACACCTTGCCTACGCATTGAATTACACGTCTGAACATATCTGTCGCAGCCTACTGGCGACGAACCTATGGTATATATCGATGAAGTTGACACCACAGTACTAAGGGTTCTCTTAAGCCAAATCAAATAGATTACCGGTGGACAGGCTTACCTCAACCTAATTGCTTCGTTTCAGTAATGGAAAAAAGATCTCGTAAATAGGCTCATCTCTCACTTTGACTATTATATGGCTGGGATCGTCGTCGAGTTTGACTGTCGTCTTCTCGATTACTTCAATACCTCCCGTCTATGTCGAATCATATCAGCACAATATAAGGAAGTACTATCAGCCTTCCTCACCTTTGATATAGTGATCGCATCGACGTTGGTGGGAATTGACATCGCAGTAGGCTAGAGCAATGAGGAGCAGAGAACGAAAAGAATAGGACCTATCGTTAATGAGAATTATCAATGGCATGAGGGCCTTTAAAGGCGAGGGCGAATCTCACAGACATGGGGAATACTGACGGTTCCAGATAACCGGTGATAGGATGATGCTCCGTTGGGGATTGGTAAGGGGAACACGCAGAAATAGATACGTCGATAGTACACTGAAATTAGATGGACCTATTCCCATTAAGAGGACCTTTCACCCATGACTCAAACGACTTTAACTTGTCGCTGGGCTGAAGATGGTCAGGCGGTTACGACGCTTCGCTTTCAAGCGAGATGGGTTCGAGACAGGATGATCGGATGGAAATATCGACGACCGATACTACACTCTATGATTGTCGTTCAAAGTCAGCAGGGTGAGTATATGCTTCGGAAATATCACAAACCTTGGCATAGGGAGGATTCAAGGTCACATCTATGCGCCGTCTTCTTCCTCCGCAATCTCGTAACCAGCCCATATAACCTCTGAGCAGCTGCTGCATCCTATGAGGTGTTCTCCGCGCTCCATTGCTTGAGTGGGTATTACATAGTTCCCACCACACCGACACCCATACCACCATGATGCGACCTCGTCTGTCTCGCCATTCGGAGTTTCGTTAAAGTCTTCAAGGGATATCACTTGCGCAGGGCGCGGTGCGGTGGAAGAAAGTTTGCTCAGTTTCTCTTTCAGAATCGCTGCATCGTACGCTTCACGTCGGTGAGCGGCGGAGAGAACCTCGTAGGCTTCCTTGATCAGGGCGATATCGAAGCGTTCTCCAGTTCGATTCTTGTCGGGGTGCAGGCGCAAGAGAACGCGGTGGTAAGCTGCTTTGATCTCGACCTCGCTCGCATGACGAGGTACATCGAGGAGCTGGTAGTAGTCGACGTCCTTCAATGATCCCGCCAGATTGCTGAGCTGAAGTGTGACAGGCTGGTGGCGTGACCAAACCCAGCTACAGAATCACACCCTGCTAGTCACACTTTGACTTCGACACACTCGGCCTTTTGGATTTTACACAAGGAAGCTTCATGATGTTCGTTTGGCCTCGAATTGTCCACATGGCTGTAGAACTCAGTACTTGAACTCTATAGGGACGACGACGACGATCTTTACGGTCCTTCGACCGCGCCAGAGCAAAAGCCCAAGACACCCACTGGTAAGAGCGCCGGAACCAGCTTCGTCGACAGTTCATGACTTGTACTCTCTATATCGCACCACAATTATCATGAATTTACCCACCAAAACATGTTGTGTGTGTGACATTCAGCCCCTCAACCGTGAGTTTCCCAAATTCTTGACCGTGGCTTGCGCCTGCTCGCGCTATGCAGTTGTTGAGCATTGTTCGTTTACTACGCGTAAATCGACAGAGTACCAATAAGCAACAATGGTATACCTTCAAACGGTATCGTTGCCAAACTCGAAGAAGAGGCGCGGAAGGACGATGATTTGTATGGGGAAGGGAACGCGGAGGAGGGCGACGGGGTTGAAGAGGAGTCGGCGGGCGCAGATGAAGAGAGCGACGACGTATGTTCCGCGCTGATAACTCACATATCTTGACCAAACCCTTGCAGGATGTTGAAATCATCATGGAGACCCAGTCTCGTTCTTTGGACTTTCGGTGAGTGCAAACGAACCCACCGGAGTTAGGTGTACTGAAGGTAATTCTAGGCAGCAGAACCGACCACCGGCAGCCCGTACAAATAGTGCATCAACAACCAACAAACCTCCTGCTCCTTCTCTAACCACCGAGTACAAGCCCCTCGCCAGAGGCGTCCCTGCGAAGGAAGCACAACCCCAATCTTCCCCCGCCCCCTCTTCCCAGTCCGCGATTCCCCCACCTTCTACATCGACGCCCTCGGCCCCCATACCCCAGGAGCTACAATCCCAGCCCAATGGGTCGGTTGTTGACGATGGACCTGACCCATCGACGCTTCCTCCTGCCACGGCACCTCCTTCGCATCCGGCGATCAACCCCGACATGCCTGGCGTAATGGACGGTCGTTCTATACTCGATGTTGACCTTGCTGCATTGGCAGATAAACCATGGAGGAGACCGGGCTCTGATATCAGTGATTGGTTCAATTATGGCTTCGACGAAATCTCCTGGGAAGCATACTGTTACCGCAGACGAGATCTGGGAGAACTAGGTAGCATCCTGAAGCAAAACGTCCTAGTGCGTACACACGACGTAGATTTTCTTCTTCCCTTAATCCACTTCTTCCCATAGAATTTCGCGGCAATGCCAGAAGACCAGTTGACCGCTCTTCCTCCAGAACTTCGTCAAATGGTCATGACTGGGGCAACTACGCTCATGAACAACGGTGGTCCCAACGCCATGATGGGAGGCATGAACCCTATGATGGACATGTCAATGATGGGTGGTATGGGTGGCATGGGTATGAACGGAGACATGGGTATGCAGATGCAGCCTGGCGGGCCTATGATGGATGCAAACCAGATGGGCGGCATGATGTCAGACGGCGCGCAAGGTCAAGCTCAGGCCAACGGTGCCGAGCAAAACGGCAACGTCGGTGGGCCCATGGCCGGGCAGATGATGGGCAACGAAGGATTTGCAGGTGGCGGCCCCGGACAAATGATGATGGGCGGAGACTTCGGCGGTATGCAGGTTCGTATGGTCCATCCCATCAATAGTCTTGTGGCTTCGTGGCTTTGATCGAGTACTCAGTATCGCATTATATTATGTGTTTACAGGATCAGAGCCAGATGTACCAGAATATGGAGGCTCAGCCTAATGTTCAGCCCGTGCAACAGCCCATCATACCACAAGGCGGGCGGGGCGGTGGGTTCCCGTACAGGGCTCGTGGACAGCAACCCAGAGGGCGGGGGTACGTACCGCGGGGTCGTGGTAGGGGAATATACAGTGGTGAAGGTGCGTCTTTTCCACTTATCTCGACTGGAACTGGCTGCCTAACAATATTCTACAGGACCCCCAGCTCCAGTGCGACCTGCAAGTCCTCTGCCTCCCGGCGTGCCCACTGGCCCCCGTAATCAAAACAAGTACAAGGATCGCGATGGGAACGCCCCAGCCGTCGACGGACTTGACTATGGCGGTACCGCGAAGGAAGGTGGGTACAGGACGCCTAGTGGAGAGCCTGAGGACAGAAGCTCTAGGTACGTATACACTTAGAGCAGCGGTGCTTCATCTGACATTCTTGAACTAGGAAAAGGAGGGTTTCTCCAGGTCTTGACGACGGACGAGGTTCTAAGCGCCGTTGAGGGCATCTCCATCTCATCACATATTCTACTGCTTTCTTTATGTAGTTTACACCATTATGACTATTTTTTGTCCGATTCAGACTGCTTCATGCTGTGGCGAAGGCTTATTCCTCATACGCCCCTTGTGGTGGAGATATATCTGAGTTCTAGTATCGTAGAAGTAGAGTACATGTTGATTGACGCGTAAGATCTAAAACACGCGTTCCATTGAGTCCAAAGGTTGTCCATCCACCAAGCTCTGAGTGGCATAATAGTATCCTTGCGGCGTCGCCAATCCAAACTTCTCCATGTCATTGACAGTCAAAGCCTTAGGCAGACGGAGCAGTCCAAGCACTGGGTATCCAAATTTGGATTCCTTCTTGCCAGCGTCGAAATCGTCGTTGCCGATCCCCGTAGAGTCCTGAACCTCACCAGGCTCTTTCGGAGGCCCAGTTTCGATGATATACCTATTCCAACCAATCAGATCAGCTTGGCGATGTAGTACGACGCGTCGCGATGGACTACAGCAAAGTCTACACAGAGAAGACTCACGTCAAAGCTGAAGTTGGAGCTGTCTCGTACAACCAGAGCCGCACCACCCCTTCGCGTAGGTGGTATTTTCTGAACTCGTGGTTCTTCTCCTTTTTTAAGATAAGGTCGGCGAATTTGGGTTGAATCGTCAATATCGCGTCTGTATAAACGCGTGGCGGGCCCTTCGACTTGGATTTTGACTTGGAAGGCTTCGAGGGGGCTTTGGAAGACGACGAAGACGCGACCTTTCCATCCAAAGTTCTCTGTACAAGCTTTTCTGTGCGTTCAGGCGGCATGTCTTGTGGTAGCTTGTTGATGAGTGAAGTTGTTTCGATTCACGAAGTGAGCCGCATAGGCGTGCGACTCGTATTCAGGGTCGACAGCATAAATATGCCCGTGCTATGTTGTCTTACATTTTTTTCCCGTTTCAGCCCAGCCGAGCATGGGCAACATCTTCAGCTTCTCTACAACCCCCAGCGATCTCCTCAGTTTGATTCAAGGGTGCGGTTCTTCTGCGCTCGACGTCTATTTGACGTTTACTAACAAAGTGGCCCTTCTGGCCACCCCACAACCTAGGCCGCCCAGCATCGGACGGCTACTAAATAACGAGTCCATAGCCGTCTCAAGGTGTGTCTGCGACCCATATTTGTGACATCGTGGTTCATGGCCCATGTCAGTGTCGGGAAAGAGCTTACTCCAGGAGATGCACGATATACCACAATCCACGACGGTGTCTCACACCACCCCCTAGGCGCAGGATCTTATATTTTCAAGACAGACTACGCCAAAGCGCTGTTAACTTATCTTAACCTATATCCGAAGACGGAAGACGCCACGGATCAGCGGCCCTTTAATCGACCCCGACCCCGAAAGCTCATCGTCCACATTGGCGCGCAGCCCAACAATAGTCCCCACGCAGGGACTATGATCACCTTCGCATTGGGCTTTATCATTGCCCGCAAAATCCAGCGCAGATACTGTGACATGGGCGGCGACACCGGAAAGCTGCCACCCCTGACCGTATCCGTCAGTTTGGACCTTGTCGACACGGCTCCCGACTCGAAGAAGACAATCGAGAAAGACGGGATCGCATACCAACGATCGCATCGAAATACTAATGCCATGGCCGAGTTTCTCCCAGACTACAGCGAGCTCCTTGAGCGGCTGTCTACGTTTACCAACAATGAAGTGCAATACACGTGCACTCGCCAGGCCGACCTTCTCAAATCTAAGCACATCCCCAAGGTCCTGGATGTAATCCTCGCCGATCACGTCAGAATTGGAAGGGAGCTTGGCCCTGAATCCAACAGGATTGCGCTCCGAGCCGCTTGCCCCGTCGAGGGCTGCGGTATCGCAGAGAAGCACGGCAAATTGAACCAATATCACTACGGCGATGGCATTCCGACAGTCACCTTCAACTGCCTTCACCATGGTCCACATACTTCCTCTCTCGTCCCAGCCCACATCGAGAAGTTCGAGCTTAATACTCCGCTCCGAAACTTGGTTCGCGGAGTCGCCAACATGCTCGATACGATTGAAACTCAGGGAGACGTTGATGGAGAGGAGCGCTATCATCTCCGCGTCACCGGGGGTGATTACGCTGGAATATATCAAGAACAGTTGTTTTACCGCCAGATCAACTGTCTGATGAAGGCTGTCTTTCCGCAATGCAGCCAACTGCCTCTCCCAGTAATCTGCTACGCTCCGCTGCTGACCGACTGGTCCGGCGCAAAACTCTCAAAATCGCTCTACGTGAAGGAGGGCGCGTACGCTTACCTTGAAGAGCAGAACAAGGACTATCTGCTTAGTTACTCAAGGATGAAGGAGATGGGGAAAGACCCCAGGGTCATCTTTAGAGAAGTGGAGAGTTGGGTAGAGGATCCAAGACGATTGTTCAGAAACTATTCAGTTGAATATTTTACAAGACTCTTTGAGCAAGCCGACGAACCCGATGTACACCCAGTGGCCGCGCCAGTTGCGTTGCCACTACCTTACAGTCCCCGAAATATCGTCAATTCGAGGCAATGAGCCTGATGTAGGCGTAATACCTAGGGTTGATTCAACTCAGCGAACGTCCTCATCTCCATCCCATCCGTTCATTGCAACGTCGCGCTTTCTTCCTTCTCGGTTCATCGATATTACTTGAGAGACCGCAACCGTAGCTGCAAAGTTTCCACAATCTACTCCGACTCCTTATCTATCCACCTCAAGCGGTCCTCCGATGCTTCGATCGTTCGTCCCCTCGTACACGCTTTGAAGCCAACTCCTCCTCATCCCTACCCCTGAATATTGAACGCCTATCCTACTCTCAATCTGCCATTCTTTTAATCGTCCCTTGCTAAACTTCAATGACTTCAAAGCTTTTAAAATAACAAATCGACTCGCCGTTAAAGAGTATCAACTCTCGTATATATGCTCGTTTTCGAGTCTCCCTCCTGCTGCCCTTGTACGATAGGGTGTTAAGCCATCTCTTGCTACTGGCCTTCAACGCAAATCCCCCCACCATTCCTTTAATCGATTTCCTTTGAACTGTCAGACTCAGAGCCGCAGATCTGTAGTATCGATTCATCATTGATGCATACTTGTCCCCGGGCCTACCTTCTCATTCCCACTGACGAGATTTCACGCAGTCTCGCCATCATCTCATCGAACGACATGAAACTATCTTATATCGTCCTAGTCAGGTTCCTCCGAACTCTGAAGGGCGAATGCCCCCCAGGTCCTGGCCATATACCTATGCTCGATTCTTGATATTGTCCGTCCATCCTCCCTTTAACCAAGCCCGTTCTTCATACAGTATCAGAAACTATTACCTATACAGATATGCTTAGGTCCTCATGTAGTATTGATGATCCTTGACTTACGACTTACCTTTGCTCGAGCGCTTATTGACAGGCGCCAATGCACGTCCTTGTAATTGCTAAGTTACATAATCACTACATCGCGTCTCCTCATACCATAACGCGAATGGATTTGAACAAAGACCAGGCAGCGAAGCCCCGCCCGAGACCTCTTCCAGGGGTGCCCACGACAGCGAGCTCCCCCCCTCAGAGACCAAACACGCCAATCCTTGGGAACTCGACATCTACCATCCCTGCCATCAACTTCTATGGCGCAGAAACGCAGCCACCACCATTGCCACTGCGCCCAAAGAAGTCTGGTTCGTCGCACACGATGGCCTCATTCATACCACCATCACAATCGACCCCTCTCGAAGCGCACGATTTCCGAGAGCCTGAGTTGATAAAGGACGATGAAGAAGCCCCGCCACTGATCTCGGAGGACGCTCCTTGGCCAGTATATGACCCCAATCCATGGGCCTACAACGCTTCCAATTCGAGCGGTTGGACTGGGACGGATTGGGCGACAACCTCGGATAACCGTGCAGACGAGATTCGGTTGCCTCCAGCGTACGGCAAGACGGTGGACATCGATGGCAGGGAGCCAGATGAAGAGCTGAATTGGTGGGATCCTACGGTACGCAAGCGCCCTGGCCCAGGGATGCTGCCCCCTCTGCTTGCGGAGGAGCTTCATAATTCCGATCACACGCTGTATTCTGTAAGCGTTAAGCCGCCAGACGTGAAGCCAGTGGAACAACCTGTTCAGCCTGTCCCAGAGCCCACTGCAGGTAGGAGTAGCTCGCCTCCCATAGCCCGATCTTCGAGCTCTACACCTCCTCCTCCTCCACCCACTGACGACGATGTACGTACGTCTGTACCGCATCCGAACGCGTACTACTGCCCAAAGGAGAATGGCTGGGTCATTCTACAATGGAAATCATCATCGGTACTTCCTCCTCTGGACCAATCATTTCTCGACTCCGATCACCCACCGCTCCCTGATCAGAATCGGCGTAAAGCTACCGTTTCTTGCATAGACGACGGAGGGTACAATTCGAATAAGACCCATCACTTCCACAAATACCCAAGAGCAGTGAATTCGTTAAAACTCACCCCCCCATTTCGCAGCGCGCCGTGGCAAGTCGAAGAGAAACTCAAAAACAGGCGCCGCGCAGTTTCGGTCACGGAACCAGTCGACATGGACGCGGAAATGGACGAGGAAGCGGAAGTTACTCTCGAGGATGATGGAGAGTTACTGGATCTATATATGTGTTGCCAGTGCTCCTTGTATTGTGTGGCATCTAGCGTCATCCCTGGGGTCATCCCGCGGAAATTTTGGGAAGAATTCATCAAGGAGAAGAAGAACAGTCCGCCCCCTGGCAAATCCCCTGAGGCCTCTGTGGCCAACGCATGGGATACGATCGTCATGTACGACCTCTATCTGTCTTCCTATATACATTTAGATTGATTAACATTCGATCACAGGGTCATCGAAAATAGACTTTGGAAGGGCGAAAACCGTATGTTGCGCGTTACCCGCCCTGGCTTTCGATCCAAGCTGGGCTGGAGTGTTATTGTGTCAGCGCCAATCAACCACTCCTCCTGTGGTTACACTCACAATTTGCTGCCTTCAACAGGAAGAAAGTCTTTGAGACGCTTGGGTTCATTGACCAACTTCTCCCTGGGGAGGAACCAGCACTGAGGCCACCTGCCACTGATATCGTCACCCCGCAGGGCAGACAAAACCGTGCCAAACTGCTTCGAGCCTGGGTCGAGATCAGCGCTTGGACTGTTGTCCATAGACGATTATTTGGTGCGTGGAAATTCGGCACATGTACCGCTTTCTGACTGATTCGATACCAATAGCGAATACTCTAAAGGAACACAAAGGTTATGCCTTATCCGTAACTGTCGACAGTGCGAGGGAGATGTATCAAACTGCCATCGGCGCGCATCCAGATCAGAGTGGGTTTGTTCGACTTCGCCCACGGCCAGTTGTGCTAACCAGGGAGTAGTTCCTCGTGGCAATCTTCACGAAAATCTGCAGCCAGTAATGCATCATTTGGAGGCCGCGTGGCGGCAGTTGGGTATGACGCAGTCGTCCTACTCGTCCGGTAAGTCATATTTCCCAGGCCCTTCGAGTCTGCCTAACGTTCATATAATACCAGAATTACTCGCCTTCGCGTATCTCGCTCAGTGTCGGTGTGATCCGAAAGGGACCATGTCATACTTCTCACACTTCTCTAACATGATCAAAATAATGGAAGAGAATCGTCTCTGCCCACAAGATCTCCAAGACCTTTTCATGCTCGAACGGTCGAGAAAGCGCTTCGCAGAGGACGAGGTTACAGAGGCCGCGAGGATACTTGGATTCGGGCACGACGGGCCGCTCAAAGTGGAGTTCGATAATGAGATAGATGCTGAGTTTATCGAGAACGCTTGGAAGGATTGTATCCGCCGGTCATGGCATGATCCCGGGGGGAGCCAACTCCAACGTGACGCGACGGAGGCCTTGCGGGTTCTTGCCGAGTATTTAGGGAATCGTGCTTTGCACCGGGTTTGGGAGGAGAAGAAAGACAAGCTGATGGATCCGAGTAAGGCGTATGACATCCTTGAAATTCCCAGTGGTGTCGACGACACCATGCTCATCACCGTATACACCTTGCGGGTTTGTCTATATGATCTTTCTTTTCCTAGTTCAATACTGAACTCGGCTCAATGATTCACAGCTCGACGAACAGCCTCATCAGGTGGAGAAGATGAAGGAAGCACTGAGTGTCATTTCAGAAATCAGAGATAGCGAACGCTTGCGGCGCTTCCTGGCCACCGGCGCTGACCGTAAGGACCCCCTTACTTTCTGATGTATATAGCTCTGATTCGGTGGACCTTTAGCAGGAGAAATCGTAGCGCCCACGCGTCCCGATATCCCTCGAGGGTTGAACCAACTTGGTAATACTTGTTACCTGAACTCACTGCTCCAGGTAAGTGCTCCGTTTATATCAGTACGTGCATCGAACCGACCTCAATATGGCAGTATTTCTACACGATACGAGATCTCCGAGACTCCGTCGTGCAGATGGGCCAACAATACTCGAAAGCACTAGAGGACGAGAAACTCACCGATGACGATCTCAAGAAACACCGTGTTGGCGGTCGTCTCGTAACACGCCGGGAGATTCAACGGTCAAAGAAATGTGAGTTGAAATCCAACGCATTGACTAAGACTTATGATTGTATCAACTAGTCATCAAGCAACTGGCCGATCTCTTCGTTGACATGGAGTTTGCTGAAGCTGCTTCGGTTACGCCTACAGTCGAATTGGCTAAGCTAGCACTGGTGACATCCCGAGACGAAGAAGAAGATGAGGCAGACAGGGGCGGCACCGAATCATCAAATGATACGGACGCGACGTTAGTGGAGGACGGGCCATCACGGTTCGTATCTGAGCCTTTACCAATATCTCCACCTTCTCCGTCTCGGTCACCCAATTCAATACTGGGTAAACGAAATAGAGGTCTAGAGCGCGAAAAGACCGAAATGGACGTGGACAGCCCTCCTCCGTCGTCTTCCTCCTCACGGCAGGACCACGATAGTTTCGTCACCGTGCCTTCCCGTCGTTCGTCTGGGTCCCCGGCCGGCACAAATGAAAATGAGATATCGACGGAAGTGGGTGGTACCCCCTCCAAGACCCCCATTGATAACGAAGGTGACGCCATCATGTTAAACGATGTACCTCCGAAGCTGGTATCCGCCAAAAAGCCCCCACCACCTTCTGATTCCGTTATGATGTTCGGTAAGTACTCGTTGCTATTCAAGCGATAGTAGTCCAACTCGATACACGTATCCAGGAAAACAGCACGATGTCGCTGAATGCATGGACAATTGTATGTTTCAAATCGAGACGGCAATGCTCAAGTTTGGATCGCTAGGAGGATCCCAGGAGGGAGACAAGACTAGCATCGTGAAGAGGTACGTCCCACCAAACTTATGACACCTGGTAGTTCATCATTATTTAGATTATTCTACGGCAAAATACGACAACGGGTGGCCGTCGCCGCGGAATCACGTTCATCCGTTCATGAGAAGGAGGATTTGTTTTCACATTTGCCTGTAAACGTTGTACACGACGGCGTGGATATTTACGACGGTCTGAGCGGATACTTCGACGATACCGTGGAGTTCGAAGGCAAGAAGGCTCGAATGGAAGTCTCATTAGTCGAGCTGCCACCCCTACTACAGATTCAATTACAGGTGTGTCTCATGAACCCACTCTTCGCATGGATATTGCATTAAATGGAACTCCGTTGGAAGAGAGTGCAATTCAATAGGGAGACACTTCAACCTTACAAATCCCAGGCCTACGTCAAATTCGGCGAGACGATTTATATGGATCGCTTCTTAGACAATGTCAATCCGCAGAAGAAAGCTCTGTCGAAACAAATACAGGCCGAACTCGACACGTGTAGAGAGCGGATACGAAGTCTCTTGCAGGGCAAGGTTCGCGACATTTTGCGTTGTATCCATCTTCATATATTGATCGGATTTGTGCAGTGTGGACCGTTTGCGACTTCATTAGAGAAGACTTCCCATTTCCTGTCCGACCTTAAAGCGGCAGCATTGCCGGGCATAGACGACGCTACCGTCCAAACTCTTCGGGACGAGCAGGATACCGTGAATAAAGAGGTAGACGCCCTCCGCGGTCAAGCTGATCACTTAAAAGCCCGGCTTGAAACGATCTGGGAGGATGAAAAACAGGCCGCCTATGAACTAACTTCTGTCTTCATACATCGGGGCTCGTCTCCATCCTGGGGCCACTACTTCTTCTATTCTAGGCACCTTCCTGAACAACCGGATGCATGGTTCAAGTACAACGACTCGGATGTCACGGAGGTTTCTAAAGATGAGGTGCTCGCTGACACAACTGGATCAACTGCCAATCCATATCTGGTCTGCCTTCATCTATCCAACACCTAATGCCTCGATGACTCACCGCCTCTTTCTCGTAGTTGGTATTCGTTCGCCGGGGTTCCGAAGTTGTCCACACAGTCAAGCGATCATTCAAACCGTCCGAAGAAATGGCATGACACTAGCATATCAAATATATTTATCTATAGCAGCGTCACATCTTTGCATCTCTCATCACTCAACATATCACTCAGCAATGGAGAACCATTAGGATTATTTGCCATTACGAACGTCTGCATGAAGTGAAGCTATATGTCTACGGGCACATGAGCTCGTACACCAACGGTGATAACAAGATCTCTTCGGGCTGGCGAGAGCAACTGCACCCCAGAATTATCTTCGCCTCTGTTGTCCTAGTGGTTGGCCTAAATCGTTCAAACAGCATGCATGATAAATAACTTGCAAGCATACGCAGAGATGCAGCGAGTACCATATACGACGACGCGGGACTAAGGTCAACACTCCTGGCGTCCGCGATACTAGGCTGAAGGGCCCTCTTTCGACAAGTCCCAATCAACCTTTGCCATAGCCTTGTTTACAAGAATGGCTTTCGTCAAGTTGATGTTGATCCGTGGAACTTGCTGAAAGGTATAGTCTATCTCAGAGTTGGCTGCGAACACACGACAATCTCTACCGCCTAAAAGGAGAACACCAATGGCGACCCGGGAGTGGATTGGCGATTGGAGTCGGTCGGCCTCGCTGGGAGTTGCTGCTGCAGCGTTCGCAAGGGTGGTAAAGATGCCCCCGTTGAGGGCAAGATGAGTCTGCCGGGGTTGACGACGAATCTCGAATACCTTTGGAAGGCACTCCAACGAAGCGGTCGTCGGCGGACGAAGATTCCGAATTTCTTCTAGAAGCAAAAGGTAAGTCGACGGTGGCTGCCGTTTTACATTTAATGACAGCCCACAGGGGGTGACATTCAATGTGCCTTTTCTGATGAGCGCGTTGAAGCTTTGAATGGGAAAAGCAGAGGCGCAGACGGCTTTAGTGAGTCCCTGTTACGTTAACCTTGAAAGGTATAGATACGGGGTCCTATCGACGCGGCAGATACGCACCAAAATGCCTTCGTTCTATTCGAACATCATCATTGTCCTCTCAATTTCCTTCGCTTTAAGCGGGGCGAACGCTCAATGCTCAGACCCGGCCAGGCCCCTTGCAAGATGCTGCATGGGGGTTGCGGCGTGGTCGACCAACTCCGTCGTGTGGGGAGGTATCTGCGGTTACACTCCCCCCAGTTCCAGTGAGATCATAGGCGCGCGGTGCATCATCAATCCCGGGACCTGGTGGGTGTGCTAGCTTTCAATTTGATATCAACGCTCACCAGAGTGCCTCGCAGCCCGTCGGGTACTCGTGCAACGTGTTGTGCAGGAAGTTGGCCAGGGCCAAGCGGTCGTAAGTATCCAAACACAATATCGTGATCCTCACTAAGTATTTGCGTTGTCGCAGAATGCTCCCTTGGAACGAATTGTACGCCGTAAAGGCTTCTGCTGGATCGAATGTACTAGATAGAAATGCCGTTTGTGAATTGTAGCCTGCCAAGCGCGCGTTCCTAAATATTGTGGACCGACATCCATGATCAAGGTCTGAATTGGGGCCGAAGACGCAGACTATGCACAGCAAAGCTTAACAGGATTACATGGTAAACTGACAAGTGAGTTAGAAAGGAGTGGTGTATGCGGAATAGATTCCACGCACCAAGGTAAAAATAAAGATACATTATCGCAAGATTGATACAAAGCGCTGCTTATCTGTTCGTGTTCGTTCGCCGCTTCCCGCCACGATTAGTACGCCTACTGTTGCGTTGTTTGTTTTTGCAGTCGTCGCAATGCCACGAGCCTTCCGGGGCCTTCGAGAGTCCTACACATGCCAAATGGAACTGTGAAAGGGAAAAACGTTAGCAAGAAGGGTGCTGGGGAAGAATAAAAACGCTTACCCATTGTTTGTCGCAATTCTCATCGTCGCAGCCTATCATATCTCCGTAGCTGACCCCATTGCACACACAATACCTCTTGTTATCGTCACCTTCCCCGTCTCCATCCCCTCCATCCGCATCTCCCCCGTCACCGATATCCCCAGGTGTGCCTTCGTAGTCCCCGTTTCGGCGGTCGGCTAGAGGTGGCGTTCGGGCGTGACCATTCGGTCCTGGCCCAGAGTGTATTCCGGCAGTTACGCCCAGACCGGGATGTGGTGCCCTCGGGTGTGATTGTCCGCGAGCAACAGGCATTCCGGGGCCCTCTAATTGCGTTGCTGGTACATGTACGTGAGGCCAGTCGTCTAGCCTAGGATTGACACTGCCAGCTCTCGCCGGGTCGTAACGACCGGCTCCGTTCGAGGAGTTGTTGTAAGGTAGTGGAAGAGAAGGGTGAGACGATGAAGCTGGAGGAACATTGTATTCGCGAGGGGGATGCGAACCAGATGTGTGTTCGTAGTTTGGGTTCGTGTCATGGGGGGTGGTGTTGCGATTGGCGTTGGCGTTATTCCGTGAACGCTTGTTGGTAGCTGTCGTCCCGTTTGAGGTTCGTGCGGAGCCATTGACACCGCCAACTCGGGCGGACTGGCCTTGCGTGGCGAGGGTAGGCAGATGGGAGGTCACCGACAAAATGGACTCCGTGGGCGAAGCGGCTCGTTCGGGTTTGCTGCAATGGGGTGAGTGCGGGTATTCTTCAAAGGATATGCAATTCGTACCTTCGGCGGTTGGTAATTCGGGGGCGTGCAGACACCGTCTCTGTGACCTTCTCTTTCCTTGGTGATCGCATGCTAGGATCCCCGTCGTCCTCTCTGCCCACCCTCCGCCGTTTCGCAGGGCTGTCTGTTGTGCCAGAGAGCAACGAGCCAAATCCTCCACCGTTCCTTTTGCGTCTCCCGCCTTCCATGGTCGCCGCTGGCATGTACGATTTTGTAGCGACGTGGGGGTAGACCGTCCGCCGATTGAGGGTATTGACATCAAAGTTCGGGATTAGCTCGGATAGCATACGCAGATGCGTGGCATGGGATTTGAGGCTGTCAGCAGCGATGCACGCAACTCGAATCTTGTCTTCCCCGCCCAACTTCAACCGCGACGCTTCGTCCGCTATCTGGGTGAGCAACCAGTGCCGTTCTTCCTTCGAGCAGGAGTTTTCTTCGATCTTGAGTGTCAAAGCTTGGATTTTGTGGGTTATTGAGGCCATGGAGGACGAAAGGACTGCATCGAGTTCCCGTAGATCTGCGAAGTTCCTCGACAAATCTAGTGGCAAAGCGTCGAGTGTATGCGTGTATTCTTGTAGGAGAGATAGGGAGTACGCCGTCTCCGGGGTCGGGGGCTGGGTAAAATTGCTGTGGATGGTTCTGGGAGCCATGCTGGAGAGTGTGCTCTTCGTCGCGACGGTTTGACAACAAGGGCAGTCCCGACACTCCTGGATTGTCCAACAGCCAACAAGCGCTCGAGCTGCCCGATCACAAGGCCGACAGGGGTCATTATAATTTATATGCCTCTTATTGTAAAGTGCTTCGGAATCACGCAGCTCATTGTTTCCATGAACCCCACGATGATAGTGATATAAAAACAATAAACGATACACAAGGTGATGCTCTATTATAATACTGATGTGCGTGAATACGGAATGCGGGCGTGATCAACACTTGGTGTCCTGTACGATGGCTTCGGAATCAAAACCCCTTCCTCCGCAGCGACTATTCAATCCACCGTTAAACCTCCGCCGATTCCAAATGTTGGGGTATGATGCGTGCAGTGATGCATGATGATGATGAGTGATGCGAATACGAATACAACGAAGCGCCTGGCGCGCAGCATGCAGCGGCGATGCGAGAACGAAAGATTTCCGATGATGAATGATATGGGCATGGTGGTGCATAAGGGCATATGAGGTGTATTCCGATTATCGTCATGCATCATTTGCGAGAAACGAGCTTCTTCAACGAGTTGACCCCACTCTGTCCTTGGGACTGCCCACTCTGTGTTGACGCTGCCCCAAAAGATGCGTACATGTTGTGCATGTCGCGAGGTGATTGGTGGAAGGCTGCAAATGCGTTCGGCGACGTCTGACCAGCAGGGAAGATGCCGTACGCGGGTGCGGCGGTGGGGGCGGCGTAGTTGTACGAAGACATGATTATATGTGATGTGTTTGCGGCGGGGTATGTGCGTTAAAAGCGAAGGAAACCGATAATTAAAAAGAGTGAATGTGGGTTCGTTTAGAGGTCGTTAGAAGGTGGTATATCGTCGACTGATGTGGGGGAATGGGGAATGGGGTTGGGTTGTATGGGCGGTCGACTGGCTGTAGATGTATACGGCGCAGCGGAGCTGTTGATAATAAGACGAGGCGTTCTCGATCAAAAGCGTGATGTCGAGTGGTGTATTGTTGAAGCAGGTGACACAGAGTCGTATTGTTGCGCGCGAGAGAACAATTGAGTGTATGGGAGCTTTGCTGTGCGCTTCTGTTGTCCTCGCGAAATCGGTACCAAATGGTTCCTTGCCATAATACCCCTGCGACGGAGAGGTTATATACGCTCGAGATGCCCAGGGAGTACACCCGATGTTCTCATCAGGCCTTCGCCAAAATACAAGGAAGTCAGTGATGACTGAACGGTGAATACAAGGAACTCTCCTAATCCGGACGTTTCCTTGTCTGCGAATGGCAGTGAACCTTGCGCGCCTGAAATGCTTCCGTTTTCAGAATGAAGGCGAGTTCCATAACAAGAAAGTTCCCTGCATATGAGCCTCCCGATGTTCAATTGGGAACAAGATTCGGGTCTTGTGGGTCTTGCCACTTGTGTAGTTTGAGGAAAAGCTTCGATCGGGATGGCGTAGCTGTACCGCTAGGTGACTTGAATTACTGGAAAGGGTGCACTGCAGCTCTGTGTTCACGGATAGGGCTTTTTGATCGTATGGTGCGCTGTCTGAGTGACCGAAGTGGGTCGTAGGCCGTTCGGCGGTTTGGTCAAGCGCTTATTAGACTACTTGGATGGATCGGAGGAACAGCAACGGCCACAAAATCCGCAATCAGTGACGTTTCTCAGCTCTCGAGCAGGAAAACCTTGATACTCAAAATGGTCCATTGTTTGTCGAATCAGGAATAAATCTGAATGCTCACTTATCTTGACCTTGATCTTCCCCCAAATATCTAATACCTAAGCAACCCAAGTTTCAATACTTAGTTAAATCATGGTGGCATGGGGCTTATCTGTGAATGTAGGTGTTTGAACATTGCTGTAATTCACTGAAGGTTGTGTAGGGGACTTCTGTCCCCCATCTCCTATCTCCTATCTCCCATCTCCTATTTTCTAGCCAGTAAAGATGGGCCTTGTTGAATAAAAATACTCTGTCCTTGAAGTATGCACTCTAGGATGAAATTTGCAAAACTCTGATTCAACTTCAAAGTTGCAAGTTGCATGAGTTTCAGAGTCTGATATGTTGAGGACCACTCAGGCTCCTAGAACTAGCACATGTTGTATCATGAGTTAAGTTCCACAGTCTTTTATCTGACTCCCCATGAGAAAAGCTACAAATGTTGAAAGTTGAGGTTACGGGTCCTGTAATGAAATGAAAGGAACCGTTCTTTATTTGGGTGGGGGTTTTGGGCGCTTCCTTAAGTGGACGGCTACTGTTGTAGCCGGTAGCCGGTCATCTGGAATCTCGGGATCTTGTTTAATTTTAATTTAATTTAATCTAATTTTGTATTCAATGTTAATTCAATTCACTCAGCCTTTCCTCACTTGTACACGTGGGAGAGCTTCCAAAGCTAAATGAGAGTTAGCACCGGAGATCATGTAAGTTGCCATATTAATCAATATTCAGGGGAAGCCTCAGGGGAGCCCCTCAAAACACTGCTCAGCAGTCATACTCACTGTTTCATTTATGCTCATATTGTAGACTTACACTCTGGCATTAAATATGATATCTCACATGTATCATATTAACTCTGTAATATCAGTAGTGTAATAGAGTGTCAAGAGAGTCAACAAATTGTCAACAATGGCAATTTCAGATGAACATGGTTGATCAGTACATGTGGATAATATATGATTCATAGCTAACTAGCAGAGATATGCACATCTGTAGAGTGGATAACTAGTTTTACATGACAAGTGTAGTAGTTATTCCTAGGAATATGTTTGAATTGGTATTTCAAGTAATTGTCTTACTATACAATAGAATAGCATCTAAATCCTGGAGTAGCTGGAGGCAAAAAAGCAGCACTGTACATTTACAAGAGTCCACTGTTATTGAATGGAGAAAGAGTATATGAATATGAGTTCTCAGCAATTTGAGTAATGTTTTTGAATCTCCTATACTCTGTATATGTTATAGGTGCATCCAGGAGGCCCCTTAGAGGCTACTAGAGGCATATTCACGTGTGCTCTGGCTATGGGCTCGGGCTGCATATACTCGCGGTTACTCGGACTTCTCGGATTATGGACTAAGTACATATTTGAGCACACCATACTTATTATGACCAGACTACTAACTGTCTCATGAACACGCGGCTACCGCATGTTCTTTAGTATATAGTCTTGTACTGTACCTACAGTTACCTCAGTTCAAATATTAGTTCCTTTCTGCACTCACATCCTTGCCTCTCTACTGAGGCCTCTCCCTCGCATCCCCTTGCCTCCGCTTGCACCCTTGGTACCCACGTAGGATCCCCTCTGGAAATACAGGGCATGCAAGAGTGTGGGAGGCGCAGCCAGTAGCTGAAGCCAAGCCTGTACGTCCTCGCCTCTATGTGGAACCGTGCACCCGCAGGTCTGCGTATTCCCGAGTCCCTCTGCGGGTGTGGCTCTTAACACAGGCCTGAAGTCTGTTATAGGGCTGCCACCCGTACCGTAAACGGTTTACAGCCATACATTAAAAAGGACTGGCGGACATGGGTCCCGTATCCACAAACAGGTAATGGGTTAGCATAGCTGACTAGACGGTTACAGTCTATCATTTCAACGGCCGTTTATCTAGTATATATGGGCTGTGGCTGTCTCGCGGCTGTAATACAGTATTTTACAGGTAGATATATAACACTGTCATATACCAGTCCTCACACCCCCTTAGGGGTTCCCCCCTACGCCCCTTTCGGATACTCGGACCCTCGGAGCCCCTCAGGCTCCGCCCTCGCAGCCTATGCATGGTGCGCAGCACTTGGATTCACTTGTTACATGTTTCACCTACATGTGTACTTACATACTAAGCCTCACTACATACATGTGTTAGTTAGTATTTATAGTAGCACTAGTAGACATGTATTCCTCACTCTGAATCTTAGTTCCTTCTTCGTCACTTGTCCTTCTAAGTCTTCGCTGCGGGCTCCTCCGCGGAGCCCGCCTCTCACCTTGCTCTCTCCGAAATCGGGACACCGCAGGGCTAGGAGGGCGCAGCATCAAAGCTGAAGCCAAGTCCCGTGTGCTCCGCTCGTCCGCGCTCCCGCGCTCCGCCCGCGCTCCCGCGCTCCGCCCGCGCTCCCGCGCCCCTGTGCGGACGAGCCAGGAGGCCCCTTGACACGGTCCTTAACAAACACAAAGTTTGCCACTAGTGCTTTGAAGGCAACCCATTAGACTTGAATACAGTGGATTACCCTTCATGAAAGTGATAGTCTGCGCAGATATACTGCTTGAGAGTCATCAGTGTTGATATAGTTTCAGGTTTTAAGCTTGCATGGCGCATTGAAATAGTGTCACGACCAGTGGAGAATATTTGTTCCACCGCCACCGCAGATCCAGGAATGGAAAGAATACCGAGGGCAAGGCGGTAAAGGGTGGGGAATTGGTGACGGCGACTGTACCACCAGGAAATGGGGTCAGTAGTATTGAAGTCCTCAGGCTCTAGGTGTCAGAATTCCTGCAGCTCATCAGCGATGGCACGATCACGTTGCTTGTAGCGTGAGGTGAAGTCGTATTTTGTGCTTGATGATGTAGTAGATGCAACAGAAGTTGACGAGCCTGCAGGTGTGAGAGGCTGGGGTTTAGCTGCTTGATGCAGTATGAAGTACCACACTAACCTTTTCATAGGGTCCTTGCCCTAGACCAAAGGCGACTGGTAGAAGACCGGCTCCTCCCAGTCGGACTTGTTGGTCCCAACACAAACACACAGATGTTGAATGTTTGACAAGGCGAGCAACACTCTCAGCAAATCACAAGGCAGCTCTCATGCTTGTGATTTTGCTCACGGGCCGTACAGTATATCCCTTGATGCAACAATTAACGCGGGTAGCCTTGTCTTCCGCCTTGAGCCTGTTTTTGGACAACCACGAAGAGAATATGTTGACGGGTACATAAACCGTACATACATAGTGTATAACCTGTATGCACGGTAACTGTAAGGGCAACCTCAAGATGGCCGCACAGCGCAAGCCTAGCAGAGGGAGAATCCAAAGAAAATGAATAAGACTAACTACAATACATGAGAGGGCTGCTCAACTAGCAGAGGGAGAATCCAAAGAGAACAGGATAAGGATTCTCCATGCTAGGAAGCGAAGTATATACTGTAGTAGCGTGAGAGGAATGCAGGATAACTGTACAGTACACCAGCCACAAGTCCGAGCGAATATCACAAGGTACAAGGAAACATGTGATAATGAAGTGGAGGGTAAATGCACAGGAGTTGTGCCAGCAACTTGGGGAAGTAAGGGTGAAGGATAACGAAGTGGGGAAAGAGGATAGAGATAACCCGGACGAGGAGTGAAGAGTATAGACGAGTCCGAGCGAGTCCGAAGTGTCCGAACTGCGGGAAGACTCCAGAGTCATCGGACATGGCTTGGATGCGTAAGGGGTGGGCGGAAAGGAAGTGGGAGCGAAAGGGAACGAAAGGGAACAAAGGGAATGTAGGTAAAAGTCCATGGGATGAAGGAAAGGAGAGAAAATAGGAGTGTCCCCTTACAGTAATGGCTGGCAGCCCTAGTCTGTTATATCTTAATGCTTACCACTATTCTTTCTGCAATTGGCTATACTGCAGCTTACAACTTATACTGGGCCTAAAGTTTCCATCTGTTATCTCCTTCTTTAGTGCAGACATTATCTCCATCTTCTATCTGACACAATGGCTATCTATTTTGCTAAGTACTATTTATGGATCAATAGGACCCGTACAGGCCATGCATTGCAGTGGCTACAGCCCCAAGTCA